TTAATCAAATCATCATTTAATACAATCATCTAGTCTATATTAATTAACACAATCAACTTTAGCTTTTAGATTTTCACGGAACACAACCAATATCTATTTTAAAGATTTTATTTTATTAGAACAACGTGTACTAATAAACAACTAAAGTATTAATGGTTCAAGTTATGGCTCGACAATGCGTCGATCAAAGTGATGCAAATATCAATAGATGGAGGGAGTATTTATTATTTATGTTGAACATAACTTATTTTTAAAGAAATTATACATGCTGAAATTGTTTTTCTTAAACTTAACATATTTTTGTTGAAATTTATTTAAACAAAAGAGCAAAACGTCCATGAATTGAAACAACAACGAAAAAAAACCCTAATATTTTTTATGATAAAATATGTTTTTATCATGTTAAATAAACATCTCAAAATATATTAAGAGTTTAAGGCCCTTCATATACTCTCTTTATCCCAGAATAATTGGCACAATCAAACATTGCACACATGTGCGATGCACTAGTTTGATCTTATTTTATTAATTAAATATTAATGAAATAATAATAAAAAAAAAGATTTTTTAGAAAATAACACCATTAAATAACCAAAAATTTGATTATAACACCACAAAATTTCAAACTTTTATTATAACACCACAAAATTTCAAACTTTTATTATAACACCACAAAAAACCAAAAAATTGGATTTCACCACCACTCACTAACGCCATCCAAAAAACTGTTGGTGAGCACCACACTTTACACCTGTTAGTTAACTATTGGATTAAAAAAAGAAAAAACCCTACACTACTAACCCAACCACCAGCGCCAGTTCCCCCTGCCTCCATCTCCATCACCTCAACCCCCGCTGCCAGCTCCCCCAGCCGACCACCCTCGACTGACGAAACCTGCCCCACTACCGCAAGCCCAACCAAGCCTCACCGTCGCAAGCCCGGCCACGCCTGCTGCCATCATTGGTGAAAACTCACCCGAGCCCAACTACCAACAAAAACCGGCCACCTTAAAACACCCTAGCCCAGCCACCAAAAAAAATTGGCGTTTAAACCCGTTCACCCTCAAAATGATTGAAAACCACCAACCCTTTACCCTTTCACGCACCCTCAAATGCACGAAATCGACCATGGAAATCCAGAATGATTGATTTGACCATTTCAAGGGTGCGGGAAAGGGGGTGGTTTTAGGCGGGCTGGGGTAGATGGGGAAGAAGGCGCTGGAGGTTACGCTAGGATGGTGTGTAGGTGCATTTGGGTTGTGGCGGTGTGTCGACTGGGGTAGGCGGGGAAACCGTCGGCTGGGGTTGGGATGCCAACATCGACAATGGTGGTGGTGGGGCTGGTTAAATTTGGGGTTATATTTTTTTTTAATTTTTTTTTACCTTATTATATAGTGACGTGTGGCAATGTGGATCCCAAGAATCCGTTAAGTGGTGGTGTAATCAATTGTTTAAGTTTTTTTGGGTGTTATAATACAAGTAAATTTTTTTTCTTTTTTCCTGTTTTTTTTTTAATCAAAATCGTGACTTTTTTGTGGTGTTATTTTCTATAAAATCTTTTAAAAAATAAATTCATATTCATGCATATCTAATAACATATTTTATGACAAAATATGTTTTTATCATGTTAATAAAAAAATATAATCAAAGATATTATATGAATTGTGAAAAAAGGTGCAAATTATCAATTATTCTGGGACAGGGTGTAATATTAATTTTAAAAAATCCAAAATTAGATTATGAGCATTATTATCATAATAATATCCAATGAGATATAAAATCTATAATTTCCTTGCATAAAAAAAAATCTTTAATATCCAGTGGGATGTGATATCCAACCAGCTGCTTTGTAATTGAAATATGGAAATAAAAATCAAGTTTTTAGAGAAATCTCACACAATGAAAAATCTGAGATATTAAGATGTGATAATTATAAAAGGGTCCTTAAAAATAGAAATAAATCAATATTATTTTTTTTTTGAAAGAATCAAAATAAATATTAAGGATTTCTTTTGCTTTTGCTACAGATTATTGTTATAATAATTAAAATCCACATAAACATTTTTTTTTCATACCCAATTTTGATGTTCTAAATCTACCACAATACTCAACTAAAACCCAAGAAACATTGATTTTTAACAAAAATCCATTGAGATTGCAAATACATTTTTTTAAAAAAAAAATAAAATTTAAAGTGATTAATTAAATTAATTTATTATTTAAATTTTTTTAAGTTTTTTGAATTTTTAATTATCAGCCGCACACAAAACGTATTGCTAAGACAAGGGGTCCAAATTCCAATTTTCCCTTGGTAAAAAATGTCTAAAAATAAAATTATATTGCATCTAATAACAATATAATAGATGTTGATGAGCTACTATATTACACAAAAATAAGTTAAATACTACAAAAATCGTTTAGCATTGATTTTTGTATATTGATGGTTACAACATAAATTCATCATTATTTCTCAAATAAAATTTAAATTTAACACGATTATTATAATTTATCATATTGAATTCATTTGCTAATTATAACTTGATGTTTAATTAATCTCTTTCTTTTACCATGCAATGTACACACATAGGTATTTCAATTCGATGGTGCCATTGCCTAGGTCAGATTGCTTATAATTAAGTTGGAAATAATTTCCATTAATCACTTCTAATACGACCTATTCACTTTTCTTTAATATCAAAATTATGGTGTAATTGCGCCAAAAAAGAAAGGAATTCTAAAATAATAATCAGTAACTTTTGAAATAATTTTCTCGCATACTCTTCTAATACCTATTCACTCTATTCTTTTGAGCTTCGTTCTGAGCAAAGCAGAGTAGTGCAGAAAAAGATTCAGCTAAACATAGCAGAGCATAAAAAGATTTGAACAGAGCAACCCACATCATGCCAGCAGCTCAGGGCATGTGCTCTTTATTTAGTCAAAAACAGAATTCAGCAGAACATAGCAGAGCATAAAAGATTTCAACAGAGCAGGCCACAACATGCCAGCAACACAGGGGTCTGTGCTCTTTATTAAGTCAACAACGAAACTTTTTTTATTATTATTTTTTTTTTTATTGTGTAGTACATTTATTTCAACATTCACGTATACATACATAAAGCTTCATGCACGCTTGACAAAAATATGCATTTGTATGATCTTCCATTTAATTGTAACATTTACATAGAAATGTCTACACTAATTTAAATTATCTAGAAACTAAATTCCAGCTAAATGTTAAATACCTGATATATTATTAGTCTCCTAATTAAATTTATCCGATAAAGAAGCTACTGCACTGATCAATATAATATGACTTTATTATACCATATATATGTATACATATAATATAATAAATAATAGACAATTAAAAAATGCTCTAAGCTTGAATGCAAGGAGGCATCGATCACTTCATATTATAAACTACTTCGTATATAATTATTATTACAATTACTAATTATTCGATATAATAAAAGAAAAGACCATCACAAAATGAATTATCCCACCTACTAGCAAGGTTAATTTTGTCTCAAATTTTATAAGATCTTCATAAAATAGTATATAAATAGGGCATTAAGCACACTCTTCAAACACAATAACAAGAGCTAAAAAAATCCTTTACATTAAATTCCTCATAATTTCTCACTTGTTAAATTAAGTTGCTATACATTTTTTTTGGCAATTCTCCTCTCCTTTCATATTTCTACCTATTGGTAAGTTGATCTTCTTGAATCCAAAATTTTAATTTATGTAGCATAAATTAATACATGATTGTCATAATAAGAGCTTTGCTATAAACATTCATTTCATAATTTATACATTTCTTAAACTGATTTTAACTTGTTTTTCAGGTAGTAAAAATTATAATTTCAAAGGAATTTTGACATGTTTTGTCATACAATTCAACTTCAAGCTAAACAATTTAATGTAAAAATTCATTTTCTGGTACATTTTCAGTAAGCCCCACATTAATACATCAATTTTAAATTTTGAAATATTTCAACAAAATCTTATGATTTTTTAAATAGCGCGCGAATGAGCACGCATGTGCTTCACTTGGCAAGCTCACGCACGTGCTTCACTTTGCAAGATCACGCACTTGCCTACTCATGATAAATATCAAATGGATTTGGGTTAGCAAAAAAAAAAAAAATCAGCCTTAATGATTTGATAATCCTTTTCTAATTGACGATAATCTCTCTCTGTTTTTTTTATTCAATTAAGCAATCTTTTAGCATCCGGAAAGATTTTATAATTTTTTTTGGTGTGAATGAAAATATTTATATGAACATCTCTAAAGATCATAATAGATGTATTCAAAATGATGAGTATACACCCATTTCCATTGCTTTTCCCTCAAATCTGATTGATTTGTTTGGATATCATGATTGACTCATTGTTTTGTATAAATACCTCATGTAAAATGACACAGTTATATTCTTCATTCATGGAGTGGGAAGAAAAAATTTTGCAAATGAAATTTTCATACATAATTAGAGAGTACAAATTAAAGTTGTTATTTTTTTTTCTTCACAATCTATAAAAAGTCACAATAAATAGTGATGTCAATGAGATTCGATCTCAGGTCTTAAGTATCTTTTTTCAAAACATTAAAAATAGTTATCTTTATTTCATTCAAAGTTTCAAGTTTATATAGTTTATAATTATAAATAAAACATTTACTTATAAATTTTTCAATATATATTTCTTATTACCTTTTATTTTCTTTCCCCTATAAACTACCCAAAAAAAAAAAAACTATTTAATTTTTATTCCTTTGGGTTCAAAAACAGGAAAAGAGCCCAATTTTCTTTTTTTTTTTTTAAATTTAATAAGGCATACTTAATTGCCTCTACAAAAATATAAGGAACTTTGTTACATTTAAACATTTGGATAAAACTCTCTTCATAATTAGCTCTATTTCTTGCTTATTTACTTTCTTCTTGATTTTTTTCATACATCTATAACAATGGGATACATTCCATCATCAACTTGCAAGCTTCAATGGCAGAAATTGTCAAATTAATCGCGCTGAGGCCCATTACTTTCTTTGCCTTCTTGGTAAGCAATACAACCAGAAAAAAAAAATTAAATTTAATGATTATAATTCCTTATATATATTACTAACTACATAAAAAGTTAATAAAAATGTTTTTTTTTGTACCTAAATGATTATTTGAAATTTAATCGTGTTTTGTTACATGTTACATACAGACGCTTGTTGTGTTGTTGCTGCCTAGTGTCATCATCCCGATATGGTATCAGATGATGAAAAACATTGAGAAGAATGTGGGCAAGGAAACGAGTTATGCTAGTTTCGAGCTAATTAAAAATTTTCAAGACGTAGCAAAACTAATTCCTCCCATAAATTCATCAGCAATTGATCTATCAAATGTTTTGAACATTGATAATACGCGTGACAAACTTTTATTTCCTGATATTCAAAAGGAGGTTCGTGATCTTCCTTATTTTGTTTTTGCGATTTGTTTTAGCCTAAATATTTTCTGATTACGATTTATTTTGGATTATCTTATTAACCATGCTGATTGTATAGCAAATGTAGTGAAATCTCCATTGATATTGATAATAAGAACCACAAAGATATTCTATAGGGAAAAAAAAAAAAGAATCACACATTTCACATAAATATTTGAAGTAACCTAACTTATAAAGTATAGTACTTGTACATGTAATTTGAGGTTAATTTTTTGTTAAGATTTTGAAAAATGTCGATCACTTTGTATGTTTATCTAACATAATAACAAACAAAAATTTCTTATTGTAATAATAAAAAGTAATCAAGTAATAAATTATTAACAAATGGTATGTAATAATCTCAATTACAATAGACAGACTATAATTTTCAAGATTTCTAGAGTAAAATATTTGTTACTGAGATATTATACAATAACTTTCCAAATTTTAAGATTTTCTATTGATATGACAACTAAGGACAAGGTTATTAGGATAATATATACGTGGCACAATGGTATGTAAATATAGTTGGCTAATTACAGCTTTGATATGTTTATGTGAATGAATAATAATAATAATAAGGGGTATTAATTATCAAAGCTGTTTAATAACATAAATTAAGATCGAATTCTATCGATCTAATAAATATAAGAAACTTCTCTGAATTAAAATGATTGATTTGATTGTACAATTACAACCATTTGCTGTCTTAAAATCAAACTAATATTCTCACAATCATCTTTAAGTCAAGGGAAAAAAATAAAATGGTCTTTTATTTTGTTTCATTAATTTTTAAGGAGTATGAGAATTTTTGATAAAGTGAATTGTATTGAACCGTAATAATTTATTCTATTAAATTAAATCACATTTAATTTCAACTAATCCCCTTAAAAAGTTTATCAATTTTTTTTCTTCTCAAAATGACATTTATTTTAGATCAAGGAATATTTTATATTTATTGTTATATATAAAAAGAATTATCAATATTTTGAACAACTATAGGCGATAGCTCAATTGATGAATTAAGTACCATAAAAAGGTGATAATGAAATTAAATTTAAGTTACAAGTAAACGAAATTCATGTTAATGATTAATGTTAATAGTGTATTTACTTATGTTTATAATGTTTTCTAATAACATTTTTACTATTTTGACTAAGTTTCAATATATTTTCAGGTTGCGCCTGCATTATTCATATCACTATTGGTCATACCTCATTTAATCCAAGCTTCATACATTGGATTGGATGGCCTCTTCTTTTCATATATCAAAGTCGATGATCAAATATTTGCATTATACTCAAACTCAACTTTTGCAAATAATCTTGATCATTACACTTGGTATACTCAACTAGTAAAATCTACTAGTGGAGAATTACTTGGAGAAGCCAACATCACAAAACCCCTTATTGTAATCAATGAGATATGGTTCAAAGTAGCTATGGATAGCCCAAATGGCTATGCATCGTTAGGGTCTCGATGGTATACTAACGATGGAAAAGAATCGTCGATTCTATTCTTAGACACTGCGAGGCTAGGTAGAGCCGGAGCCATATCTCTCGGGTTTTCTAGTGAAGAAGTAACAACGTTCTTCTCTAGTACAAATCTTTTGGATGCAAGTTTGTACATGGCAACCCTTGGTGGTGACAAGGTACTAATGGATGGTATAAAAGACGTCGACATCAAAATTAAGAATGACAAAGCTTTGGTGCAAGGTAGCAACCAAACTTATATAGGTGAAATTTCATGCAATTCCAACAACAATGGTGTTACCAATATTGGTGGTACCGCCTTAGACATTGGAGGAGCCAATTTCATTTTCTATTGCTCGTCGATTGATGTTGCAAGGGTGCCAATGGTATGATTTCGATCTTGTGTTTCACAATCCATATGAATTATATACATTGTCAATATTACATTACATAGTATTGTGAAAATTTCATTTTTAATATGTTAATAATTGTATGGTTTTCTTGTAGGTATATGTATTGGCTTATCCAAGCAATAGATTAATCATCAATGTCCACAATCACACAAAGGTGGAATTGATACTTTTAATTATCATGTTGATTGGCATGATAATCTCTGTGTTCATGCTTGTCACCCTGGTTGTTAGAGCGGCTAGGAGGGAAGTGCACTTGCGTGCAGCATACATGAAGGAAATGGAGAAAACAGCACAAGCTGAGAGAAAGAGCATTAAGCAAAGCTTGGCCTTTGCGAGTGCTAACCATGATGTTCGCGGCTATTTAGCTTGCATCAAGGGCTTGACCGAACTCTCTGCTTCTGATCTTTCTCCCTTTTCTCAAGTTGCTTCTAACTTGAGGAAGATAGATACTTGTGTTGAGGATCTTTTAGGTAATATGAAGTATAAAAAACATTTGTATACATACATGTTTTATTCATGAAAGATTGTTCATAACAACTAATTCATCTTTTTTATTTTCTTGTTAAAATGCAGCATTAGTGAATTCTATCCTAGATTACAGCAAGATAGAAGCAGGGAAAATGCAATTGGATGAGAATGAATTCAACTTAGCACAACTGCTGGAAGACGACGCTGATTTACACCACCCGGTTGCCATGAAAAAGGGAGTCGAGGTGATCCTAGACCCTTGTGATGGTTCCATCTTCAAGTACTCCCTAGTAAGAGGTGACCGCGGCAAGCTCAAGCAGATCCTTGGCAACTTGCTAAGCAATGCAATCAAGTTCACTTCACAAGGGAGCATCTGTATTAAATGCCAAGCAAAGAAACCGAGCTTTGAGAACCCTATTGTTACTTCAGACAGGTTGTCAAATGATCTCGAAGACATGAAGATAATCAAGCAAGATTCAAACTGCATGGAGTTTGAGTTTATGGTGGAAGATACAGGTCCTGGGATCCCTAAGGACAAGCGTGGTTCGATCTTTGAGAACTTTGTTCAAGTCAAAGAAAACTCTGCAGGGCAAGTTGGAACTGGTTTGGGACTAGGCATTGTACAATCTTTGGTATGTATGTTTGGCAATAAAATTAAGTTAATCTATTTGCTAAAATGTTATTGATAGTCTCATACACCCATCTGTATGAAAATAATTTGCAGGTAAAATTGATGGGGGGAGACATAGAAATCGTAGACAAAGCCAATGGCGAACAAGGGACATGCTTCAAATTCAACATCTTTTTTATAGTACAAGAGGAATGTTTGGATAACCCAAGGCAAGAATTGATAGAGCATAGGGACATCAACTCGGGCTCAGGGTTAAGCGCGTGTGTTCGTAGTCCTAGAGGTGAAAAGTCTTTAGTGATTCTCTTGATGAAAAATGATGCACGGAGAGGAATGATCCATAGATACATGGAGAACCTTGGTGTAAACTTGAAGGTCCTAAGCCAGGGGAAGCAACTCTCTCCGACCCTTAAGAAGGTTAAATCTATGCTCATTGATCCTCTATTTAACTCATCGTCAGGGAGGTCAGACACGAGTCCTCCTCGTGGAACCTACTTGAGTAACAACCCTGATCGCAGTGGTAGAGGTGGTTCCAAACTCCCTCCTCTCAATATGATGGAATGCATACTGCTTGTAATAGATTGCAATGCAGGGGATGATTTTCAGAAAATGCAGAGATTGGTGTCTGAGTTTAGAAAGGACTTATACATGACATGCATCAAGGTAGTTTGGCTCGGTAGGCCTGGCACCAGCAGGGCTAAATTACAAGGTTTACCAGATGAGAGTCTCCCTTCGACAGATCTTATCATATCGGAGCCTCTTCATGGGTCACGCTTATTAAGGATTGTGAATCTTCTTCCTGAGTTTGGGGGTGATTCTGTAAGATCTCCTACTTCTGGGAGATCAAAGAGATCCAATACTAGTGTTGCAGTTTTAATAAGCAACACACAGTCGGAAACTGAAGAAGACAATATCGAGTCTAGTGATGGGGAGATCAAGTTAGTAAGAAACAGGAGAAGCTTACAATTAACTACTAGTGGTGATAACTATGCTCATGAACAAGAAGTCCCTCAAGTTCTAATGAGCTCTAGTCCGTCGATGACTAATACTACTCAAATGGGAGAAATACAAGAAGTTCCAAGGTAATGTAATGATATTAGTATATTCACTAATAAGTTGTGTTTGATTCAAAGAAAATGTTTTCGATTTCATATTTTTGTGTTAACAGGGATGCAGAGACCGAGAAATCTCCTTTGGAAGGGAAAAAAATACTGCTTGTTGAAGATCATATGTTACAAAGAATGCTAGCTGAAGCATGTGTTAAGTGTTTAGGTGCCGAAACTCAAACATGTGAAAATGGTGAAGAAGCTCTTGAGGTGGTATGCAAAGCTTTGAGCAACCAGCAAAGTGGAGAGCCCTCTAAGTTTCCATATGATTTTATAATCATGGACTGTGAGGTAAGCTACCCAAATTTATTTCTGTTCAACTTATAACATAAACTAATTCACATTTTTTACTAACCTGAGGTATCTTGTGTTTATCTCAGATGCCAGTGATGACTGGCTTCGAAGCAACACAAAAAATCCGAGAAGAAGAGAAGAAGTACGGAGTACACATCCCGATTATTGCACTGTCAGCTCACGAGGTTGATGGAGAGGAAGGCAGGAAGATTGCTGAGGCTGGAATGGATTTCCACCTGACAAAGCCACTCCGCGATGAAGAGCTTCTAAAAGTACTACAAAATCTGTTATAAACTAAGATAATTGTATCAATTATACATTTACTTTATGTATCAGTAGGTCCTTAGAAATGTGCCTGCAAAATCCTGTTATTTATTTATGCAGTGTGCAGTACATATAGGCTATCCAAAGTAGGTGGTACTAAGTGTAATCCGAATGGATGTTAGTTTACTCCTACAGTTTTATAAATATAAGCAACCGTTTTTATGTTATGTTTTCCTGTCAATGGTGATACTTAAACAGCAATATTAGTAACCGCACAGGCACACACAGCCCTGTAATACTACCGTACTTGTTACTCCATAACTCTTTACGTCCTTTGACTGCTAACAGCTACTACGTCTACTGATGGTTGTTAGTAAAGAAATATAGCCAAGTTTACCAAAAATAATCTATATAGCTCAAGTTTTTACTGACAAACAGTTCAATAAGTGATCTGCATTGCTCAAGTTGTCAACACAAGTATTTTCGATCAGAATCAAACCATACAGTATATATTTCATATTGATAAACATTCAACAGCTATGAATATATAAGATAATGAAGATACGAAGAAAACAGATTCTACTACTACATAGATCAAAATTGTTGCCACTCAAGTTTACAATATTTGGATATCACAAATTGTATGGAATAATGAAAGCAAGAAGCAAAATTGGGAGCATGTATTTATCACAAAAATAAATAAATAACATATTGTATCACTATTTTTTACTAGTGAAGTGAATACCGGCCTGGTTGAAAACTGATAATAAGTGAATGAACTCATTTTGTGTGAGCTTGGAAGATCTTTTGTCTGCGTAATCATACCGCTTTAACACATCTATCACCTTAGCTTTAAAATTAGGATCATTTGCTTGCATATCATTATCAGAGTCTGCATCCGAACCTTTAACATCCATTTCATCTTCATCAGCTTTACCATCATCCACTTCCATAGTTTCATCCTCGTCTACCTGATCATCTTTCTCATCGGCTAAAACAGACATATCAATTGCCTCTGAGTCATTTGTCAATTGTCCTAAAGACTCTATGGTCCTGTAGTTCTTCTCTAGCATTTCAAGAACCTTTTTTTGACCAAAAATTGATCCAAGCGTTTTGTTCTTTCGACTGAAACATAGAGAGAGTAGCCCATTCCACTCTTTAAGTTTGCCAGCTGGTATAGGAAGAGGCTTTCTTGGTTCAATACGAACGACTGAGGAGTCGACCTTAGGTGGGGGTCTGAAATTATTCTTCCCAACTTTGAGGAGATGGAAGACCCGAGCAAGGAGCTGAGTGTTCACTGAGAGACGGCAATAGAGCTTGTCACCTGGTTGAGCAACAAGCCTCATCGCAAATTCTCTTTGGAACATAATAATTGCACATCTGAAGTTTTGCCTTTGATTGATGTCCAACAACTTGAACACAAGTGGGGAAGAGATCTGGTAAGGGATGTTAGCGACGCAGATATCAAAAAAAGGAAGCTCACACTTGAGAACATCTCCTTGGATAACCTGTTGACGAATTGAAAAATGTCAGTACTCAGGAGGACATAACAGATCAAGATGCTGTACAAAATGAATGATCCATTAATTTGTCAAGCCACAAAATCAAGCAGAGGTTACAGTCTGATATGTAATCCGAACTTGTCTAGTTAAATGTTAACAGTCCTATCTACATCAGAAAGTAAACATCTAACAATTCAAAATTCAACAATCAACAAAAAGAGTTCATGATGCTACAAATTGAGATGAAAACAATAGATATGCCAGTCAACTGTTTTGTTCCAAGGAAACCTCGGTGCATGGTTTAGCACACTGATCATTATCATACACATCAATGGGAATTTTCTATATTATACAGTGGAGCACCAAAATAAACAAACTTATAAAAAATCAGGAGCTATAAACCCTACAAAGTCTCTTTCTGAAGGTCCAATTCATTCCTCTTTTGTTCTTGTACCCAATATTGCCTAAAACTAAAGGAAGCCAGCAAGTATAATAACAAAAGTTTGATTATACCACACCCAATTTAGATGCATCTACAATCATAATAGCAAAATAATACATACTGGGTAATACTTCCTCCCATTAAACATTAAAAGTCTCACAAAATTCAGAATCCAAAAACTCAAAACAACAACGAACAGGCCCTAATTCCCAACATTGAGTTCAAATCAGCATCACAGAGCTCAAATTGCCCTATTTTCTTCAACAAGTTTCATTCTTGCAACTCAGCAAAAGCCCAATTCAACAAATAACCAAAAAGATTCAATTTTTCTCCTTTGAAAATTTATAATTTCTAACCATTAAATATATAGGAAATTCAAGCTCCACAAAATCCCATCAACTAAACAAAAAAAGATCAAATCTTTTAACAAAAAAAAAAGGGTGGGAAAAAGAACCTCTAAACGAGTGGACAAAGGGGTGCCTTGAAAACGGCGTTTAAGCTCAAGAACCATACGAGGATCCAACTCAACAGCAACAACTTTCTTGCCAGCTTCTAGAAGCTTCTTAGTAAGATTACCAGTACCTGGACCAATTTCCAGAATAACATCTGTAGGTTTAATACCAGCTTTCTGAACAATTGATTCAACCAACATTGGATTTTTCAAAATGTGTTGTCCTTTTGATTTGTGAAAGGGTATTCCTCCTTGAAAATGGTTGCTCCCCTTTTGCTTCTCTTTTCTGATTTTTCCGCCCGCCATTTTTGTGCTGTGATGAACCTTCACAAGTTTTCAGTTTTTAGAGAGTGAAAGGAAGGTTTGGTTGCAGTATGTTAGGGTTTTGAATCAAGGATGACGTTAATACGTTACGGAGTAATTTATATTGTTTGGGTGCCCCTTCCCTTAAGGCCTTAATAGTGCCACTAAAATGATTCAATTCGAGTTGAGTCGTGTTTTAGTCTGTTCGAGCTGAGTTTAATACTCTTAAGAATTACTCATGTTCGAACTATGTCAAGGTTGAACGAGTTTTTATAAATCTTACTCAGACTTGGTTCGTTTAAATTTTGGCTTATTCGAGTTTTGTTCACAAACACAATTATTTGCATTTCGAGTATAAGTATGAGCTTGAATGAGTTTAAATCGGGCTTGATTCAGTAAACATGTCCTCATTTATAATAAAAAAATAATTTCTTTCAAGTTTTAACGCATCCATTTAATTTTGTATAAGACGCTTTCATTTTTTTTTAAATAGAAAAAAAGGTAATGACCGAGTTTCACGCCTTTATATGATGAAACTATTAGTACTTTTTATAAATTGTATGAGTAAAAGATATACGAAGTATAAATTGTAATGAGTTTTATTTGGACGTGAAAAACCTAAATGAACTATTCATGAACATTATGGAGTTGAAAATGATGTTGTTCGAGCTATCTTCAATTATTTGATTTGAAGAGTTTATAACTTTTGTTCAAGCATTATTAAGACCTTGTTTTTGAAGTTTGAACTGTTCAAAAGCTTAAAAAGAACAGGGTCTAAAAGAATGCAAAGGGATACTATCCAAAAAAAGGAGAAAATAAAAAAACAAAACAGCAAAGAAGAAGTATGTAATTAATCATTCTTAATAAACAACAAAGTGGCTGTAGTTTAGTGGTTAGAATTCCACGTTGTGGCCGTGGAGACCTGGGCTCGAATCCCAGCAGCCACACTTTTTTATTTCTTTTTCCCGCAAAACTCCCTTCAATTCCCTTAACTTGCCACGTCATCAACCCGCGCTTTTCTTCACCCATTTTCCCGCCAAAATTCCCCTATCTCTCTCCCTTTACCCTCTTTCTCTCTCCTGGCCGCCATTTCTGCAACTCTCCACTTTCTCTCTCTAGAATCACACTTTCTCTCTCTTCTCCAACTGCAAGAATGAACAACGACGTCGACTATGAACAAGATCGAGGTATTTCTATGTCCTTCTTCTTCTTCGACGATTTTCACTCTTCTCTTTTTTCTCTCTCTTTGTTTAATTGCTTTTGGTTTTGTTTAACAGGTCTTGCTCGAGATTTTCTCGTCAACTTCGCTGACATTCATGGTGAAGCCAAGTATATGAATATTCTTGTAAGTTTTAACTTCTTATCTTCGTTTTCTTCATTTTAGGGTTTATGCTTTACTTCGGAAATTTGCAGTTGTTAGGGTTTATGCTGAGTTCGGAATTGTGCAATTGTTAGGTTTTTTATGTTAATTTGAAGAATACATTGTTCGTTTTGGGTACAGAAATGTATAATTGTTAGGTTTTTGATATTAATTTGAACGATAACTTGCTTATTTTGAGTTTGGAAATGTGTAATTGTCAGGTTCTATATGTTATTTTAAGAATTATTTGTTTACTAAGTTCGGAAATATGTAATTGTTAGGTTTTTTATGTTGATTGAAAAGAAGATTGATTTTTTAATTTTTTTTATCATGTTGATTTTGATTCTAGCAAGACGTGGCGAATCGGAAGAGTCGAGCAATACAAATAGATCTGGAAGATTTATATAATGTAAGTTGTATTTTTTCAAATTTTGATGCAATTAGTGTTTCATATTGATGTTTTTAGGTTCTAAGTATATCCAATTCTGATGTGTGTAGTACAAGGACTCGGATGATGAGTTTGTGAGGAAAGTAACTGAGAATACAAAGAGGTATATTGGAATCTTTGCGGAGGCTATTGATGAGCTTATGCCAGAGCCCACTGAGCCGTTTGTTGATGATGATCATGACATTCTGATGACTCAGAGGGCCGAAGAAGGGACTGAGAATGCTGATGGATCAGATCTTTTTCAGAAAATGCCGGCTGAAATCAAGCGGTTTTAGTAAGGACACTTTTCATTTATTAAATCGTCTATAACCTAATGTAGTGTTAGTTAATTGAGTGAATGCTTGCGTAGTTGTGTGTGCTACTATGAGTGCGTGTTTGTCCATTGCAGCTTATAGTCAGTAAATTTTGAAATGTAGACAGTAATTGTGTAAGAAAATATTTCTAGATAACATGAAAGAAAATTTAAGGGGGTGAGTGTGAACTGTGAAGTGCTGAAAATTATGTAAAGATTGTGACTTTTGTGTGAAGAGTGCTCTACTTATTGTGGTTGGTTTGGAGAATTAATTTTCATTCCAAACTAAGTGTTTCTAAGATAAAGTGGACAATGGAGTTATTTGGTATTGCATTAGTATTAAGATTTATAATCAATTGTGCATTATCATTTCAAATCATCAATAATATATTGAATAAGAAAAGCTATATACTCCATTTGATATTATGAATCCACTTGTCTACTTTTTCTTATTTTGTATCGAGGAATAATGTTAAAATGCAAAGTTTATTTTGCTGAACTCAATGACTTATCCCATTGCACAGGCTTTCAGAAGTTAAGTCCATATCTTTACCTACATTAAACATGCTTAGTTTACTTAGTGATCTGCTTTCCTTTGTAAAGGAAGGTGCCTGAAGGTGGTGCTACCTGATAGCATATGCTGTTTCCTAACGTTTCATTTTGTTTGATATACAGTGAGGTTTACATACACGCATCTTCAAAGGATCGGCCTTTTACAATCCGAGAGGTCAAGGCTTCCTACATAGGACAGCTTGTCAGAATATCAGGGATTGTGACTCGCTGTTCGGATGTTAAGCCTTTGATGCAGGTGGCAGTTTATACTTGCGAGGATTGTGGTTTTGAAATCTATCAGGTAACTTTACCGATGATTTATAATCACATTCTTGTGGACATATATACATTAATGATATGTTGGCAGTAATTTCAATAGTAATCTATACATGCTCCATTGTACTACCCATCTTCAGAAAGTTACTGGCTCTAAAGTTTATATCATTTTGAAGACCTTGGCTTCTAATGCGCTGTTTTTATTTGCTTATTTAACTTTTGTCGTGAACAGGAAGTAACAGCCAGAGTTTTCATGCCCCTATTTGAATGTCCTTCAAATCGTTGCAAAACAAACAACACAAAGGGAAACCTCATCCTTCAGTTGAGAGCATCAAAGTTCCTGAAGTTTCAAGAGGTTACCTGTTAACTTTGTTCATCCCATTATAAGATAGGCAGATGAAACCATATGTTCTTCCTTCTTGAAACTTAAGCATTAGTTGCCTTTTTTTGTGTGTCTATTTCGATGCTTTTTATATTTCTTGACTCACCGAGTTTACCTTTGATACTTCAACTTTCAGGCCAAGATTCAAGAGTTAGCTGAACATGTTCCAAAAGGGCACATCCCAAGGTCCATGACAATCCATCTAAGGGGCGAATTGACTAGAAAGGTTGTGGCTTCTTCTTGCATATGCTTTAATGTGAAAAATATTGATATGTCAAAGCCTTCCAGTAGAAGAAATTCATGGTGTACTCTACAGAGTATACATGTCATTTCAATAGTAGTGACTAGCTTTTTATGTTTCTCTTGTCAAAAATAGGTGTGATGAATATTTTCGTCTTAGTTATGGGTGAGGAGGGTGCAGTTGTCCCTCTTTGGTTTTATATGAGTGGTAGTTTTCCTGTAGTTTGTATTTACTTTTCCTTGGTAATATTTTCAGGTTGCACCTGGTGATGTTGTTGAATTATCAGGAATATTCCTGCCAATCCCTTATACTGGATTTAGAGCTATGCGAGCTGGCTTAGTGGCAGATACATACTTGGAGGCTATGTCCGTCACTCACTTTAAACGAAAATATGAAGAGTAAGATACTTTACTACCCCATCTGAACTCACTGCCATGGTCTACTTATATTCGTTTCAATCTTTCATCTCAGCTTTCCTTACTGAGTTCTAGTTCAGAAGACTCTAAAGTCATTTTGGATATTTATCCTCTTTGACTCTAAAAAATTATTAGTTTTCTTCTTTTTCTTGTTTGTTGCACAAGGGTTTGAAGAGAATAACGTTTATACAAGAAACTCCATGAAAAAGGCCTTTTAATTTCTTTTTTACAGGTATGAGCTGAGGAATGATGAGGAAGAACATATTGCTCGCTTATCTGAGGATGGGGACATCTATAATAAGTTGTCACGATCATTAGCTCCTGAAATTTATGGGCATGAAGATGTTAAGAAAGCCCTACTTCTGCTCCTTGTTGGTGCCCCTCACAGAAAACTAAAAGATGGAATGCAAGTAAGCAGACATAGAGAAAAAACATCTTACTATTTTCTTTTTAATACATTTAAACCCCCTCCCCACTTTGCTCAGACTACTTATACTTTGAAAAGATAAGTTGCTGAGTGAATCATTGGGTGGTTTTGTATTACTATGATAATTGGATACTAAAGATTATTTATTATATTTTGTATTCCTCTCATAAGTGGTGTCTGCTTGAGCTACACTCTTATCCTCTTTCTTTGATACCTTAGCTTTTCTGTTGTCCATTATTTAAGTTATACAGTTGCCTAAAAAATCGTTGGGTAGTAAGGGCAGGTTTTATGGCTGGGGTGGGAGATGGAAAGCACTTGGTTTTTGATAAAGCCATTGTACAACCAGATTGATGATAATTAGTGTTCACAAATCACACATATGAGATTCTATTATTCTTTTACAATTCCTGTTATACGACCTTTAACCTGTAAAGATCACTTTTTGGATTGCAGATAAGGGGAGATGTACATATATGCTTGATGGGTGATCCTGGTGTTGCCAAAAGTCAGCTTCTGAAGCACATAATAAATGTAGCTCCAAGGGGTGTCTATACCACTGGAAGAGGAAGCAGTGGAGTTGGTCTAACTGCTGCTGTGCAGAAAGACCCAGTCACCAATGAAATGGTCCTTGAAGGCGGGGCACTGGTAATAATACTTTTGCAAGAATCAATATACCCATTTGCTTAATAAACAGACTTGTCTTAGATTTATTATAAGCAATTCTAGATAATATGACAAATTTGGCACCTTTCTCTGATGAAGAATTGAAGAGTGGCTTTTAATGCCTTGAGCTATTTATTATTGTGTTGGCGGAGTTCATTGAAGATATCGCTTTTGTTAGGTGATGTAGAATTCATAGGGTTTCCTTAAACTATGCTGATTACTGGCTTCTACCAGGTGCTAGCGGATATGGGTATATGTGCTATTGATGAGTTTGACAAGATGGAAGAATCAGATCGCACAGCAATACATGAAGTAATGGAACAGCAGACAGTAAGCATTGCCAAGGCTGGGATCACAACTTCACTAAATGCAAGGACTGCAGTTCTTGCTGCTGCAAATCCTGCTTGGTAAAATTTCAAATTAGTTTGTGCAACTCACTTTCATTGCCTTGTGGCTTAAAAGGCATTCATTAAGGCATTGTCAAACCACCTCAGTTAAAGCCTTTTCTGAAATGTTTCAGGGGACGGTATGATCTTCGAAGAACACCAGCTGAAAATATTAATCTTCCTCCAGCTCTTTTATCAAGATTTGACCTTTTATGGTTAATCTTAGACAAAGCAGACATGGATACTGATCTTGAATTGGCAAGGCATGTTGTCTATGTTCACCAAAATAAGGAATCTCCTGCTCTTGGATTCACTCCTCTGGAACCATCGGTTCTTAGGTAGGACCTACTTTCTAATCTCTTCCTTGTCAAGCTATTATAAATTATATTTTTTCCGCACAATGGATGTGGTTGGGCTCCAGTTTTCTAAATGCATTTCCTTGTGATTTTTGGAAGATTGATCCCCCTTTCTTTTTTGTTCTGTAATGTCTTGAAACTCAGTCTTGTTGAATGTTTGAGTCATATTACTGTATATGGTTAGAGTGGCTCAAGTTTTCACACTTTAATCTTGATTCTCAGGGCATACATTGCATCTGCCCGAAAAGTGTCTCCTAGTGTACCTAGGGAGCTTGAGGAGTATATTGCCAGTGCATACTCCAGCATACGACAGGAAGAAGCCCGGTCAGACACCCCCCATTCATATACAACTATCAGAACTTTACTCAGCATTCTACGGTTATCTGCTGTAAGTCAACAAACTTATTATTGTCTGAACCTAGGAAGGTGTTAGGCACACCAGTAACGGCAACTAGTTGGAAAGAAGCTAAATACAAAAGATTTAAATTCTTCTTATTGTGATTGCTATAACGTGTGTAGGCACTTGCTAGACTCCGTTTTTCAAGTATTGTGGAACAAAGTGATGTCGATGAAGCACTAAGGTTGATGCAAATGTCAAAATTCTCCCTGTACTCAGACGATCGTCAGAAATCTGGCCTTGATGCCATATCTGACATTTATTCAATCTTAAGAGATGAAGCTGCAAGGACTAACAGATTGGATATCAGCTACGCACATGCTCTTAACTGGATTTCCCGAAAGGTAATTAACTGACCACATTAACCATAATATGATGTTATCCAAATTTGAGAATGATCATCAATCAACTTTATCTGAATGGCGCCTTTTATTATCTCATTCTGGATTTTTTTTGTTCTTTTTAAAATTACCTGTACTTGACAAATATTTTGGTATCTTTTCTGTCACAGGGATATAGTGAAGCCCAGTTAAAAGAATGTTTAGAAGAGTACGCGGCCCTGAATGTGTGGCAGATCCATCCCAACACCTTTGATATTCGATTCATTGATGCCTAAATGTTGCTGGATGTATTTATTATCACTCATGCAGAGACTAGCTTTGGGTGCCCTTCATGATGAGTTGTAATTTTATTACGTAGTAGTATGATAGATTTGTAATTTTGAGGTAGATTTTTCTTGTTTACAGCGAGTTGGCAATTTATTATAATTAGCTGCAAAAGTTTGGGGGTTCAATTAATTCTATTTCTATGAAACAGACTAGCAGAAAGAAGAAAAAATTTGGACCAACAGTTCAAGCAAAGTACTGTAAAAGTGAACTGATGAATTAGTCATAATTCTAATACAGCAGAGTATCAAAAATTGACTTTCTATTATGATATTGAGATTATCTTATCAATTCATCAATCTTTGTACAAAGGCTGCTTCACACTTGAAAAACCCGGTGAAGCTGCAAAAGCTCTAATTTATAACCCTCTGAAATAGCTCTAATGATACATTATGTTACAGGATGTCTGAACATGTTACACGGAATAGACGGAATCAGAAGTAAATTGACAACTTCTTCTCAATATCATCCTGCAAAACATTACACTGATCTAGCAATTGGCTCAGCCTATCAGCTCTCTTTTCATCTTCAAGAACCAAGGGTGTATTATTTTTTCTCGGATAGATATCAGAGTATTCAACAGTGTGAATATCTGAGCAGTGGTTTCTCTCTTCCTCCAGATCAGGCACAGTAATCCCAAAAGTATTCTCACTAGAAGCTATTGCTGCCACTTTTTGAAGAGCCTTGGGGGAAGATCTTATTCTTTTGGAAACAATTGGGCTGCAACTGACCTCGACCATCTCATCCAACGAGGGATGAGTAATGTAGTGAGATTTAGGAACTTCAAGTTCCAACTTGTCAAAAAACAGAGGACTACCGGCTGATAAAGATTCTTCGAGAATGTAAGCTTTACATGAGAAACTCGCTGAACTGTTTATATACCAGTTAAATACTCGTCGGAAAATGAGCACCCAATTTGGGACCACCTTGTATTCTGTGTCATGAAGCTCAAGTCTAGTGTATTTTTGAACCATCAAAAGAGCTTCTTTAGTTGCCATCATTAAATTCAACATATTAACTGATTGTGTGAAGTATCTGATCAAACAGTCTTGAAGAAAATGATTTTGATCTTCAATATCCTTTTCACTACTGCAGCCTCTGCTCAGCCAAGATAAGTCATCAGGAAAAGGTGGCAGCATGCAATTTCTTAATGCAGATATTAACGGCTCTACTTCTTCAGGTGAGCTCCATCCCAAAGTTGGCAAGAACTGCTTCATGGCTTTAAACTCAGCAGTAGCATCATCCAACAATGACAATTCAGGGCAAGGCCACCCAGTTGGATTCATGTTAGCAGCAGTAGTAATATTATTAATCGATTGATCCAAAGCTTGATTAAAGGCTGAGATACACTGGTATGGACCTACTTTATCACCCATAAGGTCGAGCGCATCCAAGCATGAGTTCAGATGAAAGGAAACCACCTCACGTATTGTTACACAAAAAAGACCAAGTTGTGAGTGTGATTCAGAGGCTAACCACATCAGCCCCTCCTTTAACTTTTGATCGCTAAAAAAACCATGAAACTGCCCCTGACCCTCCTCAATTAGGCGAAATACCATAAAATTGCTGACCCGTGACTTATCAAGGTCTTCAAGCCCAAGATTATCAACTATACTGCAGGAAACTTCTGCAAAGTTAGCTTCGCCAGAACCACTTGTAATCAAAAGAGGAATGCAAGCACCAGCAGGTAGTAATGTCACGAGATTGTTAAGCTGAGCCTTTTGAGTGTCCCATGGGAGAGTCTCTGATATGGGAAACAGTATAGCATTAACTCCAACTAAATTTTTCTCGAAAGCACCAGGCTGTGTTTCCTTGACGACAGATAAGCAGCACCTTAAGTCACCAGACTCATCAGAATCCCACTTCCTCCAAACTGACAACCCTGGAGCTGAAATGACCAAATTCTCCACTGATTCCTCTTTTCTGGCAGGAATCAGCTTGTAACGCAACCATTCATCTAGTGACAAATGTGATACAGGACTCCTTGCTTCCATTCCATGTTGCAACCAAGAGAACGAGATTACCTTCCAACATATGCAATTCACATTTTCATTTTTTTCCGCCAGCTTACTCGCCACAAGGTCAGAGACATTCCATCTCACCAAAGACAGCTGGCTCTTTTCGTATCTTTCATTCATAGCTTGATCAATGTTTAACTTCTGGCAAGGTGTAGGCTTCTACACAAAAAAGGGACATTAATAATACAGCAAAAAAAAAAAAAAAAAAAAATCACCTGGAAAAGAAGATGAAAAGTTGAAACTAACATCTTGGTTTTGCCAAATTGGTGGCCCGAGAGAGAGTGAACTTAAAGCAACATTTGCAGCTAATCTGTTCTGTTCACGGATAAATTTCTTCCTAACAGAGCGCCTTCTCCATAGTCTGCACAGAGAAATGGAATGTAAACTGATGCCACAGATATGCATAATTAGACTTTTAGTGTACAAAAGAAAAACCTTAGCAACAGCCTAAGCTTAGCCTCAGCAACTTCTTCGTCGTAGTTTTCAACAATATCAACATCAACTTTCTGCTGCATATCATACAATTCTTCGCTTGGCATTTCTTTCATGGACACATTATCTTGTATTGAGCTCACAACACTAGAATCGGTTTCAGAAACAGGTGTTGGCACTTTTACAACATAAGCAGGCACCACTTCTGGTCGTACTGATTTGGGTTCAGATTGAACCACAACCTCCAGAGAACTTTTTACAGGTTCTATGAAGTTATCCTGCCTTGTCCATACAAAATTGGATGAGTTGGCAACTGGAACAAATGGTTGTACAGGGAAACTCTTTGGAGGTTCCTTAAAGCTCAATTGACCAGCATCGGCAATAAAAGAGCCATGTCTTGGGGATAATGGAGAAGGCTGATTCAGCATGCTATTACTTTGAAAACTTGCAAAAGTGTCAATGTTTTCTTTCGGAGATTTTGCAGAAACCATGTGACGGGGATCCATGAAAGATTGAATATCACGTGATATCATGTTTGTTGATATTTCAAGACTTGGTTGGTCTTGTATGTTACGTATTGGTGATGAAACAGCTTCAATGTCCATCAGTCCATCATCAGAAACAAGAGGAATCCTTGTTTGTAAAGGTTTCACTGCTGCATGGTTATTCTTTCTCTGCTTGTCTGACTGAAGCTCCTTTCTAGGCTCAGATGGCAACAGTGTTACTTGATGTGAAGATAATACATCCTTAACAATGGTATCAGATTTCTTTCTGTGAACAAGTGTTGAACACCGAGTGGGATAATCTTTATCATCATTCAGAAATGGACCTTCCTTCACCATATACGGCTCTTCGAATTCCTTAATTAAGAATCCGTGATACTCCAAGAGGCTCTCAATGTCCTCACCCTGATAAATGCACTAATTAACGTTTCAAAAAAAAAAAAAAAAAAAAAAAAAAAAAAAAAAAAAAAACACCTTCCCTAAAGGCGGGGAAGGGACAAGGAATTACCTCCATGCCAAGCCACTTGGCAACTTGTGCCACAGGGATACCTTGATTATTCTGCAGACCAGAGTGTAGAGAAGCAAGAGCCTGTGTCCTCAACTGTTCAAGAAGACACAGCTGGTCAGAACACAGTACAAATACAAAGTTTTCATAGTTATGCTCTGATTGAAAACTAAATTTGCATTCATCTGCTAATAATACAAATACAGAAATATACAATGAAAGAAAATTTTCACATAAATTTTACATACTAGTCATTGTATCTAACACAACAAGTCTCTAGTCAAATGTTTGAATACACCTTGCTAATACTTTGCCATTCCTTCACTGATAGTAACATGATACAAAATTGTATCCACAGATGAAGGAAGCCTGTACTATTAGTTAACTTATTGTTTTGAATCCTCATAAAATCAAATTTCTGCCACCTCAGCCCCCTTCCATGGAAATGTTATAGTTTTGCAACTTCCCAGATTAAGCCTACATCCTTAAGAATTCTTCATTGCACCAGAATAAAAAGCTATCACCCTCTTTGAGCTAAATACACTTAAGTTAGGTTGCCTTAAATCGTAGCTTGATCGAGTTCATCATAATCTGTGTCCTCCATATACAACAGAGTGCTTACACAAAAGGAGAAGAAGAGAAAGATTCATGCCCTCTTTGGCTATGGCCCAAGCTGGTTTATAATACATAAAGTTTTGACAAGCGATCATGCATTGGTGTCAAGATCAGACAAGAACCATGACAAGTAGGCATACTTGAAAAAACTTGATACAAGCAGCATCAAAAACATACCTTTGAGAAGTGAGCATGCATTAGACATGCTTGAAGATAGCTTGCTTTCCTTGCATGCCGGAAGAAAGCTACAAAATTGGCAGTTCTACAGGATCTGAAATACACAGATCATGCTAGTCATTATATTACTCTAAAAATGAACCAACAAACAAACTTTTCACCAGGAAACAACCTCGCAACATCACGTGCAAATAGAACATCTAGTGTTTGCCTTATCTCAACCGTCATATTAGCAAGATCAAGTGAGAGCTCTGAAGGTTCTACCTACATCAGTTCATCCAGTTAAAGATATAATAATGTAAAGGTAATATTAAAGGAAATGTCAAAAAAAAAAAAAAAAAAAAAAAGTTTTTTTTTTTTATTTTTTTCTGGGGGAGAGGGGGGGTGATTTCAAGCATGGCATGGCTTACTTTGTAACCGGGATGTTTGTCCAGTTTAAGGAGAGCATAATAACCACGAAATTCCTTTTCAGTAGGAATAAAGATTCCTCTCTTCCTGTGATCATCATACATCTGAAATAATTCTACAGATGTTTTGTTCATCTGTTCAATATTGAGGTGAGCATCAAATCCTTCAGAAAAGCCTTCTCCTTTTGAGAATTCGCACAATTCATGCATAGCTAGTATATGAAGCCGGATCTGAAAATTTAGAAATCAAAATTAGACCTTGAAGGTTATCATCTCACTTAAGTTCTCCTACCAATGAAAGAAAGGCCAGCAACAGGTCAGCGCACTGAAGTCAGCATAAAAACACATTGAAGCAAAAGAAAGAATAGAGAACACACAGAAAAACAAATTATGTAGTTTCGAGAAAATGAAAAAGATGCAGCGAGATACCAATATGTGGATTAAAGCCGGACCAAAGAAAATACAATTACAGCACCCAAGAATGCAGCAATTACTCTACTGTTACAATAGCATGCCCTTAGAATAGAATAGCACTGAATTGGAAAAGTAGGAAATCTATGCAGAAACACAATGATCCATATATATATCTCAGTTTCTTTTTACTTGCAACAATTCTCATTTTGCGTTTGACAATGTATTATTTAAGTCAATAATATCTTTAATTATCAATAAGTAAGAAATACAAAAATTTGATATTTTAAAAGATTAAAAGAATCAATTGAGACAAAACTAACAAGATCCCAAATGACTATTTTTCCTTAATTAAAAATCATCAAAGCAAAGTATTTGAGTAGTATAACAGCAATTAAAAGTGAGTAACTGACTAGAGTCTTCCTAACTCCATCAGGAACTCAGTCTAAATCATAATGAATTGCTTTCATTCTAAGTTCACATAAAACCCAAGCATTCCCAGATGTTTTTTCTTTTGACTACAGACCCAATGGATCAGACTCCAGTCCAAAAACACACAGCTCATAAATACACCAACATTAATAGCAAGCACATAGCTCATAAACAGACTGACATCAATGGCACACAATAATCTCCACCCATATAGCATGCTTGAAATCAATTTTGGTGCTAAGACAGGATATGAAACAAACCATTTGCTCCAGCATAGTTATGGCCCTTTCATTAAAGATATGTTGCATTCTCAGGTCCATTCGTATTGCTCTCATCCTATCCCACATGAAATTGTACAAGCGAAGGAATCTATCATCATAAGGTTGATCTAGCAACCCTAGAAGATAATCCATTGTCTTTTCCAATATTGGCAAGGGGCGAATCAACTCTGCTTCCCTTTCAGCAGTTCTATTATACTGCAATACAAAAAAGGAAAACAGACCCATGAAACATTAGCAACTCCTATATCACTTTGTATCCTATTAGCTGGGAGGCATAGATGACATTACCTTCTTAACAGCGAGTGTCTCAGTAGTTTGATTTCTATCCCCGTCCAATCTCTCATATTGATCAAGATCTCCTTTCCGTTCTCGTTCACCCCTCTCTGATTCTGTATATCACAAAAGATTAAAAAAAATATATATACATACTCAATAGAAAAACTTTTTAAGTTACAATTTGAATGCTGATGCTGGTCAATTGAATAAATCCCAATCAAGTAAACTCTTGTTTCCTGGCAGATAGGCCAAATTGCTACAGCATAACAGCTTGACTTCTACATGGCCTAACTTAGGTAAGAGCAGGTCACACTGCATGCCTATGCAGCAAAAGTGGTTGCTGTCTCGAATCAAGATACTTACGAATGGGTACTTGGACAGTTTAAACCCTTCAGAGGTCCAGAACAAACTAGACCCATGGTTTGAGTTCCTTAGAGATGAGCGATGATATTCCTGGTAAATTGCAAAATTTCTCACTTGTATCAATCCCTTGACCGTTGATCACCCAATAAAAACAGATGGATATGGATCCACAATCCACCAGCTTTGCTAGAAATAATCAAACTAATTTCACTCAAAAGTTAAACTGCAGAGTTTGAGGTTTTGGCAATCAAAATTGACAGCATCAGTTCTTTAATCCAAACACAGGATGTGGAGAGGAAGAAAATTTTAATTTCAGCAGTCTTTCCTCAAACAAATTCAAGCCAAGTGTAGAAAGCTGGTTAATGTTGAGAAGTTTATCTATTGATTTAGTCATTAAGACATATACCTGGACACATATCAGTACACAACCCCACAATAGCACTGCTTGATAGCAAGTCTTCATTATCAATATCCTGGTTTTCCAATGATCCTGAAGGTAAGTCTCCCAAAGATTTTTGTTTTTCCACAACAGAACGATCAGTTATTGAAGGAACTTTTCCCTTAGTGACATTTTGACCACGTTGAATTGTGTCACCCCGTTCACTTTCAACTATGTCATGCTCAGTCTTAAAGCGAGCCAATCGCTTTGCCTTGGCTTGTTCTTCTCTGAATCAAAATAACAAAGATTACACTCTAGAAGAGTAATACATATTCAAAGAAATATAGAAGCAATCACTGCTGAAAATATGGAAAAGGTACATAACAGTTGTACCTATCAGTATCATCTTCAGTAGGATTGGAGTTCATTTGAATAATTTGACCAGCAGAAGAGCTAGGTGATCTAGTTCGCTTAGAAACAGAGTGGCTCGCAGGCTTGGTCATATAAGTATCGCCATTCATTCTATCAACAGATGGCGATAGTTGGTGATTATATTGTGAATCGGGTAGTTGACCACTACTCATTCCAATCCTTGACTTAGGAGGAGACAAAGAGGGCCTGAAAAAGATATTAGCACTATTAGAAGTTAGATCAACACTAACAAAAGCACATAAAGGAAGAGGTGACATACTACAGATGATCTGAATTAAGTCGTATGTACTTGTCTCACATTCCTAAAAGGCTAATACTACATGTTAGCCAAAGATCATACTACCTCCGTCCTTAAGAGTTCTTATGCTCCCCTTTTAAGTCCGTTCCTGAAAGTTCTTTACACTTTTGCTTTTTTCTATTTTTGGCAAACACCTTTCCACAGTCTCATACTATTTCTAACTTTTTGTTACACCGCTACGTTTTTACACAATCTCTTACTTTTTCCACTTTTTACTTACAGCCACCCACCTTTTTCACTCTCTCTCACTATCCACCTTCTAACACCCACTCACTACATCAACACACTCTCACCAATTGCGTTAATTTGTGTGCAAACAATAACCGTAAATAGCTTTTGGTAACTGAGGTAGTAAATTACATAATCGGACTTCGATAAACAAAACAAGCTTAAAATGGGAAAAGCAAAAGAAGAGAAAGAAGGAAAATTAACTATAAATTATTAAATTATACTTTATAAGTCAGTAGAAGTTTATAAACACACCATTTCTGAGACAGTTGTGTCCCCAGAGATCAGTCCCTGCAGACTTGAAGATGAAGCAACTTAACATTGAGAAACATGAATATGGAATCCTGACCTAGGAGAACATGACAGCCTTATTGGACATGCCAGCTGAAGAAATATATTTTAAGACATTATTCCAATATTAACTTCAGGGATAAGGAAAATTTAATAATCTCATCATCATACAGAAATTAGAGCTTTATAAACTGCATTGTCTTATGAATGTCCAAAAATTATTTCAGGGCAAAAGTAAAAATAAATAAATAAATAAATAAAAAATCAGTAATCTTATTCAGCTTGTCCTGTACAGAAATTGTGAATCAAAACCCTACAAGTGTCTAGTTATATGCATAGCTAAATCCAAAAACAATACTGCAAGTTTGTTGTGTACCAAAAACGCCACCAAAAGTCACAACATTTATTCGGTATCAAGGGCTCCTTAATAAATACACTAAAACCTAACAATGTTTGATTAATCCTTGACAAGTTATTAACTAATCAGGCAGACAGGAACTTAAAAAAAAAAAAAAAAAAAAAAAAAAAAAAAAAAAAAAAAAAAAATCACTGTTACTACAACTTAACATTTCCGTCTTTTGCTTAATGGCATTTCAAGGAAACCCCCTATCTAGCCTGCTTTTGTGCTAAGAACTATGTTTAGCGAGCTAATGTGAGCAGATATGAATGACATGTCAAACCACAGCCCAAGAATTCATCCTCACCACCCCCCCCCCCCAACAATTATAGCCCCTTCCCATGTTGCAAAAAGAAATGCTGGCCCCTAGGCAAGATAAATAAGCCCCTCCCCATTTTGTAACACCCAAAGCCATTTCCAGAAAAAGTAAACAATAGTTCATTATACAATGAACAGCAAACGGAGATCATGTTAGATGATATTTTCAAGACGGTAAATAAGTTGGAGGTCAATAATTGAGATTCTTTGACTTAAGGAACATCATCAAAATAGTCCTCACTAAACGTAATTTCTCAGCAATTATAAGAAAGACCATCACGATACCATCCAATTACTCATGACTCTCAACAAATTGGACGGCTCAGCCAAAAACAGGAATCCAAGCAAACAAGGAATGCTTTTAGTTAGAAATGCAACCCCTGAGGTTGACTACACAGATAAACAAAGCTTTCAAGGCAAGCACAGTTAATATTATGTTCCAAGAGTTGACACTACTAATTAATCCGTGAACTTTGACACAATTGTAGTTCAAAGTTTCAAAAAGAAAGAAAGTGAGAGAAAGAAAAAAGGAAAAAAAAAAGGGGGGGGGGGGGGAGAAGAATCACCAAATGGGGCACAGTCCAGGAAAATCCAGATAATCTACAGAAGGTTTCCTCTCAAGAAAAGTTTATCATCTATAACATTATAATGCATGCAGCCAGAATTACCTTCAGAATCTACAGAATTAAGTATTTGGTTGGACTCAGAATATATGACGTATCCAATCCTGGCATGAATATATGTTGTGATTTGAGCCCAAAACTGACAAACCCATCACAGCAGTTCTGTATCTTTTTTTTTTGGTGTGGGTGGGTGGGGGGGGGGGAACGGACAATGAGGACATCATTACACATGTAATAATCACATAGTTTGTTCAATCTCAGACCAAAATGAAAAGAAAGTGGACAATGAAAATAGTTTACTCCACCTTCTAGAAACTTCTCGGTGAACATAAGAATTCCTCTGAAAATCATCCTCAGGAGACAGTTCTTTTGAACTCCAAGTATTAACATTTTTTGTAGGGGAAATGCTTCTTTCATTTTGTGAGCTAGTGGTGCGGCCAACAGGTCTTCCAGGGACACCCCAAGTTTGAGAAGATGTAACAGGTCTATCAAAAAGATAAAAACCATCCGTGTGAATCATAATTTAGTAATAATAACCAAGAAATTAATGTTAAACTGGCAAGGCCCAGAAAATATATAGCAGCTACCTAGATTGTAATAAGTTCACAAAAAAAAAAAAAAGTACTTCATATTATCCCTTCTTTGATATCAAGCAATGGAGCATTGACTGACCTTTGAGAATTACTCCAAGAAGGTTGGGGATGGATTATTGAAGGACTTGCAGCAATAGTTGAAGAAGGTGACTGCCTTCTCTGTGTAGTTACACGGTCATGATAATCAGAGGAAACATCTGCATTGCTAAATCATGTGGAACAATTGAAATTAGGAAATACATTCAAGATGAAATCTACCATAAAACAGATTTTAAACAAGAGGATAATTTAGAGAGTTCAAAAGGTCCCTTAACAATTTTTCAAAACAGGTAATAGCTCAAAGTTCAACATTCTAACGTTGGAAAACAATAAGAAAAATTGTTGAGCGTACAGAAAACAGAAACAAATACTTATGACTTGAAAGTTGTAATCTCTACCTACTTCTCAGTAAATCAACTAAAACCCAAGTGAAATCTGAAGACATACTGAGGTATATAACTGTAGGCAAGACGGATCAAAGACAAAATTCAATAGTCCAGCATGACAAGTCCATGAACCTAAAAGGTTACCTAACTTGCCTTTATTGTAAAGAACATCGCCAACAATGTAATAACTTTAAAATGAAATACATAAAAAAAATAGTCCAAGTACCGGTGGCTTAATTTGAAGGATTTTGATAAGATTATAGAGTGACATATGCATAAACTCCTCCTCAAATTCAACTAGGGGATGCACAAAATATATAGAGAATGCTAGACATGGTTTCTGCACTTTTGACATCTACTCGTCATATGAGAAGAAATTTCACACACACACACAGGAGAGGGTATTTTGACTTGTAAAAGATAACCATTGCACCTTCTCATCCGATACACGAGTAACTGTAAATTGTACATGCATCTTCATATAGCACCCACAAACGCAATCGATCTAGCAATTACAAGTCGCCCAGCAGGGTGGATAAGACGTTTACTTGCTAAGTGCGCCTCATATTATCATGAAATTACACAAAATTAACCTTAAATATATTGCACTCATTACAGAGGGGAGGAAAAAAACCTGATGAAGGAAGGAACAAGTCAAGCTTACCGTTCCATGATATTGCTAGCAGGATCTTGCAGAAAATCATCATCATATCGAATAGGAGGTGTTCTGGACCTTTCCGGATTTTGAAAGTGTGGAAACTTAGAAGACGTGGTTGTTCCAAGATCTTGCGGAGTAGATGGAAAAGGTCTCTTATTACTTTGGTTACCAAAATCTCCAGCTAATGGGATTTGCTTATCACCCCTATGCAACAAAGGAGCTCTAAACAAAGGAAAAGGAAAACACAACATCTCCTATTTAACGGTATTTCAAATTGATAGTAAAAATAAAAAGTAAGAAAGCACTAAATTAAGGAAATAAAACCTAGTCATGAAGACTCTCCAAAAAAACAGTATGCACATTGCAGTCACTTGAAATAATGAAACTCAAATATAGATTTGATAATATTACTATCAATCAGCGTAATGCTTTCATCCATAGCTAACTTACTTCGAAAATCAACGGGATATAATAATCACCTAGTCATGAAGACTCTCCAAAAAGACAGTATGCACATCGCACAATCACTTGAAATTATGAAACTCAAATATAGAGTTGATAATGTTACTACCAGTCAGCATAATGCTATCATCCATAGCTAACTTACTTCGAAAATCAACGGGATATGATAATTCAGTATCACCAATTCGCTATTCCCCGCCCCTACTATTTTAGGCTAGTGTAACAAAACTATGAAGTGAACTGTGTTCCCATACCATGATTGATCAAGTCCTAAAAGCTAACAATGCTTTGAATACAAGTGATGTAATCTAGAATCATTATATAAAATAAAATGAAAACAACATGATTATGATCTTACCTAGCTGGTGCAGCATATGGTTGAGACGGACTTGTTACTAGACGAGCATTATGGCCATTATCGATAAGAGAAGGTGGTCGTGTTCTAGTATGAGCATCAAACGTCCTACAATCAAATTAAAAAAAAATGACAAAGGCAGTATGAGAAACAACAATTAACTTAAACAGTTCAAATTCCTCAACAATGACTAGATATGAGAGATATACCGGGGGCTCGGGAATCGTGGACCGGGACCGGCAGAGAAACCGGTGTCCGGAAAGGGAGGAGGAGACGAAGTCGGCGACTGAGGACGAGAGAAGGACCCGAAAGAGGTTGGCCCACTTGGTGGAGCAATCGGCCCTGAATTCTTCCCGAATCCAAACGACATTGCTCAATCAATCTCCACCCCTTTCTCTCTCCTCTCAAACAACCAAACTAATCACTAATTTCAGTAATAGTGACCTAAAATTCAAATTTTTCTTCAATTTCAATGGCAACCAGATCATTTATATAACTATAACTTCAAAAAATCAATGATAATGTAAATCAAAACTCGAAATTTCCCAAATTTATAACATAAATTAGCAAGGAAATAACCTAGTGGAATTGTTATTGAGCTTACAACAGACGATGATGAGATTCACTGTAGTGTTATTGCGATTGAATTCTCGAAATTGTACGAAATAGGGAGGAATTTGAAAGCTGAATAATTAGGGATTAATGGCGGGAGAATAAATTTGTGGAAAAATTAGGGTTTGAAAGTCGGTCGATTGATGTAAAATTGATTGAACGGAGGATTTTAAATAATAAGGGGCGGTTTAGAGAAGACGCTAATTAGAGTCACAGAAGAGAGGATCTGAGTTTGAAGTTCCTTTCTGAAATTGTGATATTCTCTATAAAGTAATAATCTAGTAATACGGGCCAAGTCGGTCCACCCACGACCCATGGTTAGTTTACCTTCTATCGATGCTCGGGTAATATAATTTGATTAAACTTTGACCATGAAATGTAAACGCTAAAACTATATCTATGTCATAATCTTGTGTCAAAAAAAAAAAAAAAAAAATAAAAAATATTAAAAATGTCATAATCTAGTATTACGGGCCAACTCGACCCACTCACGAGATCACGACGCATGATTAAGTTTACCCTGTACGAGTGTTTGCTTATCTGATAAAAAAAGTCTTTAGTCATTTACCTCATCGTTTTATTAGATAACTAGTGTGTGGTTCGGGCGATGCCCCAAGTTGCTAGTTTGTAATTAACATTCGATTAATTTTTGCTTAATATATTGAAAATCATCTTCAAAATTTAATATTTAGAAAAAAAGATTTGTCTTAGAAGAACCATATTTAATATTTGTAACAAAATTTAATACAAGTTGTTAAATTATCCTGTGATATGTAACGAATAGTACAATTAAGGACTAATCATCTTATCTAAGTTAATTATAATTTTGTTGGATAAGTTTACACAATACATGTATAGCTAGGGCGGTAAGACTTGCATAGTAATACTTGTTGGTCTCAAGTTCAAGTTTTGCTATAGACATTTTTTAGATGTCAAATCTAACTTGTGGAGGTGGCGTGGCATATATTGATGACTTGGCATGTTTATAGAGCTTAAAAGGGTGACACATGACACATATTCTCTTTTAGGAACGCTTTTTAATATAGAAGTATAGATATAGATGTATCAATAGGTAAAAAGAATCAATGAATAACGTAATTCTAAAACGGACACCAAGAATGATACGTGTCAATTCTTGGTGTAGTTTTTTTTTCCTTCCAAAAACACCCCTTTTCCTTTTTTGCTAAAATCTTCTTTAAAAATCTTAGTACAATTTAATTATTATAATATTATTCCAAATCTTTTATAAGTATATGTATCTTATACGAAGTATATATTTTCCTTTATAGCTAAAAAATAAAATAAAAAAAAATATAAAAAAAACCTTTATAGCTATCATCATTTCTCATATCTTTTAATAATAGGACAATATAATTAATTTGTTGTTGTTGTTGTTGGAATTTTGGTTTTTTTACACTTTAATAATCATGTAAGAAAAGTTGAATAAATAAAATGTAATTCTTTTTTATTTGTATCTCCAATACTTTTATATATTAGAAAAAAAAAATTGACCAAATGTCATTATGGAGGTTATTATTCCTATAGGTGTTTGTAATACATAATTATAAATACTCATTGGTTAATAAAAAGAAAATTGACACAAATTTATCATTGAATTTTTAGGTTGTCTAACATGTAGTTTTAATGTACTCATTTGTCTAATTTATTTTTTTTGTTTTATTTCATGTTTTGTTTAAATTAATTGATAATAAATATGTTATAGGTGTATTTTATCTGTGTTATTTTGAATACAATTTTTTTTATTGGTAAAATGTAGTCGAATTACCTTGCATGGCACATGACCTTATCTAGTACATTCTTAATGAACTAATGTGATGATTCTACATGAAAAGAAATAAAATTAATTAAGAACTCATAATTATTATTTTTTTTAATAGAAAAAATATTTCATTAATTAAAAGTCATACGACATCTACAATAGAGATTTGACGTTGACAAATACATAAGATATTGAATCAAATAAAATTTCCCTTCATAAAAACTACGATCGTCGAGTATATCTTGCACTGTGGAGCATCTCCCGCTTATATCGCTGAAAATTACAGCCTTGTTGGAGAGACAATCTAACGATCCTTTGTAGCCGTGAGGATGTTTTCCTTTTGATTCATCTGTTCGTATTCGAAAACTTGATAACTCTTTCACCAATGCTACCATGGATTCAAAAGAAATTTCTCTGTCAAAAAAAGGAGATGAACCTTGTCTTTCGAAGGAGGTCGAAAAAACCTTGTCTTTCGAAGGAGATCGGAAACCCTTTCTTTCGAGGGAGAAAAGTTCCTCCCAAAAGGAGGAAGCATTATTATAAACCTAAAAAAAACAATAAAGAAACAAGGATTGAGGCTTTCCATCGATTTTGAAGCCCCTTCAAAATTCAACAATGGAGGCTAGGGTTTTGGGGAGAGAAAAGAGGAAAAAGGAGGAGAGGCGAAAAAAAAGATAAGAGAATAATTAAGAACTCATATAACACAATAAAATTAGGGAAAATGCTATATATAGCCCTTAGGGCTACATATAAGCATTAAATTTACACTTTAAAATTGTAAATAGTTAAGAAATCATGAAAATATAAACACTAATTACACTGATTTACGCGTGTTTTTGTCATGAATTCCTAATTTTATACAATTTCCAAGAATAGATTTAATGCATAACCCTAAAATAAAATATAAACACTAATTACACTGATTTACGCGTGTTTTTGTCATGAATTCCTAATTTTATACAATTTCCAAGAATAGATTTAATGCATAACCCTAAAATTAGAGGGAATTCATGTGATAAAAAGAGAAATAAAAAGGATATCATATACTAACTAGTTTTTAGCTAGGCTTAGGCGATATATCTTCAGTTATTTGTATATCATGTTAAGAAGATAACATCAATTATTGAATGATTTAGTGGTTAAAATTTTAATGTATAAACTTGTAGTCACGATTACAGAAGCGTTGTGATAGATATATGTTTTTTCTTCATAAAAATGTTGTAATAAAAATTAAGGTGTTACTATTTGTCCAAAAAACAAAAAAAAAAAAAATACATTTGAAGTTATTACCAACTACCAAAGAAGATTAAATCTAAAATTCTTAATCTATATACAATCATTTAAAAATTAAGTGATAAAGTGCTTTCATTCAACGGTGCAAAAACGCAACTCGAATCAATCAAGTTTTTACAAATATTCGACATATTGCATTTGCTTACGACGGAGTACCACATAAGAAATGCAAATTATTGGCATTGTAAATTAGCATGATGGTAAGATTTCAATGTCTATTTAAGGATTATGAATTATTGACTCCTATAAATCTACTCTTATAGTACAATTTATAAAATTTATTTCATTACAAACATGATCCGCTCATAAATTAATGTTAGTTTACGTGTACTGAGTATGGAAGACATAAAAACAATATAATTTTTTTTGAAACAATATAAATCTTTTATGGCTTGATTTTTTATATATTTTTTTTATTTTTTTAGACATTTAGTACTATACAGTGTATACACTACGTAATTTGTAAATTTCTGCTTTTTTTATGGCAAGTTTGCAACAATTTGGGGTTGTGCAAGACGGGAAGTTTTAAAATCGAAATGAATATACCGTTCATACAATTTATCAAGAAATGATAAATCGTAAAATCTTATTGAATTTGAGATCATATTGGATCAAGATTTTATTCTTAGGGAAATTTTGATCATTTTAAATACCTAAATCGTATTGGATGTGAGATCATTTTGGATTGAGATTACTCATATGGAAACTTTGATCATTTTTAATTCCTAGTATGTTACAAAGATAATTATTGGTCATGTAAATAAATCATGTTTCAATGAAAATAATTCATTTGCAAATCAAGATTATTATTTTTATTTCATTTCACCATCGTAATTAGCCCCAAATCCCAGATTTCGACAAAAATCGTTGTTTACTGTTCTCCCTCTTCCTACAACACAATCCAAAAATTGCAATGCCCTGAAATTCGTACCACCATCACCTGAACTTAAAATACCCTTCATTTTCTCTCTCCTAAACCCCCGTTTTCCGGAAACCCTTCTTTTTCTTCACACCCAAATTTGCCTTTGTTCTGGGTTTTCTACAACGATTCTGGTGAATTAGGTAATTACCCATTTGATAATTTTTGCATTTTCAATTTGGTTTTGTTGTAAATCGTTCAATTTTTTTTGTGGGTAGTTTGAATTTCTGTTTCATTGAGTTTTTAACCAAAGTATTGAATTGATTAGGGTTTGTTCTAGTGATTATTTGAACGAAATTTATGTGGGATTTTTTGCTAACTTGGGATTAATTAGAGGGTTAAAGTATGAAACTTTCAAATTTTGAGAGAAAGCTAAAGTTGTAAAGTTTAATTTGAGCTAGTTGATAATAGTTAAAGCATTAAATTTATTTACAAGAGACCTTCAATATCATTTCAATCTGAAAGGTGTTTGATACTCATAGTTGTGACTGGAGTTTACTTTCTGATTGCTTCAGGTGGTTTTTGTTGGTCATGTAATCATGGATGTTAGAAACTATACATCCACTGATTATATGTCTTCTGTTCATTTAAAAACGTCGAATATTTCGAAGAAGGTGGCAGATAATCGTCACCTTGAAGGGCGGGAGAGAGTTACTGGCCCTGTTGTTGTTGATAGAGTGCCAGAAAGCTCTCTCTCTGAAGGGCGAGGACGAGTCAATGGTCATGCTGTTGCAGGTGATGTTGATATTGATCTTAGGGAAATATACTTTTTGGTCATGCAATTTCTATCAACTGGACCATGCCAGAAAACTTTTGCACAGTTGTCGAACGAACTTATGGAGCATCAGCTCTTACCCAGAAGGTATCATGCTTGGTATTCAAGATCTGGGATTCAAAGTGGGGAAGAGAATGATGATGGTGTCTCAGTTCCTTTGACGTTTGAGAAACTTCTGCATAGGTATGCAAGTAATAGTTCAATGTTGCTTTGTTTTTGCCCTGCTATATGTTTTACGAGGGTTTCACATGGAAACTGTTTAAATGGACTCATCAATATAATGCATAGTGAATCTAGTATTAGTTTTTTTGTAAGTATTATTATATCAACATTGGTTATATTTGTTATTACTATTACCATTATCGGTGGTAATTTTTATTTTATATAGGTACGTGAGTTATAGTTCAATATTGCTTTGCGTTTAGCCTGCTATATATTTTTAGAAAGGGTTTCACATGGAAACTGATTAAATACAATCATCAATATAATGCTCAGTCAATTTAGTATTAATTTTATTTTAAGTATTATAATATCAACATTAGTTATCTTCGTTATTTCTATTACCACTTTTGTTCTTGTTTTTACTTTATATAGGTACATGAGTAATAGTTCAATATTGCTTTGCGTTTAGCCTGCTATATGTTTTACAAGGGTTTCACATGGAATCTGGTTAAATACGCTTTATCAATATAACACGTAGTGAATCTAGTACTTCCTCTATTCTCTTTTAAATGCAACACTTCTCATTGCACGTTTGCCAATGAGTTCTTTCAATCATTAGTATCTTTTATTACTAATATGGAAAAAAATGATATTAATAAAGTATAAACCGCGATGAATCTAATAAGATCCCACATGACAATATTTTTCCTTACTAAAAATTTTAAAAACTAGTCAAAGACTCAAAGTGGAGTATATGAATAGTGTAAAAGTCAAAGTGTTGCATTCTAACGAAAACTGAGGAAGTATTAATTTTATTGTAAGTATTATAATACCAACATTCGTTATCTTCATTTTTGAATCCGGAGATCAAGAGCGTATTTTTGATGAGGCCAGAAACATTACCAATTGAAGCCATGTTTCATTGAAGTTAGGATGGAATGTCCATCTGTGGTGAAATTATAATATATTTAACACTACATAAGTTTCATATGTTCTTAACATCGTCCGATTTTATATGTTCCATAATAATCTTAGCATACTCCGTATCTACTTTACTCCATTTTGGCAAACCCTTTTACCACCAATAACTACACCTTTCCACTTTTACTTAATCACCATTTTTCTTACACCCACCCATCTATTTACATTCTCTTACTGTATCCATCTTTCTCTACACCCACTCACCTAACTTTACTATCTCTCTCTCCTGCCTTAATTTTTTGTTCAAACAGTAAATGTTAAAAACATTATGAAACCGAGGTAGTATGTATGGAGGCTCAGGCTGGAAATGAGTGTAATGGTAAATGATGAGCTGCAGCAAAAATGGTTATCTTTAAGATCACTGGTTTTGTCGAATGTTTCAGTTTTTGGTTGAAAAGTTATTCATGTTTTCTCTCTGGATAAGAGGTTATATTATAATGTAAGGTTATTGAAATTTACATGTGAATTTTACTGATATAGTAGACAATATATTATCTTTTTAAATAATTTTTTAACTGTATATCTTGTTATTTAGAGGTTACTGATTTCTATAGATTGCGGCTTGAGGTCTGAGTGTTTTTCCACCCTTTCCTGTGAACAGGTATTCCCACATTGCAAAAGACCATTTTGTTAGGCTTTTGAAACAGCTGATGCTTTGTTCCCCTTCTCCATCTCTTGGCATGGGCCATGGTCCAAATGCTGCTGATGTTCCTACTTTGTTGGGAACTGGTTCCTTTTCTCTTCTGAACTGTATGGTCACTAAACTGCTTTGCTGTATTTTTTTTAGATTTCTTTTTCATAATAGTTTGTCTGATTTTGTTGCGAGAATTTGTGGCTGTGTGGAACTGAAATTCTATTCCCACCTTATGTCTTAATTCTTATGCATCAGCTCATCTTACAATTTTTGTAGAAGACTATCATGTCTTAGAAACTTATAATCCTTAATACAGTAGTTGGTTAACATTGGAAATTTGTGTTTGTGTCATTATGCAATCATGTCCAAGGCTCAAATTTTGTTTCTTATCCACTTGAAAACAGAGAAAATTTCAGACCTGATTTTGTTCTCCAGGGAATGCCTTTTTTTTTTTTTGTTCATGCCTTGAAAATTATATACTGCTATTATAAGATATTGCTGTCATATCTGACATCCTAAACATTTCATTAGCTCTTTTACTGGAACCATAATTGTTAGTTTTGAGGTGAACTGTTCTTCACAAGAAACAACTTATTGCACCGAAGGCATGTTAATTTTTGGCTCATATTATTGTGTAAAACGTTTATGTTCAATGCTTGACCGATAAGTTTATGGTGATGGTCTCTGCTCTCAGTTGATAGAAATTCAGTGGATAAACAAGTCAAGCTTCTGCCGCGTTACTTGTGCTGGCCTCATATGCAGGTTGATCAAGTACATGGATTGCATTTGAGGGCCATCGGTGGGGGCTTTACCCGACACCATCGTGCTCCATCGATACATGCTGCTAGTTATGCCATTGCGAAGCCATCAACTATGGTGCAAAAGATGCAGAATATAAAGAGGCTTAGAGGACACCGGAATGCTGTCTATTGTGGTAACTTTCTCATCATGTTTGAGTTTGTGCTCACAGCTTGCATATATGTGGATATGATTGGAAATGCGTGTGCTTGTAAAGTTGTGATGTCTCATGACAACAGTGAAGAAGATAATGATTCACATGATTCTGTTTGTATGATTTGAGTGGGCAATATCTAGTTTTGTACGCTAAAGCTATACTTTATACTGTATGTATGTGAGTTTATTATTCCTTCCTCTGAATCCACCTCGGCAGAAGTGACCTGTTATTCTATTGTAATTGATCTTTCATAGTTTCATTATCTCTCTCAAACATTCGTATTTTTAGCTGTTGCATATTCACTGTTTATCTATTTGGCTTCATCCTGCTCCCGTTATGTCACCTTTGTAAATTTTTGGGGCTATATTATGACTGTAACATAACTAATATTGCTGTTTCTGTTTTGTAGCCATATTTGATCGAGCAGGCAGGCATGTAATTACTGGTTCTGATGATCGCCTTGTAAAAATTTGGTCAATGGAAACTGCATTTTGCCTGGCTAGTTGCCGTGGGCATGAGGTGAGTTGACTGCTTTCTGCCTTGCTTGGACCTAAGTAATTTAATTTGAATTGATTATTTATTAGACATGCTTATGATGAATTTAAATGAACTCCTTATTTATGCAAGGGGGATATCACTGACTTAGCTGTTAGCTCAAACAATGCTTTGGTGGCATCAGCTTCAAATGACTTTGTCATCAGAGTGGTGAGTCTCCTACTTCCAGCTTGGTAATCTTGGCCATTACTTTCATTAGTTACTGAGTATTAGTTTTTTTGCAATTCAACAGTGGCGTTTGCCAGATGGGCTCCCAATTTCAATATTGCAAGGCCATACTGGTGCCGTTACTGCAATTGCATTCAGTCCCAGGACCGCATACCAACTTTTGTCGTAAGTTCTATTTCCAGATGAGTTTAATACAGCAGTTTTTTTTTCGAATTCTTTTATCTGGAGTTTTTAGGAGTGGATAATTCTGTAATTTTTTATTTACTTCACTTTAAAGCAGACTCACGTGAGATTGTCTTGCAGATCGTCTGATGATGGAACCTGTAGGATTTGGGATGCAAGGAATTCACAGTTTAAGCCTCGAATCTATGTGCCAAAGCCTGCTGACGCTGGGACTGGTTAGTTTATCATATATATTTCTTGTATTTTACTGTAATTGGAGGTTTGTGATTTTATTGAAATCTGCTCATTTGCAGGTACAGCTCAGCAGAGCCATCAAATTACATGCTGTGCATTTAATGCTAATGGAACCGTCTTTGTGACTGGTAGCTCTGATACTTTTGCAAGGGTAAATTTTTACTATCTATTTATGTTTTAGGTTTGACTATCTGGCATGCAGCACTTATTGATGTGCATTTCCTAACATATCCTTGGTTAAGAACTATACAGCTATTCTTGTCAATTTGTCATATACTTTTAAGGTCCAGTTCATTTGACCTTTTTGAGATACACATCTTAATCTTTAGATAATAAAGATCATTAACTGTTCAATGGTAAATAATCGCTGTTTTTCAATGTTTGAAATAAAAAATTATTCACGTGGAATCAAATTACAAGACTTGCAAGTTGCAACTTGAAGTTTTTGGAGCAGGAGAAAGATTAATGCCATTTAGTGGCTTTGGCAGATTTTGAATCCGCAAGTTGGTGGTGGCTTTGTAACTGCTGGTAGTGAATTTTATTGGTTGAGAAGCTGACTGGAGGGAAAAGAAAGAATTAAATTGTCAGGTGAGAGGAAGGGATGACAGAGATAGAGTCACTGGAGAAATGTGTTGGCAACTGGCAAGCTACTTATGCTCAATATTTTTATGGAGCATTAGAGCTTACAGGCTTCTATCATATTTTGTGATAGTCATGTGTTTGAGAGTCATTCAACTTGTTACTTAGGAAACATACGCGACTTTGACTGGAATTGAGTGAATTGGAGAGGTTAATATGGAGTTATATGCCCGTCCTCCAACTTCCCTGCTTAAAGTTGTCCTCCTGTTACCACTTAACTCTCCTCAACTTCATATATCTAATCATTCTCCTGCTGCATCTTTTTTTTTATTGTTTTAAAAACCTTTGAGCACTCATTCTTATTGCTCCAACTGCTTTCTTAAGAATGGTTTTGGGTTTGAGATCATTTCAACAAATCATCTGAAACGTAGGTTGTGAAGTAGGAAGGGTTGGCTTGAAGGAAAAAGATTGAAGATGAATGTTGGGAAAGAATGAAGTAAAAGAAAGCACAGTAATTGCTTGTTGGGCTTTTAAAAGAAGGAAAAGGGATGGAAGTAAGTTAAAGTCACCTGAAACTGGGATTAGGGTTTGGTTGCTCCCCACAATAATATTAAGTTACTTCACAAATTTTTATTGTAAAAGATACTTTCTTATGCTAAATCTTGTCATCATCCGATCCAAGATAAGAAGTGTGTTAGCTAGCTGGATCCAGTCCAAAATACTGCTAAAAATCATTCCAGATGGCAAATAGTGATATTTCCAGCACTAGAACTTCGTGCATACAAAAGCTGTTCGCAACTTGAGAAAGAACGGATCAAATGTTTTCTGTATAATGTATTTCGTCGGTTCCATCTTATATTCCATTCTTAGAGCTAGTGACTGATATTATATCCTGCATTTTTCTGAATTACGAATGGGCATCTATGTATATATACTAAATTTTCTTGCTGCAGGTTTGGAATGCTCCCAAGTTCAGTCCTGATGATTCATATCAACCATATAATGAAATTGATCTGTTACGAGGACATGAGAATGATGTCAATTATGTGCAATTTAGGTCTGTCTATTACTCTAGAAAAATATATTCACCTTTAAGGAAATTATTTCTGAAGAAATTCTCTTCTTGATTGCAGTGGCTGTGCTATTACTGCAAGATCAGTCACTAGTGATGCTCTTAAGGAGGAACAATCACTAAAATTCAAAAATTTGTGGTGGGTACTTGTGGCTATGATATCTGGTTATGATCCATGTTGGCATGTTCCAGTCCTGTTTTAAATGCTATTGAGCTTGAATCACTGTTCTAGTCGGTGCCCCAAGATCCCAACACCCTACCAAGAGGATTTTCTTGATCTTTTGTTTATTTGTGTTTTCAGGTTCAGTCATGATAACATTGTAACATGTTCTCGTGATGGAAGTGCAATCATTTGGGTGCCAAGGTCGCGTAGCTCACAAGTGAGTTTCCCAATTTTTTAGATTAGCCTTCTCTTTAAATAAGTTTTCTAGAATCTGCCTAGTTCGTGTTTTAGGATGCACTAACAAGTTTGGAGTGGAAGAAGGGTTACATCTGGAAAATTTTGTTCATGGCTTTAAGTTTTTTCTCACTTTCTTTTACGCTTTAGTTTTCTATGCTTTATGATGCCATTTCTCTTCTTTGAGGAGTGGGGGTAAGTTGTGTTTCTTGTTACATGTAAAGAATATCTTTTTGATGATTTGTAGTTTCCACACATGAATTAACTTCAGTCATTAATTGTTTGACTCTCAAAGGGAAAAGTTGGGCGGTGGACTAAGGCGTATCATCTCAAGGTACCCCCTCCACCACTGCCTCCACAACCACCTCGTGGGGGACCACGTCGGAGAATCCTTCCAACTCCTCGTGGAGTAAATATGATTGTCTGGAGTCTCGATAATCGTTTTGTGCTTGCTGCTATTATGGGTAACTTTCTTTTTGTTGTTTTGATTAAATAAGGGTTAAGGCTTCTGAGTGTTATCTTTATTTTTCTGCCTTGATTACATGTTTCTTAGGCAGAATGAATTTTTTCTAATGTCTGGTGTTATTGGAAAACATTTGTGGATTTGTCTGCTTCCACTTCTTTGAATAATAATTGAGGTTACAGTTACAAGTTTTAGCAAACAATTAAGCAATTAAATAACCATTTTTTAGTAATCTATCTTATTTTTGATATCAGTAGACTTCTAATGTTTAAAAAAAGTAATTGAGACTTTTATTGTACTTCCTCTGTTACAGAGAGAAGACATGGAATTTGAGATGAGGAGAGAAATAAAGATAGGGATCCATGTGATAAGTAGAGAGATAGAGAGAGAATGTGCAAGTATTGTATATGTCTAAAATTTACAATTTTTTGTGAAACTTCCTAAAATGGTAATAGTTGTAATATTAGGGGAACGAAGAAAGCAATATTTAATGGTAGAATGGTATATGATAAATTTATATGTCAAATGTAATGAAATTCATTTTATTAAAAAAGTTGCGAAGTATGATGCACAGGCTTGGATTTGGGTGTCGTGTCCGACACGGTGTTGAATCCTTTGACATTTAAGGTTTTATGAAAATTCATACTAGGCCATTATATATCTGGGTGTCGTATTGTGTCAAAGTGTCGAGGATCAGGCACTCGACATACAGCAGGGTGTCAGAGTAACATAGGTTGATAGTTAAATTGCCTGCTTCTTTAAAGGTTATCAATTGCATAAATGAATATGATTGACCGAACCGTTTAGCTTAAAACCCCTACATAGCAGCATCTAATTTGCTCTGACTTTTTTTTTTTTGGTTTGCAGATTGCAGAATATGCGTATGGAATGCTGCAGATGGAAGCTTAGTGCATTGTTTGACCGGTCACACTGAATCTGTGAGTGCTGGTTAACTTATTTTGTGATACTAATTATTTCTGTAACGAGTTTTTTTTGTAAGCATACATAACATATCATTTCATCGCATGCGTAAAAAGTGGAAGCTATGACTTTTGGAGATAAGTAGAATTTTGTGCAACTGTTGTTACTTATCTTTGGAAGGTTGCTTTAAAAGGATGCTGTGAAGCCCAGACTATTTTATAGCTAGAATCATCAACTGTGATACTTCTAGATGCTATATAAGCTATTCTATCCCCCAGTAAATTACTGGTTAACACAGTTCCAGAGATAACACTTGGGTTCCATTCTAATCACAAACCACAGAATCGCTTTGTATGGGAAATATCTAGTTTTCCCTTGTACTGAAGTTGGGTCTGCCGCAAGTGTTTGATATAATTATCTTCTCTCATTCTCAGACATATGTTTTAGATGTGCACCCCTTCAATCCTCGGATAGCTATGAGCGCTGGTTATGATGGAAAAACCATAATTTGGGATGTAAGTCCAACAACCCCCCCCCCCCCCCCAAAAAAAAAAAAAAAAAAAAAAAAAAAAAAAACTAATTTCCTTGCATCTTTTAATTTGCTTAATCAATTTATTTGGTGCTTTGAACTTCAGATATGGGAAGGGACTCCAGTTCGGGTATTTGAAATCGGACGTGGTAAATTGGTTGATGGAAAATTCTCTTCGTAAGTGAAAACTATTATTATTGTTGTTATTATTATTTATTTTATTTTATTTTACAGTTCGTCTTGTGTGCGGCCGGCCACACCGTGTGACCACTTAAAGTAACCCCTATAACATTGATTAAGTAACCTCTGTAACACCAATTAAGTAATCCCTATAACACTGACCGAGTAACTCTATAACAATGATGAAGTAACCCCTTTAACACTATCAAGTAACCCCCATTACACTAGCAAAGTAACCCCTATAGTGGCTGGCCACACGGTGTGGCCAGCCACATATAAGACTTTGTGTTTATCTTATTTTATTTTATTTTTAAATATTTGTCAGAAGAGTTCAATTCCATCTGGTTGTGATAATTCAATGTCACTTGTCCTCTAGTGAACTCATCTTGGATTCATAATTAAAATTAAGTTCATGCTTTTTATCCATCATTTGTAGTGTTTCTTTTTGTTGATATCTACTTGCATTTCTGCAACTTTATATCTGTCATACAATGATGTAAACTATGCTGTTTGTGAATCAGAGATGGGACATCAATTGTGCTCTCAGATGATATTGGCCAGATATACCTGTTAAACACCGGGCAAGGGGAATCTCATAAAGATGCCAAATATGACCAGGTGTTGTTTTATCATGCCTGGTCTTTGCGTGTTCTTTCAAATAAAGATTTACATGCTTGCATCATGATGATTGCATCTGCTATTCTTACAGTTCTTCTTGGGAGATTATCGTCCTCTTATCCGCGATGCTCTAGGGAATGTTCTTGACCAGGTCAGAGAAAAGTTATTTTCTGTAGTCTGTACACATTATACCATACACTAGACGATCATTATATATGTGTTCGTGTGCTTATTATATGTTATGGTTGATTCTCTGAAATATCTAAATATTATGATCTTTGAAATACGTGTCATTCTTTTGCACTAATGTTGGCTTCAGGTTAAGAAGTAAGAGATTATTTTTTTGACAAATGCGCTACTTTAGATTTATCTTTTGTTATACTGGATTTGTCACTTGTGAGAACCTATCTTTGTAAACGTTAATTTATTGAAGACTAACTTTTGACAAGTAATATGTAACGCTATGGTCATTGTGGATGTACAATGCAGGAGTCGCAGTTTAGTCCATACCAAAGAAATCTTTTGGACCCTCTTTGTGACTCAAGTGAGCTTAAAATAATTTAATATATTATGCATCTTCTCTGTTTCTGCCCCCATTGTGTTGAGAAAACGGATTGTAATTTCAGGCATGATCCCATATCCTGAACCTTATCAAAGTATGTACCAGCGCCGGCGTCTTGGAGCACTGGGTGTAGAGTGGCGTCCATCTAATATAAGATTTGCTATCGGTCCGGATTTCAGCTTAGGAGAAGATTACCAGATGATGCCTTTGCCAGATCCTGAAGCAATTATTGATATTCCAGAACCTTTGGATGTTGCTCTGTGGGAGCCAGAAAATGAAGTTATGACTGATGACGCAGATTCAGAATATGATGCAGCGGAGGAATATTCCAGTGCCAAAGAGCAGGAAAGTTTAGGGACCAGCTCCTACGATGATACGGATTATGATGCGGAGAATAATGATGTTAAGCAAAGGCATAAAGACGCCCTTCGTCGATCCAAAAGGAAGAATGAGAGAGCGGAAGTAAGTCTTGTTTTCCTGATGTATGTTACTTTTTTCTCCTTCTGAAATTTACTCAGGATGATATTTTGTTGTTTCTTAGGCTGAGTTTACTGCTTCTGGGAGACGCATTAAGAGGAAGAGTGTGGAAGCTTCCAACAGATCTTCTTCTGAGAATCGTAGGGGTAAGAAATTAAAGAATGTTCGCAAGGCTTCAAAAAAGCCGTCTAGTAAAGCTCAACTATTCAGACCTCAAAGAGCTGCAGCTAGGAATGCAATGAGTGTATTTTCTAGAATCCCTGAGACATCTTCTCTTGGTGAGGATGAGGAGGATGGTTCTGAAGGAGATTCTTCAGACAGTCAATCAATTTCTCAAGATTCTGAAATTGGAGTGTATGAGCCTGCTTGGGATCTTCAGAATACCTCAGGTCAAGGTGGAGAAAAAATTCCCTTTCATGAATCTGCTGCTGTAATAGATCCAATTGAGCTGTCTGAAGCTCAGACATCTGTTGGAAATAAAAAGAAATTGGTGCTTAAATTAAGTGTCCGTGATACGAAAAATTCCTGGTCTAGAAGTGATAACCAAAGAATGTTGGAATCTTCATCTTCTTTATCTCAGGCAGCGGATCACAAGCAGCGCAGCTTTGGCGACGAGGATGTGGATTTACATCCTCTTGCTGCTACTGACCAAAAGCCATCTCAAAGTGTAAACAGAGTCACAATCAAGTGTAAAGGCCTGCTAGAAAAAACAAGTTCTGCTGGAAGCGACATCCCTGTGGAAGCCTCTTGTAGTAGATGGCTTGAAAGTGGTTCTAATGGAAATGGTGATGGCTATTCTGTGGAAAATGCTGTCGAATTCAGTAATGGTAACTCTCATGATTTGGAAGAGACTGTTCAGCCAGTACCAAGACCACCAACCAGAATCAAGATTAAATCCAGTGGAATCTTGAAGCAAGAGAAAAATCCTAGACTAAAATTGGTTACTGGAATAAAAAAGCTGGGCGGTACTGATGATTCTTCAGCATCATATATAGCTAGCTATGCTGGTGGTGTGGAAGAGAATAATTACAATACTGGTTACTATGAGAACTATTCTGGTGTTGATTTTCCTGATGCTGAAACTGATGTAGTACGCCGAACTAGGTCTATGGAGATTAAAGCAAGCACTCGTGAAGCTGGAAGAGGATGCCGTACGTTGAAGCTGCGGAAGAGTGACAGATCAGCAGAGTCATCAAAGATTTCTGATAAATCTCTAAGGTCTGCTAGAAGTAGGCATGACACCTTTTTTGAAGATGGCCAGGGCCCTCCAAGTACAAGTCTGTCTAATGCTGCTGTTGGGAAGATATCTTGGCTAATGTTGTCTGAGCATGAACCAGGTTATCGTTATATTCCCCAGCTTGGGGATGAAGTAGTGTACTTGAGACAGGTAATTCCATTGAGTCATATCTCATTGTTTTGGATTCTGTACTTGTATTATGAAATTAATGCTTTCACTGATTTTCAGGGCCATCAAGAATATATAGAAAAATATGCTCCACATGAAAGAGGTCCTTGGAATACAATGAAGGGACGGATAAATGATGCTGAGACCTGCCTGGTTGAAGGCCTTCATTATGCCTATGTTCCTGGTTCCGGGGAGAGCTGTTGTAAGCTCACACTTAAATTCGTAGACGATTCTTCAAGTGTTTTTGGCAAACCATTGAAGTTGACTCTTCCAGAGCTGCTTCATGCCCCTGATTTTTTGGTTGAGAAAGCATGGTATGATCTTGCTGTCAGTAGAAATTGGACTCCTGGGGATACTTGCTCAGTATGGTGGAGGCATGAAGATGGAGAAGGCGGCAGCTGGTGGGAAGGTCAGATAGTTGATGCAAAACCAAAATCTGTTGACTTTCCAGACAGTCCATGGGAAAGATATGCTGTTCAGTACCTGGGTGATCCTGGTATTGAGTTGCACAGTCCATGGGAACTGCACAATCCTGAATTTCGGTGGGAGCCTCCGCATATTGATTTTGATACAAGAAACAAATTTCTTGATTATCTTTCTAAATTAGAGAGGAGGAGACAGGTAATCCATTTCCCTTTCCAAAGATTATGTTTAGAATTATTATTGTTCTGCAAGGAAGAGAAGTCAATGCATTGATGATATTTCTGGAAAAAGAAATAACCTTGTCTTGTTTGATTTGTAAAATTTATAGGACTATGGTATGGTCAATTTGGAGCAGGTCTCTCACAGGCCAGATTTCTTAAACCGGTAAGTCTTTGTTCATGTTCACCCTTAGCTTTTCTTCAGGTGTATACCAACTCTCCTCAAGAAAGTATATAGTGGTCATCCATTTGTGTGGGTATTACAAAATTACTTTGATCTTAGGACACTAACCAAGTGGAAATATAAAGCAGTGTTGATACAGTCATAAGCTTATAGAAGCCCTAAAAATAAAAAATACATTTAGATAATAGACACCGAGGGAAGAGCAAGCCTATCCCTAGATACCAAGCATGCGATCTCATCATCAATTTCCAGGCAATCTGGTTAGCGAGTTCACTGCCTTTGACATTCTCAGAACTCCTGATTGTCTAGATTTTCTGATATAAGTTTTGCATAGAGGTGTGACAAAACCAATTTGTCTATCAAAATTGCCTGTGATTGTTTTGAATTCCACACTTATTTTAGTTTTTTGGGTGCAGGTTTCCAGCCCCTTTGTCATTGAATGTGGTTCGATCTAGGCTGACAAACAATTATTATCGAAGTGAAAAAGCAGTAAAACATGATATCAATGTGATGATGTCCAATGCTATGTCATATTTTGCGAAGAATGCAGGAGTTTTCAAGAAGATGAAACGCATGAATGACTTTTTTGAAAGAACATTGTCAAACTTGTGAAACACATTTTTTGAGATTTAGGTTACATCACCAGACCACATTTTTTCAGTTCTCCCCAGATTTTGTTTAGGCAGGGTGTACCAGAGACCTTGTTCTTGTATGCATACATTGCAGTTTCACCCTTTAAGCTAACAGGGACCGTCTTTCTTTAACTATAGAGCTCTGAGTTGCTCCTAGAAGCTTCGGAATGTGTACGATGCATCTGGTGTAAATTTTACTTCACTTGGTACTAGACCCTGCTGAAGTTGGTGCTATTTCTGAGCTGTCATAGACAAATGAATAACTCTCTATTAATACAAATTGCTACAATTTATATTGGCTAGTAATCCTTAGCATGGGCAAGCCTACATGTCTGATGCCCTTTTTATTATTTATAAATTTTGTTTCTTACATTTGATGAGGCATACTTTACAGTAAACCCTTGCTTAAAACCAGATAAATCTGCCTATGTTCTTTCTTTCTTTGCTTTTTTAGTCTGAAAAAAATAGATGTAAACCAGGCATATTTTTCATGGGGGGTAAGTTACTTTGGGGTAACTGGGTAAGGATCCTTTGTTCTTTTCCTTAGCTCAAGTGTTCAGACCGTCAGATATTTGGCCAAAAGTACTGTAAAAGTTATGGTTTTGGTTAAGCCAAGACACCTGTTACTTCAAATTTGACATGTCTATAGTTAAATAAACTAATGTACATTTAACAATAACAATGTGATACCTTAAGCACACTCCTAAAAGTAAAGAAGACTCTAAATGGTTCCCACGTGTCTTGGGATTGGCTAGGATGACTAACGAGTAGACTTGTAGGTATCATGTAAATTTATTAAAACAATGGCTCAGGAAAGACTCAAGTCCATATGTGATATGTCTTCATGTTGTGTCATCCAAGTTTGGTGAGGTTGGGTAGGATTGACTCTATTTGAAATTTGATTTATTCTAAATTTTTGTGTCAGTACTAATAACTTGAATTTATTCAAATTAGCTCGTGTTTTGACACCTTTAGATTAGACCTGATAATAAGGAGCCCATCTTGACATGATTAGTTTTTTTGAAAATTTTGGACGGGTTTAAAAAAGCAATTTTATGCATTTTTAGTTTTTTTTTGCATGATCCAAAATTGACCCGAAAAACCTGCACAACTCAAGTAATTTGGATGGGTTTGTGCACATAATTTCCAGCCCAAAATTAAGCCCGGCATGAATCCGGCCCGACCCACCTAATGATCACCTCTAGAGCTATCAAAAGTTGACCCGAACCGAAACACCGACTCAAACCCGATTATTAACCAGACCTATTACTAACCCGACCCAAAAATTAAACCCGGTCTGTTACTAACCCGACTCAAAATCAACACGACTTGTTATTGACCCTACCTAAATTCAACCCAAATTGTTCCCGACCCGATTTCAAATTACCTTAAATGCAATTTAGACCACCTTATTATTGTTGATCAAAGCATTTTGTCTTGGGAGACCTAGTCGGTCCTGGGCCAGCAAAAGAAAGGAGCATCATCCTCAAATTTAAGAGTTAAATATAGTATATATTTGTTGTATGGTCAAAAGAGATAATTATCTTCCTAAATTATAAACTATAGTTTGTTAGTATATTGCCATATATATTATAGTCAAAGGAAATAATTAGGTTGAAAAAAATTATGATTATCTATTTATAGTTAGTTGAACCCGAATACGACCTGACTTGGAAATGAGCCGACCTGATTGTAAACTGCAAATTATTGACTTGAACATTACCCGACTTGAATCCGAGAATGACCCCACTTGGAAATGACCCAACCTGATTATAACCCGTAAATTGTTAACTTGAGCTGAACATTTATGACAACAAATAATGATCATATATGGTTCCAAACGACATTATATGACTCCGAGATGTATTGCATAGAATTTCAAGACTTTTAGACATCGGGCCCCGAAAACTCCAAAAATTCTCAAAAAGCGTGGATATAGCCTTCAAATTTTGAATTTTGACTTTTTTTCGCCCGTAAATAAAAACGGCTGAAATGTTTACCATGGTCTCTAATACCCTCCAAGAGTCCAATTGGGTGGGCGGAACAATCCAATTTGCCTTTAAACGACCAATTTACCGGTTTACAACTTGCGCCAGTTTCATTAACTCAAGCCTCCCACAAACATTTCTGACAACATAAAACGATCATATATGGTTCCAAACGGTATTATATAACCCCAAAATGTATCCCCTAAAACCTAAAGGCTTTTCAACACCGGGCCCCGAAACCTCCAAAATTTATCAAAAAGCGTGGATACTAGTCTTCAATTTTGGACTTTTTTTTTTTTTTTTTACTTTTTTCGCCCTGAATTAAAAATTGCCGAAAAATTACCATGGTCCCTAATACCCTCCGTGAGTCCAATTGGGTGGGTAGAACCATCCTATTTGCCTTTAAACGATCAATTTATCGGTTTTCAACTTGCACCGATTAAATTAACTCAAGCATACTACGAACATTTATGACAACATATAATGATCATATATGATTTTAAACAACATTATATGACCCCGATATATATCCCCTTAAATCTCAAAACTTTTCGACACCGGGCATTGAAACATCCCAAATTTCTCAAAAAATAAGAGTGAATTTCAATTATGGAATTTTTTTACTTTTTTTCACCCGAAAATAAAAATTGTCGAAATGTTTACCATGGTCCCCAATACCCTCCGGGAGTCCAATTGAGTGGGTGAAACCAACCAATTTGCCTTTAAACGGCCAATTACCGGTTTACAACTTGCACAATTTCATAAAATCAAGCCTATCACAAACATTTATGACAACATATAATGATCATTTATGGTTCCAAACGACATTATATGATCCCGAGTTGTATCCCCTAAAATATCATTTCTTTTCAACACCAGCCCCGAAACCTTCGAAATTTCTCAAAAAGCATGGATATTAGCCTTCAATTTTGGAATTTTTATACTTTTTTTCGCTCGGAAATGAAAATTGCCGAAATGTTTACCATGGTCCCTAATACCCTTCGAGAGTCCAATTGGGTGGGTGGAACCATCCGATTGGCCTTCAAACGACCATTTTACCGGTTTACAACTTGCACCGATTTCATTAACTCAAGCCTACCACGAACATTTATTACAACATATAATGATCATTTATGGTTCCAAACGGCATTATATGACCCCGAGATGTATCCCCTAAAATTTCATTTCTTTTCGACACCGAGCCCCAAAACCTTCGAAATTTCTATAAAAACACAGCCTTCAATTTTGGATTTTTTTTTTACATTTTTTCGCACGGAAATAAAAATTGCCGAAATGTTTACCATGGTCCCTAATAGCCCTCGGGAATCCAATTGGGTGGGTGGAACCATCCAATTTGCCTTTAAACAACCTATTTACCGTTTTACAACTTGCACCGATTTCATTAACTCAAGCATACCACGAACATTTATGACAACAAATAATGATCATATATGGTTCCGAACGACAATATATGACCCCAAGATATATTCCCTAGAATTTCAAGACTTATAGAATCCGGGTCTCGGAGACTCCAAATTTCACAAAAAGCGTGGATATTAGCCTTCAATTTTGGAAATTTTTTACTTTTTTCGCCCAAAAATAAAAATTGCCGAAATGTTTACCATGGTCCTTAATGCCCTCCCGGAGTCCAATTGGATAGGTAGAACCATCAAATTTGCCTTTAAACGACCAATTTATCGATTTACAACTTCCACCGATTTCATTAATTCAAGCCTACCATGAACATTTATGACAATATATAATGATCATATATGGTTTATGACATGATATGACCCCGAGATGTATCTCCTAAAATCTTTAGGCTTTTCAACAACGGAAACCGAAACCTCCAAAATTTCTCAAAAAGCATGGATATTAGCCTTCAATTTTGGAAATTTTTTAATTTTTTTTGCCCTTAAATAAAATTGCCTAAATAATTAACATAATCCCTAATATCTTCCAGGAGTCCCATATTGGGTGAGAGAAACCATCCAATTTGCCTTCAAACGACAAATTTATCGATTTACAACTTGCACCGATTTAATTAACTCAAGCCTACCACGAACATTTATGACAACATGTAATAATCATATATGGTTCCAAACGGCATTATATGACACCGAAATATATTTCCTGGAATTTCAAGACTTTTTCGATAACGAGTCCCGAAACCTTCAAAATTTCGCAACATGCGTGGATATTAGTCTTCCATTTTTGAATTTTTTTGACTTTTTTTGCTCGAAAATAAAAAATTGCAAAAATGTTTACCGTGGTCCTAATATCCTGTGAGAGTCCAATAGGCTCGGTGGAACCATCCAATTTGCCTTTAAATGACCAATTTACCGGTTTACAACTTACCCCGATTTCATGAACTCAAGCCTACCGCAAACATTTATGACAACATATAATGATCATCAATGGTTCCAAACGGAATTATATGACCCCGAGATGTATCCCCTAAAATCTCAAGGATTTTCGATATCGGGCCTCGAAACCTCCAAAATTTCTCAAAAAACGTGCATAAATATTGACGAAATATTTACCATAGTCCTTAATACCCTTTGTGAATCCCATTGGGTGGGACGAACCATCCAATTTGCCTTTAAACGACAAATTTCCTGATTTACAACTTTGCACCGATTTCATTAACTCAAGCTTATCACGAACATTTATGACAACATATAATGATCATTTATGGTTTAATACAATATTATATGACCCGGATATATATACCCTAAAATCTCAAAACCTTTCGAAACCGAGCCCCGAAACCTAAAAAATTTCTTTAAACGCATGGATATTAGCCTTCAATATTGGATTTTTTAAAAAACTTTTTTTAGACCGAAAATAAAAATTTCCAATTTTTTTACCATGGTCCCAAATACCCTTCGATAGTGCAATAATGTGGGTGGAACCACCAATTTGTCTCTAAACGGCCAATTTAACGGTTTACAACTTGCATCGATTTCACTAACTCAAGCCTACTACCACGAACATTTATGACAACAAATAATGATCATAATGGTTCAAAACGACATTATATGACCCCGAGTTATATTCCCTAAAATCTTAAGTCTTTTCGTCACCTAGTCCCGAAACCTCTAAAATTTCTCAAAAAACATGGATATTAGCCTTCAATTTTGGATTTTTTTTTGACTTTTTTTTGGCCCGTAGATACAAATTGCCGAAATATTTACCATGGTCCTTAATACCCTCCGGGAGTCCAATTGGATGGGTGGAACCATCCAATTTGCCTTTAAACAACCTATTTACCGGTTTACAACCTGCACCGATTTTATTAACTCAAGCCTATCACGGACATTATGACAACATATAATGATCATATATGGTTCCAAACGGAATTATATAACCCCGAGATGTATCCCCTAAAATCTCAAGGATTTTCAACACCGAGTCTCGAAACCTCCAAAATTTCTCAAAAAGCGTGGATATTAGCCTTGAATTTTGGAATTATTTGACTTTTTTTTCGCCCGCAAATAAAAACTGACAAAATGTTTATCATGGTCCCTAATATCCTCCGGGAACCCAATGTTATGGGTGGAATCATCCAATTTGTCTTTAAATGGTGAAATTACCGGTTATAACTTGCACCTATTTCATTAACTCAAGGCTACCACGAACATTATGACAACATATAATGATCATTTATGGTTGAAAACAGTATTATATGACTCCGAGATGTATCCCCTAAAATCTCAAAACTTTTCGACACCGGGTCCCGAAATCTCTAAAATTTCTCAAAAAGCGTGGATATAAGCTTTAATTTTGGAATTGACTTTTTTTCGCCCGAAAATAAAATTGCCGAAATATTTACCAAGGTCACTAATACGCTCTGGGAGTCCATTTGGGTGGGTGTATCCATCCAATTTGCCTTTAAACGACCAATTTACCGGTTTACAATTAACTTGCACCGATTCCATTAAATCAAGCCTACCACGAACACTTATAACTACATATAATGATCATAAATGGTTCCAAACGACATTATATGACCCAGAAATGAATCTCATAAAATTTTCAGGTTTTTCAACACCGGGCCTCGAAACCCCCAAAATTTCTCAAAAAGCATGGATCTTAGCTTTAATTTTGGAATATTTTGACTTTTTTTTGCCTGAAAATAAAAATTGCCGAAATGGTTACCATCGTCCCTAATACACTCCGGGAGTCCAATTGGGTGGGTGGAACCATCCAATCTGCCTTTAAACGGCCAATTTGCCGGTTTACAACTTGCATCGATTTCATTAACTCAAGCCTACCACTAACATCTATGACAACATATAATGATCATATATAGTTCCAAATGTTATTATATGACCCCCCGCCCAGATGTATTCTCTAAATTCTCAAGACTTTGCGACATCGAGCACCGAAACCTCCAAAATTTCTCATAAGGCGTGGACATTAGCCATCAATTTTGGAAAATTTTGACTATTTTTCGTCAGAAAATAAAAGTTGCAGAAATGTTTACCATGGTCCCTAATAACCTCCAATATTCCAATTGGGTGGGTTGAACCATCCAGTTTGCCTTTAAACGACCAATTTACAGGTTTACAACTTGCAACGATTTCATTAACTCAATCCTACCACGAATATTTATGACAACAAATAGTGATCATATATGGTTCCAAACGACATTATATGATCCCGAGATGTATTCCAAAATTTCTCAAAAAGCGTGGATATTAGCCTTTAATTTTTTAATTTTTAGACTTTTTTTTTCGCTTGAAAATAATAATTGCCGAAATGTTTACCATGGTCCTAAATACCCTTCGGAAGTCCAATTGGGTGGGTGGAACCATCCAATTTGTCTTTCAACGACCTATTTACCGGTTTATAACTTGCACCGATTTCATTAACTCAAGCCTACTACGAACTTTTTTAAACATAAATAGTTATCATATATGGTTCCAAACGACATTAAATGACCCAAAAATGTATCCCTAGAATTTCAAGACTTTTCGACACTAGTCCCTGACTTCTCTTAATTTTCTCAAAAAGCGTGAATATTAGCCTTCAATTTTGAAATTTTTGACTTTTTTTTCGCTTAGAAATAAAAATTGCCAAAATTTTTACCATGGTCCCTAATACGGTCCGGGAGTCCCATTGGGAGGGTGGAACCATCCTATTTGCCTTTAAACGACCAATTTACCGGTTTACAACTTGACCCAATTTCATTAACTCATGCCTACCAAGAACATTTATGACAACAAATAATGATCATATATGGTTCCAAATAGCATGATATAACCGTGAGATGTATCCCCTAAAATTTCAAAACTTTTCGAAACCAGGCCTCGAATCCTCAGAAATTTCTCAAAAATTGTGGATATTAGCCTTCAATTTTGAAATTTTTTGCTTTTTTTTTCGCCAAAAATAAAAATTGCCAAAATGTTTACCATGGTCCCTAATACCGTCTGAGAGTCCTATTGCGTGGGTGGAACCATCCAATTTGCCTTTAAACGCCCAATTTACCGGTTTACAACTTGCACCGATATCATTAACTCAAGCCTACCATGAACATTTATGACAACAAATAATGTTCATATATGGTTCCAAACAACATTATATGACCCCGAGATGTATCCTCTAAAACTGCAAGACTTTTCGACATCGAGCCCCGAAATTTCCATAATTTCTCAAAAAGCGTGGATATTAAGTCTTCAATTTTGGAATTTTTTTAACTTTTTTCGCCTGGAAATAAAAATTGCCGAAATGTTTACTATGGTCCCTAATACCCTCCGGGAGTCCAATTGGGTTGTTGGAACCATCCAATTTGCCTTTAAACGACCAATTTAATTACCGGTCTACAACTTGCACGAATTTCATTAACTCAAGCCTACTATGAACATTTATGACTACATATAATGATCATATATGGTTTCAAACGACATTATATGACCCTTCAATTTTGATTTTTTTTGATTTTTTTGCCCGGAAATAAAAATTACTGAAATGTTAACCATGATCCCTAATACCCTTCGGGAGTCCAATTGGGTGGATGGAATCATCCAATTTGCCTTTAAACGACTAATATACCGGTTTACAACTTGTACCGATTTCATTAATTCAAGCCTACCACGAACATTTATGACAAAAAATAATGATCATATATAGTTCCAAACGACATTATATGACCCTAAGATGTATCCCATAAAATTTCAAGACTTTTCGACACCGGGTCTCGAAACATAAAAATTTTCTCAAAAAGCGTGGATATTAACTTTCAATTTTAGAATTTTTTTGACTTTTTTCACCCGGAAATAAAAATTGCCGATATGTTTACCATGGTCCCTAATACCCTCCGAGAGTCCACATGGGTCTGTGAAACCATTCAATTTGCTTTTAAACGATCAATTTACCAAATTACAACTTGCACCGATTAACCGGTTTACAACAACCAATTTAATTAACTAACACCGAACCCGACTTGAACCGAAATTGACCCAAACCCATTTGAACCCGTCAAAACCCGAATTTAACCCGACTTGTTTCTAACCTGACCTGAATTCAACCCGACCCGTTCGTAACCCGACCCGAATTTTTCCTAACCTATTACAAACCCGACCCCAAATCAACCCGACTTGTTTACCCGACCCATATTCAACCCGATTTTTTATTGACCTGACCCGAATTTTACCATACCTATTACTTACAGAACCCAAAAATTCAACCCGATATGTTACTAACCCGACTTGTTATTAACCCGACCTAAATTCAACCCAAATTGTTCCTAACCCGATTTCAAATCACCTTAAATGCAATTTAGACCACCTTATTATTGTTGATCAAAGCATTTTATCTTGGGAGACCAAGTCAGTCGAGGCCAGCAAAAGAAAGGACCATCATCCTCAAATTTAAAAATTTAAGAGTTAAATATATTATATATTTGTTGTATGGTAAAAGGAGATAATTATCTTCCTAAATTATAGATTATAGTTCCCTATTATATTGTGATATATATTATAGTAAAAGGAAATAATTAGCTTGATAAAAATGATAAATATCTGTTTATAGTTAGTTGAACTCGAATATGACTTGACTTAGAAATGACCCGACCTGATTGTAACCTGCAAATTATTGACTTGAACATAACCCGACTTGAATCCGAAAATGACTCGACTTGGAAATCACCCAACCTGATTATAATCCGCAAATTATTGACTTGAACCGAACCCGACTTGAACCCGAGAATGACCAGACTTGAAAATGACCCGACCTGATTATAATCCGCAAATTATTGTCTTGAATCAAACCCGAGAATGACCCGACCTGATTCTAACCCGCAAATTATTGACTTGAATTGAACCTGACTCGAACCCGAGAATTACCCTAACCCGTTTTAACCCGTAAAAATCCGAATTAAACCCGACCTATTGTTCACCCGGCCCGTATGTAACCCGACATGTTATTAACCCGACCCAAACCCGATAAGAAGTATGACCCGACGTGACCCGACTCAAGCATGACCCAACCCAAACCCGACCCACATAAGTTATGGAGTTAATCTGAATTGACCCGAACTGAGTTAACCTGACCCACGTTTACCCGACCGAAACCCGACCCATTTATCCGAATTGACAGTTCTAAACTTCTAATCACCTCTACGGCTCTACTCTAGAATTCTAATATTAACATCCCTAAGATACCCTTTCAAAACCCTAGCATACAGCAACCAATGTACTACTATCAAACCTTAAACCTTTCACTCTCTAAAAACTGAAAACTTGTGAAAATTTTTTGACAGCACAAAAATGGCGGGCGGAAAAATCAGAAAAGAGAAGCAAAAGGGGAGCAACCATTTTCAAGGAGGAATACCCTTTCACAAATCAAAGGGACAACACATTTTGAAAAATCCAATGTTGGTTGAATCAATTGTTCAGAAAGCTGGTATTAAACCTACAGATGTTATTCTGGAAATTGGTCCAGGTACTGGTAATCTTACTAAGAAGCTTCTAGAAGCTGGCAAGAAAGTTGTTGCTGTTGAGTTGGATCCTCGTATGGTTCTTGAGCTTAAACGCCGTTTTCAAGGCACCCCTTTGTCCACTCGTTTAGAGGTTCTTTTTCCCACCCTTTTTTTTTGTTAAAAGATTTGATCTTTTTTTGTTTAGTTGATGGGATTTTGTGGAGCTTGAATTTCCTATATATTTAATGGTTAGAAATTATAAATTTTCAAAGGAGAAAAATTGAATCTTTTTGGTTATTTGTTGAATTGGGCTTTTGCTGAGTTGCAAGAATGAAACTTGTTGAAGAAAATAGGGCAATTTGAGCTCTGTGATGCTGATTTGAACTCAATGTTGGGAATTAGGACCTGTTTGTTATATTTGGAGGAAGCATTACCCAGTATGTATTATTTTTCTGTTATGATTGTAGATGCATCTAAATTGTGTGTTATATAAATCATATAATCATAAGCAATCGTTACAAGAACAAAAGAGGAATGAATTGGATTTTTCAAAAGGAAGTTATGTTGGGAATAGGGATTATATAGCTCCTGATTTCTTATATGTTTGATTTGTATGATGCTCCACTGTTTTTGGTGGTTGTAGTTTTGGAGTTGTGGTTCGAGTTGAACTTCATTGTTTATGAATTGCTATTGGGGCTAGTAGAGATGGATGAAATTTGAGGTCGACAATGAATGTCCTTTCATTGCTTTGAGGAGAAGGTGATTGAGGATTCTATAATAAAAGTTGCATCAAAAAAGTTGATTGTGCAAATGGCAATTCATGTTCTTGTAGGTTCTAGAAGCAAAGAAATCTGGGAGCAAAGTCATATTATCTTGTTTCGTAGTGTGCAAACGGTTATGCAGGGCTCTAAAGTCCAAATAAATCATGTACTCCTATCGTTTTGTGGTATTGTGTTTGGCTGAAGACAAACCCGCACCTAGGAGAGAGGTAGACAGCATAGTTTATATAGGAGTAGCCCATTAAGCTTATTCATTAATCTCATTCTTTACTTTATCATTTTAAAATAAATCTCTTTTGTGCTCACCGTGAACTCCCATAGATGTGTATGGTAATGATCAGTGTGTTAAATCATGCACCTTTGGTTCCCAGAGAGCTTGCTACTGTGGTTTGCTCTGACCTTTCCTTGGAACAAAACAGAGTATCGTGACTGGCATATCTATTGCTTTCATCTCTACTTGTAGCCTAGTGAATTCTTTTTCTTGAGTTAATTGTTTAGTTTTTGAATTGATAGATGTTAACATTCAACTAGACAAGTTTGGATTACTTATCAGACTTAAAACTCTGCTTGATTTTGTGGCTTGACAAATTAATAGAGCATTAATTTAAGCAGCATCTTGATCAGCTATGTCTTCCTGAGTACTGAAATTCTTTGTCAAACAGGTTATCCAAGGAGATGTTCTCAAGTGTGAACTTCCATTTTTTGATATCTGTGTTGCCAACATCCCTTACCAAATCTCTTCCCCGCTTGTGCTCAAGTTGTTGGACATCAACCAAAGGCAAAACTTCAGATGTGCAATTATAATGTTCCAAAGAGAATTTGCGATGAGGCTTGTTGCTCAACCAGGTGACAAGCTCTATTGCCGTCTCTCAGTGAACACTCAGCTCCTTGCTCGGGTCTTCCATCTCCTCAAAGTTGGGAAGAATAATTTCAGACCCCCACCTAAGGTCGACTCCTCAGTCGTTCGTATTGAACCAAGAAAGCCTCTTCCTATACCAGCCGGCAAACTTAAGGAGTGGAATGGGCTGCTCTCTTTATGTTTCAGCAGAAAGAACAAAACACTTGGATCAATATTTGGCCAGAAAAAGGTTCTTGAAATGTTAGAGAAGAACTACAGGACCTTAGAATCTTTGGGACAATTGATGAATGACTCAGAGGCAATTGATATGTCTGTCTTAGCCGATGAGAAAGACAATCAGGTAGACGAGGATGAAACTATGGAAGTGGATGATGGAAAAGCCGATGAAGATGAAATGGAGGTTGAAGTTTCAGATACTGACTCTGACAATGATATGCAAGCAAACGATCCTAATTTTAAAGCTAAGGTGATAGATGTGTTGAAGTGGTATGATTACGCAGACAAAAGATCGTCCAAGCTCACACAAAATGAATTCATACACTTATTATCGGTTTTCAACCAGGCCGGTATTCACTTCACTAGTAAAAAATAGTGATTCAATATGCAATTTATTTCTTTGTGATAAATACATGCACCCAATTTTGCCTCTTGATTTCATTATCCCATATAATTTGTTATACCCCGAAATTAAAAATGTGAGTGGCAACAGTTTTAGAACTAAATAGTAGCATAATCTGTTTTTCTTTGTATCTTTATTATCTATTTATCTTATATAGCTGTTGAATGTAGTTTCCATAGCAACGATCTTGGAAAAGCGTAGTCTCCATTCTATGTTTCTTTCACCTCTGCAACACCACCACCAGTCACAGAAATCACTTAGCGGCAAAGAGCCATGTGACCCTTGAGACTGATTTATGAGGCGGGAAAGAGCCCCATGACCCTTCAGAACATTATAGAACCGATCTGACTGCAAGTGCAGGTAACAAGTAAACAAATCAATATGTAGTCAGACTGGAGGTAAAAAAGTGAGTGAGTGTTTATGAAGTCTAATAGAAATGGCTTTTATTTATACAACGAAAATCAAAACAGGTAAACATCTGAAGAAAAGCTTAGGAAGTGTGATATAGTTTATTGATACTTCTTTCCAGAATTCCAGGCATATAAAAGAGAAGTAATGAAAAATCAAATACCTGCATTGTCAATGTTCCTGAGTAGTTTGTCTTGCCAGTAAAGAGCTAACAGAAAAATTAATCTGACTCTAGATTCTATTGACAGACAAATATTGTAGTACTTTAAGAAGCTCTTCACGACGGAGTGGCTTTGTTAGGTGGGAATCCATTCCAGCCTCAGCAATCTTCCTGCCTTCTTCTCCATCCACCTCATGAGCTGACAGTGCAATAATCGGAATGTGTAGTCCGTACTTCTTCTCTTCTTCGCGGATTTTCTGTGTTGCTTCAAAGCCAGTCATCACTGGCATCTGAGATCAACACAAGATACCTCAGGTTAGTAAAAATTGTGAATTACAGTAAGTTATAAGTTGAACAGAAATAAATTTTGGTAGCTTACCTCACAGTCCATGATTATAAAATCATATGGAAACTTAGAGGGTTCTCCACTTGGCTGGTTGCTCAATGCTTTGCAAACTACCTCAATAGCTTCTTTGCCATTTTCACATGACTGAGTTTCAGCTCCTAAGCGCATAACACATGTTTCAGCGAGTTTTCTTTGTAACAAATGATCTTCAACAATCAATATCTTCTTTCCTTCCAAAGGAGATTCCTTGATCTCTGCATCCCTGTTAACACAAATATATAAAACTGAAGACATTTACCTTTGAATCAAACTACATGAAATCATGAAAAATGTGAATAGTATATATACATCATTACATTACATTACCTTGGAACTTCTTGTATTTCTCCTATTTGAGTAGTTTTAGTCATCGACGTGGACTTTTCACTGCTAGAGCTCCTTAGAACTTGTGGGACTTCTGGCTTCTGAACATAGTTTTCACTACCATTAGTAAGTTTCAAACTTCGTCTACTCCTTGCTGGCTTGATCTCCCCACCACTAGATGACTCACCTATATCTTCTTCAGTTTCTGATTGTGTAAATAAAACTGCAACACGAGTGTTGGATCTCTTTGATCTTCCATAAGCAGGAGATCTTATAGAATCACCCCCAAATTCAGGGAGAAGCCTTATAATCTTTGATAAGCGTGACCCATGAAGAAGTTCCGAAATGATAAGATCTGTTGAAGGGAGACTCTCATCTTGTAAGCCTTGGAAATGAGCCCTACGGGTGTCTGGCCTGTCGAGCCAAACCACCTTGATGCAGGTCATGTATAAGTCCTTTCTGAATTCAGACACTGATCTCTGCATTTTCTGAAAATCATCCCCTGCATTGCAATCTATTACAAGTAGTATGCATTTCACTGACCCTCGAATAGTGGACCTTTTGTACACCGGAAGGACCTCATTGGTACCATCCATCATATTAAGAGGAAGCAGTTTTGACCAACCTCTACCACTGCGCTCAGAGCTGCTACTCAAGTAGGTTCCATGAGGAGGGCTCGTGGCTGACCTCCCTGACGATGAGTTGTAATATTGAGGCTCAATGAGCATAGATTTGACCTTCTTAAGAGTTGGAGAGAGTTGCTTTCCTTGGCTTAGGACCTTCAAGTTTACTCTGAGGCTCTTCATGTATCTATGGATCATTCCTCTTCGCGTATCATTCTTGATTAAGAGAATCACTAAAGACTTTTCACCTCTAGGGCTACGAATACATGTGCTTAACCCTGAGCCTGAATTGATGTCCCTATGCTCTGTCAATTCTTGCCTCGGGTTATCCGAACATTCCTCTTGTACTATGAAAAAGATGTTGAATTTGAAGCATGTCCCTTGCTCGCCATTAGCTTTGTCCACGATTTCTATGTCTCCCCCCATCAATCTTACCTGCATATAATTTTCATACACCTCAATAGTGTTACATTTAACACTGAATATTCAACATAAGTAGTTTTGCAAATAAATTGACTTCATTTTTTATGTCAAACATACATACCAAAGATTGGACAATGCCTAGTCCCAAGCCAGTGCCATCTTGCCCAGCAGAGTTGTCTTTGACTTGAACAAAGTTCTCAATGATCAAACGACGCTTGTCCTTAGGGATCCCAGGACCTGTATCTTCCACCATAAACACAAACTCCATGCAGTTTGAATCTTGCTTGATTGTCTTCATGTTTTCGAGATCATTATATGCACGTTCATTCTCATGGAAGAAGCGCGACAACCTGTTTAGCAAGTTGTTCCTGTTTGAAGCAATGATAGTGGTCTCAAAGCTCAGCTTCTTTGCTTGACACTTGATACAAATGTTCCCTTGCGAAGTGAACTTGACTGCATTACTCAGCAAGTTGCCAAGAATCTGTTTGAGCTTGCCGCGGTCACCTCTTACTTGGGAGTGCTTGAAGATGGAACCATCACAAGGGTCTAGGATCACCTCTACTCCCTTTTTCATAGCAACCGGGTGGTGTAAATCAGCTACATCTTCAAGAAGTTGTGCTAAACTGAACTCATTCTCCTCCAATTTCATTTTTCCTGCTTCTATCTTGCTGAAATCTAGGATGGAATTCACTAATGCTGCATATTTCAACAATAAAAACAGAGGAATTAGTTGTTACAAACAATCTTCCTTGAATAAAGCATACACATATGTTTATACTTTGTATTACCTAAAAGATCCTCAACACAAGTATCTATCTTCCTCAAGTTAGAAGCAACTTGAGAAGAGGGATGAAGATCAGTAGCAGAGAGTTCGGTCAAGCCCTTGATGCAAGCTAAATAGCCGCGAACATCATGGTTAGCACTCGCAAAGGCCAAACTTTGCTTTATGCTCTTTCTCTCGGCCTGTGTAGTTTTCTCCATTTCCCTCATGTATGCTACACACAATTGCACTTCCCTCCTTTCCGCTTTAACAAGCAACGTGACAAACGCAAACATGCCAACCCACAAGATAATTATTATAGGTATCAACTCCATCTTCATGTGCTCGAGGACATTGATAAGTAATCTATTGCTTGGATAAGCCAATACATATACCTACATTATAGTTATATACGCATGAAAAATGAAGATTTTAACAACACTTTGTAAATGATATGTAATGTTGACAATGTAACTTATATGGATTGTGTGTAAAATAACATAAAAACATACCATTGGCACCCTGGCAGTATCAATCGACAAGCAATAGAATATGTAATTGGCTCCTCCAATGTCTAAGGCGGTACCACCAGTTTTAGTATCACCATTGTTGTTGGGATTATTGCATGAAATTTCACCAATATTATAAGTTTGGTGGCTACCTAGCACCAAAGCTTTACCATTCTTAATTTTGATGTCGACGTCTTTTATACCATCCATTAGTACCTTGTCACCACCAAGGGTTGCCATGTACAAGCTTGCACCCAAAAGATTTGTACTAGAGAAGAGCGTTGTTATTACTTCACTAGAAAAACCAAGAGAGATAGCTCCAGCTTTACCTAGCCTCACGGTGTCTAAGAATAGACTTGACGATTCTTTTCCATCGTTAGCACTCCATCGAGACCCTAACGATGCATAACCATTTTGGCTATCCATTGCATTTTTGAACCATGTCTCATTGACTATATCGAGTGGTTTTGTGATATTGGCTTCTCCAAGTAATTCTCCACTAGTAGATTTTACTAGTTGAGTATACCAAGTGTAATGATCAAGATTATTTGCAAAAGTTGAGTTTGAGTATAATGCAAATATTTGATCATCTTCTTTAATATATGAAAAGAAGAGGCCATCTAATCCAATGTACGAAGCTTGAATTGTATGAGGTATGACCAATAGTGATATAAATAATGCAGGCGCAACCTGAAAATGTTTAAAATTGGTTATGGAATTAATTACAAAACAAAATATTTAAATAAGTATAAAATATATAAATTTAAAAGTTATCCGTTTAAAATCAATTGTCACATTACCAAGGTCGTAACTAGATTGTTCTGGTTATGAAGTTTCTAAAGTGGGCTTAAAGGTGTATGTACTTGGATACTAATATATTAATTGAAATTGGTTATTTTTTTTAAAGATATTTCGTATTAAAAGTCTGAAATGATTCATATTTATTTTATAATTTTTTTTAAAAAAATAACATTAAGTTTAGATAATATTTAACGTGGAAAAAACTCTCTTAATAACTACCACAAAGTAAATTATCAATGGAGTTGTTTCAAAAAAATAAATAAATAAATAAATAATAAAATAAAATATCAATGGAGTGATTTAGAAAAATAGTGGAATAATTACAAGGAAGAGAGTATTATGGAGGAATAATTATATATATATATATATATATATATATATATATATATATATATATATATCACGGAATAATAGGATTTTATTAGAGATATTATTGCTGATTATGTCATATTTTTAAAAAAATCAAACCTAAGAAATGAAAATAAATTCGGAATGTAATATCAATTATAAACTTTAAAAATTATTTCAATTTGCAGTATCCTCAAATCATAGATGATCGATATTCTCTCAATATGCATCTACTTATCTTTAAATTTGTCGCACATTCTGGTAAATATATTTTATTAAATGCAATTAGTCAATTTTAGTAAAGGTTGAAGAATCAAACCAATTTTAAGATTTTATGTTTCAGTAGAAAGTAGGTTATATACTATCAAATGATTAAATCCATTGTACAAGTATTATATTTAAAGACTCGTTCAAATATGTCATTCTTTTAACACACCATATTTGAATTGGAATTTTAACATGGTATTTTTAAATAAAATCGTAACATTTTAGTTACAGATGAATATCATATCACTACTATTCAAAAAAAAAAAATATCATATCACTAATATATAAAGTCGATCTTGCAGCACTATAATTATTTACGTACAATTATAAAACAAATCTCAAAAACAAAACGGATAAGGAAGATTACAAACCTCCTTTTGAATTTCAGGAAATAAAAGTTTTGACTCCCGTATTAGTGTCCAAAACACTTGCTAGATTGATTGCTGATGAATTTATGGGAGGTATAAGTTTTGCCAAGTATTGAACAACTTCATAACGAGCATAGCTTGCTTCCATATTCACATTTTTCACAATTTTTTTCATGGTATGATACCATATTGGGTTAATGACACTTAGTAGCAACAACGCGACAAACATCTGTACGTGATAACATGGACAAATGCACAATTAAGTTACATATCAATATATCATAGCTCCTTTTTCAAAAAAAAAAAAAAAATAAAAAAAAATAAAAAAATAGAGTTACATATAAAAACTACAAGGATTCTACCCGAACATCAAACAATCTAGTTACAAACTAGCTCAAAGGAACGGTTTTGAAAACAAACACATAAACTTCTTTTCTTAAAATATATATTATTGCATATAAAGTTGATTAACAAAAAAAAAAAAAAAAAAAAAAAACAATGATTATTGCTTACCAAGAAGGTGAAGAAAGTAAGTAGCCTCATCGCCATTACTCTGATAATATCTCCCATCGAAGCATGCGAGTTTATGTATGAAAAAAATCAATAAGAAAGCAAACTATAAAAAAAAAAAAAAAAAAAAAAAAAAAAAGAGCTAATTGTAAAAAGATTTGCTCCTAAAAAATAATTAAACTTCCTTTTATTCAAGAGGCAATAAAACCAGCCTTAATAAATCTATTAAAACAAGAAAATTGGGCTCTTAATTTTTTTTTTTTTTGAAGGAAGGAAGGAAGGAAAGGAAGGAAATAATTGGTATCAGTGACTTTGAAAATAAACTAAAAACAAGTGAAGTATATTATTATTATATAAATCTATACAAACTTGAAACTTCAAATTCCTTTGTAATTATTTTCATATTTTGTGTTCATTTTGACAAAATCGGAATAAAGATACTCGGTAGTAATATTTTAATTAAATGTAATTTTGTAAAAGACACTTAAGAACAGGGATCATATCTCATCTATATCACAATCTTATATGACTTTAAAATGAAAATTTTTATTTTGTACTCCCGAATTTTGTGGGATACAACATTTGCAAAAAAAAAAAAAAAATCAAAATCAATCAAATTCTTTCGTTCCCATAAATGAAGAAAATAACAATGGCATTTTAACATGGATAACCCAACTTCTCTAATCAAGCTACACAGAGTAAAGGCGCATCATACTGTTCACTCCAAAACTGTGAAGATTTATAATAACTGGTCCTTTTTATAAAAGGTTTCCGACATACATGGAATCACAATCACCTGTCAACATCTTAAATGGTGTTCAAAGTGCTAATACTATCTCCAGCCAGAACAAAGGATTCAAAGTTTTGGCAATATACACTCATACATAACCATTAATGTTCGATCACGAGAAATCGTTGCTATAAAGAGGGAGAGATGAGGAGAGAAACAAAAAGAGAGAAGGAAAATTGAATATTTGTAAAGATTGGGTGTAAAAATATACTACCTCCGTTACAGGTTATGTGCAACGATTAGAAATAAAGTAGAGAGGGAAAATGTCTAATCGTTGCACATAACCTGTAACGGAGGTAGTATATGATTTTTTGGTATTGATCCTGTCAGCATTACAAATTTGATCCTTGATGATGCACTGTTCTAATAAACATTGCAACGACAGTAACCAATGCGCAGAACAACTGCGCAACTCAATTCTCAATTTCTCATCCTTTACGTGATGAGTGCTTCAATTGTCCAGAATATCAATGAGTGCGCTCCTTTCTTGGACTTCACACAAGACATGTATGGGGGTGATTAGCGGAGGAGTTGTTACATGAATCCATAACTATGGACTGGCAGCTGTTTGTTCCCTGGGTTTTTCCAACTTTACTTGTATAAGTCTGTCTAAAACTGGGGGCTCTAATGGGATTGGATCCAGACAACGCTCTACAGCAGCATTAATTACCTGACAATTCAAACAAATAGCCGATTCAGTTTTGTCCTTTCACCATTACCACACGAACACAAGCAAGCTAATAAAATTGACCTTGTGACTGTGATCAAAAGTTAAGCGCAGCATACAACACTATAAGTTTATAGGTTCCATTACCTCGTCAAGTAAAAAATCAACAGCGGCTTCATCCTCCACATTATCCTTAATAGAATCCCTCAAGAACTGTGTGTCCAACTGGATTTGCTGAAATCCACTCCGATTGAAGGTCTGCAATCGAACAAATTCTTGCAGACTTTTCAGGCAAAGTTTCACAATTGTAGTTAGGACAGAATCCTGAATCATACCATGCCCACAAATTAGCTGCAGATTAGCAACAGCTGCACTGCCATCGTACAATTATCAAGGGTTTACCTGTGTGGCATCAACTTTGGTAAAAATTTCCATTTTCTGCTTAAATAATTTAGCTAGATGGGTCTCAAGCAGATGACTCCTAGCCTTTTGAGGGTTAGATCTGGTTAGCAGCTTTTCATCACGCAATGGATTACTACGCGAAGATGTACTGCTGGCGTTGCTCATACTATCAGCACGACGATGTTTACGGGTGGGCCCCTCGGGTAAAAGTTGTTTCACTTCAGACAGTACTCCTCCCAACTGCAACCAAAAACAAAAATCAACATGAAATGAATGTGTACCTAGGCATTTGTTTTCAAACAATATGTCGATACTTGTACTGTTACAGCTTGATTGGGATCCAGATACAAATTCAAACAGTAAGAACAGTGGCATTGGAAGCACCTAGACCTAGCATTCAGCAGGTCTGGAATTCAACTTGCAAAGAAAGAACCATGTATTGAGAATATGTTGGGGTGGTGACAAGAAGACTCGGTCTTATTCTCGCTTTGGACCCAGCTATGTTATGGGGTAGTTTGTAGGGATTTGAGTGCCATCAGTCTTTACAAGCATGAGATGGTAGGGACGAGAAAGCCCAGACTTATGAAACAATTAAACAACACAATGTGATCCCACCAATAAGCAGCTTTAGTAATGTGAAGGTGTATAGCTTATAACTAACAAGCAAAGCAACTCATCCTTGCTAAAATCCAAGAGAAACTTTTCTTGTAAGCCACAGAGAATTGCACTAAGTTGCAAGTAATTAGCCCCTGCTTTGGTTTGAAAAATGTCATAATAATTGAAGATGAGAAACAATAAAACAAACCTCTTGAAGAAATAAGTCAACAAACATGTGGACTTCTCTAGGCTCCTTGTGCTGTAAGAACCACCAAAAGATGGATATCAGATTATTATAAACAAACCAAAACAATCATACGTAGTACATGAAAATATAACTTAACTACGAATTTGTACTTACCTTGATCCAATTGGGTGTTGTAAACCGCTTTTTCAAGAGAACTGAAACTCTCTGAGTTTTCATTTTTATGTACTGAAGGATGGAGAAAAAATAATTGCAAAATGAGTAGTTACACAATATTTCAGTAAAAAGAGGGACAAGAAAGATCATAATAATAGAGTATGAGAAGAATTGTGATTTCTGAAAGAAAATAAAACCTATTAATTTAAGTGGATTAGTTTTCAATATAAAGATTCTTCAAACGAAGGCATACTCTAAAGAGATTATATACAGCATACCAAGAGTGAAACACTATGCACAATTTATTAACAAAAAAAAAAGTAAAGAAGGAAAAACCATGCACTAGATGTGCTCAGCACAGATATGTAACCCCAATTAAATTAAACTCCAATGGCCAAGTGTAGTGCATGGATAGATGCCTAAGAGAGTAAGAGTATATTTGTGTCTCAATGTACATGCACACACACACATAGGAAAAACAATGGCTCATAATTTGAGAAAACTGTAATATTAACATTTTAAAAAAATAAAAAATAAAATAACAATTAGCATATTATCAAATCCCTAAATATAGAGCTGTCAATTCGGGTAAACGGGTCGTGTTTGGGTCGGAGAAGAAGGGGTCGGGTCAATTCGAGTCGTGTCAATTCAGATTAATTCCATAACCTATGCGCGTCGGGTTTGGGTTAGGTCATGCTTGAGTCGGGTCACGTCGGGTCATACTTCTTATCGGGTTTGGGCCGTGTTTAGGTCGGGTTAATAACAGGTCGGGTTACATTCGGGTCGGGTGAACAAAAGGTTGGGTTTAATTCGGGTTTTCACGGGTTAGGGTAATTCTCGGGTTCGAGTCGGGTTCGTTTCAAGTCAATAATTTGCGTAAATCAGGTCGGGTCATTCTCGGGTTTGAGTCGGATTCGGTTCAAGTTAATAATTTGCGGGTTATAATCAAGTCGGGTCATTTTCAAGTCGTGTCATTCTTAGGTCGGGTTCGGTTCAAGTCAATAATTTGCGGGTTATAATCACGTTCGGTCATTTCCAAGTCGGGTCATTCATAGATTCAAGTCGGGTTATGTTTAAGTCAATAATTTGCAAGATACAATCAGGTCAAGTCATTTCCAAGTCAGGTCATATTCGGGTTACATCTCGGAGTCATATAATGCCGGTTGGAACCATATATGATCAATAAATGTTGTCATAAATGTTCGTGGTAAACTTGAGTTAATGAAATCGGTTCAAGTAGTAAAATTATAAATTGAACGTTTAAAGGCAAATTGGATGGTTTCACCCCAACAATTGACTCCCAGGGGTATTAGGAACCATGGTAAACATTTCGACAATTTTTATTTACGGGCGAAAAAAAGTCAAAAAATTCCAAAATTAAAAGTAAAAAATTTCCAAAATTGAAAGCTAATATTCACGATTTTTGAGAAATTTTGAAGGTTTCGAGACCTGTTGTCGAAAAGCCTTAAGATTTTAGGAGATACATATCGGGGTCATATAATGCCGTTTGGAACCATATATGATCATTGTATGTTGTCATAAATGTTCATGGTAGGCTTGAGTTAATGAAATCAGTGCAAGTTGTAAACCGATAAATTAGTCGTTTAAAGTCAAATAGCATGGTTCCACCCACCTAATTGGACTCTCGAGGGGTATAAGGGACAATGGTAAAAAAATTGGCAATTTTTTATTTCCGTGCGAAAAAAGTTAAAAAATCCAAAATTGAAGGTTCTAGAAATTTCGAAGGTTTAAGGGCCCGATGTTGAAAAGAAATGAGATTTTAAGAAATACATCTTGGGGTCATATAATGCTGTTTGAAACCATTTAGGATCATTATATGTTGTCATAAATATTCGCGATAGGCTTGAATTAATGAAATTGGTGCAAGTTGTAAATCGTTAAATTGGTCGTTTAAAGGCAAATTGGATGATTCTACCTACCCAATTTGATTTCGGTAGGTTTCGGTAGGTTATAATGAACCATGGTAAACATTTCGGCAATTTTTATTTCCGGGCGAAAAAAGTAAAAACAATCCAAAAATTGAAAGCGAATATCCACGCTTTTTTTGAGAAATTTGGAGTCTACGGGGCTCAGTGTCTAAAAGTCTTGAAATTCTAGGGAATACATCTCGGGGTCATATAATGTAGTTTGGAACCATATATGATCAATGTTAGTTGTCATAAATGTCCGCGGTAGGATTGAGTTAATGAAATCGGTGCATACAGTAAACCGGTAAATTGGTCGTTTAAAGGCAAATTTGATGGTTCTACCTACCCAATTGGACTCTCGAAAGGTATTAGGGACCGTGATAAAAATTTCGGCAATTTTAATTTCCGTGCGAAAAAAGAAAAAATTCCAAAATTGAAGGCTAATATCCATGCTTTTTTAGAAATTTCAAAGGTTTCAAGGAACGATGTCGAAAAGAAATGAGATTTTAGGGGATACATCTTGGGGTCATATAATGTCGTTTGGAATAATAAGTGATCATTTTATGTTGTCTTAAAAGTTAATAAAATCGGTGCAAGTTGTAATCCGGTAAGTTGGTTGTTTAAGGCAAATCGAATGATAATTGGATGATTCCACCCACCCAATTGGACTCTCGGAGAGTATTAGGGACCATGGTAAACATTTCTACAATTTTTATTTCTAGGAAAAAAAGTCAAAAAAGGCTAATTTCCACGATTTTTGAAAAATTTTGTACGTTTCGGGGCCAAGTGTCTAAAAGGCTTGAGATTTTAGGAGATTTATCTAAGTAGGCTTCAATTAACGAAATCGATGAAAGTTGTAAATTGGTAAATTGGTCGTTTAAGGGTATAAGAACCCTGATAAACATTTCGACAATTTTTATTTTTGGGCGAAAAAAAAGCCAAAATATTCCAAAATTGAAGAATATCCACGCTTTTTGAGAAATTTTAGAAGTTTAGGGGCCCAAAAGGGTTGAGATTTTAGAGGATACATTTTGGAGTCATATAATGCCGTATGGAACCATATATGATCATTATATGTTGTCATAAATGTTCGTGGTAGGATTTAAAGGATTATTGGATGGTTCCACCTAACCAATTGGACTTCAAGAGGGTATTAGGGACCATTGTAAACATTTCGACAAATTTTTATTTTCGGGAAAAAAAAGTCAAAAAATTTCAAAATTGAAGGCTAATATCCACACTTTTTGAGAAATTTTGCAGTTTTCGGAGCTCGATGTCGAAAAGTCTTGAAATTCTGGGGGATATATCTCGGGGTCATATAATGCAGTTTTGAACCATATATGATCATTATTTGTTGTTATAAATGTTTGTGGTAGGCTTGAGTTAATGAAATTGGTGCAAGATGTAAACCTGGAAATTGGCCATTTAAAGGCAAATAGGATTGTTCCACCCACCCAATTGGTCTCCAAAAGGGTATTTGGAGCCACGGTGAACATTTCAGCAGGCGAAAAAAAGTAAAAAAAACTCCAAAATTGAAGGCTAATATCAATGTTTTTTTGAGAAATTTCGAAGCTCCTAGTGTCGAAAAGAAATCAGATTTTAGGGGCTACATATTGGGGTCATATAATGCCGTTTGGAACCATAAATGATCATTATATGTTGTCATAAATGTTCATGGTAGGCTTGAGTTAATGAAATTGGTGCAAATTGTAAACCGGTAAATTGACTACTTAAAGGAAAATTGGTTGGTTCCACGGACTTCGGGAGGGTATTAGGGACCATGGTAAACATTTTGGCTATTTTTATTTTCAGGCGAAAAAAAGTAAAAAATTCCAAAATTAAAATTCACGCTTTTTTGATAATTTTTTGGATATTTCGTAGTCCGGTGTTGAAAAGTCTTGAAATTTTAGGGAATACATCTCGGGGTCATATAATGTTTCGTTTGGGACCATATATGATCATTATTTGTTGTCATCAATGTTCCTGGTAGGCGTGAGTTATTGAAATCGGTGCAAATTGTAAACCAGTAAATTGGTCATTTAAAGGCAAATTGGATGGTTCCACCCACCCAATGGTACTCCCGGACAATATTAGGGACCACGGTAAACATTTCGGAAATTTTTATTTTCGGGCAAAAAAAAGTCAAAATTTTCAAAAATTAAGGCTAAATATCCACGCTTTTTGAGAAATTTTGGAGGTTTCGAGTCCCAGTGTCGAATAGTCTTGAAATTCTAGGCGATACATCTCGGGATCATTTAATGCCGTTTGAAACCATATATGATCATTATTTGTTGTCATAAATGTTCGTGGTAAATTTGAGTTAATGAAATTGGTACAAGTTATAAATCGGTAAAAAGTTCGTAAAAAGGCAAATTGGATGGTTTCACCCACCTACTTGGACTCCCTAAGGGTATTAGGGACCATGGTACACATTTCGACAATTATTATTTCCGAGTTAAAAAAAGTCTAAAAATTCCGAAATTAAAGGCAAATATCCACGCTTTTTCAGGATTTTAGGAGATTTCGGGGCCCGGTATCGAAAATCCTTGAGAGTCTAGAGAATAAATCACGAGGTCATAAAAAGTCGTCTGAAACCATATATAATCACTATTTGTTGTCATAAATGTTTGTGGTAGGCTTGAGTTAATGAAATCGGTGCAAGTTGTAAACCAATAAATTGGTCGTTTAAAGGCAAATTGGATGGCTCCACACAGACCATGGTAAACATTTTCGCAATTTTTATTTTCCGGCGTAAAAAAAGTTATAAATTTTCAAATTTACAGGCTAATGTCCACGCTTTTTGATAAATTTTGGAGGTTTCAGGGCCACATGTCGCAAAGTCTTGAGAATTTAGGGAATACATTAGGGTCATAATGCCGTTTGGAACCATATATGATCATTATTTGTTGTCATAAATGTTCGTTGTAGGCTTGAGTTAATGAAATCAGTGCAAGTTGTAAACCGGTAAATTGGTTGTTTAAAGGCAAATTGAATGGTTCTACCCACCCAATTGGATTCCTTGAGCGTATAAGTAACCATGGTAAATATTTTGACAAATATTATTTCCGAGCGAAAAAAAAGTTAAAAAATTCCAAAAAAGAAGTTCAATATCCACGCTTTTTGAGAAATTTTGGAGGTTTCAGTTCCCGATAAATATTGAAATTTTAAAGAATACATTTCAGGGTCATATAATGTCATTTGGAACCATATATGATCATTATTTGTTGTCATAAATGTATGTGGTAGGCTTGTGTTAATGAAATCGGTGCAAATTGTAAACCGGTAAATCGATTGTTTAAATACAAATTGTACTGTTAAGGGTATTAGGTACCACTGTAAACATTACGACAATTTTTATTTCCGAGCAAATAACATTCAAAAAATTCCAAAATTAAAGTCTAATATCCACGCATTTTGCGAAATTTTGGAGGATTAGGGCCAGTGTCGAAAAGTATAGAAATTCTAGGCGATACATCTCATGGTCATTTAATGCCGTTTGGAACCATATATGATCATTATTTGCTGTCATAAATGTTCGTGGTAGGCTTGAGTTAATGAAATCAGTGCAAGTTGTAAAACGGTAAATTGGTCGTTTAAAGGCAAATTGGATGGTTCCACCCACCCAATTGGACTCCCGGGGGGTATTAGGGAACATGGTAAACATTTCGGAATTTTTATTTTCAGGCAAAAAAAAGTCAAAAAATTCCAAATTAAAGTCTAATATCCACTCTTTTTTTTTTTTTTTTTTTTTGAGATTGTTGAGAAATTTTGGAGATTTCAAAAAGGCTTGAAATTTTAGGATTACATCTCGGAGTCATATAATAATGTCGTTTGGAACCATATATGATCAATATATGTTGTCATAAATGTTCGTGGTAAGCTTGAGTTAATGAAATCGGTTCAAGTTGTAAACTTGTAAATTGGTCGTTTAAAGGCAAATTGGATGGTTCCACCCAACCAATTGGGAGGGTATTAGGGACCATTGTAAACATTTAGACAATTTTTATTTACGGACGAAAAAAAGTCAAAAAATTCCAAAATTAAAGGCTAATATCCACTTTTTTTTTAGAAATTTTGAAGGTTTCACGACTCGACGTCGAAAATATTTCAGATTTTAGGGAATATATCTCGTGGTCATATAATGTTGTTTTGAACTATTTATGAACACTATTTGTTGTCATAAATATTTGTGGTAGGCTTGAGTTAATGAAATCGATTCAAGTTGTAAACCGGCAAATTGGTCGTTTAGAGGCAAATTGGTGGATCCACCCACCCAATTTGACTACCGGAGGCTATTAGGGATCATGGTAAACATTTTGTCAATTTTTGTAGGTCTGTCGAAAAGGTTTGAGATTTTTGGGCGAAAAAAAGTTAAAAAATACTAAAGTTAAAGGTTAGTATCCACGCGTTTTGAGAAATTTTGTAGGTCTGTCGAAAAGGTTTGAGATTTTAGGGGATACATCTCGGGGTCATATAATACTTTTTTAAATCATAAATGTTCATTACATGTTGTCATAAATGTTCATGGTAGGCTTGAATTAAAGAAATCGGTCCAAGTTGTAAACCGATAAATTCGCCATTTAAAGGCAAATTGGATGAATCCACCCACCTAATTGGACTCCCGGATTGTATTTGGGACTATGGTAAAAATTTCGTCAATTTTTATTTACAGGCGAAAAAATGTCAAAAAATTCCAACATTTATGGCTAACATCCACGTTTTTTAAGATTTTGTAGGTCTCGAAACCCGGTATCGAAAATCCTTGAGATTTTAGAGGATACATCTCGGGGTCATTAAATGCCGTTTGGAACCATATATGATCATTATATGTTGTCACAAATGTTCGTGGTAGGCTTAATTAATGAAATCGGTGCAAGTTGCAAACCGGTAAATTGGTTGTTTAAAGGAAAAATGGATGGTTCCAACTAGCCAATAGACTCACATAAGGTATTAGGGACCGAGGTAAACATTTTCGCAATTTTTATTTCCGAGACAAAAAAGTCAAAAAATTCCAAAATTAAAGACTAATATTCACGCATTTTGCGAAATTTTAAAGGTTTTGGGACTCGATGTCGAAAAGTCTTGAAATTCCATAGAATACATCTTGGTGTCATATAATGTCGTTTAGAACTATATAGGATTATTATATGTTGTCATAAATGTTCGAGGTAGGCTTGAGTTAATGAAATCGATGCAAGTTGTAAATCGGTAAATTTCTCATTTAAAGGCAAATTGTATGGTTCCACCCACCCAATGGGACTCCCAGAGTGTATTAGGGACCATGGTAAATATTTCATCAATTTTTATTTAAGAGCGAAAAAAAGTAAAAAATTTCTAAAATTTTGGAGGTTTCAAGACCCGTTGTCGAAAAGCCTTAAGATTTTAGGGATACATAACGGGGTCATATAATGCCGTTTGGAACCATATATGATCATTGTATGTTGTCATAAATGTTCGTGGTAGGTTTGAATTAATGAAATCGATGCAGGTTGTAAATCAGTAAATTGGTATTTCGGCAATTTTTATTTCCGAAAGAAAAAATAGTTAAAAAATTCAAAAATAGAAGGCGAATATCCACGCTTTTTGAGAAATTTGGAGTCTACGGGGGCCCGGTGTCTAAAAGTCTTGAAATTTTAGGGAACATCTCGGGGTCATATAATGTCGTTTGGAACCATATGTAATCATCATATGTTGTCCTAAATGTCCTTGTTAGGCTTGAGTTAATGAAATCGGTGCAAATTGTAAACCGGTAAATTGGTCGTTTAAAGACAAATTTGATGGTTCCACCCACCCAATTGGACTCTTGGAGGGTATTAGGGACCATGGTAAAAATTTCGACAATTTTTATTTCCGGATGAAAAAAAGTCGAAAAATTCCAAAATTGAAAGCTAATATCCACGCTTTTTGAGAAATTTTGTAGGTTTAGGGGACAGGTGTCGAAAAGGCTTGAGATTTAGGGAGATTTATCTCGGAGTCATATAATGCCTTTTGGAACTATATATGATCATTATATGTTGTCATAAATGTTCGTGGTAGGCCTGAATTAATAAAATCGGTGGAAGTTGTAAATTGGTAAATTGGTCGTTTAAGGATATAAGGAACTATGGTAAACATTTCGATAATTTTTATTTCTGGGCGTAAAAAAAGTCAAAAATTTTCAAAATTGAAGAATATCAACGCTTTTTGAGAAATTTTAGAAGTTTCGGGGTCCGGTGTCGAAAAGGCTTGATATTTTTTGGAATACATCTCGGAGTCATATAATGTCGTTTGGAACCATATATGATCATTATATATTGTCATAAATGTTCGTGGTAGGATTTAAAGGCAAATAGGATGGTTCCACCCAACCAATTGGACTCCTAGAGGGAATTAGAGACCATGGTAAATATTTCGGCAATTTTTATTTATGGGAAAAAAAAAAAGTCAAAAATTTCCAAAACTGAAGGCTAATATCCACACTTTTTGAGAAATTTTGTAGGTTTCGGGGCCCGGTGTCGAAACGTTTTGAAATTTTAGGGGATATATCTTGGGGTCATATAATGTCGTTTTGAACCATATATGATCATTATTAGTTGTTATAAGTATTCCTGGTAGGCTTGAGTTAATGAAATTGGTGCAAGATGTAAACCGGTAAATTGGTTGTTTAAAGTCAAATAGGATGGTTCTACGGGGGCCCGGTGTCTAAAAGTCTTGAAATTCTAGATAATACATTTTGGGGTCATATAATGTCGTTTGGAACCATATATGATCAATATATGTTGTTATAAATGCTCGTAGTAGGCTTGAATTAATTTAATCGGTGCAAGTTGTACACCGGTAAATTGGCCGCTTAAAGGCATATAGGATGGTTTCACCCACCCAGTTGGACTCCCGGAGTGTATTAGGGATCATGGTAAACATTTCGCCAATTTTTATTTCCGGGCGAAGAAAAGTAAAAAAATTCCAAAATGTAAGGCTAATATCCACGCTTTTTGAGAAATTTTGGAGGTTTCAGGGCCTGATGTCGAAAAGAATTGAGATTTTATGGGATATATCTCCAGGTCATATAATGCCGTTTGGAACCATATATGAACATTATATGTTGTCATAAATGTTTGTGGTAGGCTTGAGATACTGAAATCGGCGCAAGTTGTAAACCGGTAAATTGGCCGTTTAAAGGCAAATATGATGGTTCTACCCACCCAATTGGAATCTCAGGTTTGAGTCGGTATTTCGGGTCGGGTCAACTTTTGACAGCTCTACCTATATAGCTAAGATTCCAAACTAGAAAGGAACCATAATGTCTTCTTTTACCTTCTTTCCTAATTGTTTTCTTTGGCCATTGTCGTTTAAATAAGAGAATTAAAGAAGTTGAGTTCAAGATCTTAGAGAAAATTGAGGACTAAAAGTAGGTAAAATGAAAAGCAATATTACTGGCATTAGATGATTAAAAGCAAAGAGTAAGGAAACCTACAAGGTGCAGAAACTTTTCAGCAGCTGATCGATAAATTCTGCAAATTTCTGCAGGAACAAACGCAGGGCCACTCTCATATTTCCGAACACTACCACCAGAAAATGAAGTTGCGATCTCCTGATAAAAAAAAGTGCAACGTCATAGGCAATCTCACAGAGTAGAAAGAAGATTTAAGAACTCCATAACAAACATTAACCTAAAAAGGATCAAGAAAACTCAGGAGTACTTGCCTCAGTGATTCTTGGAATGGCATTTTGATCTATAAAAACAGAGAGCTGTGCCAGAACAAGAACAAGTCCAGCAACAGTCTTATCTCCTTGTATGCCATCATGAAAGATTATATATTGAGTAGCTGAATTACTTTTCCCTGAAAGCTGTAGAAAGCGATTATATAGTGATCTGAAGAAGTCTTGAAATCCTTCTTGAACCCAATCAACTATCAAATCTCTCAGGCTACTTAGCAGAGGCAGGGTATCATCCAGGAGTTGGCGAAAGTCCTATAAGAAGTCACAAAACATTGATTTGAATCATTGACACAGCAACACTAATGAAAAACAAGAAAACTGATTTAGAATAAGAAATATGCCGGGGTATCCTGAAAGTAGAAAAAGGGCAAACAAAATGTTAAGAATGTCTATGAAATTATGACTAAGGTACAGAAAGCCATGTCCAGGCAGCTATGATGTTTTGTTGCCTATGGGACAGGTAATAAGCATTCTTGCACAAGACATGACATTATAGAGTAGAAACTGCTTTTCTCAATTCATGTAAGTTATGCACATATGTAAAGGTAGATTTCGTAGACACATGTATTACCAGCAAGACACCCATACTCCCTTGTATAACTGCCTTCTTGCTGGCCTCCAGTATTGCCTGCAAAGGATGCTCTTCTTTCACTGCCTCCTTTTGGTGGATTTGAACTTTCATCAGTGAGTCTGCAAGTTCCAATATGTTTTATTATACATAACCCATCAACCAAACAATGATACAAATTCGGATCGAGCATATGCTATACAATGTAGTATAAAATGTCCGAAGTCCACAGCTACAGACCTTACCATAACCAAGGGTGTTTACTCTAAACCTAAATAGCTAATAATAGCATTCATCACCTTCTATCTAGGTTTATCTTAATGACTTAGTTCCATATATAGCTACCAAAACAAAGTTAGGGCTCATTTAAGACTAAGCTCCATATTGACCTAGTCTGCTACAAGTCTACAACAGAAACACAATTTCTACCACCATTTTCTCAATCTCTTTCACTTAATCTACTCGCTCCATTTTGGAATAATTGATACGCTATATTGGCACATAATTTAAGAAAATAATGGGTGGCGGCATATTGTGAGTTGTTAAAAATAAAGGTAATAAATTTATTTAAATTTTTAGAAAAGGTGCATGTGACTATGTGAGGGTGGGAGAATTAGTGCGTTATGGTGGGCGAGATAGATACATTTTAATAATGGTGGTCCCTTTCCAGTTATGATAGTGTGCCATGTATTCTAAGGCGGCCACAAGAGAGAAATGTGTTAATCATTTCGAAACAGGGAGTAATTAGTAAAGCACCAAATGTTTTTACAACATCAATAATAGTTGCAGCACCCCCAGAAACTCATAATTGCCATATCCACAGCATAAAAAAGATATTGAAAAAAAAATGAAATCAAGTATATTAGGGCTCATTCAGTTTCGCTATAATTTATTGTTTTCCAAGATCATATGATATAGGTCATTTAATGAAAAAAATTGGTCAATTTTTTAAATACCCTGATGTTTAAAACTAACAACAGAAAAGTGGAAATAACTTTTTCTAGTTTTCTGTTTTTGGTTTTTTGTTTAAAAAAAAAACAGAAAACATAAACAATTGCGAACAAGCCCTTAACTTATTGTTTGTTTCTTTTGATTGAACAATCAACAATTTTGCATAATATAGCTGGTATATAGGATTAGCACCCAGAAACAACTCAAACCTCGCTGACATGAGCAATAATCCTGGACATCTTTCTCAGATTCTAAATTTATCATTCTTTCGAGTACCAAGTTGGGGAAAATATAAAGAAATACATGCAGCTGCTTGGCAAATTGCAACCTTATCGAACCAAATCCTTATTAGTACTTCTACATATGCAACTGAACAGTCTAGCTAACAAATAAAAAAAACGATTTACCAGATATATCCTGCAAAAGACGCGAAAAGGCGCCAGCAATGTACTGCTTGACGGCATGGTTGGCAGCCTGGTCACAAATACAGGACAAGAAACAATAAGAACAGTATCCCTTTACATGAGAATTGTCATGATGCAGGCTCTCATGGGTCAAAGAGGCAGAAGTTTTAACAGAAATTATGTAAATGTCCAAGGAAAAACCTCCAAACAAGCATCAGCAACAGCTGCTTCAGGCAGTACTTCATCCATCAGCAGCACATCATCCCAGACAAGTCCTAAACAAGAAAATAAATTAATTTAATAACCTTGTGACATACACACCTTTTAAAGTAATTTGGAGGTGTATAAGAAACTAATATCCGCTACCCAGAGCATGTTAGGAGCTTTACCCACAGCTCCTCCCCTTTACGTAAGTAATAAAATGTAAACATTTCTACTTAAAGGACGATGAACTCACATTTAAAGGCAAATTTACAGATTATGATGGAATAATCACAATATGCATGTCCCATGAGCTATAGGCTTTGGCTTAGCAAACCAAGTTACAGAGACTCTCCTAGAGACCTTTAACAAAAAGATGGAGCCCCAAACACCACGAGTAGCACTGTTATAGTCCTATAGCTTCAGATAGGCAGAACCAGGGCACATGAGCTACTATAAACTATAAGCTTTATTACACATACTGACATGCCTCTTATTATGAGGTGTAGCCTGTAGGAGCTGTAATGAACTGATTTTCTGGGTTTATATTTCTGATTTAATCATGCAACAAATAAAGATGAAAGCTTTAAGGTTGATTAATAATGGTGGAAGGGTTACAATAGATAAATTAATAGCTTAAGGCTATTACTCTCAAATAGTGAGTTTAGCTCACAACTCTCCAAAATGGCTTTAGTCCATGACTCGCTACGGTTTCCCTCAATACCAAATTTCTGCCTACCTTCGCTTCCCTCCTCTATCTCTATTTATACAAAGGCTAAAGGCGCTAACCTAATAATACTAGATTACCAGTATGCCCTTCCTTATGTTAGTCTAAAACAGGAGCCATATGAGTTTTACTGTTTCCTGAGTTTAATGTACAAAATAAGTCAAGCAGAAAGCAGTTCAACAAACAGGATGCATAAGCATCTACAAAAAATTAGAATAATTCTCCCAAGTAACCGAAAAATCATGAGCAGGACCAACACTTGGACATAAGAAGGGGAAAATGAAACTTACGTAGCAGTCCCAACAATTCTGCAGAAGAAATTTGGTTCTTTATGAGCTTCTCAATGGATTCAAAGTGCCTGAAGCAACATAGTGATCAATCATCAGATAACAGATTATGGTAGATAAGTACAGAGATTGAGTGAAGTGATCAATTGAAAATGTTGAAGGTAATTCAACTTCAAATTACTTGATAACAAGATCGTGTGAGATTCTGATAAGTTGCTGCTCAGAATCCGGAAATATAACACGGTAAGCACGGACAGCCTCCACCAGCTCACGAGTTGAAACCTGGTCATGGAATGGTCAAGTAACTTAAAGGGACCACAAATGCAACAAGTAAAGATGTATCTAGTAGCTATTATGAGCAAGTAACCTTGATACAAGAAATATGATGAAATTGTAAATAGGCATCAACAAATTACAAATATCAATCATGAACAATAGAGAAGTAGAAGTTTTCACAATCAAAAAGACAGAAACACATTCATGTCAATCTTAAACATCTAAAAAAGAGTATCAATCACAAGAGTTCCAGAACCTTTTTTTTTTTTTTTTGGGGGGGGGGGGGTGAGGGGGTCATGCATGCTGTGCTAATTTGTGTTGAGGGCAAAAAATACAAAGTCTAGAAAAAGCACAGCTCCACGCCTACACATATATTTCACATAATTCATGGACAATGTGTTTGTGCCAGCAGCATCACTTACTAAGGTACTGTATTAGAAAATCAGAGCCAGCAACCGGTACTAGACTACTAGCAGATCCAAAGGCTTCAATGACCATACAGCCCATACTCCTCTCTAAATTCCATATTTCTATCACTTTACAAAAAACAATGGCCTTTCCTAATGCTGTTAGGAAATTGGTGTCTATTTTCTGGAATTTGAACAAAAAGTAGAAAGTGAATTATAAAAATAAATGCCATAATAGAAGCCCAATGACCCAGTTACAGGTCCAGCACATGAAGCAGGTTGTACAGCCAACCATACAAGTAGGCTACTAGGCTAGATAGCATGAAGGAGATCTATCATCACAAGAATAATTGAAGCTCAGACATGTACCCAGGGGAGTCCAATCCTTTGAACTACTAGATCAGGACTCAACGATTTAGAAAGGTCTGCTGCTCCATGATTAAGATGACAGCCACTACATGCATAAATTTAAGATAAAGTAGGTCTGATTTAATGTTGTTTAGATCAATTCCAATTGTTATTTCAACAGAAGGAAATACATTGCATACCTCGTGAGCAGCAGGGATGTGATCTGGTGATTCTTGTTTTACAGACTCGTCTGCTTTTGCAGAATGGCTGCCACATCCGTCAAAGTGGAGTTGTACATCTTCAAGGGATTGCTCCAACTTTTCAAATAATTGATCTTTCAAGTTGTCCACCTGTTGAAAAGAATAAATTTGTCAAACAGGGCACTGAATGAATTCACCATTGAGCAAAGTGCACCGAAAGTCCGAAACCATTTGGCACAACTTCAAATGCTGGAAATGACTACAAATCATTGTTAAGCTAATGTGATAGTGATGAAGAACACACCGGGAAATCCAGCTGCTTCAGAAGCATTACAGCCTCAGCTCTAGCTTGGATGGATTCTGAATCTGAAAAAAGCTTTCCCTGAAGAAGAAAAAGCATGGAATGCTAAAGTTATCCTTCTTCATAATCTTCACTATTAAGAAGAAAGAGCATGGAATGCTAAAGTTATCCTTCTTCATAATCTTCCCCTATTAAGTATAACCAAATACGATGATGAAGTATATAATGAGTATTAGCGCCTTTTTCTATTTCCGATTTCCTTTCCCTTCTACCAGATAAAGCTGGCTTCTTTTAGGAGGGCAAAGAAGTTTTACAAAAATTAGGTATCACTTAAAGCAGAAAATACAGAACAATCTTACTCACTATCACTAATAATAACTATTTAGAATCTCACATAAACAACAGCCACCGACAACTACAATCACCTGCCTGTAATGTCATACACAGATTCAGCACAGCATTTGGAGGCAACAATTACAACAAAGTTGAAAGAAGCCCTTACTTGTGTTATCTTTCTTGTTCCCAAATAAATCAAATATAAAGGACAGGCTGTTCCCAGAAAGGGGGGGGGGGAATTCGAAGAAAAGGTACAAGTAAATATACTGCATCAATTCTAGTTGAAGGGAATCCTTTTCAGGCCAAAGCTATAGATTCTGCTTTCGGATTCACCAACTTTTTTCAAATTTTTCTTCCTTGAACAAATTTGAGTATTGGGTCTTAATTATTTATTATCTACTTACAGGGAACAACTAGTTTCACCTCCATAGCATCAAATACTAATGAGTTATGTAAACTAAACATCTCAGTCCAGGAGTCAGAATGGACTAATTACCTGCAGATTCTTAATTATGATGCTCACTGCTTCTTCAGATGCTTTCTTACAGTCTTGGAATGATGAGTCTCCATATACCTATTGGAAAGAAACCAAAGTATACAAAAGGGTGATTTTGAGAAATTTAACTTCACTTCTATGCAATGACTCACAACACAGAGAAAAAGTAGGACCTATAAATTCAGTGCAGAGGGAAAACCTTAAATATAGGCATAGCTCCAGTGTAGAACTTGACTGCATCAGCATAAGCTTCAGATTTAATGCACTTCCCAAGTCTTTCAGGTAAATCATATATGAACTGTTCTATTCCAGACATGTAAAAAAATCAGTCAACTTGGTTATAGATCTGAATTTTAGAAGCCCAGCAAACAACAAAAAGAAAAGAAATCCAGCACATTTAAACAATGGACTATTAACAAATCATGAAGAACCAACATCTAACTTACTTTTATACAGGTTTCAAATTTTATAAGATAAATAATTTACATGTTTCAAATCATGGGATTAAGGCTTTGATTGATTGATTGAAATAATTTAAAGGTTTACAACAGATAATATCCAAAGTGCTTAGTCATACAAGGGTGGCCGCCGCTAACATATAACTGAAGTAAGCACAAGACCCCATAAGAAAATGGAACTAATCCTATTCCAGCTACAAAGATATCTAAATGGGGCTCCTATACCAGAACATAACATCAAACCATCACCAAACGAAGTAAACAGGTTATCCACCCACTTAAATACCTGAATTTTGCGTAGAAGGTTGCGGGTGCGGTGCAGCTTTTCGATATGTTCCCTTTTCTCAAACAGTGATGTGTTGACCCCATCACTTCTAGATTGCACCAATAGTATCTGCAACACAGTTAAAGTTGAAAAATCAAAAGAAATAAACATTTACTTCAGTGGGAGATTGTTGGATAGATGACTTTAATTTTCAAACTACCTTCTCGAGTAGCTGTTCCATATTTGCTTCCATGCCCACTATGTTACTATTCATCCTATAAGATTAATAAAATGAAATTAATTGTAAATAACATAAAACAATCACATTGTAAAGAAACAAGTATGAATTATAGGTCCACAAGCATAGCCATGGGAAATTGTGGTATACAATTCTATATGTGCAAATTAACAAGCATGACTTATGTGGATGCAAGCTCAACCACTAACAGAGATCAATAGGAAAAAAAAAATATATCAATATATATATATATAAGAAGACACAGAGGATTTACAGCATTTAACACACATCATAATACAATCAAACCCCCCATCATTAAACATCCAAACGATCAATGCTGATGAGTTCAAAACTTGCCTTTTGATTGTATCCGTGGCACTAATGAACTTATTGTAGTTCTCATACACTAACATCTGCAAATCAGTGTCCAAATTTTTTATCTCAGCTGCCATTTCAACATGTCGTTGAAGTAGTGTTTCTAAGTTCAACTTTTGTACCTGTAAATGGCATATATAGAAATATCCAAGTATAAGTACGCAATTGCAGATATAATATACCTCTCAAGATTCGAAAAACTACTGATATAAGTAATTCTGAGAACATCTTCCATAGTAATTCCTCATACATTGCAAGATTACAAAACACTAAAACAGGACAATAGCAAAGTTGATTCATCTACCCATAAGCCTGTAAAAAATAATGGACTGTATCCTCGGATTAACAAAGGAAATATTAATAAAGCCTATTATTCATTTTACACTCAAATCCAAGACAAACCTCCAACAAGGCAATAAACAACTAAGATCAAACAAAAATGAATTGCCTTCAGTACTATATATAAGTTCACCCTACAGGACAAAGTACCAAAGATAACTTTGCTAGGCAAAAGTGTAAATGACAAGTTGACAACAAAAGACCAAAAATTTTGGCTGTCGTAGTGGTTGGTTTGTTGAGAAGAAAGATGAAAGATAAGAATAAGTATATCTTGAATTTCTAAGCAGACATGCTAACGAGGCTTCTACCAAAGGATTTTTTTAAGGCATAAGCCGACAATAGACAATAAAGTACTGTTTGTAATTCTAGTTTCTAGAAAATCCCTAATCCTCCGTCTTTGTTATATACTTTATATTCTTTTATCCAGAAATCCAAAAGATCAGGGAATCTAATGCAACTCCAAAGCATCTACCTTTCCCTGCATAACCAAGCAAGCTATAAAACCTTTGCTAGGCAATTAAGCAATTAGACACTGGCCCCAAGCAACCCTCTACACAGTCATGAGTAGGCCGCGCTTTTCTCAACATTGTCATAATAAGTTGATGTAATGAAAAGTAGCTACAAATACCCTGGGTTTAAAAAAAATTATACCATGAATCCACAATTTCTCCCATGTTTTTATAGGGCCCCTCTCCCATTCTCATTGTCTTTATTTCTTGTCTCAATGGGGAAAAAATGCCAATTGACCAATCCCCTTCTCAAAGATTCTTATTATTTATCAGCATGATGCCATGATGCCTAATGTTAATGGGGCAAGCTTACGGGTATCAAAATTCCCCGCAAAAGCAGTCAACTAAGTACATGTTTTTTATTAATTGCAATCCAAATAGTCCAAACTCCAAAGATCAACTCCGTGCCCCTTCCCAATCTACACAAAACATATAAACATGTGTACAAGTTCAACACCATCAAACTAAATCATCTAAAATAATCCAAGAATTACATAATTTTACCACCATATGCCTTAGAGTACAAAGAGAGCACAACACATAAATTCAGTCATTTCCGGAGTTGAATTTCAACTAAATTAGGGAAGCTAGCCCTATTGTACTCAATACACCCGTTGGTATCAAAACTTTGCCATTCCCCTACAGTCCCGAGTCTCCCGAGTCAAGACAGTGAAGTGATCAAGTAGGAGTCTAAATCTCAACACCAAGCTCCTTCTTCTCTTTTTAGCACATCGCAATGACTTTCGTTCGGGTTATGTCTATTACTATGGTACTACATTAGTCTACATCATCCAACTCCCAGCTACAATCGGCTAGCCAACTCGACTATCGGCTAAAATTCTCAATGCCAGCCCCCAAGACAAATTAAACATCTTCTAACTCATTGATCAACAGCTCCGAAAGCCGAAATCAAAACATAATCAAATCATCCACATAATTAGCACACATTACACAGCGATATCTTCTAACCCATTGATCAACAACTCCGAAAACCGAAATCAAAACATAATCAAATCATCCACATAATTAGCACACATTACACAGCTAAGTATCAAAATGCTTATAAAACAAAACTGATTCCATCAATAAAGAAGCTAAATCAACCAAATTAAACGCACTAAAAAACTAAAAACAATAATTTCAAGAAATAAAAAAGGAGAGAGAAAGTACCAATAGATTCATGTAGTTGTCAGGATCAAAAGAAGGGGAATTAATCGTATCCAATGTAGCATACTTCGAAGAAACTGCATTTGAATTAGCTCCTGAAGTTGATTGATCCGTCGAATAAAAGCTCGATAACAGATCTCTCATTCTCTTCGATTTATCATCCAATGGTACATCATCTGCCGCCATTTTCCGTACAATTAATTTCTACAATTTGAATTTTAATGGGATCGAATTGGGAATCTGAGTTTACAAAATTTGAAACAATTAGGGTTTTTTCCAAGTCTTTTGATGATTGAATTGGGGATTGAGTGTGATGAATGTTTGGAAAGTTGGGAGTAAAAATAAATTGAGCAGGAGTTTTTTCTAACTGAGGTTTTTTGATCTGGAAAATGAGGAGAGAGAAATGGATGCGGTGTTTGTGTTACGACGTCGTTCGGTTAGTGGTGCTGATAAATTGTCCTTCGTCATTGGTTTGGGTTCATATTGGGCTAATCTAATGGCTAATGCTTAGTCCCTGGATCCTTTATTCTCGTTAATCTATAAGTGATACTGTATATATTTAAGTGGGGTTTTGTTTGACATAAAATATAAAGGAAAAAGGTCTAATCGTTATGAATAAAATTATAAACCTCCGTTTCATATTATTTGCAACGATTTGACATAAAGTATATTTTATTAGTATCAAATTTTTACGCGTATTTAAATAGAGATATAAACGTTTGAAGACATGACTTAGAGACCGTGAAAAGTCAAATGGGGCAAAAAATAAGGGACTGAGAGAGTAGTAAATATAGGGCTAACATGCCTGGCAATCCCTGACTCGACCAGAAGTTACTGAGAGAAACCCGACCCCGAACAACCCGAAATCTACCCGATTTGACCCAAATTTCATATTTCATAATAATATAAAGTTTTACACTATTTTGGATTGTTTCTAAGCATAGCCCGGAATTTGACCCAAATCCGACCTGCTGACCCATATTGCCACCCCTAAATAAATGAGGCCCTATAGTTTAGTTTGTTCAATTGGATGCATTGTAATGACTTCCACACAATTTTGGAAATACAAAATACTTATACAATTAGGTGTATCCGAGTGTATATTTAAATACGTAACTTTTGTAAGTTTGTTATACAAAGGTACAATTATATTTTGTTTAGAGTTGTCAATGGATTATTATTATTATTATGTTCTTCAAGGGTAATATATCATCCCATTTTCACATTATAGTTTTATTACATTTCACATTTGATAATGCTTAAATAATTTTCATTTTGTACTTATGCGTACTTTTATTTAGAAAAAAAATGTCGGAGTGGTGAAAGAATTGCATGGGGAATAGTACTTAAATTCAATGTCAAATACTTTATTATAATCAAACACAATGAGAGCTGAGGTAGGTATAGTGAAAGTCTTAGGGCCAGTTTTCATTGACTGAACTCAGCTGAAATGAACTGAACTGAAATAAATATTTTATAAGAGAAGGAAATTAGGAGCTAAACTAAACTGAACTGAATTGAACTGAATTTCAACGTATGAGAACAGACCCTTACTCATTTGCAACAAATTTCTACACATAACTTACATGCACATAATCAGAAATATAGTTTTTGGTGTACCTGGTAATGCATAACAAGTTATACGGTAAGAATCCTTCTCTCATGCCACCAATTTGTGTCTTGTTTGATTTTCAATCACAAGACTTTAAATATGGTGTAGTCTTGCAGTGTGAAAAATAATACAGGTGTGTTAAACTTGTCAAATGAATTGTGTAAGTATGAAAATATTCTAATCAAACGGTTGCAACTACCAAATTGTTGTAATGTGACTCTTATATATGTAAAACTTCGCTATTTTTGTAATAGCTACATGTTTTCTATTAAGTGGATATAATAATCCATATCGATATCAATATACCATCTTTTACCTTTTTTTAAGGCAAATATACCATCTTTTACTAATACATGACTCTTTTTACATTTTCTTAGTTGCAACACAGGAGGATACACAATGCTCTCGAGATAAGAGAGATAGAGAATTAGGAAACTTATGCGATAACTTGATAAGGATAGAGATAGAGATAATTATGGTCTAAAACTTCAACTAAATCAATATTATATAGAGCATGTATTTTACAACTTAAGAAATAATAAAATATAATCAATAAAGAATGGAGAAATATATCATTACCAAAAGATAAACATGTCCAAAATGTGAACTATATTTGAATTAAAAGGTTTAATTAAGAAGACTTATACGTAATTTATGGAGTATATGAAGAAAAGTAAACCAATAAATAAAAGGAATATTCACCCCTTGTTCCTTTTTTTCTCACCCAAAAAAAAAAAAAAAAAAAAAAAAAAAAAAAAAAATAGAAAAGAAAAGAAAGAAAAGAGGAATATGGAGTAGAATATACGGTAATGCAAGCACGAAAGCTGACGTCATACAACATGCTATATTACCATTTGGCATTTGCCAGCCAAAACTTGCCAAATATACCAATAATTTTTTATTTTTTTTTTTAATAATTTTTTTATTTTTTTTAATAAATTTCTTATTCTTATTGTTAATATTTCTTGCTCACAATGGAAGATTTCTATCCCACCTAACACCCATGGCCCCTCCTAATGAGCTCATCACATAATGACATAAATAGTACGAGTACTTTGTATAAAAGAAATAAATTCCAATGTGCTCCACCTTTATAAATAAATGGCAAAAGCTAGTGAACGTTCTAGGGACGTTAGATAAGATAAATAAAAGTGAAAATATTAGAATAAAATTAACATTAATTATATTGAATGTCGCGTGATTTTGTCATACTTTTCTAACTTAATACAAAGTACAATACTATTTTAACCAATATAATTATTCCATATCAAATGCTCCGTGAAACTTGTTAGCGAAGATAATTTGTGTTGACCAAACAAAAAAACCAAGGGAAAGGAATGCTTCATTTCCCAACAGAAGTAAAATAAAAATAGAACTTTTATTTAGACTCAATCTTATCTAAAATACATTTAGTCAATTTTGTAGAAAAAAAATTCAATGATTAATATTTTGTATCATTAAAAGGTACTCCATATTTCTTATAAAATATTGAGATAAAGTTTAAAAAAACTTAAGAAATTAATCACAAAAAGTTGTCCAAACAAATACGTGTCGAGTAATATAAAATTTTCAAATAAAGGCAAATTTTAATAAGAATAATAACTGAATACAGTACATAATAAGATTATATAAGATCAGATTAATTAATATAATAGGCAAATATCTTGTAGATTAAGGGTAAAAATTTGATGACAGCCAGATCTTAACAGCTAAATAAAATAATAGGATAGGATAAGCAGCTTCCAAGAAAAACAGGAAAAAAAAAAAAAAAAGCCCTTGAAAATTCTATAAAAACCGAGCTATAACCCTTAACAAAACCTTCTTTCCTCCTTTCTTTGCTTTGATTGCATACTTTGCGTTTTCTTCTCCCAGATAAGTCTTTATCTTCTCTCTCTTTTTCCAATTTTCCTCTTTCTTCAATTTTCTCATAAATTCCCCAAATTTCTTCCCCTTTTCTTTTTCAATTTGCTCTTGTTTTTTTAGATCTAGGGTTTGTTTCTTCAATTATATAGTGTATGGTTTGAAATTCAATTCAATGTTTTTCGAGCCTATATGAGCTACCAAATCCAGATGCGGAGGATCCGAATTCTCCATTCATTTTCAGTTGTTTTCCTCTATTGGTTTTACGTTTTCTCATGAATTAATCGTTTCAATTTCATAGATTTAGGTGTTTATTTTCTAGATTTTTAGATTTTGTCAAACCCTAACCCTAATTTCCGATTTCCCCAAATAAAAATCTTTTTTCGAAGAAAACAACTGATTTTCCGAATTTAGTAGAAATTTCGTGTGATTTATAATGCAGCAATCGCAGCCGGTGAGTTCCGGGTCGGATTCTGATCCGAGGTACGCGAATATGGATGAACGGAAGCGAAAACGGATGCTTTCAAACCGCGAATCGGCCCGAAGGTCGAGGATGAAGAAGCAGCAGCATTTAGATGAGCTATTAAAAGAAGTGAATCAGCTAAAATCTCAGAATTCTGAGATTGCTCAGAAGACGGATGTTGTTACACAGCATTACATTGCTTTTGAATCAGAAAACAATGTTTTGAGAGCTCAGATGATGGAATTAACTGATCGATTAAGGTCTCTGAATTCTGTGCTTCAGTTTATGCAGGATGCTAGCGGTTTTGCCATGGATATCCCCGAGATTCCTGATACTTTGCTTGAGCCGTGGCAGCTCCCTTGTCCCGTTCAAACAATCCCGAATGTGTTTCAATGTTAACGATAAATCAATGTGTCTGTTTTCGAGGATAATCTCGAATGCTTAGTAACAATCAATGGTGGTGAAAGATGGGATTTATTATTTCGTTTTCGATTGCGAAGAAGATTGTTGTTGTTTTATGTGGATGGGATGCTTTTTAGTAGCTTGTCAAATTTGTGGTTTTGGTGATTTAAGAGTCTTAAATGTGTTGGTGGTTGTTAATTAGTTTGTTATTAGGTTTTGATTGTAATGTGTTTGTTACTCCTTTTATTCAAGTCAAGTCTATTGGTGATTGTGTTGGAATAATAAAGTTGAAGTTTGTTGATTGAATGAGTCCGTTCTACACAATACTTTTCCTTTTAGTTATAATCGTGACACATTTCCTTGCCAAATAAAGTTCTTAAAGAATTAAACCTCTTAAAGATTCAATTTTTATGAGCATTTCTAAAATAATTTATCATGGTTTGGACTTGAATTAGGTACTATAAATTTGTAACATGTTGAGGGCAAGTGTTGTATTTTGAGGGTTTATTCTAATGTTGTATTTTGCTGGAGAGCACCACTAGCCCACAAGATCATCAATCTTGTGTTCTGTTCTTTTAGCATAAGTGTGCTTTTTATTGTGACCACTTTTGGTTTCTTAAGAGGGTGAGGAAACATGAAGAGAAGGGGGACAGAGAGCTTTATACACACCATTACAAAGTTTTAAGGTGGAAGAGCTTTATAGTGGATTGGCCTTTAAAGCTAATTAAAAGGGTTTGAAAAGGAATATCCTTTTATATGCTTAGTGATGATATTGATTTTTGTTTTTAACTTTATTATGAATGCACAAATTCATTAATATGATTTTTTTTTTCCCATTTACACTAGAAACATATTAGAGTGGAATATGTGAATTGTACTAAGAATTAATAAGATACAAAAAGAGGTATTATTCACGATTTTTTCATATGATAATACCTTTAACTTAAATTGACTAAAGGGATCAAAAGGGTTTTACTTGAAGTGATTGGATTTCGACTATCACTCATATCTAGAATTTCGTATAATTGCTATAAATAAGAAGTGGCTTTGACATCAGGTGACAGGAGCAAGTTTGTTACTCCAGGATCCAAAACAATTCAAAATTCATCAGCTACATTTATTGAGATAAGATACTTAACAAATTAGCATTAGATAAAGGGCTTGTTCATTTCAGCTCCAATAAGTTTTATTCAGTTCAAGCTCAGATCCTAATTTCCTTCTCTCATAAAATATTCATTTCAGTTGAATTCAGCTCCAATCAGTTGTGTTCAGTTCAGAAAATGTGAACAAACCCAAACTTTTGTAAATTCTTCAAATTACTCGTGTTGTAATTATAGTAAGTTCCTAAAATCATTGTGATTCATGTTCATAACCTAATGATTTAGATAAAGATGTGTATAACTTAGTTGACTCAACCTAACCTAAAAGTGATCCCAATTTATATTTTTTATTTTTTTTGAAATCATCCCAAATTAGATTTCGACTTACATAAATACAATAATTTTAGATAACGCAAACCCAAACCCAAACTAGACTTGGTCTAAACTGATTCAGTGATCCATTTTGACTCATTGGTTCAAGCCATGAATTGAGGCTATCTTTCTTTTTCCTTGTTTCCTCAAGCTCCCCTAAAAAAAGTGAATTAAAAAGAAAAACCCTCAAACGTTTAATATTGCCCCTTCGTTTAGTAGTTTTTTCACTGTATCCCTCTTTTTCTCTCTCTCTTCCATTGAATTCTTCGTTGAAGCGGCTTGTGAGCTTTCTTTCCTCCATTGAAGCAGTTTCTGAGGTAAGATACTCTTCTTTAATCATCGAATTTTCACAATCTAGGGTTTCGTTAATTTAGTTGTCAGTGTACTCAATTTAGGGTTCGAATTATTGAACTATTACTTTGATAATTAAAATCATATTTCGTTGCAGACTTTTGTTTATACATTTCTTTACTATGAAAATGCATTTTTTTTCTCTATAATCTTAATTAATGTGAACAATTTAGGTGAAAATGGTCTTTTGGATGTATACCTTTTCAATTTTTTCGAGCAATTTAGGTTTTGTTTTATGAACTTACAAAGTAATTTGGTTACAGATTGGTATCACATTCAGACTTTCAGAGCTCTACCGAAGTAGTAGAAAATGGTAATCTTTATTCGTAATTCAATACTTTTGGACTAACATATATTGCTGAATGAATTTAATCGAGCTCCATGCTTTATTTTTGGTGTTGGCAGCTATTCTTTTCGTATTTCAAGGAAATCGTGGGGCGTGAAGTGGTTGTGGAACTGAAGAATGATCTCGCGATAAGGGGCACCCTCCGTTCTGTTGATCAGTACCTCAATATCAAGCTGGAGAACACTAGGGTTGTTGACCAAGACAAGTATCCTCACATGGTATCTCCTGCTCCCTACCATTTCATTGTTTCCTCGAAATTTTTGCACCCTTTAATATGATTGTATGGAGTTTGTTGAAACTTTATTCATCAATGAGGCAATGATTTTGGGTGAGGAATATGGAGCTAATGCTTATATTTTGTTCTTGATCTTAACATTTGTTATTGCTTCAGTTTTCACTTTGCGTAGTAATTATTGATAGGTTTTAATCAGGGATGAAATATTGCGTTCATTTTCTTTTTCCTTAGACATTTGTATATGAATGCATTAGTTTGAATGATGTATTTTAGGCTGCGTGAAACTCATATATGCTAGAGTCGGCTTAGCCTTTGAACTTGTTTTATCCCTAGATGGATTTCAGCGATGAATACGCATTACATCTATTTTGCTTTGACATTCCCCAAACCTCTCTACTGACTTTATTTGGATTGGTGAATGCTTTAGATGGTTTCAGACCTTTCCCTTATCCAGTCAATTTGCCGTGCTTGATGGTTATAATTAGCTGTAGAGTTCACATTTGATTTCTCATCCCATGAAGACGCTGCTATCATTTTTATCTTTAGTAGTCTCCTTTGTCCAATGGTCTCTTGACGATCTTTTATATCTTTATCTTCTCTTAGCTGTTAACTACAGAGGGTGTTGGCTAATCTACTTTATGAGTTGGCTGTTCACCCCTTTAAACATAGATACACAGATCTTGTACTGTAAGTATCTTAATAGATAAGAAGTAGATATGCTAGTTAAGAGACATGATTTAAATTTACCGATCACCTTTGTCATACTTGTGTTGAAACAATTTTACATGGGTTCTGACTTGGGATATTGGTTGGACCTGAGAAGGAAAAAAGGACATGGTTTTCTCTCACTCTTTGTTTTGGCAATTCAAGAAGATTTATTCTGGGAAAAAAAAATCATAAATTGCTTTCAGTTGGAATTGGACCATAATTTTGCATGGAAATGGAATGGCTTTTTATGGCTAACCATCTTTGTGGTACTGACATTAACCACATTGGTTGTGGGTGGGGGGTGATGGTTGTTGGTCAATGAGAGAATTTTATGCAGAAAAGGTCCTGTGGCTGCATTTTCTGCTGTGAAGTACTTTCTTTCTCTAAATAATAAGCAAGTTTTTCATTTTGGCTCCGTTTATTTTGATGGAAAACATTTTTCATGGAAGATTATTTTCTAAACAATGGGACATGATTGTGAAAAGGTTTTCCTTTGTTTATTAAAAAAACTTTTGAAGTAAATAAGAATGGAAGCAAAAAGAGGGGAAGGGTAGCGGAGAGAAAATAGAGAAATGAGGAGTAAAGAGGAATACGGGGCATACCATCTTAACAAAAGGAAAATGGTTTTCCTTCTTTAAAAAATAATTCTTCACTTATGGGATTTTTTTCCCCCAAACTATAACAAAACAAACAGAGGAAAATCATTTTCCATGAAATTTTTTTCCACCAAAACAAATTGAGCCTTAAATGAAGAGGTGGATTGATTGTAGCTGAAAATAGTGTATAATATTTATTTTTGGCAGCTGTATCCAGATCTGGAATTTTTTGCACCTTCAACCATGTCTCTGCTTAAAAATTAATTTATTTCCACGCTTGGTTTTCGTATCCCACTCGAGTTGGAAATCCATTTCTGAAACTGAGCATCATAGGTTTAGTCCGAGCCTGCTCTAGACGAGTGAAAACTGTTATCTCCTTATAAGCATCTTCCTTATCAAGTATCAAATATCAATTACTGACTTTTATATTGATGCAACTGTGATGTCATGTCATGAACCTCAATTTCACTAAACAAGACTTGTAAGAAACTGGAAAGTATGTGGAATTAGGGAAGTAGGGGAGGTTGTTGTAGAGCCTTTTGGAATATCTGGTTGTGTCGACATATTCCAACATTCTTGCGAGTAATCTCAGAATTCTGTCTGTCTAAATTATCCTTGGGATTGTGAAGAATTGTCTCAAAGGTTACTTCAGCATGTATTGACTAGTTTTTATGGCGCTGCTTAAGACATATTCAATGTGAGTGGGTTCAGTTACTTCAGTAGTCTATTATGGGTATTATCAAGGAGTTTTATACTGCCATAGTGCTGTATTTTGCTATATCATGAATTGAGGGGAAATGTGCAGGTCTACTGTTGTAACTACTAACTAATCCCTCTTCACTAAGATATATGTGAAGTAGCTTCTATAAGTAAAGATCAATTTACTAGGGTGATGATTAGATGTATTCAGTAGATCCTTGTCCATTTTTGTGGATGTGTATTCAAATCACTTTAATTTCTTTCATTTGTGGCTGATATCAACTTAGGCAGATTGAGGGGAATAGGACATTTAGTAAAAGCTTCTTTGTGCTTTTCATTTGCCTTGTGAAATTAAAGCCAAATGTCAGTCAATGTACTTTTTCCCATTATTTTCCATGAAAGCTTACCCTTTTTTTGGTTGAATCATTTACAAATTGACCCTGAAGTTGGCAACAAGACCCCTTTCTGGTTTTGGCTAATCTCATAATCTCTCATTGTATGATCACTTTGGATTCTGTTCTTAATCTGGATCTTTCATACCACTGGTGATAGTCTTGGTTGGGAGGGGGAGCTTGCCTCTGATAATGATGAAGTAATTGTTTGCTTTTAACCATCAGTTTAAATTCCTTTGGCTACAGAAATTGACAATTATACTTATTTTTGCAGTTATCAGTGAGAAACTGCTTTATTAGAGGTTCAGTTGTGAGATATGTTCAATTACCACCAGATGGAGTTGATGTTGAGTTACTTCATGATGCTACTAGAAGAGAAGCTCGCGGCGGGTAACTCTGGCAATGGTGAAGACTGACTTTCCTTGTACGAGCTTGTTTTTGGTGGATCATTAGTAGGTGCCTTTATTTGATGCTCTGGACCTTCTTTATCTCTTCTGGTGCATGTTAATTTACCAATTGTAATGATATCTCAGCTACGTGACCCTTTACATTTGTGATAGTGAATGTTTGGAAATGCTGATATTATGAGATATGCTTGCACAAGTGACATGCTGAAGCTGTGATTTTATGTGCATTTGTCAAGCCCATGTGCCAATTTTCGCTATTGTTTTTGTACTTTTGTTATCGTGGTTCTATCACTTTTATGTTAATATGTTATACGAGGGGCAAAGGTGAATGTGTGCATAAAACCCATGACATCAATGTGTGCATTTCTTCAAAGTACCTTAGTGTTACCAGACCTCAGAAGCATGTTGTTACCGTGTCTATACTACTAATACGAAGTATTAATTACAAATGACAATAGTGTTAGCAAACTCTCCCACCATGCAAATCCTTAGTAAATTTTTGTGAATGCAGAATAATGCAAGTGTAGAAGAGTAAATTACAAATGCGATGTATATTCTTTGCTTTGGAACTAAACACCTCTCCTATTTCACACCTTTTTGTTGTTTTTCCTAAGGTTATTTACATATTTTTCTTATTTAATTGTGGCTATTATACGTCTATTGTTACATGTGTCAATTTTCGAATTTATTAGCATGTAAGTCATGGCAAAGAGTGTCGTGCACACGTTGATACATAATGTGTTAAAACACGCCACACAATAAATTACTAAACGTCCTAGCATATCATCCTTTCGATATATTCCGAGAGTGATTAAGGAAGGATTTGCATATGTGCCACATAATAAACACCCTAGCATGTCTATCCTGGAGTATATAAGGAAGGATTTATAAAATTCATCGAAGTGAAAAAAAGTTATGTTCAATTAATTAACACATTCATAATTCATCCACATCCGAGAAATATTTGTCCAAATCTGCAAAATAGTTTCCTTAATTCTACCTTAATAAATTTACCAAACATAAAAGTTTAAAAATGTCAAAAATATATTCGACCGGAATAATTCTAACATTAAGATTTTATCCATATTTTAATCCAATTTTTTATGGTAATTTATCAAAATCCTTAGAAAAAAACTTGGCTATAAATTAAGGCTTCATATTATCCATGTACTAATCCAAATTTATCCTTTACAATATTCTTGAAGCAATACAGTATAATTCATTCTCTCTTGTTCATAGTATTAGACAGAGATGAAGATGCAGCAGGAGGAGGCGAAGCAAAGGCGAGCACAGTCGAACAGAGAGTCTGCTCGACGATCAAGGCTAAGGAAACAGCAGTACATTGCTCAACTTGAGAGCAAACTGAATGCTCAAAGTGTCCGGATGACAAGGTTGAGTGATGAGATTGGGTCTAAGGATGCCATCATTCAGACTATGAAGGAAGCTACTGGGATTTACGTCGATGATAGATGTACGGATCATAATCTACTGCGCAATCAGTTTCTTAGCGATGTCTGTGAGTATGCCAAGGGGTTTACTGATGTCCCGCAGACTCTGATTGCTGAGCTTGTGAATGCGCGAGGTTACTGAAGTTCTACTGCTAAATTAGTCTTTTTATTAATATTATTACACTATTACGTATGCTAGTTAATGTTAGATGTAATTGATAAGAGTTTATATCCGATTTTGGTACTCCAACCAAAGGCCTAAGCGGATGGTTGGAGTCTCAAAATTAGTTGTATATTATACTCGTATCATGACAAGTTTATGATTTATGTTTTTTATTTTTATGAATCGGAGATTTATACTTTGCAAATCAATTAATTCTATTTTTCTCATCCAGATATATGAGTACATTACTGTAAGGGTCCAATTAAACAATAAGTATCATATATAATTAGCCAACTACTCGTCTAAATATCTACATATACACAATTACACACCGTAGTTAACTCTAGGCATCATCATTCTCATTGATCATCTTGGCTCGATTTAGACTTGACTTTAATATTTGTACAAACGAAAGAGCTGAATTTTTTCTCTTATCTAAGAGATTAATCTAGTTTTTTACTCTTGAAAAAAAGCAGAAAACTCTAGCAATTCAAACATAAATTTAAATCAAGCAAATTAAAACAAGCTAAGCAAGTGTTGAAAAAAAAAAAAAAAAACCAAGCACAGGATTGAAGTTCTTATGCATTTACATTAATATGATCATGTATATCAAAGATTCAAGGGTTACAATAGCTTCCCCCTACCCTTTTTAATTCGAGCATAAAATAGATCATTAGAGCCCCTTAATTTCATCACATAATAACATAACCCCGTGCATAATTTAATTGATCATCAAGATAAGCCCAACAACATCCTATAATAATAATAACAACTAGAGCAAATTAAATATATAAAGTATACAATAACAAAATAAAATTACTTAAAATAAAAACTTGTGATAATTAATTATCATAAGTCTTGCATTCATCTGTCTCAGGGTTATCCTTGCAAAACTCCTCAAGAGGATCACTATCCTTAGCCTTGTCCCTAGCATGGCTAGCCGCGGCACTAACTTCCTCCACCACGTCCCAAGCCGCTACACACTCGCTGCTGACCGGGTCATCCGAGCACGTCTCTTGAGCCTCCTTGATGCTCTTCTCCACATTATCCGAAAGCTTATCCGGTGCGGCTCGAACCGCCACCAAACGGCTAGCATGCATGTTACTTTTTCTTATGTACGTGACCATGTTACATAACTTTGGTGACTCAAAGTTGTTGCTAGGCTTATTGGCTAGCAACAATTTTGGGCTCATAGAAACACTCATACTAGCCATTTTTTTTTCAAAGACTTGTTTTTCTTAGCTTATTACTTTTTTGAACAAGTTTTTGAGATAATTGATTACTGTGATAAAGGAAATATAGGAAGGAGAAAGTTTGATATTAATAATGTGGATTGGGGAGTGAATTTTGTGCACATATTTCTTATCATGATATAGCCATTAATATGCTCACACGTAGAAATGTGTAGGATATTTTTTTTATTTTTTAATTTCTTGTGGATCTTTTTGCTTTTTCTTTTGGATGTATTATTGATTTTTATTCTACTTTGTCAGTTATTGGAGGTGTGGTTACCTACAATTACGTAGTAAATTGAGTAAATGTTTTTGAATATTAGACTTGTTATGATTTTTCTAGATATTTTGAAGAAGTCCATTTATAGGTGAGAAAATGCATGTAATATGCAAAGTAACAATTACTAATTTACTACGGTATAATATAGATATAACATTAGTCAAGTTCGACCCTATTTGATTTAATAAAAAGGAAATTGTGTAATCTAGTAAACATTATAAGCCTGAAACCTAGCCAAATATTATGTGTTTTTCAACTCGACGCTTTACTTAGCTTGGTAATTAGGCATGGAACAAACTTATTTTTTCACCAAAACCTGACTAAGCTCGTCCTATATTTACCACTAATAAGTTATTAGTCACTTCATATATTATTGATTTATTATGATGTGGCTCATGTGAGTAAGGGTCTGTTCACATTTACTGAACTGAGCTGAACTGAACTGAACTGATTGGAGTTGAACTGAATATTTTATAAGAGAGAGAAATTAGGAGCTGAAATGAACTGAACTGAAATTAAGTAAGTGTATGAACAGGCCCTAACTTGTTCAACACCAATACAGTAGGAGACACGAACAACCAAAACCGCTAAATCACGTGCCACGTAATGATTGTTTTAGAGATATGAGATATCGGAAAACACATGTGTGACATATTTTTCGTAGATATCATTAATAGAATAATAATATTTAGGTTTATTTATGTTAAAGATATTATGTAAAGAATATTTTTAGGGTTTATGGTTATACTAGTTTATCTCTTAGAAAGATTATTTCATATCTATCTTATGCGTAGGTTTTGTTTAAAATACTTTACCCAATAATCCAGTCATTTTATTACCTCTTTCACCCTATATTTGTCGATCAAATAATCGTATAATATTGCAATTGTTGTAGAACCAGTTTTTTTTTTTTTTTTTTTTTTTCTGGTGAATTTGATGGAGTAGCTCAGTAGATAATGTAGCTAGATAAATACCCTGGAAAAATGTCCAACTATGGTGACATTAACACATTACACATGAATAACAACATTCAAACCAAAACAACTTTAAACAAAAAGAATCTTACGCTTACACTCTACTAGTACACTACATTTTTTTTAAAGAATAAATCAAACTTTACATTAAAAAGATGCGACTTCATAAAGTCTACCATCGTTTTTCTTCTTCTTCATTCATCATTCAACACCAATTCAATCGATTTTCTCTCTCCTTACCTTCATCTTCTTCTTCATCATCTTATCTCTCTTCACTTCCCTTTAAATTCCCAGGAATTCGAACTTCCCAACAATTCAGGACTGTTTCTGGGAAGCCTTTTAGTAGTACAATGAGTAGGCTTCAAAGTCTTGTTCCTGTTGAAGCAGTTTCTGGGGAATATATTGCTGCTGCTCCTTCTAATGGGTCTGCTTCTAATTCTCAATTAGAAGGTAATTTTCACTTTATTTTTTCTGGGTTTTGTTTGTTTTGTCTTGTTTTAATTTGGGTTTTCTTTTGTTAATTGGATTGATTTAAAATTTGCTTTTTTTTTTTTTTTGAATTGAATGGGCCTTTTTTTTGGTTTGGTTCGTTGAATTGGGGAGGTTTTCGATTTTGATAGGTTATAAAATAGGAACTTGAATTGAGTTGAAGCTGAATTGGTGAAAATGAATTGGACTAATTGAGGTTTATTTGCTGAGCTTGGATGAATTGTTGTGAATTTATGTAATATGATGGAGATTGATACTAAATTTTATTAATATATATTTGGGGTCAGGGTTTAACCATTGTCTTGGATAATTGGAGTGTAAATATAGTATATTAGTATAAGACATGTTTCATGCTTCTTTTTTGAGTAGAAGTCTTCATACTAGTATAATTTGTTATTGCTAAGTTTTACATGTAGAACAAAAATTTGTTATAATAATAAACTCCTATTGGCCTTAGTGTTGTTGGATGCTAGATATATGGAGTATTTATTAATGTGGTGTGCATTTGTTGTATAGATGATTTGGGAACAAATGGTGGCTATCAACTGCCTCCTTCTGAAATACGAGACATCGTTGATGCTCCTCCCTTGCCCGCATTGTCCGTTTCGCCCCACAGGGATAAGATTCTATTTCTCAAAAGAAGATCTTTACCTCCCTTGATAGACCTTGCTAAACCAGAAGAAAAGCTTGCTGGTATTCGCATTGATGGAAAAAGCAATACACGGAGTCGAATGTGAGTATTTATGTGCAATATGCTCTATGCAATCCCCCTTTCATGAACACCCCTTCAATGTTCAATGAGATTTTTTTTTTATAATTAATTAATTTTTTATTTTATGGGAAGAAATAATTATCATTAATAAATAGCCAAAGATTTGTAAACCACAAATAGAGAAATTAAAATAATTTTAACTATCAAAATCATTACTAATTTGCATATTTGGCATAGCTTATGCTCCACCGCTTCAAGCAAAAAAACTAAATGGCCAAGAAACTAAAACCCTAGAGGAGAGAGGAGGGGGGAGAGAAGAGAAAAAAAAGGAGGCAGCTAACCTATGGGAAGTTCCCCCTTCAATCAGAGCTTGGAACTAACAGTGGGCTATTGTTATTACTCGTAATGCTATGCATTCGTAACTTCATATATTTTTTTTTATTTCAAGGTTTGAACTTAGCTACAAAAATGACTGCTCAAAGGCTATAGCCTTTAGATTTGATCTTGTTTACTAGAATTAGCATTGGCTGAAAGATCAGGTGCATTATTCTGTAAAGAGACTGTTGCACCTAGGCATGCCAGAATTTGTTCATCAATGAGTGAACTCCTTAACGGATCCACTGATTCAAATTGTGTATCACCACTGATCAAAATCTACAATTTCTTAAGTAATTATGGCTAGGTCTAATGGCCTCTATATTCATGGTAACTAATGAAGGGATTAAACAAAAGTATTGTTGCTTTTATTTACAATTTGATTGTAGCTAATAAGTAAAGTTTTTGCCAAGTATACCACATTAATGAAGAATTTGGGTTTAGAGGAGCATGTAGCATTCGAGAGAAAGGAATGGAGAGAGAGTATCATAGTTGTCTGGCTGATGATCATTGGGAATGAGACTTCGATGTGGTTGTTGTATACCATATCAAGCAAGGACAAGCATTCCCCTTTGTCATATTCATCTCATGTATGGTCCAGGTAGCAGATTTGCAACTTGTTATTCTGGTGATGATCATAATATGCCAGTAGTTATCTACTTTTCCTGGAGCTGTATAAAAGGCAGAAGATACGTCTCACTAGTCTCCATGGTTAATGTAGCAGTGACACCCTTTCTCTTTGCCTCTCCTAGATGAGTTGTAAAAACTAAAATGGGCTAGCAGTCCACATGTCTATCAGTGTTCCCCTACCCTTTTTGCTTTGCTCTCCTAGCTTTCTGAACGTTAGGCCAGAATAAATTCAACAGCCTCAGCCCTAGGCCTGTTTTTTTAGTGCATGGTAAGCATGAAACTTTACTTATCATGCTTACAATGCACTAAACCTTTTCATTAGTGAAGAGTTAATTAATTTGAGTAATTAAACGAGGCCTAGAATCAAAATGTCAAAGCAGCTAGATGGAGAAATTAAACCATGCTAAAACCATGCTACCTGTCGTTCTATCATTGAAAACCTGCTTGAGTTCTTATAAGATATATATGTATGTTACTTCATGTATATGCGCTTCATCATATATGCTTGTATAATACTTTCACATTGACATCCCACCAATGCATATATACATTTGTTCAGAACCATACATGCTTTAGTTTGCTCACTCTCAATGTGTAGTTAAAGGTGTATTTACCTTGTTTAAAATGTTGGCAGATAGCTATGGAGAAAATTGAATTTTAAATAGTAGATAACTAGATAATGGTACTACATTAGCAATATCCTAGTGCCTTTCATGATGCTTATTTTATATTGGTTAATATGGTACTACTTAGCAACAAACAAGGAAATGATAGTTTAGTGACAATGTGACATGAGTGAGAAAATGCATATTGCCATATTAGAATTTCTGTATATGCTCAAGCCAACATTTTCTTTTTATCTGGTGTATATCACAAGGTGACAAGCTTAATCATTTGTGTGCAGGTCATTTTACACAGGTATTGGAATCCATCAATTGACAAGTGATGGTACCCTTGGGCCAGGAAAAGAGGTACATGGCCTACCTGATGGTGCAAGGATTAATTTTGTTAGCTGGTAATTTAAGCAGTTCCTTAGCATCATTTTATTAATTATGCATTTACTAGAGTTCAGGTGCACTAAATGCTGATTTAAATAAAATTGACTTGAAGAGTTGTGTGCTAATTGTGATAGGTCAGTGAAGTTGTTTTTCTATTAAGTGATGAGATTTCCCTACTGTTATTAGTTTGCTCTTAGGAAGTGATAAAATGGTATTTATGTGAAAAGTTGATGAAAATTTTCTCTGCTGGTAAAAGCTCTGGTCTTTTGAACTCTACAAAAAGCTAGTTTTAGGCCAGAAGTACATTGATAATTTGCATGTCGAAAAGCTTTACATGTTGTGATGTCTTGGATGTTAAAAGCTTAGGTTCAATAGCTATCTACTGTTCAGGGCCTCAATAGTTTCTTAACGATTCTCCAAACGTAGATGAGATGCATGTAATTATATAAAGCTGTTGACAACAAATTTGAATTTTGTACTACCTCAGTATGGTCTTGTGGCTACTGAGGCCCTTCTTCCCCCCTACAAACTCTTCTTTCTCATATCCTTCTTCGGGAAGTGTGACCTCATTTCGATTTTTTTAACAAAAACAATCTTTGGTCTTATAGTACTGAGGTGTGGTACTATGTGATCAATATATTTATGATTATGTATGTTACTTGGACATAAGATTCCATTAATGTGTCTAACCTGTGAAAAATATTTGTGCACTCACATATATAATTACAGTAAGGGGGTTTCGTTATATTTAGGCTGCAAAAATGTGTGTGGTTTGCTGGTTTTCTGAAAAACTACCCATGAGATCATGAGTTATTGGAGAATTTAAAGAACTAGAATGAGGGTGTTTATAAGTCTTAAGTAACCATGTTGTTGCTGCTGAGAGATCAGACATGTGATGCTGATGGAGCTTGAATGCCTCATTTTCTTCTGCAGATGAGTTTCTCAGAACTCACAATGTAGCTTCATCTGTAATTGATGTATTTGGCTCCCAATAAAAATAAAAATGTTCTGTATGGTGTCTAATATTCATGGACAAAAATTTTCTGTGTACCTTCCCTTCCTCCTCTTTCATACAAGTATACAACATAACTAATTGCCTTTTTTTTGTCTGACATTCTCTTTATGATGATTTTCCAGGTCAAATAATGGTCAGCATTTAGCGTTTTGTGTCCGAGTTGATGAGGTAACCATCTTTTGCTGGTCTTCTTGCTTGTTGCTGTAGAATCTTGTATGAAAAAAGAGGATATATATGTACCGTATTGGGGGAAAAAAATCTAATTACATAAAAAAAAATCTAATTATGTTTGCTACTGTTCCCTTTTCCATTCTCCTCTGAGACATTGACCCATCTGATGCATATTTTTTCTTGTAACCTGTTGTCTGGCACCTACTACCAGAATACTTTCTTTTTTCAGGCTGTATCATATTGACCTTTTGCACTATTCACATACTCTACTTTGACCGTATATGGTTATATACTTATTTATACTAAGGAAATTAATGTATCTTAAGATATGATTACGAGGGGTGATAAGTCATAGGCCAATGCATAAGTTATAGATGGCTCCGTGAACCAAGTAGGCCTCCTGCGGTCTGTTGGAAGCCCTGGGAAGCGCCTCAATGCCTAACTTTGGTGGGTACAAAAATGTTCTCCAAAGACAAAATCTGAAGGCAATATTGGACTATTTTTGGAGATTTCGAGATCCTGAAAACTCAAGTGATGACAAGGGATCCCAGGGTCATGTTATGTTGTTTGAAACTATATATGCCCACTAGTCGGTCACATAAAGACCCATGCTGATCCCGAGTCAATGACAGGATGTGTATACGTTACTGACTAAATTGTTAGTTAAGAGTCAAAGTGGATGGTTCCAACCATCCAAGTGGCCTCCTAGGGTTTCGTTTGGTCCATGGAAAACACCTCATCCTCTATCCTTTTCAGGCCCAAAATGACTAAAATTCTCCACAACTGAAGGGTAATCCACGCTTTTCGACCAATTTTGGGAAAGGTTTCCAGAATTGAATTGGATGTGGGGGTCATCTCCCGGTATCATAAAAGTTAGGATGGAACCATGGCAGACCTACCAATAGATCTATAAAGTTTCCAGAATGTCATGTGGGATTTTGTTAGATTCGTTTCAATATATTTCGAAAATATCAACTTTTTATAATATTTACTTGTAGATAATTAAAAGATACTAATGGTCGGACAATGTTGGCAAATTAAAAGTCAATATGGTAAAATTACATAAATCAGAGGAAATTTATTTTTCATGTAGTTCCATTATTGCAAGTCCAGTTCCATTTTGACTGACATGACTATTGTTTGGAGCAGGATCTTGGTGGCAATGGCAAGCTTCAGTTATGGGTTGCTAATGTGGAAACTGGATTGGCTAAACCCCTGTTCAAATCAGCAAAAATCTATGTAAACGCTGTGTTTGACAAGTAAGTGTCTTTATCACTTAAGACTTGTCAAATTGATTTATTATATTATCTGAAGCTTTCGCTGACAATTGATATTTCTGTGTTCTTAATTAGTTTTGTCTGGGTGGATGACTCTACTTTACTGGTTTGCACCATTCCATCCTCTCGTGGTGATCCGCCTAAAAAGCCTCTGCTTCCTCCTGGTCCTAAGATTCAATCGAACGAGCAAAAGAATACTATACAACTCAGAACCTTCCAAGATTTGCTTAAGGATGAATATGATGAAGATTTGTTTGATTATTATGCAACTTCACAACTTGTACTGGCTTCTTTGGATGGAACAGTGAAACCTTTTGGGCAGCCAGCTGTGTACAAATCGCTGGACCCTTCACCAGATGATAAATACATAATGATAAGCTCAACCCACAGACCATACTCTTATGTAGTACCTTGTGGAAGATTTCCAAAGAAGGTTGAATTATGGACAGTTGATGGAAAATTTATTAGGCAACTCTGTGATTTGCCCTTGGCAGAGAATATTCCTATTGCCCATAATAGTGTGCGAAATGGGATGCGCTCTATCAATTGGAGAGCTGACAGACCTTCAACTCTTTACTGGTAATCTTCTATCTCTAAAGAAGACTCTAGTCCTTTCTTTTGTGAAACATTATCAACTATGAGACATTGTGTTGTTAGCTATATGTTTCTGGTAATCTGGTAATGTGGGATGATTTAAGTACTCTGTAATAATATTTTTATCATTTTGTGGCATGTTCACTGCACCTGCCAGTAATGGAAGGTTAATAAAAGTAGCTCACATGCTAAACAGATAAAGTGGAAAGTTATGGTGTCTGTCTTTTGGCTTATAGAGTTAAAAAAAGCTTTCTATGGTTATTTCAGATGGTGGGTTTCGTGACTCGTGAGTTACACATGCCTTAATTCCTTGCTTTCCATTGTTTGTTACTACAAAAGATTAATTTATAGAAGATTCCCTTATTATATATATAAGACTTTGATTTCATTAAAATTGTAGGGTGGAGACTCAAGATGGAGGTGATGCTAAGGTGGAAGCTTCTCCTCGTGATATCGTTTATACACAGTCTGCTGAAGCAAGTGAAGGCGAAGAACCAACTGTCTTACACAAGCTTGATCTTCGATATGGGTATACTGTAATGTGATATTTTTTATGTTATTGCCCCCTCCCCCCCCCCCCCCCTTCCCCCTGACTGACAGCAATGTTATTGCTACTGTGTTTGTTAACATAATTCTAGATTTCATGCATTGTCAAAAGCTTTCTGTCTGTGAAGTATAGATTACTGTATTCATATGTTGTGGCATGGCATTATACACTTCTTTGGTGATCTAAACCGTGCTTAATTGGTTTGTAAACTATAGTTTGTTACCTTCGTATTGTTGTGTATTTTGTGTGATTGCGACTGTGGGCTTTTTTATGGCACAACATAACAAGATTTTCTTGTCTTTTCTTTCAAAAGTAGAAATCTATTATTTCAATGAATTAAGTGCTAGCTATGTGCCCAAACAACCTTTGGGATATGCTATAGTATCTAATAAATGGAAAGTATGTCTTCAGTAATCGTTGGTGAAAACATACTCTATTTCCTCATTCATTTTTGTTTTGTATTGTCTTATTATGTGGTTAAAGGCTGAAATTTTGGCAATTTTTCCATACCTTTGCAGGGGGATATCTTGGTGCGATGATTCTCTAGCTCTAGTGTATGAATCTTGGTATAAAACACGGCGTTTAAGAACCTGGGTCATATCTCCTGAGAGTAAAGATGTTAGTCCACGCATATTATTTGATAGGTCATTTGAAGATGTTTATTCAGATCCTGGTTCTCCCATGTCACGAAGAACTTCGTATGGAACATATGTCATTGCAAAGATCCGAAAGGAAGAAGATGATGCAACTTATTTATTGCTGAATGGTAATGGTGCTACTCCCGAAGGAAACATACCTTTCCTTGACTTGATGGACATGTAAGTGCTATGAGGTTAAAATCCATTCCCACAGTCAATGTTTGTCTGATATTAGTCTAATGTAAGGTGCTTTATCCTCTGTCTGACACGTAATTTTATCAGTAATTCAGGTAACAAGGAAAGAATATGGCAGAGTGACAAGGAGAAGTACTATGAGTCAGTTGTTGCATTAATGTCTGATCGTATTGAAGGGGATATGTTTGTTAACCAATTGAAAATACTTACTTCAAAGGAATCAAAAACTGAGAACACCCAGTATTATATACAAAGCTGGCCTGATAAGAAGCCAGTCCAAATTACCAATTTCCCACATCCATATCCTCAGCTAGCTTCATTACATAAAGAAATGATCAGGTATCAACGTAGTGATGGGGTGCAGCTTACTGCAACTTTATACTTGCCACCAGGGTATGACTCCTCGAAAGATGGACCTCTTCCATGTCTTGTCTGGTCTTATCCTGGAGAATTCAAGACCAAAGAGGCTGCTGGGCAAGTACGTGGTTCTCCCAATGAGTTTGCTAGCATAGGATCTACCTCGCCCCTTCTTTGGTTGGCCCGAAGGTGTGTTTCATCCTCTTCCACTGAAGCTTTAAGCCTTTAACTTTCACAGTTCTTATTTGTAAATTTACTTGCTATACCCTTGTAATATCATCAATTATATCAAGTCTTGTCTAATTTTCATCAACAGGTTTGCTGTTTTGTCGGGACCTACAATTCCTATCATTGGCGAGGGTGACAAAGAAGCAAATGATTTGTAAACATTCATGAACTCCTTGTAACTTTTTGTTCTTTGCTGTATACCTGTAATTGTATCAAGTTCTTTTGAATTTACCATGGTATTTTGGGGATTGTGGGGAATCTTGATAATAGAAGATATTGCGAAGGAATGTATGATAAATGTCACCTTCATGACTCATAAAAAAGTGGACGGAGGGTACTCATGTCTGACAAGGTTACTTGTATAATTATCAGACTTGACTTTTTTATTAGGAAAACTTCTGTTTTTGGTCCAAATGACATGTCAAATTTCTTTTCTTGGTCTAAAATGTTAAAGATTCGACATTGGTAATAAAGGTGAGATAAATAGTCCAAGTAGCACAAGTAATTTATCTCAAATTGAAATTTAACTTGTAACTAAGACCTTGCTAATTGGTATTCCAAAAAACTACTAGCTGCTGTATTACTTTTGGCCCTTCCTTGTCAAGTCACTTGTGGAAAAAGGAGTTCATTTTCAGATTTCAGTCATCTTTAACTTCTTCAGCCTCTTTATTATGGAGAATAATGAAGTTGTTCCATTAAAATTTATTTTATTTTATTTTATTTATTTATTTATTTATTATTATTATTATTTTTTTAAATATCTTGTGTGCTACAATCTTTTATGGAGAGATCTTCATCTCTTTCTGTTTAGTCACTTGAACTCTTTTTTTCACCCTTCTGGACTGAAGATCTTTTCATCAGGTATGTAGAACAACTTGTTGCTAGCGCTGAGGCTGCAGTACAAGAGGTCATTCGACGAGGGGTGAGCTGGTTTGCTCTTATATAATTTTTCCTTTGTTATCTGTGAATTGAGCAATACGATTTCAGAAAGCTGCTACTGGGTCGTAATGGGCTGCTGACTTTTGGCACCCCAAATCACTTGGGTTGGACTGGCCAGTCTATGGACCAGTCCCACAGCATGGCACGGTCCCTGGTTAGGGATTGTGCTGGTCTTCGCAATATGTGGCCCAAGCTGGGCCAAATTGCGCTTTTGATTTTGACTTGTATAAACACAAAGTCATGGTTACAAGACCCTTTGCTAAAATATTCTTTAATTTTAAAGGTGGCTCATCCCAACAAGATAGCTATTGGAGGTCACTCTTATGGAGCATTCATGACTGCAAACCTTCTGGCACATGCTTCTCATCTTTTCTGCTGTGGAATTGCTCGATCTGGAGCTTATAATCGAACTCTTACACCATTTGGATTTCAGGTACACATTTTGTTTCCTGTTACTTGACAAACTACCCTTATATTCCAATTTTGTAATCTAATTCTGTATGTACTTTTAACATTTTGTTGCCAAACTTATAGAATGAGGATAGAACACTTTGGGAAGCGACAAATACTTACATAGAAATGAGCCCTTTTATGTCGGCCAATAAGATCAAGAGGCCTATTTTGCTTGTTCATGGAGAAGAAGACAACAATTCAGGAACGTTGACAATGCAGGTATTTGCTTTTGCATTACTTCTCTTTTATGTGCCTGGAAAGAAGTATAAATGAACTATATCAAACGCTTCCTAGAGCATTTCTTCAGATGCTCATTTGTGTAGTTCGTTGTATGAAAAAAACTTTAAAAATCATTTCTATTACTATTTACTTGAACACTAATTCACTTTCATGCCTTCTGTCTGATGATTAATTTGTTTACTTGTTACGTGCACTTACAACATATTGCAGTCAGATCGGTTCTATAATGCTCTGAAGGGTCATGGGGCTCTTTGCCGCTTAGTTATTCTTCCTTATGAAAGTCATGGGTATTCAGCAAGAGAAAGCATCATGCACGTTCTTTGGGAGACAGACAGGTGGCTGCAAAAGTTTTGTGTTTCAAACACATCTGAATTAGATGCAGATGCTGGTTCCCTTAAGAAAGAAGATAGCACAGGGAATGCTGATGACAAAGTGATTTCTGCAACTGGTGGTGGTGTTGCTGAGACGGAGGAACCAGAGAATGGAGAATACTCTCGTCAGAGGTCATTGTTATGGTAATTTCTGCCATCAGAGAACTTAAGACTTCAATGAGCCTTTTTAATATGCCAAAAAAAATTAAAAAATTATGTTCTCGGACTGAAGAGTTCATATCTTTCCTGAGTATGTGTCCAAGTGTTAAACAGTTAAACTCAACTATTTTATGAAAGCTTCCTCCTTTATGGTCCAAAATTATATGTTGAGGTACACCCATGTTAGAGTGTTGAGAAGCTAACTCGGGAACACTAGGTAAAATGAGGAGTCCAAGCAACATAGAGATTTTTTTTTTCTTTACAATATGCTGCTGCTTTGTTTTTGTTGGAGATTTTCATCTCAACAGCTGACAACTTTTTCTCCTCTCTTTCTTGATTTTATTTTCTAGAAAGAATGAGAGCTTTAATAGTGACATTGAACGAGTTTGAGCATATGGCGAGCATTCCCGAAGAGAAGAATAATAAGATGAAGTTCATGATTTGAACCAATAATTCGTCCACTTTGCAACACTGCTTGCTCTGCTTCAACAGACTGAAGACACTATTGTATGAAAATTATTGCATTATACTCACTCATTAGGCAAAGAAATGTTCTTCCCATTGGAAAGATTGTACTGATTATTGCAGGACAGATTTAAAGGCCAAAGTGCGATTTCCCTCAGGGTGTAGCTCATCGGCATAGCACACGACCATCAGTTTACTTGCTAATGTATACGAAATACTAGTAATAAAGCAAATATTTTTATTTTATAGAACCTCATGTCTCAATGAATGATGACATTTTCTAATTTACTCTTTGTGAGATCTCATGTCCATAGCATAAACAAGTACTATGTATTCAACTTCCAAAGAAACAACAAAATTGAGGGTTCGACTGTATTTTGTCCTTGCGCGGTTGCACCCCCCTGAAACGGAAATTAACCAACTTATCTATAAAAAATACTCGTGCGTTAAATTGTACTTCAATTACAATGTTCAACAGGTCGACGTATATTGCTTAGTGTCTAATGTTCATATGATCCTAGTAACCATTCGACCAACAACTCGTACATTGTTTAAGAGTCCATATCATATTTTGAAACCGTACCTGTGCATTTGTTATTTGTAGCCGTTTTTATGCAACCTAGGCCTTGACTATCATCATTAGAGTCATTTCAATATTTCATTTATCCCTTTTTCTCTGTGTCCCCAATCTCCACACTGAAGACTCAATTATTACAGCAGTGCTGGTTGATAACGCAATACTGCATTAGGTAAATAAAATTTCCTTAACTTTTCGTTAATCAAATTCCCGAATAAAAAAAATGTTAGGGTTTTGAGAATATTCATGTTAAAATATGAATTACCAGAATTCCACTCATTATCAAAGCCTAATCTTGCTTTCTCATATGATTTTCTCATTTCCCCCTTTTTTACATGGATTATAAAGCTTCGATCTTTTTGTCCAATTTATTTATAATTTCGTGTTTATGTTACTGATATTTTAGAAATTTGGGAAGAAAAAAAGGGTGTTTCTTGGGGATTTGATGATGATTTTGGTTTATAGTTAACTATTTGCAAAAAAAAACAAAAAGGTGATTTTTTTTTTTTTTTTTTTAGTAATTATGTGAACTATTGCAATATTGTTCTTAGTTTAGGAATTGTGCTGTTGTCTGTTATATGATCATATGAACTGCTGACAGGATTAGAAATCGGAAAATTTGTTATAATACTTTTATGTTAAGGCTGTATTAAAATTGCAAGAAATCATCAAGAAAGTAACAAGTACGAGTATCTTATTTGGTTAATTTTGGTGCTACTGAACTTTTACTGAAAATGTGATTTTACAAACTCAGACATATACGTGCATTAGGAGACTTAGGATTGTAGCCTGTAAGAGTAGCAAGGTGTACTCGATTTTGGGACGAGGGTTATTGTTTAGGAGATGATTAGGGAACTTTATTTAGCATTACTAGCTCTTTGATTATACTGGAGTGTCTTAGGAGACAATATGATGAGCAGTTTTTGGAACATAGCCATTGCAATTTTTTTTCTACCTTCAGGGATTAACAACTGAGCCTGAAGTTCTTTCAGTCATAATCTTCTCTAATTTAGGTTTGCTGTATCAGTAAAAGAATTGTTTACAGTAGCTTCAGCTATGGGAATTCCTGATTCCTTCTTTAGAAGTGTATGCTATGAAACTCGGATCCTTGTTGCGTGCCTAGGCTTGTCGTAACCCTGTCCACCTGTGTTAGTCATGGGTGTGATCCCTTAAAGCTGACTGAAAAACTAAGAAAAAACTAAGTGTATCTTTGTTGGAATCTGTATTTGAGTCTCACACTTTTGGTGTGTCTGAGTAACATAGGGTGTAGGTCCTGTAGGATATATGATTTGAAGGTTCAGAATAACTGCCTGTTCAAAGGTTGGAATGAGATTATTCTGTCTTGGGAATACTATTATGATTATATCTTCTTACAAGTGATACTGCATTCCTTAATATGTCTGTATGTGATGATCACACTTAAGAGTTCAGAAGTAGAGAGTTAAATTAGGATTCAGTTTGGACAAGCAGTGATGTTTAGTTGAAGAAGTCTGCTCAATATTCGATTTGGACTACTTCGTATGCTATATGAACTCATAGTTACTTGGCAGATAACAGTTATTTGCAATGGGAAGCGAAACTGAGAAGGAATACACTGCCTTTGAGGAGAAGGTGAAGCGAACAGTTTATCTTGACAACCTCTCTCCCCAAGTTACTGAAGAAGCACTCAGAAATGCATTTAAGCAATTCCACGGTACTCTGACCAACCTCCGCTTCATCCCAAGCTACACAGAGCCTAGCTACAATGCTAAGTTTGCTCTTTTGGAGTTTGAGAACCAAGATCAAGCTAAGGAAATAATTGATTTGCTGTCTCACTTTCCTTTCATGATATTAGGAATGCCACGGCCAGTAAGGGCCTTTCCTGCAGAACCACAGATGTTTGATGATCGCCCAAGTAACCCGGGTAGGAGATTAGAACTGTATTGGTTGGATCCAGAGGATTCTGATTTTGATGTGGCTCAGCAGCTGAAGAACCTGGCAGAGAAGCATGGTGCTCAACAGTCCTTTCTACTCAAGGTTCGCAGTGATTTAGTAACTAAAGTTCGTTAACATGTGCTTTAAGGCTTGTAACTAGGAAAAATACACCGGGATTCTTCTGGACTTTATCATTTTACCTCTTATGCTTCTAATTTTCATGGAATCAGGAATTGTTCTTTTATGGATTGTGTGGAATCATTTTTATTGATCTGACTAATTCCAGATGTGGAATTCATCTTTGATTATTGTTCATGTATTTACTCAGTTTATTCATCATTACATTATCATAATTTGTGTAATGCTGATATCTGGGGTGCTGTTTCCTTCTGTGTAGCAGAAGCAGCTAGAGGAGGAGGAGAAACTCTCGAAGCAGCAAGCTGAAATTCTGAATGCCCATTATCAGAAGTTAGAGATGCTAAATTCTGCATTATCAATTGGCTCTGCAAAGGACCTTGCTAGGCTCTATGGAGTTAATATGACTGATGTCTCTGGAATTTGATATATATATTGTTATCTGACTTGACGCCACCTTTCCTCGAATAACTTGATTTACTGCAAGTGCTAGCTTTGAGGTTTTTTATGCTATCATTTACTGTAATTACTTGTAAAGAAGCAAGTTTCATTTCATATAGCTAAGTGAACTTATTTGAGTACTATCTCCAGTTATGCAAAGTGCACTCTTCGGTCTCATTTGACCGGTTTTTGATATCATTATTTTTTTCGTGTTATAATCCATTTCTTATTTTATTTCACAAGCACTCTTTTGAAAAAGTGTTTGCTAGCAAGTCCAGCTAGGTGAATAAGCTATTGAGAGATAAGTGGAGTTCAATGCAATCATCGGAGATTGTTCGAGTACATTTGTTTGCAAACCTCAAATATGTTTCCATATAGAACAACAATTGTCCAACATAAATATGACTCATATGAGGAGAAAAACAGAGCACCAAGGTAAAGTAAAGAAAAAGAAGAAAAAAAAAGGGGGTCATTTTAGTCCAAACATTCAGAAGTAACAACAAAGCAGGAAGCCAGAAACCCACTTAATTATACATGAATCGTTGCCTCACCACATGCTCGTTAGGACGATGAATAAATATACATTTCGGAAGGTCATATCTGGAGAGACGGGAATCTCAACTAGTGATGGAGTCAAGGTGAAAAATGAAGGTGGAAGCTAGAAACAACGGAAAAGAGTTATCTGCGTGGTAGCCATCAGCACGCTTGTTGGAGTAACCAGGGTAGTCAGTCCTACGAAAGGGCACCTTCTGATGGAACACAAGCCCACTTTTCGCAGCCTTCTTGGCCAAGTCCCACTGGCTATAAGGCTGCCCTTCCTTGTGGCTCACATGCACCTCCCCTGCTGGATTCATCAACAGCAATTTCGCGTTCATCAGGAACCCCTTCACCAGCTGCTTGTTCAGCTTGATCTGACAAGTGCTGTCTTCAGGAAACATAAACCCGACATGAGGGAAGTTATAGATAACACGATCAAACCTCTGAGTAGACAGAAAGTAATGCTGGCTCATTTGAGTGGCATCAACCCCATGTAATACAATACACCCCCTCTCTTCCAATTCCCTTACATTATCAACTCCATTGCTGTATTTCTTTCCTAACATCTCAAGAGAATCAAGAGATGTCGCGACCATGTTGTATGCTGTCTCAAATGCTCTAGCTAAACACAAAGCAAATGAAAAATCTCCTTCTCCTACCAATAATATCTTCTGCGACGATGCATAATGCATAATCGATTTCTCTCCTTGTTCCCACTCATTTTCGCTATCTTCTTCATCAGATTCAGTTTCTACTTCCTCCTCATATTCTTCTTTCTCCTCCTCACTTATCTTGGGAATTGGCATTGCCCTTTCTTTTAAATTTATAATGGTGGTTCATGTATTTTCGGGCGAAAATGATCCAAAAAGAAATTAACACAAGATTATTAAGAAGCAGCACATTCATAATTTATCTTCATCTCAACTCAAACAATGCAATTCTAACATAACTTGATTAACAGCAATTCCCTAAAAAAACAGGACAATATCATAGTATACATGAAATCCTACTATCACTATTTAAGAAATTAAATTATGCTCATAACAAGCAGAATCATCCATTAATTCAATCATGAAATCCCTTGAAATAACAGTAATTCTTGAATTTCAACAATTTCCAAACCAAATAACACTAATCCACAATTAATATAAAATTATAGGAGTTCTGCTACTACTATTGTGAATCATTTAGGCAAAAATGAACAAAAAAACTTCAGATTTTAACTAAATTGCGAACAAAAACACAAAAAATAATGTTTTGAGTAGCGATTAATAATCCAAAAGTGATTTACTAGAAAAGTGGGAGAAAATCAGAATTTCATAGAGCTACAAAAAAGAGTGAGATCAATATTATTGTAAATATGATTATTAAGATGATTAACAGAAGAAAAAGATCAAATTTTGATTAAAAATTAGGGTTCTTACCAACTAGTATATAGCCTGTTTGAGGTCTTGGAGCTCACAAATCAAAAAGGAAGAGGGAAAGCTCAAGTAGTGAATTAGTGATGTTCACTGTATGAGGGTGTACTAACTTGAAATATGTGTTGGTGTTACTAATGGCCTAATGCTATATGACTCAACAAATTCAGTCAACATTTACATATAAATTCATGCCTCTCATGTCGTGTCAACATTTGACCATTTTCATGTCGCGTTTAATGTTTTAGTTGACCTTTGTGTGACTCTGTTTATATTCAACTTTAACCCTATTTTTAAGTAATCTTTGGTGTATATGGAATATTACTAAAATTTGTGATGAAAATAAACATCTTCTTAGGCAATAAGAAATTGTGTGATGAATTGCGAGACTTAACGGGCTTGTTTAGTTGAAGGTAGGAAATTGTCATCCAAACACCATACAAGAATTTCAAATCAATACCATAAATTTTGGAATGCCATAATTAGCCTCAAATTTTTATAGTTGGCTAGACCTATCTCGTTTGTGGTTAGACTTTAGAATCTTTGATCATTAGTAGAGCTGTCAATTCGAGTAAACGGGTCGAGTGGGTCGGGTCAACTCGGGTCAGATCAATTCAGATTAATTCCATAACCTATGCGAGTCGAGTTTGGGTTGGGTCATGCTTGAGTCGGGTCACTTCGTCGGATTTAGGTCGGGTTAATAACAGGTTGGGTTACATTCGGGTCGAGTGAACAATAGGTCGGGTTTAATTCCGGTTTTCACGGGATAAAACGGGTTAGGGTAATTCTCGGGTTCGAGTCGGGTTCGGTTCAAGTCAATAATTTGCAAGTTAGAATCAGGTCGGGTCATTCTTGGGTTTGAGTCGGGTTCGGTTCAAGTCAATAATTTGCGGATTATAATCAGGTCGGGTCATTTTTAAGTCGGGTCATTCTTGGGTTCAAGTTGAGTTCGGTTCAAGTCAATAATTTGCGGGTTATAATCAGGTTGGGTCATTTTCAAGTCGGGTCATTCTCAGATTCAAGTTGGGTTATGTTCAAGTCAATAATTTGCATGTTACAATCAGGTCGGGTCATTTTCAAGTCAGGTCATATTCGAGTTCAACTAAGTATAAATAGATAATTATCATTTTTATCAAGATAATTATTTCCTTTGACTATAATATATATGACAATATACTAGGGAACTATAGTCTATAATTTAGGAAGATAATTATCTCCTTTGACCATACAACAAATATATACAATATTTAACTCTTAAATTTGAGGATGATCTTGATGCTCCTTTCTTTTGCTGGCCTGGACCGACTTGGTCTCCCTAGAAAAAATGCTTTGATCAACAATAATAATGTGGTCAAAATTGCATTTAAGGTGATTTGAAATCGGGTCAGGAACAATTTGAGTTGAATTTAGGTCAGGTCAATAACAAGTCGTGTTGATTTCGAGTCAGATTAGTAACAGATTTGGTCGATTAGTAATAGGTCTAGTAAAATTCGGGTCGGGTCAATAACAAGTCAAGTTGAATTTGGGTCAGGTCAATAACAAGTTGGGTGGATTTCAGATCGGGATTGTAACAGGTTGGGTTAAATTCGGGTCGGGTTAGGAACGGGTCAGGTTGAACTTAAGTCAGGTTAGTAACAAGTCGGGTTAAATTCGGGTTTTGACGGGTTAAAATGGGTTAGGGTCAATTTCGGTTCAAGTCGGGTTCGGTGCAAGTTAATCTAATTGGCCATTGTAAACCGTTAAATCGGTGCAAGTTGTAAACCGTTAAATTGGTCGTTTAACATCAAATTGGATGGTTCCACACACCCAATTGGACTCCCGTAGGATATTAAGGACCATGGTAAACATTTCGACAATTTTTATTTCCGGGCAAAAAAAAATCAAAAATTCCAAAATTGAATGCTAATATCCACGCTTTTTGAGAAATTTTAGAGGTTTCAGGGCTTGGTGTCGAAAAGTCTTGAAATTCTATGGGATACATCTCGGGGTCATATAATGTCATTTGGAACAATATATGATCATTATATTTTTTCATAAATGTTCGTGGTAGGTTTGAATTAATGAAATCGGTGCAATTGTAAACCGGTAAATTGGCGGTTTAACAGCAAATTGGATGGTTCCACACACCCAATTGGACTCCCGGGATGTATTAGGGACCATGGTACATTTTGGCAATTTTTATTTCCGGGCGAAAAAAGTCAAAAAATTCCAAAATTGAAGGCTAATATCCAGGTTTTTTGAAAAATATAGGAAGTTTCGGGGCCTAGTGTAGAAAAGTCTTGATATTTTAGGGGATACATCTCGGGGTCATATAATGTCGTTTGGAACCATATATGATCACTATATGTTGTCATAAATGTTCGTAGTATGCTGGAGTTAATTGTAATCCCCCGTATTTTTAAATATTTTATAAATGAAAATTTATTTTATTTATAATATTTATTTGTTATTTTTCATAATTTAATTTCAAAAGTTTCAAATTATTAATCTGGGTCGAAAATTATTTGAACAAATTATTTTATGCACCTTTATTCTACAATTTATGACAATCACACAAGCCTAACCCATTTGTTTACTTAATCAACCCATTATTTTTATGAGGCCCAATATTTCTTTTTACCCTACAATAATTCTCTCCTATAAATACCCCATGAATCTCCAAAAATTTCCCACACAAAAAGGTTAGTCTTATTTTCATCCTCCTTTGTTTCATTATTTTGCTTAATGTTAATTTAATTGTTTTGGGTTTTGATTTTAGTATAAAGATTATATTTTTAGTATCAAATTATATTTTAATGGTATAAAGATTATAAATTTCAGATTATATTTATGTTATAAATTTCATATTTTATGAATTATAAACCTAGGGTTTCAATTTATTGAAAATCATGATTTTAGGGTTTTTATGAACAATTGATTTAGGGCTTTTATAGTAATGATGTTTTGAAATTTTGGTGATTATAACTACTGATTAGTTTAACTTAATTACAGATTATTTTGAACACATAGATTCGTGTTTTAATTTTTAGATTTTCGTTCGTTAATATTAATCCCGTTTTAATCCCGATCAGATTCTGAACTCATCCGAGTTTGATGAAAAAGTAGTGTTTTCCATGTGGAAACAACGTTTTAAGAAAGAATCACTACCTTAGGTAGTGTGCACCACCCTCTCGTGGCCAAATTCATCCTCTAAATATGATTTTCGGGCAGTTTTTGATTTTAAGAAGTTTTTTTATACTTAAAATATTATCCTTGAGTTTGATTAATAAAATTAATTATGTTTAAAGTTAATTAAGCATAAATATATGTTTTTATTGAAGTTTTAAGTGTTGGAAATAGTTTCTAAGTACTACTTTTGATGTTTTATAAAGAGGGTTTAATCACCCATTAAAAAGGGAGATTTTTAGGGGTTTTTATATAATTTTCAGGTTTTTATTAGACTTTGAACTTGCTGTAATTTCATGTATAAGAGTGTATTTTAAGGTTTTTATGAAGAAAATTTAAAGAACTATATATAAGCCTTTAATTTTAACTAAAGGGAAGGTTTTAAAGTGTCGTTTGATTTGGATTTTGAAGGTTTTAAAGTAAGTTAGTATTGCTATAAATTTGATTGATTGGGTATTGATTGAGATGTTATTATTTGGCTTAGGAGAGGAGTTTATTGAAGGTGATTTCTAGTTAGTAAAGTGGCATACCAATTCGTTTGCTCAAGGTACGTACAAGTTAGGAAACCTTTCTTTTAGGTGCATGTTTAAGGACGACGAATCGAGAACTTAGTATCATGTATAGGGATGATTGAGTTAAATTGTTTGGTTATACATTGTGAATTTCGTATGACGTGCACTATTTTATATTGCAAGTATTATTTGTGCTCTAATTATGCAAGGTGCGCTTAGAGACAAAGGTATATGATTGGTGTAATGATTAATTTATTACTCATTCATGATTATGCAAGCAGGGTGAGTAAAGGAAGAATTTAAGTCTTCTAAGACGAGGTTAAGGTTTTGGGGTGCCTTATGCACTCAAGGTGTTTATACACTGAGGTAGTAAAGGAATAAATAATAAATGTTGCTTGCCACTAATAAATCAAGAATTGAAATTGAAAAGTTGTTTTACTTGATTGAATTGATATTGGATTGATTGTATTGTTATGCATATGAGTCATCACCAAGTCTAAACTTGTAAATCACGTAAAGTGCAAGATGGATGAGCAATAAAACTCTGGATTGGTGCACTTCTGGAGTAATGACAATCAGGGGTTGGGGTACATGGGGTATTAGCCGTGTACTTTTCTCGAGGCCGTCTGATCTACGAGTCTCTTATTTCAAATATTTTTCAAAACTAGGAGTTAGGTGAGATCTCATACTAACTACGGTCATGGAGTCGCGCCCGTGGTCGTTGGATGTTTATTGATGTTTTCAAAAGGAGGCATGGGGTTTTTCTTTTATTGATGTTCCAAATGGAGCATGGGTTTGACAACTTTGTCTATTGCGTAATCCAATGAATAAAAATAATGATTTACCTATTATTAATTAATGGAGTCTTAGTAATATAAATAGTTGAGTCGTGTGTTGAGTCTATAATTTAATGATGCATGATGATTGATTATTAGTAGCATGTTATGGATTTCTTAATTTATTTTGCAGCTTGTATGTACTCAGTTTTGCTGATTGCGTGCTTTGTGTGTCTTTCTTTGGTCATGGCCTTCGCCTTTCAATGACCCTGTGACGATCCAATTTTTACACTTGTAATATTGGGGAGCAGAATTACCACAGGTTCTTACACATGCAGCATTCATCAGGGTTGTAGGATCTTGAGTAGAGAGTTGGTTATTTGCATTTTATTTTTTTTGCAAGTTTGAATTTATTTTAATTCGATTTTATTCGACACTATTTCTTTTGGGTTTGAATTTATTTGAACACTGAATTTAATCAATTACTACTTTTATTGAGTTTTGAATAAGGGCCTTAATGGTTCCAAGTTGTATGACTTAATTTGGTTTCATTCGTTGGTTTTGAAACTTATTTATAACTGATTTAGTTTTTCCGCTGCTATTTTCTGATAAAGCCTTAACGTTTGAACACGTGGCGGTAGCACGCCAGTAATTCTTTTGAATATTGTTCAGGGTCCTCACAGGTTTAAAGAGAGAATTATTGGGGTGTTACATTAATGATATCCGTACAAGTTGTAAACCGGTAAATTGGCCGCTTAAAGGTAAATTGGATGGTTCCACCAACCCAATTGGACTTCCGGAGGATATTAGGGACCATGGTAAACATTTCGGCAATTTTTATTTTCGGGCGAAAAAACGTCAAAATTTCCAAAATTGAAGACTATTATCCACGCTTTTTGAGAAATTTTGGAGGTTTTGGGGCCCGGTGTCGAAAAATCTTGAAATTCTAGGGGATACATCTCGGGGTCATATAATGCCATTTGGAACCATATATGATCATTATTTGTTGTCATAAATGTTTGTGGTATGCTTGAGTTAATGAAATCGGTGTAAATTGTAAACCGGTAATTGGTCGTTTAAAGGCAAATTGGATGGTTCCACCCACCCAATGGGACTCCCGGACAGTATTAGGGATTATGGTAAACATTTCGGCAATTTTTATTTTCGGGCGAAAAAAAATCAAAAATTACAAAATTGAAGGCTAATATCCATGCTTTTTGAGAAATTTTGGAGGATACGGGGCCGGTGTCGAAAAGTCTTGAAATTCTAGGGGATACATCTTGGGGTCATATAATGCCGTTTGGAGCCATTTATGATCATTATATGTTGTCATAAATGTTCGTGGTAGGCTTGATTTAATAAAATCGAAAAGTTGTAAATCGGTAAATTGGCCGTTTAAAGACAAATTGGATAGTTCAACCCACCTAATTGGACTCCCGGAGGGTATAAGGGACCATGGTAAAAATTTCGGCAATTTTTATTTTCGGGCGAAAAAAAGTTAAAAAACTCCAAAATTGAAGGCTTATATTGTAATACCCTAATATTTTAGTACTCTATCTATCTATTTTATATAAAAAAAAAAGTTTGATTTAATTTTTATTTTCTCTCAATTTTACAAGTAATTTATTTTTCTGCTTTAAGTCAGGTCGGGTTGGGTCACCATTTTTTCGGGTTCAGATGGATCGGTTAATAATCGGGTTTGAGTTGGTATTTCGGATTAGGTCAACTTTTAATAGCTCTAATCATTAGGTATTTATTATCTTGAGTTTTATGATAATGGTTGGATTAATATTAAACGGAGTAATTAATTCCATATATGTCCATTTTCTATTATAGATAATCTTATAAAAAGTGTGCATCATCCATTTACTACTAATCGCAATGGTTGTACAAAATTTTTATACTTTCTCTGTTTCTTCATAGTTGCAACACTTTCCTGAAATGGAAATATTACAATAGCTGCAATATACTATAAAAGGAAGGTTTTTATGGTGAAAATTGTAGTATTACCTTTATATAAAGCACAAGACCCACTTGATTATATTCTTAACAGTCTTTTTAACTCCATTTTAAGTGAATTATATTATGTGAGGTGCACTTTTCTTAAATATTGTGGTAAAGTGTGTGATGCAACTATAAAGAAACGGAAAAAGTAGGTATTTAGTCAATTTGTTGCAACTAAAAGTGATTGAACGGGTATACTTTTATTCCAGATTATCGTGAAGAAAAATGCAAGGGTAAACCGGTAGACCAAATGTAATCGTTCCAACTTCCAAGTACTAACATGGCAACGTATAGTGATTCAATGCTTCATATTTCCCCTAGTTGTTGAACGAACAAACGATGCTTATGAATGAATTAAGCTTAACATAAGCAAACTTAAGCTCAATTTTCAAGAGAAATTTAAAATAAACCTACCCATTTAAGTCCACGTACAACCTGAGTTTGTAACATATGTCTAAAAGGCTACAGAGTACATAATTACTTTTTTTTTTTTTTAAATACCATATGTTATTTAAACACAACTATTATAATAATTTATTAATAATTATTAAGCATGTCTACTTAAATTAACTTACATTATTATATATGTAATGGTATTGTTTATTAATATTTGTATTAGTTTAGATTAGATTAGGTCTTAGCTAGACTTGAAAGATACAAGCCTAATTGTAATTCGTGTATCTTTCTTTCTTTTGAAATACATAGTTATATGGTATTATGGTGTGATTAAAGAAGCTTGCAATGTATTTGTTTATCCTTATCGAACTATTAAGGGGGGGTGTGATAGAGGTAACTTTTAACAAATATTAATGACTAAAGTTTCTTATCAACAAATATTAATGACTTAAAACTTTCTTATGCTTATCAACAAATATTAATGACTTAAAACTTTCTTATGCTTATCAACAAATATTAATTGAAATCAAACTATACTTAAATTATTGATGTTTATTAACTAGTTTCGTGATAAATACATCTAAATTCAATGCATGGAGAAAGTATATACTAATTCTGTCCCTAAATTACATTCCTCTTTCTAGCATTAGGGACGGAGGGAGTAATACTTTGTACTACAAGAATTAGAAACGGGTTACTATTTTAGTAACTTTGCACGTGGAAATATGTGGTATATAACGTGGTTAATTTGCATTAGAAAGAGTACAAAGATTGATATTACCTATTTAGATTGACTTCGTCATTAAGTGGAGCACGAGCTGCACGAGATTACTTAATCTCGGCTTTCATGAATATTGTCAATCTAGAATAATGTATTGACTACAAAAAAATTCATTTTTTCTTAATCAAGTAAATTGGACCCCTCCCCTCCCTTTTTTTTTAAACCAATTTTGATATTAGATACGGAGATTATTTACTTGTATAGGTAAAAAAAACTATGCAATAGATAAGCTGTTTTCCAAAAATGTGCGGTACTTATTCGATGGACGTGTTCACATTAAAGATGTAATGATGTTCATGTACCTTTTAAGATTAAATGGCCAGTGTACTATTGTAATATGAAGGGTAGTTGCTACTAAATTAAATAGGGGGTTTACAATATTAATATGTTGTCCAATTTAATCGTTTTGGTAGGTGATTCTTAATTTCTTATGTAGAGATATTCGGACTAGCTCTTTAATTAATTTATTTTTATCTATTTAGTAGGCCACAAATGTCTAATCTTGCAATATTTGGATTGATGATTTTAGGTCATCACATAAAGTAACACTATATTGTGTATCTGTGTATCAGTGTATGTATTCATTAGACTATATTTGGAGTAGTAATTTCATTAATGGATGAAGTATTTTGTTAGCATGTACAAGTAGGTGAAAATCAATCGAATTAATGTTTATATAATTATATGATAATCAAATTACATAATGTAAATCAAATAAGATTCCTAAACATGCATATACTGCAACAAGTGAAAACGGAACCACCTTTTTATTATTATTCTGATATGAAGTAATTTTCTAGTTTTACACGGATTAAAATTTCTATATGTATCTAATTTCTTTCCAATTTTTACCAAACCCCACCAACTCATACACATAGGGGTTCTTTTATGACTTATTTTTCGTTCATCTTTGGAACAATTTAAATAGAAAACTCCAATCTAATCAACTTTACATCCTATCATATCATGCACCTTAACAAAAGTTGAATAACGCTTTATACACACATTATTAGTTCCTAACTTCCTATGCCTTGGAAACCATGCATCCTTCTTTGTCCAGCCTCTTTTCCACCACTTTCTAAAAACTTCACCAAATCAAGTTCAAATTCTATCGACATCATTATCAAATATATGTTACAATACACCAAAAACGTATATAAGAACTTTCTATCGTGCACCCTAGAATTAATATTACGTAGTGGTATATAAGATAGCTTAGCTGGTAAAGTTTTATATATAATAATTTCATTCAATCTTATTTAAGTTAACCAACAATTTGATAGTTTGATTATTAATAGATACAAAGAAGGATTACATACAGCACAAACCTCTATCCAAAAACATCATTATCGCTCAATTGAGATTAAGACATTAGTCACATAACGGAGAATTATCAATTTATCATACTATCCCATTACGAGTGTCAATTTCTTGCAAAAGTCACAACTAAACTTACACAAAAAAAAAGCACAAAATAAGGAATAAAATCAACCATATTGTATGCAATCAATTTTATTACCCCTTTAAAAGAGATTCATTTCCTATTTTCCAACCTACAAATACAAATAATCTCACACCAAAAAAAACACCACATTCTTTCCTTTTCTTTTTTCTCTCATTCATTCTCTCTCCTCACATTTTAACAATGGGTTGCATTTCCTTCATATTTTCCACCAAATTCATATTCTCTCTCCTCCTCTTCTCCGCCATTCCTATCGGCATTCTCATCACCCTTGAGAGGACCCCACCATCTACACACGTGTACCAATATCATAGCAACAGCTGGCTCAGGGAATGTGCCAAGTGGGATGATCTCAACCGTCGATTCCTCGTCTCCTACATGGAGGGTGGTGTAGGAGAACTCAAACTCCAAACCGATGATAATCATGTATTGGATGAAATCACAGCATTTAAAGACGTTGACTTGGCTGGAAATGCTTCCGTCGGTATTTCCATTGACCGGTCGAGGAATCGTCTTCTTGTTGTTACGGCTGACTTGATTGGTAATCGTTACGGTGGTCTCGCTGCTTACGACCTTTCCTCTTGGCGTCGTTTGTTTCTAACTCACCTTACTAAGCCTGGTAATGTTTCTCCGTGTCTAAATGTTGTTCCTGTTTTAAATTTTTTTTTTTCCTTTTTGTGACGATGATTCTAGTAAAAGTAGCAACCGCCAAATCCGGTAAAGTAAAACATATGGAAGATATTGGCTTTTTTAGTTAGGATTTCTTTGCTAGACTAATTAATTTTTTGTTAATAATAAATGTCAAACTCTTGTATGAAACAGTCTCAAAGTTACTTTTATAGAATAGGATAAAGTTTTCTAAAATTAGTTGGACAGTAATTTTACGTGAAATAATTTTTTTATTTTTGTTTTTAATACGGGATAATATTTTGTCGCTAAAGAAAATTTGATTTTAAGGTTTAAACTGAAAAATCAAACAAAGAATTTGAAAATGAGTGGCTTGCAACTTGACAATTGTCATGATTCAATAGTTAAAATTACCATTGAAAATATCTGATTTTTGTAGTGTTGTTGATGACTTGTATTATCTTCTTTTGGATCGAGATTAAAGTCATTAACTTTTCCTTATAAAATTATGTACAAGTCACTCCGTCTCAAATTAAATGTATTACTATTAACTCATATCTAAATACAAGTAGTAATACGAATACAATTTTAATATCGTTAAAGATAGAGAAATGTTTATAAAAATTTAATTACCTAATGATTAGAGAGAAATTAATGTGAGAATGAGCTTAAGTTTTCCAATCTCTAATATATCATCATAATATATACTCGTACTTCATTTTTATTAAGTTTGAATGTTTGCTTGATTGATACTCCGTATAATATTTGGTGATGACACTTATATAATTATACTACCTCCGTTACATATTATTAGCAACGATTTGACATAAAGTAGAGAGGGAAAAATGTCTAATCGTTGCAAATAATATGTAGCGGAGGTAGTATATAATCTACAATTTGATCAAATCTCGTGTATAACACCTTGATTCGTGATTATCTATCTGCACACATATAACATAAACAATGTATTAGTGATTTACATAGAGCGTGTAACACAATAAACAAAGAATGGAGATCCGCATTAATCGTGTACTGTTTTGTTTGGCGCACACAAATACACGATAACCAAAACTCATATTGTCCTCACAGTCAAACCTTTACCTTTGGTTTCTGTTCTTAATGCTCAACTATTATCGTAGCCAACAATAATACCCCTTCTGTCTCACTTTACTTGTCTCGTTTGATCAAACGGCACAAGTAAATTATAATTTTGTTACATTTGTCTTAATATTTTATAATTTTTTTTACTATAAGTACTGTGTATTTTATTGACTAATGAGAATTGAAAAAAATGTATTGAAATGTGTCAATTAATAAGAAATGGCGAAATGGGTGAAGTAATTGAATTCGGGTCTAGTCCAGTTGTTAAACATATATAGGCCTCTAGATGTTCAAGTACTACCAGATAAATGTCAGTTCATTTAAGTGTCAACCAATTCACTCCATAAAAACTTGAACGTATTGTCTATTTGTCTTATCCACTTTAAATTTGAGGAAAATAATTTAAACAATCAAGTGGAGTGAAACAATGGTGTAGTGTAGGGCATCAACTAAATTAATATGATAAGTAAATGTTGTGCTACTTGTGCCTAAGCCTAACCCACTTAATTGACCTATATTAGTTACGGAGATATGTAGTAGGTAGTGCTCCGATCCTTGTATTTAAGTCAATATTGATATGGACAAAGTAGTGTATAGATATGTAATACAAAGTGAGTATTCCGTATAGTCCGTGATTAGTATTTAAGTTAAACTCTTGAGAATATAGGAAATGTGTCTCCTATTGTACTAAATATGTGACAATATTACACGATGGATAGTTTTGAAATTTGAATCTAAAAATTAAAACATAAATATATACGGATTAAAAAAAAAATCTATTCTTTTAAGGGATGTTGTACCGATAAATATAATTTGTTTAAGAGCCTGCTCACATTTACTGAACTGAACTGAGTGGAGCTGAACTGAACTAAACTAGACTGTTTCTATGAGCGAGGGAAATTAGAAGCTGAACTGAACAAAACTGATTATAGCTGAACTGAACTGAAATTAATTAAATATATGTGAACATGCCCTAATTCTTACATCTAATACTAATTGCATACTTGGATTATTATATTTTGTAAGATAAAGATTTGTGCATCTTCTAGTCCAATATTTTGACTAACACCACCTAATATAATCAAACTAACAAGCTTATTAATAAATTTTCAGGAGGTGAAAAGGCATTTGCGGACGATGTAGCCGTTGATGAAGAAGGCAATGCATACGTAACCGATGTAAAAAACAGCAAATTATGGAAGGTTAATGTAGATGGAAAGTTGTTATCAATCATAAAAAGTCCTCTTTTTACTCCAAAAGAATGGTACAAAAATTTGGTAGGACTCAATGGTATTGTGTACCACCCTGATGGTTACTTGCTAGTCATTCATACATTTTCGGGTAATTTGTACAAGATCGATTTGAAGAAGGGAGAGGAAATCACGTTAGTGAAAATCGTTAAGGGATCACTCCAATTTGGTGATGGGTTAGAGTTATTATCTCCAACTAAGCTCGTGGTTGCAGGGAACCCTGCAGGGCGGTTGGTGGAGAGTACTGATGGGTGGGAGACTGCTTCCGTGGTTGGGAAGTTCTCTGGCGCAATGCATAGGTTGGCTACGGCTGCAACGGTCAAGGATGGGAAGGCGTATATAAGTCATTTGATTGGGTTGGGATACCCTAAGAGGAAACATGTCATTGTAGAAGCTGTTTTTAGTTCTTAGAAAGGGAAAGAATTTAAATTATATTAAGTCATTGATACATTATTGTCTTAGTTTAGGTTACTTAACATTTTTTTTAATGTGTGTTTTCCTTGAATTAAGAGGAAAAATGAGTTGAAAACCATATTTGAAGGGGCTAGTTAATTGTTTCCCTAGCCAAGTTATACTACAATATTGGTAAAATATTGATTTGTAATTTGGTTTATGAATCCAAATGGAAGAAAAAGATGGTTTGGTTTGTTTTTGTTTTAGCTTTAGCCTAGGATGAAAGTATGACTATGCCTGACTTTTCTTGTTCTAGTTGTTCTTCCTAAGGTTTGTTCAACAACTCTAATTTAGGAAGTCTTGGGATCTAGTGTCAGAAACTCACGGAGTTGTAAGGGATGTATCCTGAGATCATATAAAGCCTTTTGGAATTATGTACAATCAGGTGATTACATAAAGACCCATGATGGCTTAGGGTTAATTAATTGAATTGTGTATGTAAAGTTGTAAACAACTTAATTCTCAGTTTAAAGTCAAAGTAGACGATTCCAACCACCCAAAAGACAACTTGGGGTACGTGGGGTCCAATAGGAAGCATTCGGCATGTTTTCTTGTCGAGTCCAAAAAAGTCAAAAATTGAAGGCTATTATCCACAGTTTTGGATCAATTTTGGAGATTTTGGGGCTCGATGCCGAAAACTTTTGGAGTGGTAGTGGATGCATTTTAAGGTTATATAATGTTGTTTGGAACCATATATGACCACTCGTTGGTCACATAAAGACATGTGGTGGCTTTGAGTTAATTAAGGTTTTTGTGTTCATAAACTGTTAAATTGATGATTTTAAGACAAATTGAATAGTTCCAACCATCTATAATGTCCCCCTGAGGTGTCATGGGTCAATGGGAAGCATCCCTACCACATTTCTTTTCAGGTCCAAAAAAGTCGAAAAATGTTCAAAAACTAAAGACTATAATCCACGCTTTCGGCCAATTTCGGAAGATTTGAGACCTGGTATCGAAAATTCAAGAGATCATAAAAAATGCATTTTGAAGTCCTTTAAAGTTGTTTGGAATCATGTAAAACCATTAAAGGGTCACATAAAGGTCCATGATGACCTTGAGTTGGTTTAAGTTAATTGTGTATGTGCATAATGATCAATAAATAGAACTTAATCCAACGTACACGTCTACCACTCATAAGCAGGGGTGGGACTTTTCAAACCGAACCGTGAAACCGCCCGTTACCGAACCGAACCATCACGGACCGATCCGTTTATAAACCGATAAATGTAAACCGAAAACCGAACTGAACCGTTCAATATCAAACCGAAACCGAATTGAACCGCTCAATGTCAACCCGTTACGGACCGTAAACCGATAACAAACCAAACTGCGCAAATCCGAACCGAAACGAAACCGAACCGAATGGTTTATAAACCCGTTAATGACCCGAACCGTTTATAAACCGAAACCGTTTAAACCGAAAAAAAAACCGTTTAAACCGAACCATTTGTAACCCGCTAACCGTTTAAACCGACCCGTTTATGAACCGAAACCGTTTAAACCGCACGTATAAACCGAACCGTTATAATCCGCTAACCGTCTAAACAGAACTGCCATAACCCGTTAAACCGTTAAAATCGAACTGTTTTCGAATCGCAACCTGTTTAAACTTATCCAATTACAAACTGCTTAATTCAAATTGAATTATTTACAACCTAAATGGCTAAATAGTAAATACAATTAAATAATTAATGTTAATAAATGTAGATCTAATCAAACGGCTTAGGTTTATACAAAGGTTTATATCACCTAGATCTAGGCCAACGACATTATTAATATCGTTTTAGATTACTTATTTATTTTAATTACAAGATATATCATTTATATCTTTTCATTCCAGTAATAAAGTCCACCCAAATTATCTTCATTGTTCCTTGATATTCATGATCATCCAATAAGATAACATAAGATTGGAGATAAATAACATTAAAATTAGAGTAATATCAACAAGCAATTAAAAAAAGTCACCATTTTCATTGATTAAAATTCACAATACATATACCAATACATAATGAAACTACTATCACTACTACCCAGATTAGATTTCAGATTTACCAACTGAAACATCATCAAGTTTAGGGTTGCAAAAAATGATACATGATAAGATGAAGGGAGGAGTGAGAATGTGAGTGATTTGGGAGCAGAATCTTGAAGCAGAATCTTGAAGCAGCAGCCCAGCACCCAAGAGCAGAGGAAATAGCAGCAACAAGCAGGAACCAGCACACGCAATAACAGATCAGCAACTTATCCGAAGCAAGGAATAATATAAGCAGAAGGGACTCAGCAGGAACTTATTTTTGTTTTTCAAAATTGCTCTCAGATTTACGTTTCTCGTACCATCACTGAGCAATGGCTGTTTTAACTTAAAACTTGAAAAATGCTGCCAGCAAGTACATATACATTGAAGTCTCAACATAAATGACAAGGGCAGCGATGATTCAAGAAAAATTAAAACAGCAAGCATAAGAAACAGCAGCAACAAAACTTATCATAAATTCATAACACAAAAGGCAGCAACACAGCACCTCAAGCTGGCAGGAGGCAGGAACCAGCTCATGCAGGCAACAATATAGGCAATAACAACTCAGCAGAGACAACAACCAAAAGGCAAAAGCACTACCAGCAGGCAGCAGCTCATAACAAGTTCAAGCAACTTCAAAATTATAGCTTTTGTTTTTTTAAAATTTCTCTCAGATTTACAAGTTGAAGTACCCGCTTTACCAGGTGCTTTATATTCTTTGCCACACAAATTACAACGAGCATAATCAACATTTTCATTACCTATCGTCTTTACAAAAAAAGTGTAATGCTTCCATATACCTGCGGTTCTTTGACGTTTATTAACAGAAGGATTGATAGTGCCGGTATTACTAGCATCATCAACCGAGACAGAGGCAGCTTGAGAGCTAACAGTATCAAAATTTGATTGCCTCTCATAGTCAAATTCATCATACTCGCGAGACATGACTGAAACAAAAAAAAAACAACATTTATAACTTATAAGTACCAAATTAAGTGACAGATTCTACTAATAGTGAGCAATTAAGCATGCATTGTCTCATGTGACTGACACTGAAGTCACGACAGTGAATCCTATTCACTCAATACCAAAATTCAACTAAATAGATAGTTCATATTTCAGAATTTTATTTGCACTAGTCAATGTTTCAAAATTCAGAATTATACAACAAACGTGATTACAACATATATCCTAACAGAATATAGAAAGTTATATACGATACAGTCACATATGTGTACATTTTAAGTACTAACTTTAAGCCAATCATATACAATGCTTGTATTCCAACAATATGGGTTAAAAATATAAAGCTAAAATCCCAATAAATAAACAATGCATGTATTCCAACAATAATAATCACATAATCTGAACAACCCATCATCATTACTTTTAAATCGAGCATAATAAACAACAAAACAGCACAAATCTACCATTTTCCCGTAAAAAACAAAAATACAATCAACAACAGATTTTACTCATTTTAGGCATATTTCGACTATATTCAAGCAAGAACAACAACAATAATCAAATACAAAAACAGAAAAACTGTATTAAAAAAAAAAAAAAGGAAAAAGTAATTACCTTTGACAGCTTGAAGGAGATTTGAAGATGGAGAACTACCTGAACTGGAGATCAAAAGAAAAAATCAAGAATGTAGATTATCAGAACTTGAAATAAATTAAAAAACCGAAACGAAAACGAAAAAAATCGAATAAATTAACAAAAAAATTACCTTAGGGTTTGACGGCTTGAAGGAGAGGAAGATTTGAAATCAGAAATCAGAAATCAGAACTTAGATCCAAAACAAAAATGAAACGAAAACAAAAACCCTAAATAAACAAACCGAAACAAAAACGAAAAAAATCAAAACGAAAACAACAAAAATTAACAAAAAAACGAGAATGTAAAGCGAGAAATCAGAAATGTAGATCCAAAACACAAATGAAACGAAAACAAAAACCCTAAATAAACAAACCGGAACAAAAACGAAAAAAATCAAAACGAAAACAACAAAAATTAACAAAAAAACGAGAATGTAAAGCTAGAAATCAGAAATGTAGATCCAAAACACAAATGAAACGAAATTGAGCTTGAGATTCTTGATAATTTCAGAACGAAAGAGTGAGAAACTGAGAAGTTAGAGAGAGAAACTATGACAGATTGTGAGATTGAGAGAGAAACGGCTGAATGAGTGAATGAGAATGGCTGAGAGAGTGAGAGTGGGTTTTTTTTTTCTAGGTTTAGGTTTTACTTCAGTTGATCTAACCGTCCATATTCAATCTCAACATCTAAGTTAGATCTAACCGTTCATTTTTTTTTTTTTTGTAGATTCTAGAATATTCATCTAGATCTAACGGTCTAGATTTTCTTTGTGCTTTTCTAGGTCTTTTTGACCGTTTTTTTTAATTATTTATTATTATTATTATTGTTAGTATAATTATTTGTTAATATTATTATTACTACTAGTTTACTACTACTATTATTATAATATTATTATAATAATAATTATTATTATTACTATTATTATTATTATTATTATTATTATTATTAGTTTATTACTTATAAGTTATAAATTGTAAGAAACGCAAATGTTTCAAAATTGAAATTGATTCAATACGACATAGTTAATGACTTAATGAGTTAATGGCTTAATGCTCATCAATATGACAATATCTGACATCTGTGAGTCTGTGATTGTATATCAGTATATATAATAAACTATAAAACTAATAATAACTTAATAAGTAATAATACTAATAACTAATAAAGTAATGAAAATCTAACCATTGTTTTTCATGGGCATTCAATCTAACCGTTGTATATTTGACTATTCGTACATTAGTATTGCATAATGCTTTCATCACCACTTTAATTAGTGATTTCGTGATTTCGTCCATTTAACTTATTAAGTTGTTTGAGTTAGTAATCTAAATAAAGTAACAAACTAAATAACGAATCCATTTAATCTCGTGTAAGTTATAATTTATAAGAAATGCAATGTTTGGAAATGGAAATTGATTCAATACGATATTGTTAATGTATATGTAATTATATTATTATGTATATGATGTATATCATATCGTACGAATGTACGGTTGGTATCATTATCATACTATCATAAGTATCATTGTCTCATTGAATTATTGGTATGTACTATAATCGATAAACATATTTAGTTATTTACATATCTGATCATTAAAACTTAAAAGTTTAAAACACTTGTTGATCAATCTAATTGAATACTTGTACATTCTTAATTATCGATTTATCGTATTATAAGTATCAACTCATTAAATCATGGTCATGATTTCGTGATTTCGTCCATTTAACTTTTTAAGTTGTTTGAGTTAGTAATCTAAATAAAGTAACAAACTAAATAACGAATCCATTTAATCTCGTGTAAGTTATAATTTATAAGAAATGCAATGTTTGGAAATGGAAATTGATTCAATACGATATTGTTAATGTATATGTAATTATAGATTAATTATTATGTATATCATATCGTACGAATGTATGGTTGGTATCATTATCATACTATCATAAGTATCATTGCCTCATTGAATTATTGGTATGTACTACAAATCTACAATCGATAAACATATTTACATATCTGATTATTAAAACTTAAAAGTTTAAAACACTTGTTGATCAATCTAATTGAATATTTGTACATTCTAATTATCGATTTATCGTATTATAAGTATCAACTCATTAAATCATGGTCATGACGCGATCTTTAAAACAATCATGAATTCAATTCATGACCCAAACCGCTTATAAACCGAACCGACATGATCCAAACCGTTCATAAACCGAACCAATTGAACTGTGTAAACCCTCTACTAAACCGGCCCATTTAAAACTGAGCCGACATGATTCGCACCGTTTATAAACCGAACCGATATTGATCCGGGTAAATCCGCCCCTAAACCGACCCATTTCAAACCAAACCGGCTTGATCCAAACCGTTTGTAAACCGAACTGACATTGACCCGGGTAAACCCGCCCCTTAAACCGACCCGTATCAAACCGAACCGACATAATCCGAATCGTTTATAAACCGACCCGCTTATGACCCAAACCGAATTTAAACCGCAAAGAAATAAACCGAAACCAAACCGAGCCGTGACTAACCCAAACCGAACCAAACCGACCCGCCAGCTAAACTAAACCGTTTCAATCCGAACCGCTCCAAACCGAAACCGACTCAAACCGAGGTCAAACCGAACTGCCAGACCGAAGTCCCACCCCTACTCATAAGTCATGAGTATGATATAATGTTCATTAGATTATGATTTATGAATATTGTTTTATAATTAATTAAACAACTCTCAACTTCTTATCTTTATGAATTTTGGCCATGTCTCACACGTTCTTTTACTCTACAACTCTCTCAACTCCACCACCTCCCTCAAAATTCGATTTTTTTTAGCATAAACTTTACCAAATAAATAAACATAAATTAAATCTGTATGAAAATAACTACCCAATTCAATTTTCAGATGCATTTCTTTGTTTTTCAAGCTTATTTCAGTAGCAAAGATGGAGAAGCAGAGAAATTGCTGCTCATTTTGGAAATCCACTAAATTTATGGTTATTTCTCTAACTCTTTCTCTCTGTTTAGTGTTCTTTTCATTCTTTTCTTTCTGGTTTATGCGAGCTTCTCCATTGATTCACCAAGAAGCCTATGTTCTAAGCTTAAGCTTTAATTCCTTAAATCTTCAATCTTTGACAGTTCCTAGTACAAATCCATCTGATTTTAATCTTAATGATACTACTAATTTGAAGAAAACCCAGTTTCAAAAACCTCAAATTTCATCTGGGTTTGTTGTTAATAGTTCCATTGAAGTGACTAGTAGTAGAAATTTCACTGTTTTGGGTAAAAATTTCTCAGTTTCTAGAGTGAAAGTTATGAATTTGGGGGATACCCATTTGAGTGAACTTCAAAATTCATCTGAGTTTGTGAGATCTTCTAGTTTTAAGGATGAAGTTGATGAAATTACTACTGATGATGTGGTAAAAGCTGAAGTTAGTTGGGTTGAAATTGAAATGAATTTGACTAAAGTTGGTAAAATTGATGAGGATATTGAAGAGAAAAAGGGTAAAAATTGTGATGTTTCCAAAGGGAGGTGGGTGTTTGATGATAGCTACCCATTGTACACAAATTTCTCATGTCCATTTATAGATGAAGGGTTTAATTGCCAAGGAAATGGGAGGTGGGACAAAGATTACATGAAGTGGAGATGGCAACCTCAAGATTGTGACATTCCAAGGTATTGTAAATTTGTAATTGATAATCCCTTTTGCAATCATTTGTAAATGAAGCTAAGTTGTTACTCGGACTTGCATAGTTGTTTTCGAAATGAGTATGTGTACAAGTGTTAGACTCGACTATTTTATGAAGCATTTTCGTGTTTTATGACATTTTGATCCAAGGAATTATAGTTGTTTTTTTTTTGTAGGTAAACAGAATATTTGATTTTGTATGGTAGGTATATGTGCTAATTGCTAAGCTAGGATGTGGATTGTTTTGACATGTTTGGAAATAATTACTCTTTGATTCAAATGTTAGGTTCAATGCAACAAATATGCTGGAATTGATTAGAGGAAAGAGGCTAGTCTTTGCTGGTGATTCAATTAATAGAAATCAATGGGAATCATTGCTTTGTTTATTGATGGGAGCTGTAAAAGATCCTACTAGGGTGTATGAGGCACGAGGTCGAAGGATCACTAAGAATAGAGGGGCCTATAGTTTCAAATTTGTGGTAAGTACTCAGCTCCCTCCGTACTTTCGTGTTTCCATAAATTGATTTTAGTTCAAAATCATCCTCCCTGTTTAAATTTGTATTCTTAGATTTTACAGGATGTCTGAGCTGATAGTGATCACTACTCTGGTGATTTTGCAATGTAGGATTATCAGTGCACAGTTGAATTTTATGTGACGCATTTCTTAGTGCGAGAAGGCAAGGTGAGGATGGGTAGGAAGCGTAAGGAAACGTTGCGAATTGATAGCATAAATAGAGATTCAGCAAAATGGAGAGGAGCTGATATCTTGATCTTTAATACTGGAAATTGGTGGACTCATTTCAAGACAAAAGCAGGGTGAGTTAATTTTTATGAAATGTTGAAATGGACTGTTTAATACTTGTTGAGTTCAGATTGGAAAGCATCAGCGCTATTAGGAATTATGAATCATATTTGTTCTGTAAAGGCTTATAAAAAATTGTCATATCTCCTAAAATAGCAACAATTATGATTGGGAAGGGAATGAAAACATCAAAAGGATTTTTTTATTTTTTTTTTCCTTTTCCGAATCATAAGGGATTGTGACAATGTGATTACTGATTCCAAATGGAATAATAATTTGAGTCTTTCGTTATAGATTGTCTCAATTCTCTCAAAGTTATTATGTATCTTATGTACGAATTTAGGCCTTTCTATTATGTCTTTCTGAATTTGTACTAAACAATGCAATTGCATGTAGGATTAACTATTACCAGGAAGGTAAGCAAGTTTATCCTCACCTTGATGCAATAGCAGCTTACAAAAAAGCTCTTCTGACGTGGGCTACATGGATCGATAGATATATAAATCCTCACAGAACCCAGGTTTTCTTTCGAAGTACAGCACCAGCTCATTTCAGGTTGGTTCTCTACACTAACATATAACTTACATAAGATTATGCGCATCAAAGGTTGCAGTGAACCTTTTCACTCTAAAAACCTGTCTGGTTTGCTGAACAGAGGGGGGCAATGGAATACTGGTGGACATTGTAGAGAAGCAAAGAGACCACTAAATGAAATGTATATAGACAATCTTGATAAAGATCATATTGCTCGGGAGGTCATCAATACGATGAAAACTCCTGTTACATTTGTGAATGTAACAGGATTATCGTCATATAGGATAGATGGTCATCCTTCCAAGTATGGGAAAACCCCAGGAAAGAAGGGATCGTCAGAAGATTGCAGTCATTGGTGTCTTCCCGGGGTTCCAGATGCTTGGAACGAGCTGATTTATCATCAGTTACTTATAAAACAACAGAAGAAGCTATATGCTCGGTGATGAGCCTTAGAACAGTATTATTATAGGCGTTCACTTATTCTTTGATTAACTTTTTACATTTGATCTATTCTCTGCTGTTAGATACTTAAATTCAGATTTTTTTTGTAATCAATTGTAATGAAGAGGGAAACAATGTATGTCTATTGACTAGTATAATACTGTAACAACATGATATTGTATGGCTAAGGGATTCAAGATAGATAGCAAGTAAGAAATCGAGTATCAATTTACAATGGATTGTAATAAGATTTGATGAAGCTAACATGTATCTGATTATCTTACCTAAACATAGACCCTACGCAAATTTACTATCACCTGATGTTATTTGGAGCTTTACATGGTTTTTCAAACGGAGTGAAAATTAATAATATGAAGATTATTCATTCCAAAATTGACCTAAATGAACCATACTCGAACCATGGACTATTCACTCGAATGTGACTCGAATAAAATTAGACCAAATGGAACGTGATCCGAAAGACCACTTTGGCACCCCTAGTCTAAGGTTAGGCTTTAAAGAACAAAGGTGGTAGTGTGATGGCTGCATATAAACGATTCTACAGGATCATAGAAAAATGATTAGATCTACCCTAATTTGATATGAACTAAGATAATAATCACATTTGCTAAATTTATGATAATTAAAAATGCCTCATACATAATACATCTAAAAGCTCTTGGAAACTCTCTTTTGTCTCTATTTTTTCTTCCTACTTTGACCTTTTCTACCTCTTAGAAATTTCAATTAAAAAAAAAATTAAAAAAAAAGAGACGAAGAGAGTATGATTCAACATGAAATTTTTTCTTGGACCTCTTACTTGAGAAGAAAACATGAATTTACTATCTACTGATAGGGCATAAATATTGATCAACCAACAGGTATTGTACAAGTAAAAAAGAACACACACTCAAAAGTAATAGTTCAACTCTATATTAATTTCTTTTTTCATCTCAAACTTTTGCTGCATAACTCAGCATTAATTATTTGGGTAATGAGTCATCAACAGAATTTCCTCAAAAAAAAAAAAAATTTTAAAAAAATTCAGAATTACATAAGCTATAAAATTTCAATTTTTGCCTTGTCTAAAATAGTAAAATTATTATCTTCCTATTAAGATTATTATTATTATTATTATTATTATTATTATTATTATTATTATTATTATTATTATTATTATTATTATTATTATTATTATTATTATTATTATTACTTTTATTATCTTCCTACTCCATATGATTATCAAACATACTGGCTGATTGACAAACAGCCACACAAGTCCACTCGAGCACCAATGGAAAACCCATGATTATGTAAACACATACACTGACGACGACATACAGCTCAGCGAGACTGATGTTTCCTTGCACGACTCTGAGAAGATATCTGTTCATCCTTCTTAGATTCCTTGGATCTTCGGAACCACGAAGGTGCTTGATCAGGACCATAACGATAGTCATAAAAGATTTCCTGCATGGCTTCAATCCGTTCTCCGGCAAAAATACCAACCCGATGATCTCCTCCCACCAGTAATATCTGGTCAAAGCAGCATATTAGTTGAGCTGATAAACTCCCTATATTGGAGGGCAAAGAGAGTGCAAAACAAAAATTAGGTACCTTGCAATAGCAGTTGGGGGTTGCTGAGTGATTTGCAAACTTCAATTTGTCTCCTCGACGGCAGGCATCAAGAACATACTGTGATCAAAAGAAGTCATTTTAAGATACAACTATAAGTAAGCTCATTGCTCCAGATACACTCGAACAATGTTAACTTTAAGCATTCTACCCCTATTAGCAAAAAAATAAACATCTAACGAAATAGCTATTTAGCATATGATTAAAAAAAACACACACACACACTTACGTGATCATTCAAGTCAAATAGATATGATGAATCTACTCGATCATATATTTTTCCACGTTTATCAGCTTCTTGATGCGATATCAATTCGCCTGTATATTCTCCAAGGTAATCATTTTTATTCACAGTATTCTGCAATATCATGACAAACTTTGTTAGAAGAGCTTGAAAATAGCAATAATTATAGTTACTCAGTACCATATGTCTCTAACCTTGATAAAAGCTCCCCATCCAACAACATCTGACCGTCCCAACAATATCTGAGCAAACATTATATCAAATTATGAATCATTATTTAGGAGGAAAACACTGTCAATGAAAAAAATTGCTACTGAAGCAGTCAAAGTAATCTACCCTCTGCTGTTGCCTCAAAAGGAGCCTCATATTTCCACATTGTCCATCTCCTCTCTTTGGTGGTTCGCCTAGTTCACCCCCACCGCAACTAAAAAATGCAGGAAAAGCAATTTTAGCAAGTATCGTATAAAATATTTTTCTTTTATTTTAGGCGGACTAAGAGTTTTATTAAATATATTGAATCATCTATTTGGGCATATGTATACTTTATGATGGCAGAGGGAGTAATTAATAGTCACTTTTCAATGCATACTTTCGCTGATCTTTGCTACTTGAATTCTTCCATTACAGAGAAAGGAATTTTTCTGTATCCACCTAAAGTGCCATACTAATAAAGAAGTTTAACCAAAAAAAAAAACAGAGCAAACAGAGTCTTAACCAACCAGCTAATAAAAGCCACACATAGACTCTAAAATCATCAAAGTATGACATGTAAGTTCCAACCAAGCTCTAAAATGGTGCATGCCTACCACCTAAGAGATCCAAAAGGTTTTCTCTCACATTGCAGATAATTTCAACTCGACCATCTTTATTCCATGGTTACCAGATTAAAAATACCTAATAATGTGATGAGGAAATACCGAAATATGCAACTTCCATATTATGACAGTACAATTGTTAATGATTATTCTTCTAAATTAGGAACCAGAGCTTTGACATTTGCTACGTCCAGAGATACACTTAGGTTTATGATTCAGTAGAGCACAAGTAGCACAGCTTTAAGAAGGTATTAATCACATAGTGACAGGCTATTTTCGCAGATAAAAAGATGAACTGAAAGTTGTAGTAAATAATTACCTAACCCAGCAATTACGACAAACATCTGGATCACATTCACGATTAGCTGCAAAACATGGGCACTGCCGGCTTCTACACTGACTCTTTGCACAGTGGCATCCTCGAAATCTATTTTTGCAGCCTTTTGGACACCTGTTATGGATTATTTAGCTATTATTATGATTATTTCTTTCCAATTAATATTTCTAATATGATTTTTGGACTGGAGAATTTGTTCACTGCATTTTTATTCAGACAAAACTCAAAAGGTATGTGTCTTTACCCACAGTACTTTTCGCAACAGTTTCCGCTTGATATACAGGAGCAGTCCTTCCCACACACGGACTCGCATGAACATGGTGTGTACAGCTTGTATGCCTTGTTTGCATCAGTATCTTTTTTCAAGCTGGATGGATGACCATTGGACTTTGTAGAAAATTTTAGTCTTCTTGCCCTTCCTCTTTTACGAACTATTCTTGATCTGGGTCTCACTACTATCTCCTTTCTCTGGATAAAAATACTCATTAGTCTGTAAAAGTGGTACTTGGTAAAAAATTGAAAGCCAGTACCCCAAAAGCTACATATATTCACACATACTGACCACGAGTTCTAGACATATCCTTTGCACAATGCTAGAAAATACACAAGTGGGAAGCAAAGAGATTGAAAAACAATTTGCTGCTAGGAGTGCTAATATCAAGTAACCAACATGCTCCAAAGGAAAATGAGAAAGCATAAAATAGAAGGGACAGGGGGCATCAAGTCATCAAATGCATATTATATTATCTGAATCAGCCCTTACATTGTCTTCTGACGAGTTTACTTTATCCATTTTCTGAGTCAACAAAGCCCTATTATTCTGCAGGTAACTGGACACCTCGCTACAAGTCTTTAAACCAGGTAGAAAGTTTCTGGCTATCAGGCAACTGAAAAAGTTATAAAAACATCTTTAGATTGAGGAAGTATAATAACATACAATTTCTTAGTAGGGTGTGAAAATAACCTAATGTCTTAGTCTACCTTAAAAAAACTTGCTCTCTTTCATACTAGAACAGCTTAGAATTTAATATGATGGTAGATCATTTGACAAGCCTATTTCAGCCATTGTCAAAACTTTTAATGATCTAACAACAAACAAAACATGCATAGACTACCACTACCAGACATTTCTACCGTAAAACATAATTGAATTGCAAGACATGACTAAAGTTAAAAATATGGAATAACTAAATTGAACAAACAAATAACAAAGCCTGACTTCTTTTAAAAAAATAAAAATAAAAGAGAAGCATTCATCTAGATTGAAGCCTGAAATCTCTATATTGAATATTGTAAAATCCACAACTTTTTGATGAAAAAAGAGTATCATCTATATTCTAGAATGGCCAACAATAGTAATTTAAAAAGAAAACTAATGTGAGATAACCAAATAATTGATCACTGACCTGCTTTTGCCAAACATTTTCAACCCTTCCAGCAATAGAGATTTCTCCAAAGGCTTCCAGTCACAACTACTTGACAATTTTGTCCTTCTCCTTCCCAAAGAAACTGGTTGCTTCAGTTCCACCCTCCTACTTATGTCACGAACTTCTTCTCCAATAATATCATGGGTATGACAACTTGAATTGTCATCAGAACTTAAATCATATAAAACGCCAGTAGCATGCCCCTCCATAGGATGTTTGCCTGTCTGTTGATGATCCAGATATTGAGATGACTCAACACTCAATTTCTTGCTTTTGCCAGATGAAATTGCACTTGCCGATACAGATTTACTATTGACAGTTGTTGATTCAACAGCTTGAATTTTTGTCAGCTTCTTATTAATGGAACTTTCGAAGCTACCAGATCTCTCTAACTCTCTACCATTGTCATCAGTGATCTTGCGCTTTGCCACGTTTGCATGAACTGTAGGCACAACTTTTAAACCAGATAGGACTCCTGCAGTAGAACCTTCCCCAGTATCAGACTTCACAGTACAGCCAGTACCAAAATCTGCACTACTTATATTCACTTCACAATTGAAAACACTAGAGCCTCTACTTTCCTCTTCTAAAATAGCATGATCCATATGCTGTAATAAACGAGAATCTGAGCTTTCCACCAATTCTTCAGCAGTTTGTATAGCCTGGCAGTTTCAAAAAATAATAACTACATTATTCAAGCTTTGCACAATCAAAGAAAAAGGAAAAATGCACCCCAGACAGATTAATAATGTGCAGTTGTCCGTTCAGTTAGTTAAAACATAATACAGCTTTCCTAGAAAAAAATCAGGTCCAAAGCGAATAAATTTGAGTTCACATAATAATGATTCTATGTAGCATGATTTTAACATATCATAAGTCAAAAGCTGCGGCTTGCCGGCTAGCAAATGGCAGGTTAGATTCATCAGTCATTGTGAAAAACATATGGATGATAGAAAGCCACACTTTACTTCGAGAGAAACTCAGCTATATCACCACGACCCAACATAACCATTTCACTTGCATAAACATTTTCATGATTGTGCAAGAATTGGCAAGCATCACAATGATCACTTGCTCTACTTCTGACAACTACATCATATTATTGACAGTTATTGACTTGATTTTCATAATAAGTACAAACTTTAACTGCAACCTTTGAGTTTCAATTCTTGCAAGCCACTATCACTTCAAGTCTTCAACCACGAGTAGAATAAACAATTTGTTATGCAACAATGTTGTAAAACTAGTACTGCTAATCGTTAATCAACAACCTTTCATAACCAACCACCACTTTATAAAAACCTCTAGTAAGACAAACATCTATGGATCTCATCATTCATTCAAAAACTGAACATTCCATAATATTTTTACACCACCAAAAGTACCAATTTTAAAGGGTAAAAAGCGATCCAATGACTCATTGCTTTCTATATACTTTGTATGTTAGAGGATGTTAGAAACTTGAAAATACAGGTCAGAATCAAGCATGAGATATACCAGGAGGTAGCACTGGTCACTGCAAGGTTTCCTGCCCTCAGGTTCAGGCAAAGATGATAGTTTTTCTCTCTGAAAAACCAAATGTTTACAAAGATCAATGGCTGAATAACTGCAGGGATATAAATATGAAAGTGAGGAAAAATAGAAAGAAGATCTCACAGGGTTAACAGTAGGTTGAGAGCAGCCATGCGAACGACAGTCAAAAGCCTGTTAGAGAAAATGCCATAACAAGTGAAGGATGATAAAACAATTATAGGATGCAATAAGCTAAATAGAAAAATGGTCCTAATATATTATAAGGGTTTATAATACTAAAGATTGAAATATACCAAACATCGGCGGCAAAAAAGATAGTCAAAAGAATCTAAACAAGCACTTAAACTCTTCTCAAGAAACATGTTTCTTCCAGAAGAATCTTGTTCTTCTGACGCCTCAAGCTTCAGCTTTAGTTCATTGTACCTCTCCTGAAAATTTCAAAACAGAAGAACCCTACCAATCAGCAAGGGGGATTCATGAAAAAATGCGAGGTTGGGAATTTCCATTTAAAATTGGGTGTCAGGCAAAAGTACAACAGGAAACATCCACATCACAACACTAACATCACAGTTAGATCCAAGATAATAATGAGGATACCTGAATTTCCACAGGGGTGCCTCCGACGAAATGGCTAACCACTTCAGCAACATCATCATCTAATCCATGCTCCTGAAAAGCCATCCTTAAGAACGGAAATAGGGAAAGTTCCTTAATATAAAAGTACGAAGTAATATTAACCACTCATACAAAAAAAGAACCAATAATACTCCGTAATTTCTCATTAGTACTTCCATTTAGTCACAGAAAGCTCTACATCTCTCAACACCTGTAAAATCAAAAGGACAATGTGCACTCACAGACACCACAAGTACCAAACACAAGTGCATTAATAGAGGAAATTAAGTGTCACTTTAAGTCCTTAAAAAGATGCACACCAAGTGTACTATTGATCAAAAAGGGCCCTTCAGTCAAAAAAAATATGTGAAATTAGTAAGAAATTTTAGTAAGTGAGATTTTAAATGTCTTCTTGTTGTCTCTAATGAGTCTGTGGCATTCCAATTTTGAGAGACTTAAAACAATTTAAATAAATAGCCAATAGAAAAACCAGATACTGAAGCTAGTGAGACAGTGGATCACCACAAACAACATTTGATTTTTAGCGAATGAGTTCAAGATATATAAGCAAAGGAAACATGTCTGCACATTGAACATGCAATTAAATGTAGAAAACCTTAAAGTAACATTTTAACAGCTCAGATACCTTGAATATGCTTACCATAGAATTCGATCTTCACCATCAGAAAAATCACGCTTCTCTACCTCAGCTTCTTGAACATCTTCCTCACTGTCACTGCATACCAGTGCCTCTTTTCCAGATTGATCATAGTAGATACGTCTCCTACCAACGATTGACTGGTCTTCCACCATTCTCTGATTTCTATGTTACATGAGAAATAATAATTGGCATGAAATTATGGAGATGCTTAATCTTAATCGGGAGAGCATAAACCTTAAAGGCCATTTACTTATTCCTTTTAGACAAATCAACATCCATTATTTACATAAAAATATGATGTTCATACCTATCCAAAAAAACCCATGTTGTATATGTCGGTATCCTTTGAATTCTAGGTAGCTTGATGCTTTTGGTAGATATGACTTCATGAACATTAACAAAGCCTTTGTCTGCTGAATCAAGTAGATACCCATTCATCATGCTGAGAGATGTTTCATTTCCTAAACGAGGAATTTCACATGGTTCATTTCTCACTGCAGAAGGTATCCCTTCAAATGTTGCTGCCATGCCTCCATGTATATGACTCTGTAGTTTCTTCAGACACTTATCAAGTTTTTCCTTCAGAAAGATACAATTACCATTAGTGCAAATAAGCCCTCAAAGTTTCATTGTCTAATTGTCTATTCCCCAAAACCCTGATATCCATGAGTATTATGATTAAATCATGCCTCATCAAAGAGGAAGCAACTGTATTAGTCTCTATCGAAGGACGCTTGAAAACAAGGTTTAAAGATATATACAAAATACATAAAGGACCAACTGACAGCTAACCTTAATTTTCACTTCTCGATCTGCTTCAATTTCTTCTTTCAGTCGGTAGATCTTTTTAATCAAGTTACCATAGCCCCTCTCCATCAGATCTTTCAAAGATGCCTGGACATTGATAGACTTAGTGAAATATTCCATACCATGTACAAATTATTATTATTTTTCAATTAACGGACATGACCCAAGTGACCGTGACAACATTCACCCAAGATAAAAGCAAACACAATTAAGTTATCAGCACCTGTTAAGTCCAAATACTTTATTGTCTCCATCTCATCTCAAAGACGAGATAATTAACATCAAAGACATTGGGACAAGTTGCTATTGAATTGAACTCAAAATCAAACACATTATAGTTTATAGTTTCCCAAAACCCTTTAATTGCAATTTTATATTTTTATCTGCGTAGTTGTCACTTGTCAGAACCACCTATGGATCTGCTCATATGAGACGGGGATTATGTTGAATATATTAAAAAATAAATCTTATTTGGGCTTGTGTCACTTTGAATCAAGCTAAATATGGGACAATTTAGTATCATACTGAGTTCAGGTTGGGTCAATAAGATGTAAAATAGGGTCAGAAACTGGGTTGGTGTTGATTATATGCATTTTACAGTATAAGAGAGCTAAAATCTAGAGATCATGACTCATGTTTGAATAGAGACTACAGGGGGTCCAAGTTGATGGGAAAAGCCAGCTAAAATTCATGAGAACGTGACAAGCTGACATCCATATATCTCAACAACATGACTATAATTGATAGCTCACTCACCTCACCAGGCAGTCAATCTCAGGAATGTCACGTGTTAAGTGCCTCTAGGATATCTATAAAACTCTCCAATGCCTTACTAAGTACCAATATATACAGCCTTCACTGAATCACACGTTACTCGGCTATATATTGACTTAGGCTATAGGGCAAAGAATCCCTCTAAGACTAGTTTCTCTCTATTCTAAAGATCTTACATCATAGAGCCCAACTTCAAGCAGAACTATTTGCCACTCTTAATTTTAGACCAAAATAGAGACCATACTTACATAAGACCTTAAAAAACCTTTTATGTAAAAAAAAACTAAGTCCACTTATATTCAGAGATAAAAATAAATAAATTATTGCAAATTTTATAAAAAGATTGATTCAGCCAGACTAGTTTCTGACATTTTGTAAGCTAAAGTATGCCAATACTGACAAAACCAAACAATTTACATCATATAAGCTCCAGATAGGCAAGCAGTGACTTGAATAATCTTTTCCAATCACCATACAGAATTCCAGTTTTTTTATTTTTTTTTTTTATTTTTTTTTTTTTAACCAAGTAATTTTATTCTACATGTTAGACTGTCAGTGATACTAGAGAATGAAGGAAACAAAAATGAAATACAAACATTTGAGCTGGCTAGTAACTGAATAGGCTACATGCATCAGGATTTAGCAAAACCCCTTGTATCTTGCTTAAGATCAGTTAGGGATTAAATAAGGTTTAAAAGGACCACTATGCCTAATTTGAGACATAAATTTTAGGATCCTAACTCCTAAGACATAGACCAAATGCTACAAACCCCAATAAATTTTGATGGCGATGTGCTAAATCTCTATATCTTGTCTTCTTATGCAATCTTAAGAGAAGAATGAACAAAACAAAAGTTTATATTTGCAATATGACTACTTTAGAAAGCACCCAAAAATTAAAACTATAAGGGAAAATTGGTCAGTATTCATGCTCAATATGACCATAGGAAACCTTCATATATAATAAGAGTTTGATTAAGGAACATTGAATATGGGCCAAAATTCACATCTATGTATTCTGTAATGGTGAAATATACGCCTAGTAGGTCTTTCCTAGAAATAAACTTTATACAATTCATTAAAGGAGGGGAAACCTCTTTCTTATAACATCAATACATCCTTTGAGAGATAACATTCAATGTAATGTACATCCACTTTATCACTATAGACCTCCTTTGTCCTCTCTTTTATATGCAGAGTCAGTGTCAGTGTATTGCTTACACTAGTTCGTCATACAAAGAATAGAACGTTATTCCTATGCTAGGCATGCATATTAAACAGCAAGGCAGATTAAATTCCACATAAACTCCAGTTATATTCAGTTGTTCAATTTCTGTATTTGATATTACATTAAAAGCTTATATTTAACTAATAAGGATGTATAGTAGGCAAAAGTATGGTCAATAACTTAGTAACTTCCTAATTCAACAGGAGACCGATGCATTAAATAAGGCATTGCTACAGTTCTCTATTGACTTTTATACTTTTCTAAATTCAGGATGAATTCATGACATCACCCAAAGTCCTCAATAACCACCGAGAACAAGAAAACACAGTGACATATAGCTAAAGCAAACTATTAACACCATATTCTCCCACTTCATCCTAAACGTTCAAAATTTCATAAGGAAGCAAACAGGGCAAGGAGGGAAGAGATGCTGACCTTTGGCTTGGACAATGAATCATGAGTTCCAGACACCATCACTGCCTCTTACAATTAAAGGCCAGATATGAGGGCTTTACGGAAAAATGCACATACAGAAATGTCTTTATTGGTTTAGCGATATGGCACAGATTCAGAAGACAGCCAAAATTGTAATAAGAGACCAGCTGCAGCACAGAAAGATGTGGTGGACTATTGTTAAAAACCCAATGCTACTGTACGGCAGGCCCACAGTCCCTCAATTTACATAAACATCCTACAAGAAGAAGAAGAAATAAGCTCTTAATGGCATCTAGCATTCTCTACAAGCCCTTGCTAGTTGCTATGTAACAAATTTTGAACTCCCAACCAATAATCAACAGTTGAACAACATTTCAATATGCAAATGTAGCAATATACAATAAAATTAAATATTTCATGAAACTTACTTGACTGGAAAACTAGTTCAAATATAGAACATCATTCAAAGGACCAGTGTTGCTATGTGGTACAAAATGTTGGGCTTCTAAAAAGGAGCACATTAAAAAGATGGAGGTTACGGAAATGTGCATGTTAAGGTGGATGTGTGGGTACATTCTCAGAGATAGAATCAGAAATGAGGTTATTCGCAAAAGTAGGTGTGGCAGGCATTACAGACAAAATAAGGGAGAATCGCCTGCGTTAGTTTGGGCATGTAAGACGGAGACCCGAGGGTGCACCAGTTCGAAGAGTGGAAGAGTGGGACCATAGAGGGGTTAGACGAGGAAGAGGGAGAACAAAAATGACTTGGTTGGAAGGAGTTAGGAAGGATATGAATTACATGGATTTGCATGAGGATGAAGCATTGGATCGTAAGGAATGGAGGAGGAGGATTTTGGTCGATGACTACACGGAATAAACATGTTTGGTTCATGTAGCCGACCCCACTTATGGGATTAAGGCTTTGATTGGTTGATTGAAGAAAAATCCAAGTGTTAATTAAGAAAGATATCGATTCCCCTTAACATAATTAATAGTATCATCAAATTTCATGGTAGCTCAGTCAAGTTCAAGTTCAAGTCCAATATCAAGCTAAAATCAGGTTAATAATACTTGTTCAACGCTCTAAACCAGTCAGAAATGACCTGAACTCGTGAATCCAAACCATTTCGAAAAGGAACCGAACCACTAAAAACCTGTTATTTTAAAATCGTAAACGACCTAATCCGATTTTTTAAAACCTGAAACTGAACTCATCCGAATATTTGAGAACCGTTAATGAATCGTACTTGTTATCAAGCCGAACCGATACAACCTGAAATCGAGAACAACCCGAATCGAGTACTTCTGAACCCTATAGCAACCCGACCCATTGTAAACCGGACCCATTTAAACACGAAAACCCGTAACTAGTTAGGATCGAACCGTTATAACCTGTAATCAGTTATGACTGAACCATTTACAACCCGTAACCGGTTATGACAAAACCGTTTATAACCCGTAAGTCCGTAATCCGTTATGAGAGAAAATTGAGAGAGAGAAAACGTTTTGCCTAAAGCAGTACGGGTGAGTGTGAGGAATGAGATATGAGGATTTTAGGGTTTGAATTTAGCTTGGGCCAATTTTGATTAGGTTTTAGTGATTTGGGGGAGATGAATGAGAGGCATTGGATTAAAGATAGGATTAATCAACGGTTGTGAGATTATTTTGTTGAGGGGTTTGGATTGTGATCCGAGTTTTTATTGAGCGACCAATGAAATTATAACTTAATAGTTAATAATTACAAGTTATATTTTTAATTTATAAACTACTTGTAATAAAGAAATTATAATTAAGTAATTACTAGCCTAGTATTAGTAACTTGCTAGTTACAAGAAAATATAAATATAAGTATACAACTGATAGATAAAGTAATAAGTATTACTATAAGTCTATATTGTGTTTATGACCCGACCAATTACAAGTTTACAACTCGACTCGTTCTAATTTTTTACTTGATCAATATAACTTATTTAAGTCTTTATTACTTGTGACATGAACTAATTTTACTCGATTTGTTTTCGATCCATCTCGTTTTAATATCGACCGAGTTCTATTCGAATTAATTGAATTAATTATGATCTGAACTGATTACAACCGAACCCTATTAGGATCCGATCTATTTTAACCCAAAACCCGTTTTAAACTAGCAAAACCTATTTTCAAACCGACCGAGTTCAACTCGAACCAATTATGACCTGAAACCCCGACCCGGTTAGGACTCAATATGTTTTGACCCAAAACCCACCTTAAACTAACAAAACCTGTTTTTAAGCCGGTTGAGTTCAACCCGAACCGATTATGACCCAAACCAATTACAACCCGACTCGATTAGAATCCGACCCGAAAAGAAAAAAAAAATACCAAACCGAACCAACCTAAAATTATTTAGAACCGACCCAAACTGACCCGATAATGATTCCAACCCGTTATAAATCGACCCGTTACAAACCGAAACCAATAAACCAAACCGTAAACCCGATTGACACCCCTACTCCAAACACTCAACTTCAATTCCCCTTTTACTTTAAACTTTATTATTTTAGCACTTAGAGTGAATTTCTCAAAATTACTTGGTCCAACCTTAAAATAACTCGACTAAAACCAATTTGGGACACATAGATCAGAATATCAGATAGGTCCTTGATCAAAAACATTGAAAAAATGCCAGAAATAGGTTCCTGAGGCTGGACTCCATCAGAATTCTTCTGTCAATGGCATGAAACCAAAATTCTAGAACTGTCATTCTCGAATTATGAGATTAAGGGTTCAATTAAAGTCGGGTCGGTTCGTGACAAGTCTAACATGTCTCCGGAAAGAATAAAAAAAAACTTTGTATATATCACAACTTTTAATGGACACCCCAAACTAGAGAGGGAAACAATTTCAAGAAACATTTGATCACCCTTTCTTAAGCTCAATCAAATTATCAAATAAACAACAACTCCCACCCCACAAAAACTAGAACAACATAAAAATCAGCAATATTCAATGAAATTTCATAAAAACAATTCCATCAATACTTCATATAAATATGATCAAATCAATCAAAAATGATCAAAACATTCAAAAACCAAATAAATAAAAACTGATTATCATAAATTGTTTCAAAACATAAAAAAAGTTGGGTCATTTCAACAAAAATATCAATAATAACAGATACAAATTGGGGAAAAAAAATTCGAGAAAGGAGATAACATACAAGAAAGATACTAACTTTGAGAAAATTCCAAACCTTTTTGGTTTGTTGGTCCTCCAAGCCTCAATTCAAGGTCACCAAAACAGAGAGAGAAAATGAGAGAGAGATAAAGAGAGAGAGAGAGACAAAGTTGGTTGAAGGAATTTGGGAAAAAAAAAAATGGAGGGGTTTTGATGATGAAGGTGGTGGAAGTGGAGAGGGGAACTGTAGAAGAAGAATGTGCTACTTTGAAAAGTGAGATTTTTTGTAACTTTGGCCCCTTTTTTAAAGGAGTGAATTCCTTGGTTGGGTCAAGTTGTGTATTTTGGTTGTGCACTTGTGCTTGTGAATGAAATAAAAATTAGGGAGGCCTTGTTATTTATAGGCATTGTGGCTTCCAATTCCGTAATTCTAATACGGATTTGGAAGCTAGAAACTGACCTAACATCTTTTTTAACTTAAACTTTGGTAGTATCGAATTGGGTCAATGTCATCTTGAACTGTTAGTCAAAATGGATATGCTGGATCAAGCTGGCACAGGCTGTACTTAGTGAAGGCATTATCCATGGATATTGCTGCCAGCTAAGTCATTGCTGGACACCTTTTTGCTTGGTAACAGTAAAAGGAATTTAGGTCAATTGGCTAAAGGGTAGGGGTACTATTGTCATTTATTAGTTAAATTATTGGTCAATAAATTGATTCACGTCATAAAAGCATGATATCTCAAAATACCTTAAAAATCTCCCAGCATTAAAGGATAGAGGATATCAAAATTTAATAGCTTTGGTCGTTGGTCAAAATGAATAATTGAATATACTTGGTCAAGCTGGCGCAAGGATTGTACAGCCACGTCATAAGACATTAAGTGAAGACATTATCTATGGATGTTACACCCACCTATGTATCTCTGGACACCTTCTTACTAAGGTAAAAATAATTTGGGTCAATTAGATGACTGTGGTGGCGTTAGTCAATTATTGGTCAACAAATAAGTTCATGTCATAAAACTTAGATATTTCATGATATCGTAAGTAATCTTTCATTATTTAAATAATGGAGGATATCGAATTAGTATTGCCATCGCTTAAAGGATTGAGGTTATCGAATTAGTAGTGATTTAATAGAATTGATCAAAATGAATATACTAGGTTAATCTAGCACAAGGCTTGTATAAGCCACGTCATAATAAGACACTATGGATGTCGCTACAACCTAGGTAATTGCTGGACACACCCTTGCTTGGTAATACTCGTAATAGTAAAAAAGAATTTAGGTCAATTGGGTAAGGGAATTGAAAGTATGGTCATTCATTAATCCATTATCGGTCAGCAAATTAGGTCACATTATAAAAGCGTCATATCTCATGATTTTCTTAGAAGTTTATCTCCCGTCATTTAAAGAATGAGGATATCAAATTCATATAAGACTAATTTAGTAGAGTTGGTAAAAATGAATAAAATAGGTCAAGCTAGCCCTAAACTGGCACACGCCACGTCTTAATATACTAAGTGGAGGCATTATCAATGGACGTTGCTGCCGCCTAAGTTGTATGTGAAACTATGTAAAATTTGGGTATGTTATCATATTAGTCTTAAGATGAACGATTGGTACCTAAGAATAACTCTAATAGTAAGCTAATTGTCAAATTAGTTTGTTATGCCACATAAGTTTTTTTTTTTTGTTTTTTTTTTAGGGCATGCCACATAAGATTTTTAAGTTACCTTTTTTATAGCTATTTTGTGCCCCAATAGTTAATTACTAGCTTGAGATTTAAATGAACCTAGAGTTCTAGCTTTTAAAATTACCTTTTAGCAATTAGGTTCATATAATTATGAATGGTTTGGTTACCTGGTTAGCATTTCATCAACTACAAAGTTTATAAGTTTACTAGCTACAAACTTTATAAGTTTACTTCTCTCTGACTTTCCCAATGCCACTTAAAAGTCTCATACGACTCAAAATTTATAAAGTGTGTACATTTTTCATTCTATTTTAATCAAAAGTTGCTATATTTCAAACACCCCCCCCCCCCCTCTTCTCACTCACTATAATCAAAAGACAAACTCGCGGATGGAGAGGGATTCGAACCCCCAGTATTCCAATGAATACTTCGGTTTTCTACCGACTTCTTCAACCGCTCAGACATCCATCCCCTTCGCCTGCCGTTACGCCTATTTCTTAGGCGTTAATACTTGATTTAACCCACGGCCCTACTAAGCCACTCACAAACCAATGTCCATAGTCCATAGACCCAATAATTAATACTCTGTACCAAGTGTTACAAATTCTTAGAGACAGAAATTTGCAACAATCACGTACTTAAAAGAGCATATGAACATACTTACATACATGTTAATATGATAATGTTATCAACATGTATTCCTTTCTTATTTTTAGAAAAAATATGTTGATAATGAAAATACTATCAATGCTTTTAAGGACATCTTCCTGCAAAAAATTGTTCTCAAGTTCTAACTCTAGTACTAAATTTTGAGGTAAATGAACGGCTCAACTTTCAAAATTCCAACCATTTGGTGTAGTATACACATGTTACTGGGGAAATCACACCATCAGGAGCACAATGGTTTATTCGGGGACAAACACCACAGGGTATCATAGAGAAATCTCCAACTTTAGCGCGTTGTGATTTGAGTTTGTAACACTCCGCATTGATAGGAAACGATGCCAACTCCCCCATTCCATTGCTCTTCACTCTACTAATCTGCTTCTCCAAAACCAGATTATCAAGTATATCCTTCATCTGTTCGACCGTAAAATCAACTTGAAACACCCCTGTCATCTTAATCTCATGGCGCATTCCATCAGCTGTAGCAACCTTCTGTTTAGAAAGTCTTTGTAAACAGACGCGCTTCAAATTATCAATTAAATCCTCATCAAGCATACCCTCATGATACCATACACCACCAGTTAACTCCTTTGAGGGCTCAAACTCCATAGCCATGAGTCGCTTCTTCCCCTTGGCTTGAACATTAGGCACCTCTTTGATCATTTGCTTCAATAAGAGAGACTTGACACAGTTATCAATTGTCTTTGCGTTGGTGATGTTCAACTCTTTTCTTATGTCTCCCTTCCATATACCCATATCTCCCTTGCTTTTAATCAGATTGTATACATTGTGCTCATCAGCTGTCAACTCCTTTGATCCATTTGAACCTGGGCGCGGCCGCTTGACGCCTGAAATTCCTCCTCTTCCACTCATCCCTTAGAAATCAAACCTCACTACTGGAAGAAAATTGAATATTCCCTAAAAACAAGCGAAAGCAGCTGAAGAATAAATTCTATTAGGTCAAAAACTAAACCCTACCGGCTACACCCTCATAATCAAATCAAAAGAATCAGCAACAATCAAATTAACTAGTTAAGAGAGAGTTCTCAAAATCCTTCATTTGTTTTTGTAATTCGTGCTTAAAATTTAACTTATTAAAGGCCGAATGGGTTGAAGCTCGCAAGCAATCATTGGCAAGCCAATTGCAGAGCTAGGGCAACTGGGCAAGAGGGGCGGTCAAGGAGAAAATGTACATTAATAAAGTTCCATCCCACAATAAAGGAATTATGATCTTATGAACAACATCCTGCAACACATTCACAACCAAATTTGACTCGTTTATCAAATTAAGCTCCTAAATTCCCCTCAAATTCTTCTCGCTTAAGAACATCAACATAGATAGCACATAGTAAAATTCTAGCAACAAAATTGAGGGTTATGAGCAACAGCTTGCAACATATTCGCAACCAAATTGGACTCAAATATCAAATAAGGAACAAAAATCCACATCAAATAATTTTTGCTTAAGAACATCAACATAAATTGCACAATGCATCATTCTGGCAACAAAATCAAGGATTATGAACAACAGATTACAATACATTCGCAACCAAATTTGTCTTAATCATCAACTTAGGCTCCAAAAATCAAATTAAATTCTTCTCACCTAAGAATATCAACGTCAATTGCAAATAGCTGAATTCTAGCAACATAATCGATCGTTTTATCGTTCATAACATAAAGTAAAATTATAATCAGACGTTCAATAATCTAGCCTCGAAGAACCCTAAATCGACTATACTGACAGTTAAGTTAACAATAAAACCTAGAGAGTGAAATTGAAATTCGATAAATTTTTTGAATAAAATAAAATAAATAAATCTTACCTGAGAAGTTGCTTCAATGGAGGAGAGAAAGCTCAGAAACCACTTTAATGGAAGATCTTCAATGGAAGAGGGAGATGGGTAAGGGGAGGGAGGTACAGCGTAATAAAAGTGAAAAACTTCAAAAAAAATAAAAAATAAAAATGAAAACTTACGAGAAAAAACATATTGTCAACCGTAGATCTAAATAATATCAACGGTCAATATTCATTTTTGTTATTTTTTTGGGCTGGTAAGGAGAAGAAACCTATCGGGCCGAAACTTATCAAGGTACTCCTGGTAGAGGATGAAATCGGTCATTGGACAATTACCCTAAACCAAACAATAATTCTACCTAAACTAACCTAAGACAAGTATAGGGTAAGTAGAGGATCGTGTCCACGGGGAATGGGTGAAGAACACCGAGAGTATGAAACGGTTGTAAGCTAATTCGGTCACAAATTGGGGGTTTTGATTAGGTAACTACTATGGAGACAAACACTAGGGGGAAATAAGGATCGACTCCAACCAAACCAATGGATCAAAACAATGGGCAAGCATGAACACAAATTGGGTGATAGAGAGGTCACTCAACATTGCCTTCTTTCGAAGCCACAACACTAAGCATTCCTAAACCAAACTCAACTAACAAGATAGGCCAACCAAGTCTTAACGATGAGAAGTAGACTACTAACTCGGGTTTGTCTTTCGATCGGTCCAAGAAAGAATTAAAGCACAAGCAAATGAGATTTCTCACCTAATTGTTGCAACTAATACTACTACATCATTCAAACAAGGAACCATAATCAAGAGGAATTTAGCATAATCATATAAGAAAAGGCTCACAACTAGACTCCATCTCTCAGTGTAAGCATAGAAGTGAATACATGAGCAATAAGTGGCCATCCAATTACACATGCAATTAACCAATTCTTTAACAATCAATCATCAACCCAAAATGAACATGCAAGCACATACATCAATCAACCCATGGCTTGGTTGGGTCTTCACCCAACCCCTAGCTAATTAACTACTCACTAAACATGGTGAAGGACATCAAAATAACAAGTTCCAATTCAAGCATTAAATTAACTAGTTGAGAGGAGTAGTAGGAATAAGGTAGATTGGACATGCAACAACAATTAAGCAAGATTAAGAGAGGAATTAACAATTCAAAGTAAATAAAAACTGAAATTAAAGAGTAAGAGATAGAGGAAAGAGATTACTTAAAATGCTTCAAAGTTGAGAAATTGTTGAATTCAAGAGAATAATCTTCAATTAATCTACTACAATGATTGAGTTTGAGAAGTTCTAAGCTAATTAATGAGGGATGAGAGAAACTAAGGGCCTAAGGAAACTAAAGAGAAAAGAAGATCCCCCCATCTGAAGTCAAACGTTCTATTTATATGCCCAAAAATTACATCGTAAAATCCGTTAAAATCGGGCTTCAGAACAGGAGGAGCGCCCGCTCCAGTAAGTAGGAGCGCCCGCTCCTCTGTGTGGAGCGCCCGCTCCTGGGCTCTCTGCATGCCCTCTCCTCTTGCAGCAGTTTGGGGCAGAATGTAGGAAAACAGGGAGGAGCGTCCGCTCCTTGAAGGCTGCACGCCCGCTCCTATATATGTGCAGGGGGAGGCAGAATGTGGCAGTTCAGGTAGGAGCGCCCGCTCCTTATTAGGTGCACGCCCACTCCTGCTTTCCTTTGCTTCCAAAGAGTATTTCTTCATGCTTATGCTATTTAGCCCATTTTTCATCGTACCTACAAGCACGAGCACACACATAAAAAGAAACGGGGAAGCCAAAAGATGCAAATTAGCACAAGAGGAGTTAGAAAAAGGGATTAAAGTAGGGGAAAGGGTACAAAATTGTGTTTAGAAAGCCATGATAAGTGGACAAATAAAACACTTATCAACTCCCAAGTCCCAACCCAGGTTAGGGGGCTAGATACTTTAGAAGTGCACGGAAGGATAAGGGAATCCCCACCCCAAATTGCCTCTGGTAGGGATTGAACTTCCAACCTCAAAATTAGAAGGTACAATCTTTTCTATTTCACTAACCTTAGCTTAATAATATTCATTATTTTTATTAAAGAGCACTTTTTATACTCCATTCTACGGAGTACGATACCTCTACCGCTCTACGCTCTACTACACTATTTTGGCCTAGTGAAAGCGAGAGTATCGAGAATCCCACTAGTGACAATTTGGAGATGGAATTCTTTTACCTTTCACTCACTCTCGCAAATTGTTTAGCCCACTACCCTCTGGTTGAATTGTGGGGTTGCTCGATAGAGCCTTTCATCTTACCTAATTTTTTTTTTCTATGATAATATAATAAAAATGTTTGTCATCTCTCGTAGCATCTAAAGAAGATAGGTTTATCATCACCACTAGAGATACATTGGAGAGTGGATTTCATTATTTTTCCCTCTTTAAAAGGCCTAACTCATTAATTTGGCAGATTGACTTATAAGAGGTTTCGACCCTTATAACTCAATAGAGCCTTTTTCCTTACGTACTATTATAAAAAAAAATTATACACAACTATATACTCTTTCTATAAAAAAAAAAAAAAAAAAAAATATAGAAAGAGTATTTTTTTCTCAAAAAAAAAAAAAAAATATATCTTTCTATAATTTTTATTCTTAAATACAACAAATTGACTAGCTTATTTGTCAAAGGCATAACCTTAACCTTTAACATTCATAATTGTGTTGGATGATGTGTTTTTAATTACTGGTAGTAAAGAAATCAAATCAAAGTAGCTAGTATATATTTTTGGTGATTGAAACTCTGTCTCAAGACAGAACGAAGTTGGTTTTTCATGTATGACCCTATAAACACCATTCTTGCTGTTGAAGCCTCATAATTCTTCTCTACGAAATATTGGCATATATTATTGCCTTACCAACTTTTGATCGAATTGCTTACCAGTAACACCAAATGCAGCTTTACCCTACATTTACTCTATCTATATTTCAGATTGCATATTATATCGGACATAATGAAGATTTTCTTAAGAGACGAAGGGAGTATGGAGTAGTATATATGCAATATCAATCAATTGCCGATCAAGCTATAATTGGATCTGTATTACTTCATTTATATCACATTTACAACATCTCAAAAAGATGTAATACATTATACAAGTTGAAAAACTTCCCACAAATATTTAAGGAAAAAAAATAATTAAAAACTATGAAAAAAAAAATGTAGTCTTGAAATAGTTGACTTACATCTATCAAACTTTATCTTCATCCTCTCTAATGAGCTCAATATTAGAATCTTGATCATTAATTGTTACCCTCCTTTTAAAAATAGTCATACCAAACCAAATAATTGACTTTATAATCCTAGCCAACCCAATTGCAACGGTCAAATAATACAACCACAACCCAAGAAAGTCACCCAAACCAACTTTCATCATCATTTCCCTCTTAACCTCCACCACCACCACCAATGACTCAACCTCGTCTCGTAACCGCCACCACGACAACGCCCCGAAACAAGCGGCGAGGGCCCACCTCTCGGCCATCCTCTCTTGGCGGGCCCCACCAAAGATGGTGTCATCAACCACGGGCCTAACTATGGTCCTAGACCAATGGATCATGGTCTCATGTAGGCCCAAAAAGAAAACCAACTTACTCAACATGGACCTTTCATCACCAAACCCTGCCCCATCAACTCCTGCCTTAATAGTAGCCTCAATTCCTAGCCCTACACACACTTGTAAGGTGCATAGGAAGATCCACGCCGCGTGCACCCGGGGCCTAAAAATAGGCCCTGGGAGCTCGCTTATTAGGCTAATACGGCCCGTTAAGGCATGTATTAACGCCGCTAAGCTAATAACGGACACAAGGGCGTGTAGGATGTTTGGATTAGTGTTTAGAAAAAGAGAGAAAACAAGGGATTTCGGAGGCGAAATCGAGGCTAATGACAAGAGGTAATGAGCACTTGATAATCTTGCTAATAGCAAGAATGATAGAGGTAGTAAAAGGCTAAGAAGAGTTATGGAAATTGCATAAAATGGTTGCACCAATAATGGGTAATTAACTATCTCAAATTTGGCTGAAATTGCCTTCTTTTTCCATAATTTCCAACCCATAATTTTATTTCTTGATGTTTCTAATCTCAATAAAGATCAAACTATTTGAAACAAACAGAAATTCACCTAGAATTTGTTGGGAATTTTGGATCAAAAGGAAGATTATATTGTAAAGTTTATATATGAAATGAAGTTTGGTAAGGCAGCTGGTAAAGGTGGTTGCCACGATTAGATGTTAGTTGACTAAGAATCTTTAATCATATAATATAATTATTAATTTGAACGTAATTAATAATTAAATGATTTGTAATATAAGTTGTATGTTGGTGTATATTTGATTCATGAATCATGGTTAGTTTAATAATCATAAAATCATTTTGCATCATGTGATGCTTTACCAGCATTGTTGTTAACAACTTCTTATAAGGAAACATTATTATTGATAAATTATTTTGAAAAAATTAAATTAAATTAAAAAAGAATTGATTATGAATTGGATTATTATAACTTGATTACATCAATTATTATTAAAGATTATTATGATATCCATCTGGATCAATTAAAGTGTGGCTAATGACAAAATATTATTTTATAGTTTGTTTGTTTTTATTAATTGATCAATCATCAACGTAATACACCAAAAAATAGGTCATATGTAGTATGTACCACAAAATATATATTAAATGAATGAATAGGTATACTCCTTCATTTCATACTTACGAGTGTAAATATATATATATGGACTATGTATTTTGTCATCTAAAGCTCTACGTGATTATACAAAAATGGTTTATGCGTGAACGAAAAATAATCCTAATGCATGCCCTTAATTAATAACGATACAAACAACATGACAATATCTTGAGGTGGGCTAAAAAAACGTGTTATGTAAGAACTAATTAATTTCGGATATAGGGATTATATGTCGTATTCATAATCCAAAAAGTCATTAGCAAAGAAGAAGAAAAAAATGTTTTGGACGTTGGCAAGTCACTAGCAACTAGCAAGCATTTGGTATTTGGTAATGCATAATTGCCCAAAATTAGAATTTAATTATTTTAGAGACGTATTATGATATACCTAAGGATGTGTCCAAAGTTTAAGAGATGACATTAATCATGCTTATAATTATATAATTATGAATGTAAATATTGATTAGCCTATCTAATTAATTATGGTTTCTCTATGTGTAATGACAGTGGTCCTGCAAAATGTCTTAATTATATTTTGTGTTTCTAAAGTTAATTGTTGGACGTTGCCCTGGTTTTTGTGATCAACTTTATCCTAATAATTTACTGTACATAATTATATATATATATATGTATATGAAAAGTGTTTACAATTAATTTCAAAATATTGCTTTATTATTCTAATAATTCAAATACGAATACTATTGAGGAATTTATTGGTTTTCAACAGAAAGAAAACTAATCCAAGCTTTATTATTTTTATTTTTTGGCATTGATATATTGGTAATTTATGTTTGATTGAAAAGAAAACTATGAAATAAATATTACATAATAAAAAATAATAAAAAAAAATTAGTAAAAGACATTCGTAACTTGAGTAGTACTTAAAACGAAAATTTGACCTTTGCTTGTTTAAAAAGTCAATATCCTCTTTTCTCTTACATTACATGCTGCTAAAGATCACAAATTCATTCATCTTTCTTAAACTTACATCAAACTGCGTCAACAAACAAGATTAAAAATAAAAATAAAAAATTGAATAAATTAAATAATAATATGAATACAACAAAAACAAAAAACAAAATATATTTACACCAAACTTACGATAAGAGGGTATCGATTTAATTGGATATATATGATTATATGTTGGGTGGACCAGCTTCTTGTTACTTGTTAATTAAATTATTACTTAGAAAGATGTACGTATATTACACACGAAATAATTATTTATTTTATTCATTGTTACAAGTTGTTTATGTATAATTGTAAGATTCCTTTCAATCATTCTTATCTCCTAGATATATATAGATCATAGTTAGACTCCTTGTAATTATTACATGCATGATTCATGATATATGGGGTTAAAGACCGGTCCTAATTTAATTAGTTCGATCGAGCCCCCCAGCTATCGCCTAAATTTGACTTAAAGCTTACCATTATGATAATAGTATAATGTTACAATTCAATTCAGATCAGATTTAAGAACTGTAATTTATAAATATGTACGTGTATTTGATTAAAATTATTTATGTTCAAGAGACGGGTGTATAGTGTATTCTTATTTTAAAAGTCATACTTCAAAATTTTAGTCTTATTAATCAAAGTCTCCAAAAGCAACATGTTAACTACTTATCTACCACACACATTATCTCAATGTTTTCATAATTAATACAAATAAAATGACATGATTTTACAAATAGAGAATATTAATCCCGAATGGAGAGAACATTACAAGCCGTACCCTCCAACCCATCCTTTTTGTAAGTTATTCAATTCTACTTTTTTTTTTTTTAAATCAAAGTTTGTAAATTCTTACCATCAAATTATATAATATACTAAACTGTCTAAACATGTATAGTTAGATTGAGTAGTTGCATGACTTTGCATGTATGGAAGTTTAGTTATTATATTTATATACGGAGAAAAATAGAAAATAGAAAATAGAAAGTGGGGTGGGCAAAGTAGCAAAATAAGAGGTGTTGTACAATATATTTGTTGACCATATTATATATCAAATTATGTGATTTGACCGTTATATAAATGTACACTCTTTTTGTTCCAAAGAAATAATAATTAGCAAATCAACCAAAAATAAATTGCTCTTATAATGGATGGTTCTTCTACTTCTACTTCTCTAAAACCATGGAAAAGTTCAATGTCCGAAAATCAGAAAAAAAGGTTAGTTAGTTCTTAATTATTGTATCTAATTCTTAATCAAGATGTTAATAGATTAACTTTTATTCTTGCATGCAAGAAACATAAGCTATATATAATAATGAAGGTTTATGCTTCTTAAGTCTTAACAATGTCTTTCTCTGGCTTCGGTCGTCAAATGCTAGTTCAAATTACGCTATCAACATGTCAATTAAGAAAGAGGTGTTAAGAATCGATCCCAGGATCACCTGGAACCGAAAGGAGAGCTTTAGCCACTTGAGCTATCCCTCATTCTAATAACGTTTCTTTATGATGGTTTGTATTAATTTATTGATACATTTGATTTCAGGAAGCTAGAGGATGATGAGAAGATAGTAGTGAAGGTTAAGATTGAAGCAAAAAAGGGAGATGCACAACAAAAGAATAATGGGCCTCCTTCTGATTCTTGGTCTTGGAGAAAATATGGACAAAAGCCCATTAAAGGATCTCCTTATCCAAGGTAATTAGTAATATGAGTAACTCGGTAACTATTTTACTTACTAGTTGTTAAGTCCGTGCGTTGTCTCGTACTCGTATATCGTTATCTATTAATCAATTGATTGTATTATTGCAGGGGTTATTATAGATGCAGCACAATAAAGGGGTGCTCAGCTAAGAAACAAGTAGAGAGGTGCAAAGAAGATGCTTCAATTCTTGTAATCACTTACACATCAGCCCATAACCATCCTAGCTCACATTACCAAAATACTCCAAAGAAGAAGGCCCAAGACAAAGCCCAAGCCCATGTAAGTGAGGCCCACTCTAGCCCCAAAAATGAAAAACCAAGCAACAAGAAAAATAATGTTGAAATTAATCCTTGTGATGAAGGTCACCAAGGTAATTTCCATCACATGCAATCTCCAACTTATAGCTCAAATGAGTGCCAAAAGATAGTAATACAAGATGAAGAAGAGCCTTATGTGGTACCATTTGACAAATTTACCCCTTATTATCCACTAAATAGCTTTTTTGCCACTTTTCCCCTTGTCAAAAATATTACATCAAAAATAACACAAGAAAGCTTTGACTTCTTTGATGAACTTGATGGAGCTAGATTTTACTACAAACAATAATGTTTTTCATAAAAGAATGTTTCAACAATAAATTCTCTTCTTTTTATTTTTAGGTATGTATCGGTTAAGGTGAAATGAGCCAGAAAGAGGTGCCAACCCTCGATTTTTCTACTTATTTTTTTGCTTTTGTATGTGCTCATATTACTTTGAGGAAATGTATTGTAAATTAATTAGTAAGACATGTTAGATATGCATGATACTCTGCCTTGCATCCAAATACAAAGAATTTATTGTGTTTTCCTAGAAGATACCTCGTACGGTCGTATTGTATATTATAATATTCGAAAAACATAATCACATTTTCTAAAATGATAATGGTCGTGATTCATATAGCTAGAGTTATTGATAAAATATTGTTATTGTTGAAGTACACAAGGAATTTTATTTTTGAAGGAGGCATTACAATAGTATATAGTATATACTTCCTCCGTTAACTTTTAGTTGCAACTTTAGAGTATTTTATGTCTCACAAATACGGAGTAATATCCCAAAGTTGCAACTAAAAGTTAACGGGGTAGTAGTATAACATGCTATCTTTGATTATGATGAGTATGGAGAGGTGATGCACGTCTTTAGTAGAGGGGACATGGTATTTTCCCTAGAGAAACAGATACACTACTTGAAGAATATTTTGTGTTACGACACTCTCTTTATTTGATAATGATATGTGGGCCCAAATGTTTGTGAACAATTTATAAGTAATACTGTAAATTAATTTGGCACTTAATATGAACTATGGGTTAGTCTTTGAAGACATCAATCCGTTTATACTCGACTCAAATACGATTAACCCATATTGTTTGTTAACTCGACAAGAATTTTATATGGGATGAAATTCCCAATGGTAACCCTCTATTTTTTTAATTTCTCAATGGTAACTTTCAATTTTCAAAATTATCAAATATAACCCTAAATTAATAATTAATCATTAAATGTGACATTAGTGGGTTAAAAAAAGAGAAATTACAATATTTTCCGTTAAGTTGTGGGTGAATGAGTTATTTTGCTAACCATGGTTAAAAGTTAAATTATCATATATGTATTACTACTACTATATTGACTTACTGCTAGTGCCGCCAACCAATTTCCTGCTATAGACATTCTTCTCTCCGTAAAAAAAACTAGCAAATTCTCCATTCAAGCTTTTGTGGAAAACGATTGAAAACGAGGGACACAACATATTCAAAGGGTTTTTTTGGATATTGGTGTTTTCATTCCAACATTTTACCTTCAAATTGTTTAGGGCTTCAGATTACAAGTAAGTGCATTCTCTCAATTTTAGGTTAAAGTGTCAAAATTTTTGGTAGAATTCTAGGTTGGGTTTGTATAATTTGTGTCAATTTTGCTGAAAATTTATTTGATTAAATATATAGAAATTAGTGGGTGGATTATGACAATAGAAATTGACAGAATTGTGAGAAAATTCTTGTAATTAGCTATTAGTTTTTATTTATAATTTTTATATCAGAGTACTCTTTTGGTCAAGTTTGTGATCTTACCTGAAAATTGATAACTTGTTGGACCCAATTGAAGAACTAACGACATGTTGGTAATCAATTTACACTGCCTAACCAACTAGTGTAGAGTCATTGACTAATTGCTGTAGAAGACGAGGCTAGATAATATTAGTAAACTTTGACATAAAACAAAAGGTAGTGAATGGCAAATACAATTGAATAGAAAAGGAAAAAAATGTGTTGGCATATGTATTCTCTGATTGATATGTGTAGTGTCTTATATGCAAAATAGTCATATGTTTGGAGTAATCAATGGACAAATGGCAAGCTAAATTGTAGAAGTATATATTGAATGGACAAATGGCAAGCTAACTAATACAAGTATATATATGATGCAACAGATCCTAATTAGGCTAACAACTAACAAGTAGATTGCAAAAAATTTCTACTTTTTATGTTGCTACTTTAATATATATTGGTTTTCATTCTACTACAATGAATTGCTACTTTGCTAAAATATTTATTGGGTTTTATTCTTCGTTTCTACAGATAATTTAGTCTAAAATATGGGTGATAATGTAGTTTTGAGGTTTCAATACTCTGGTAAAGACACTGACATCGTTGTGCAAGATGTTGACAAGGTCAATTTAGTTGACCTTATTATCGAGTATTGGGAAATAGCTGAGCGAGAACAAACCACAATGACTAAGCATCCTGAGTTTACATACATTCACAAAATGAAACATGTTGAGCTCAAAAATGACATGGCGCTAATGAAGATGTTTGTTGACTTACCTGGGAGGGATTTGATTTACATATGGGTGGGGGAGCTTCAAAAATCAACTCCAATAGTTGAAATTGCACAATCACTTAAAGGTTCAAGAAGAATGAATGCCACTGAAAGTAGTGATCATATTCAACCTCAGCCCACTCTAGACCAATCTAATGAACCTCGCCTCACCAAAAAACAAGAAATTGAAACTTTAAAGCAAGCCGAGGTTACATTTGACATGGCTCCTCCTCGCTCTCCTATTAACATAAATGAGTTGATTGTTGATAACATGGAATATTGGAACAACATTGAGATCGCTGCAGTTGAGCCTAATAGAGGGAGAGGGAGAGGAAATGGAAAAGTAAGGGGTGGGGGCAGGTATGGGGGAAAAGGAAGAGGAAGAGTGACTAGCACACCAATTGTTGAACCCATACCCGACCCTACTCAAGCAGTTCAGATAAGAAGAAGTCCTAGAAACCACCCGACCCAAACAAGTAGTGCATTTCAGGTGGGAGAGTCATCAAAATATGTTAAATTTTCACCGTTGCTGAAGAAGAGAATTCCTAGAACTACAGCAAAGAGGAGGGGCTTAATCACTACCACTAATGTGGGGAGAGGGAGTGCTGAACAAGGTAACAATAGAAGGCATGACTTGACACCTAGCCTTGACACAGCAGCTGAGATGGACTTGGACTTGGATGATATTGAAATATACTCTCCTAGTGGACTTAATGACAATGACAATGAGAGTGCTCTATCAGATGATGATGACGAAGGTGAGGGACAAGATGATTGGCTTATTCCCATGATTCATGATAACTTTGACCCATATGAAGGCCCTGTTTGGGAAGATGACTGTGATGACTTGGATAATTATCTCCAAAGGCTTTATAAAAATGGTGAGTTTTACAAAGACGAAGACTTTGGTAAAATTGTTGTTAAACCATTGGCAACTTTACACAGACAAACAACACCTCAGAGACGTTGTAAGGAATTATTGCATTCAAAATGGATTCTCTGTGATTGTAGAGAAGGCCAGCAAATTTACTTACACTGTGAGGTGTAGTGATGAGAGGTGTCTTTGGAGATTGCATGCATCAAGACTTGTTGATGGTGTGACATGGGCTATTAAGTCAATTCAAGGATCTGAACACACTTGCATGGGCTTAGAAACAAGGAACCCAATAGTGACAACAAAATGGGCCTGCAAAGTGTTGTTAGAAGACATTAGGGCCAACAATGACATTCCCGCCAAGGCCCTTAACGAGCTTCTATGGTCAAGATATAGGGTTCAGATGGCACAAAGTTCGCTTTACAGAATGAGAACTGTGGCATTAACTGAGATTCATGGGGGGCATGACGTTTCATATAGTTATTTACCAAATTATTGTGAAGTTATAAAAGAAACTAATCCAAATTCGTTAGCTAACTGTGCTTGGAACCCCCCAAATCACCCTGAAAAGCCTCTTGCATTTACTAGTATCTTCATATGCTTTAAGGCTATATTGGATGGGTTGTTTGCTGGATGTAGGGGCCTAATTGGTGTTTATGGAACATTCTTGAAAGGTAACTATGGAGGTGTGTTGCTTTCAGCTGTGGCACTTGATGGGAATAATGAGATGTTTCCAGTTGCTTGGGCTATAGTGTCAGGAGAAGATGAGGAAACATGGAAATTTTTTGTGTGGCACTTGAAAAACGCTCTACATCAAGGTGATAGAGGTGATGACTGGTGTATAATTTCTGATAGGCACAAGGTAATATTATATACTAATTAATATATTAATTAAATTCTATTAATGAAAATTGTTTATAACTACTTGCTTTTGTTACACTAACTTGTTTTATTATTTGATTTTTTTTTTAAAAAAAAGGCCATTGAAAAGGCTTGTGCAGAATTATGGCCAAAAGTTGGAAGAATGTATTGTTGTAAGCATCTAAGTGTTAATTGGAAGAAACCCTTCTCAGGACCAAAGATGTTGCAACTATTCTGGTTAGCTTGTGGTGCATATTCAGAATTCACCTTCAAAAAGGCAATGACACAAATTCAAAAGGTTAAACCTGCTGCAAGAATTTGGTTGGCTAATTTAGGTGACCAAGAGAGATGGACAAAGCACAAATTCAATCCAACACTAAAATGTGATGTTAACAAGACAAATTTTGTTGAAAGCTTCAATGCCATTCTTGGGATTGATAGGTATAGACCTGTTTTAACCTTACTTGAAGGTAAATAATAGTAAAACCATGTATATGTTATTAAAAATTGTAAACTTAATAAACTGTTGTTGACTTGATACTTAAAATTGTATGCTTTTGTTTTTGAATTTTGAATAGGTATAAGGAGGGTCACTATGGTTAGGCTGGCTACAAGAAGAGAAATGTGTGAAAAATGGGATAGGCGTGATGTATGTCCAAACATTGTTAAGAGGGTTCAAGTACTTTGTAGTGATTCAAGAACTTGTAGGGCATACTTATCAAGTCAAGGGGAGTATGAAATTGTGGATGAGAAGTCATCTCTTTCGGAGAGTCTTAACAACCACACATGCCTTTGCAATGCTTGGCAATTGACTGGAATACCATGCAAGCATGGCATGAGGGCCATATTACATGCAGGTTTGGACCCCTTAAGATTTGTGCACGAGTGGTACTCTGTAAAGAGGTATAAGATGGCATATGCTAATGGTATAAAATCAGTGTCGGATAGAGAGCAGTGGCCTCAAACCGATGTGCTAGTCATTCAACCTCCCGTGATGAAAAGAGGAGTTGGAAGACCAGTGAAAAATAGAAAAAGAGGTGAGGAAGAGCAGAGAAAAGGGAAAAGATCTAAGACTTTACGGTGTGGTAATTGTGGTGATTTTGGCCACAATATTTTGACTTGTCAGAGAGCCCCAACACAAAAGCAAAAAAAGGCACAAAGCAAGAAGAAGAATGCAATGTAGAGCATTGTTGATTGTCCCATTTAATAAGAACATTAGTTTTCATTATACTATTGCGTTAGTTTCCGCTAGTTTATTATTGGACTACTTTTGTGTTTAAGCTTAGATTTAGCTTTAATCTTAATTTAAGTAGTTTAGTTTAAATTATTTATTTAAGTGGACCTGACATGTTATATATCACCATTTACATTTTTTTACTGTTTATTATTATCATATGTCTTACATCATATTCTACTTTGTACTATTATAAGTTGGAGTACTATTTTTTAATATACTAATACAAAATGTATGTAAAAATATGGGGAAGCAGGTTTTCCACTTACTCACATAGTACTCCAACTTGATTGTTTTTTTTTTTTTTTAATTTTTTTGACGGGAATTTGATTGAAATTCTAAATATACTACAGTATTTTTATTTGCCTTTTAGGGGCCTATTGCTAGTTGCTAGTAGCCGCCACTTTTTCTTTCATTTCATGGAGGCAAAGCATAATCAATTATCATGAACGTAAGATAGTTTCTGGTTAGTTGGTCAATTATCATAGAGGAAATTAGATTAACTATAATAATTAACCAAGGTTAGGACTATTTAACAGAAAAAGGTTCATTAAACATGCATATAACCCACTAATGTCACATTTAATGATTAATTATTAATTTGGGGTTATATTTGATAATTTTGAAAATTGGAAGTTACCATTGAGAAATTAAAAAAGTAGAGGGTTACCGTTGGGAATTTCCCTTAATATTCTATTCGTCCTATAATCCATAGTCGCGTATATTTAGTAAAATCACGGTGCATCAACTTTTTAGTAAAATCACGGTGCATCAACTTTGCTATGAAAGTATGAACTCCACCTAAATCGGTGGTAAAGAGGAAAACAAGACGTCCTTTGCCAAGAATATTTAGTAAAATCACGGTGCATCAATTTTGCTATGTAAGTATGAACTCCACCTAAATCGGCGGTAAAGAGGATAACAAGACGTCCTTTGCCAATAATATTTAGTAAAATCACGGTGCATCTTAATTAGAGTATATGGATATGAGACAAAATGAAGGGGTGTAAATTATTGAAATGTAAGCTGTAATACTGAGATATAGAGATAAGCTACTATTAATAAAACCAAATACGAGCTGCTAGAGATCTAAACTACACAGTACTATTCTTTCATATGCTGTAAAAATTTACATAATTTGGCATGATTATACCTTATTAATTCCATAGAAATATGAATCATACAATACTACCAAATTATTCTCACCCGTAATAGATCATATCACATATTAAGGCTTTATATTTTCTCGGTGAATGAGGGCCTTTGAAGGTGAATTCTGCTAGATATGAGCAGCTGCTGTATATCCTGCAGGACCAACACCGAAGGCAAAGGATAAATGTATGTATCTGTATATATCAGCAGGTAGCAGCTTGGCTTGGTATATTGCCCTGAACTGCCTTGTAACACTGTAGGCTGCAAAGAGGCAGCTTCGTCTTTGAATCTCTGTACTTGTATGGATTCGTACAAGATGGGCCAGCACATCTTTCACGAGGTGGAGGATAACTGAAAATTAATCCCAGAAACCAAGAAGAAAAAAGAAAACAGGGAAATTGTTATAATGATATTTATTTGGAACTCAAACTGTCAATCATAAAAATAGCAAAGAAATCTCACTCAAAACACTGTGGAAGTGTCGAACTCACAAGAAATATACGAGATGGGATCACAAGTTATGCATAAGCAGATAAGCTTATCTTCTGTATCTAAATTATCTTTCAAGGATCAGACCAAAGTATTTACGACAGAAAATGTGAGAGGCCGATTAAATATAAGAGCTAGGCTATACAATACAGAAAAGAGCTAGTATAAGCTTGTAGCATTCCACATTAACACAAAATGCTTCCAAACTACAGCAGGGCATCTTAAAGGCATTCTCAATAAATCAACATTCAACACACAGTAAACCTTTATCAGGAAAACTAATTACATAATACTACTTGATGCAACCAACGGTACTCTAAACTTAAGCTTTTAAGAGACGTAGGCTTGTAATTCGTTGTGATTCAATATATAATGTTCTACGGAAATTAGTTTATAAACTTCTACTTTCCCTATATTTGGTTCCTTGATATAAAAAATTATTTCATAGGAAGGAAAGGAAGAAAGGAGAGAGGAGGAAGAAAAAGGTATGGGGCAAAATATTGTGCCATTCGTTTCTTGAGTTCTTCTACAAGGAAACAACATCCCACTCTAGCAAAAATACTACTTTTTACCAAATAAATTATTTGCATCCCTTAACGGCTTTACATTCCAAATGGAGGGGTAAAAAAAAGGGGAAAGTAATTTTTTAATAATTTTTAAAATGAAATTAAGAGGGGCACTTATAAAGAATGCCAAGACTTTATAGTAAAGACCATCAAAGACTACAAAATCTATATAACTAATAATCCAGAAAAGTGGATATAACATCAATATACTCCCAACACTAAAGGTACTGCTGAGTTTATTAGGACTTTGTTAGAACTTATTTAAAGTAAGTTGCACTTGGATAACCCTTTATAACTCTTATCTAAATTTATCTGAAATAATTAGTCTTGAAATACGTGAAATTAGGTGAATTGACCAAGGCATTTAAATCTGCATCAATAGCCTACTCTGATTCTTCATAACCAAGTCTCACTTCTCCTGGGAAGGGATACAAACTCCCAGGTTTTTGGCACTGAAGAAAATAACTTCTTCTAGACAAGTGTTCTTAGAAACATGTGGCTGAAAATAGCTTCAACCACAAACCTAGTGAACATTGCTTCATATTCATATTAGATAAGATCTCCTCCTCATTACTAACACATAATATGATCAATATTCTATCCTCATAGCCAGTGTCCAACTTTGACATTAAAGACTCACATATGACTTTGGGACTTTGGGTTCTTTTATATCAAAAATTTAAAAATAAAAGAAATAAATAAACAAAAAGACATTTAATCAAGAAGTCAGCTTTGCCAAGGCAACTGCAAGGTAGTGAAAACAACATTAAAAAAAAAAATAGCAACAAACTAGCACTTGAATACAGCCACTGTCCACTACACAAGAAAGGAGAGGGTATAACAAAAGATTAGAATGTGATATATACACATATACCTGCAGGGTTTTGGGTCAAAAAAGCTAGGCAACATTTCCTTTGGAAAGGTAACAGTTGTCCCACTAGGTCCCATGATCATTCTGATACTATTTGATGCACGCATGAGTTCATCAGCAGCCCTCTCCTGCATCAAAAGACATCATCAATGATCTCTTCCATGTTATACTACTCTTAAAAAAGGGAAGTAAATAACCCATAAACTATCCAGTACCTGGGCAAGCTCTTTTACACGTTTCTTCTTTTTGTCTTCCCTCTTTTTCCTATTGGAGTCTTGACCGAGTATTCTTCTAATTGCCTCAGCCTGTAACAAAGCTTCAATACTCAGCTCACTTTAAAAATTGTCAACCTAGTAGAAATAGAAAAGGAAGTAGTTAAAAAACCTCAGACTCCTTAGCTGCCTTCTCATTTTGCATTTTACGTCTCTGAGCAGCCTCAACTTTCTTCAATTGTTGATCCACTTCCGAAAGCTTCTCTTTTTGCTCTGTTAAACAATTCATATTAATAATACTTAATAACTGGATCTGAAAAGATATGAGATGATGATAAGCAGAACAGATTAAAAATCATACTTCTAGATGGTGCTGGAGGTAACCCATTTGGAAATTCAACTGCAGTTCCACCAGGTGTAGAGCAATCTCTCCCTGACTGAAGTGCCCGTTGACGAGTTGTAAGAGTCAATTCCCGCTTAGGCTCAACAATTGCGTCAACAGGTTCCTTCTTTGCTTTCTTCTTTTTCTTTCCCTCAGCTTCACCATCAGATACAAGTTCCTCCTCTCCCTCATAGTCAGTATCCTCAGAAGGTGATCTCTTCTTTCCATCTTTCCCCGGCCGTGAAGAAGCACCAACTTCTGAATTTTGAGAAACATTTCCTGAAAACTTAGACAATCTTCTGTGTTTTCTGCTAGATTCCTCATCATCCTCTCCAAACCCATTAAAATACTTTGCATTTTTTAGTTTCTCCAAATATCTGATCTCATCATCATCGTCATCGTCCTCAAAACCATCAAGTGCACGCTTCTTCGATGCTCGTCTACTCTTTCGCGCTGAGTCAGATTTGTCACCTTGCTTTACAGAGCTATTCTTCCCAGCCCCCTTCGTTGAAGATTCCTCCCTTCCAAGGGTAAACCCCACTTTGGAGAAATCTTTCCAAGGAATTCCCTGTAATCCACCCTTTTTATCTCCAGAAGGTGAGTTATCAACTTCTGAATTATCCTGAAGAAACAGAATTTATAGTTCCCATCAACCCAAGATGCTTTTAACTACCAAATGAAAATGAGACTACAGCAGAATAACATGTCTTGGTCAAAAAGAAATTGCTTTCAAGAATTAAACGACATGTAAGCCTCCTAAGTCAACAGAAAGTAGTTCAACATGCCATATTTCAGACAAGGCGATTCAAACAAGTGCTGATCCTCATACATACATGAAAAAATCTTAAACCAAACGAATTATCTCCAATGGACATAAGATTTCTACTAAATTGCAATTTGCAAAACACTACACACCAAATATCAAGCACAAAGTGAGGAAATCGAAAATAAAGTTGTGGCATATAATGGCAAACTCCAGCACTATACAGAATCATATGTTAATTGAATATGCAAGAATCACCTACCTTATGCGCTGACTTCTGCTGCACATTTGTAGCATCCGCAGCACGAGAACTCTTAGAATTAGCATCGATGGTACGAGTGACACCGCCAACTTTGAGCTTGACTTTTTTTACCTTGTTGTCATTTCCCGGCTTATCTTGAGATGGACCTACACTATCATCAGCCTTTCTATTCAATGCCATGGTCTTCTGTGGTTCCGGGCTTTCATTTTCCCTGCTTGTACTTCTCCAATTAGCAGGTGCAAGAACTCCTTCGCTGCTTCTTTTGTGATTTGAGCCAGTCCGTCCCTGCTCTTTAGTGTCTCTTGAACCACTATTGCCATATAACTCATTGAGTCCAATATCTACTTTCTTATTCTTTCTCGAAGATTTTTCTCCCTCCACACCACTAGGTCCAGGAAATCTTGATGCACATTGACTAAGACTAAGCTCTTTCCTCCTTGAATTGTGGTCACCACCGCTATTCTCATCACTGGAGCCTGCCTTTATGTCATCCGATGGAGGAGTTGAGGATAAGGATGAAACATCACGTCCATCCGAAAGTGGTTGAGATTCAGGGCGAGGTCGCCTGGAGGTATGGCTCCGTCTCTTTCTGACAGTGTTCCCTATGCTTTCGAACCGAGAAGAATTGTTCTCTTCCATTTAGGAACAGTATAATCAAACAAAACTTCTAGTACAGCCTCTAAAGCCTAGTTCATGTAGTAGTGATTCCCACAGAATCAATACAACACTGCAATACAAATTCAACAAATAAGTCTCATGATCAAGCATGTGCATAAACCAAACTACTAAAAACAACATTTTATAGAATATCTGAATTAACCCAATAACTTAGAAATTGAAATTGAACCTACATAAAACAGGCATAAATCCAACAACACAAAAATTTAGCATACAATGTACACTGAAAAAAGAAAATCGAATTCTAAATACAATATACACAACAGCAGATTTGCATTAACAGCATCAATTTAATCAATTTGAGGAACAATGAAACCAATCAACTTAATACGGAGTATAATTTACAAATTAACAATTCCCATTTACACAACACCCGAAAGCAAGCAAGCATTAAAAGATCACACATAAACCTCAATCAATTACATTAGCAAAACCCTAATAGCCAAGATTACCCAACCAAAATCCCCAAAATAATTCATCACACAACACAATCAAACACAACCCAAAAACCTAAAATTCGAACAACAGCATGAAAAAACTCAAAAACCCACAAAATTAATCCATCGTACAAAACCAATAAACAAAACCCAGATGCCAAATTACAAATTAAAACCAAAATAACCAAATACAAAAACAGAATTACAAGAAACGTTACTTTTAAAGATTGAAACTTGGAGAGAGAAAACAACACGAAAGAGGCAAAAAATGGAGAGAGAAAGCTGAGAAAAGGGTAGAAGTGAAAAAGAAGAGAGAAAAAATGAGAAAAGGGGGTAGCAAAGGGCTAAAATATGAAGGAGAGAGAAAAAGGGGTAAGCTTATTTTAGGGCAAAGAAGAAGATTTAAGATGATAGTAGTAATTGGAGAAGAAGAAGAGCAAGAAGTTGGTCTAATAATAATCTTCACCATTTTTTCGATACTATAAAGTTTTTTACGAAAAAGAAAAATAAAATAAAATACAACAATAACAAAGACCACAATTCTTCTCTTTCTCTTTCTCTCTCTTAAACCAGGCAAGAAAAGCTTTTTCGTCTTTCTCTCTCCTACAGTTTTCTTCGCTTCGCTTCTACCAGGATTGTGTTGCGTTTTTGTCTGACTTGTGATACTGCGACTATTTGCGCCAACACATGGCTTGTTTTAAGGAGGCATCAGTCTATCGTTGCGAAACTGAAATAGTTTAGTCGGTTAAAATCGTATGAATGGTTAAAGTCGTATGAATGGTTGTGAGTAAATTGTAAGAATTTGAATGATTGAATCTAACTTCATTTGTGTTTGTTGTTTCAACTTGTTCAAGAACCCTCTAAAGACTAAAGCTAAATGAAATTAGAAATTTGGTCTCATGGTTAGAGGTAAGACTAAATCACTCGGTCCCTTTTCGTTTATACTATGGGTCCACCTTTTATAAGAGTTTTTGGAATTAAATGGTGCAAACAATAAGAGACGGAGAGAGTACATTATTAGGGAACCCAAGATCAACAATATTATGCATCTTTGGCTCTTTGCTTAACATCACCCTTTGTTTAAAATTAATTCCTCAACTTGCTTTTCAAATGTCAAGTTCTACAAACTTTTACCTTTATCGTAGAAAAGATTGCTTCATGTGAGATTTTATTTAAGTTCCTTATATAGCATCTTTGAAAATAATAAGAGAAATATAATGCAAACAAAAAGGGACGGATGGAATATTATGTATAGTGTTGCAATTTTTAAAAGGGAAAACAAGTAAGCACAATCTGGGCACATACAAAAAATGATTTCCCAACAAAAAATGATCCACAGTCTTACAATTGTTGTTTATCCCTTTGCCTGTCCCAAATTATCTTATTGTGCTTTTTTGTATTGAATCATGTCGCATCTTGAGCCAACCCACCTATTAGCATCTTTACTTAACCTTGGCAACACTCACAAGTCACAATTGATCTCAAGAAGAATTTTGTTACACATGTTTATTTACACGCGTATAATCGAAACATAAAATACATAAAAACTTGAGAGGAACAAATTTATCAATTGAGAATAAACACAAGAACAATCAAACGCGATGTTGATCACACTTTATCAGATACAAATAAACAATGTCCATCTTCGAATTAATTCACTCTTACATGGAAGGAAAATATTTTTAAAAAAAAAATTAGCACACTTGATCAAACTTGTAACGACTTATACTCTTCCCCCAAGCATCCTTCTTGTAGCCGCAGCAGTAGACTCAGCTGCAACATTGATTGCACCAGTACATAGCAATTGTGTTCCACTCACAATAATCATGATTACCTCCAAAGTCCTCTGTTTTTATACCAAAATCAAAGCAACATTTTAGTTTTTGCTTCATTTTCTTTGAATAGGTTAATTTCATGCTAAAGCAAAAAGATCTATAACATAAATAAAGGTAAAGATTACAAATTACTCACCAAGTTAGCACCAGTATATCCAATATCAATTTCCTTGCAGGCCAATCTGCAAGAACAAAATCAAAGGTTCAGTTAATCTTCGCGTAAGACTTGGTGTGGAAAAAAAAAAATTGCATACTCCCTTCGTTCATAGAAGATATCCTCTTTCACTATTTGTAACATTAGACCCATATACGTACTGTTATGGTTTCTAAAGTGGACAACTTATTAGGGATCGAGGGAGTAACATTTTAATGCCAAAAATAAAAAAAAAAAATAATAATTACTAAGACATACCCCATGGCAAGAATAGTGAGTGCAAATGTCCCTAGAGAAGAGGTAGCAGCAGCATACAAACTAGCAACAGTCCATTGCATTACATTGAGCATTCCGAGAACTGAAGTTGTGATGCCAATAACACCGATAAGAAGAGAGAAAATGATGAAGAATCCGGTAGCCATGTTCCCCATAGGAAAGTAGATTGGGAAGATTCTTGCAGGAGTTTGTAGTACAGAAGCTGCAAGCACCAAATATGCCAAACCATATACATTGTTAGTCGCATAAAAAGTCAAAACAGAAAGAACTTTTAAAGACGAAGAGAGTACTCCTTACCTGACTCGTGGGTTTTTTCAATAGCATGATTAACAGCCCAAGCAGAAATCAGCATAATAATGAAATAGAGTACTAGATTGATAACCAAGAGCAGTAAAGCTGCTGATCGCGGGCCTTCTGAAGCCATTAGTAATTAATTAATCCTAATGATCTAGAAATTGGAAGGGAAGAAGAGTGATCTCTTTTATTCTTTTCTGGACAATTACAAGCCAAGTTTAAGGGAGATATATAGGTGCATTATTATGAGTGGTTCTTTGCTTGAATTGTTTGGCATGAAAAGGAGAATAATTGGAAGGAAACAAGAGCTGGATTGGAATAACAGTTCATTACTTGAAATGTTTAATGTTTGTAATCCCCACTTCTTGGATAAATATGTTTACATATTTGGGTGAAGGTTTCTTTAGGTTGAAGAAAAGGTTCTAAGAGGTCCAACCTCTTGGTTTTTAGCTTTTCCTTATCTAAGGACAAAGGTTCCCCCGAGAGCTTCTTACACATATACCCGAATGCACATAGAAGTAATTGCAATCATACAAAAGCCATCAATTTTAAGATTAATTATACATATAGAATCATGATTAATTTCATTTTCTCTGTTTCTTCATCATAAGTTATACTACGTATTTGTGAAAATCAAATTCTTAAAGGAAGATTAACGAAATCAACAAACAAGAACACAAATTTTAATGTTCACTGAGAAGGCGAGAGGAAAGGTTTATTAAAATTGAGGATAATACGGATAACTCAATATCCTATCTATTATGGTCATTCAGTCATTGTACTCAAATGCACAACATATCTGTCATTCTTGCATTACAATACGCAAAATTATTTTGTAACTTTTAAAAAAAAAAAAAAATGTTTACAGATTCACACTAAAATCTGAAAATAATCAAGTGGAAAAGGCACAAAAAAATTCTGCTAAGAACTTTCTAGTAATCCATGAAGGAAACAGCAGGCTGCACATTTGACTTTAATTAATGAACTCTGACAATTGAAGTTGAATGTACACGGATTTTGTATTTTTAACAAATAGGGTAAAAGAAGGTAGTCCCATATAAGAGAAGAGGATGAATCAGGTGAGTAAAAAAAGGAATGACCTTAACTCATAAATCTTGTAGGCCCTTGAAAGATAATGAAAGAAACCGATCGAACCATAAGCAATTAGCAATATATACATTTTATCACAGAGATGCAGCAGGCCAGCAACACCGCAGCCTCACCGCCTCAATCGGGATATCACAATAATTGTCCATAGAAGATGAGGATTTTGATTTCCTGCTAACTAAACCTCACTGATTACCCACTTCAGCCTTAAAATGCATAGAACCCTGCAAAGCTGACTAACATGAGCCGATTCTTTGCTTTCTCCCTGAGTAAGCAAGTGTGTGGACAGTAAAATTTAACTACCACCATCCTTTTCATCTGCCTTCATGAAGATCCTCAGAGAAAACAGCAGTTCGAGATATGTTTTCATCGAAGGTGCTCAAACCAGAGTAAGGACCTGATGAGAAGATTGAGGAAGTCCCATCGGATTCAAAGGTAGTAGAAGACTGTCTAAGGTTTGGTCGCATGTTAGCAGATCCCGTGGCAGCGTCTTGATACTCAGTAACCCGTTGTACCATTTTAAGAGATTGCACCACCTCGCCCATCGTGGGCCGTTGATTTGCTTCAGGAGCAACACAAGCAGCTGCAATTGTGCAAACCCGTAAAAAATCTTCCTTAGGGTAATTTCCCTGAAGCTTCGGATCCACAAGCTCTTCTAAACGATCCTTATCTCTCAAAATTGGCCTTGCCTGTAAAGGTGCAGAACAGTAAAATTTTTGTAAATACCAACAGTCACGAATATATTCAGAGCACCCTCACCCAAAGAGAGAGAGGGAGAAGCACATGAAAAACATAACTAACCCAGGTAACAAGGTTCTCCTGGCCAGCTGGCTGTGACATATCTACAGGTTTTCTACCAGTCAGCAACTCAAGAAGGACCACACCATAGCTATAGACATCACTTTTAACAAGTAAATGACCGGTCATGGCATATTCAGGGGCTACATACCTGTTGGCATCAATAAAATGCATTTCAGAAACTACAATCTTACATGAGAAATTAATATGGTAACTGCAAGAAAAAGATGGGGGCTGACCCAAAAGTTCCCATGACTCGAGTAGACAAATAAGTCTGCCTGCCTTCAGGTGCCTGTTTGGCCAAGCCAAAATCGGCAACCTTAGCATTGAAGTTATTTTCAAGAAGTATATTTGACACCTTGAAGTCTCTGTGAATGACACATGGCTGTGAGTCTTCATGCAAGTATGCAAGTCCTCTAGCAGCATCAAGTGCAATCTTCATTCTCGCATCCCAATCCAAGGGACAATTTACCCCCAAAGGACCTGCAATAGAAGGCAGCATTTTTTAATTAACAATTATATTATACAATCTAAAAGAGCACATAATATAGACACAAAGTTCTACAATTGACTCATAAAAAAAAATAAAAAAAAAAATAAAAAAAGGTTCTACAATTGACTTAAATCAGAGGTCACTGAGCGGGGCGGGGCGGGCCGAGGCCAAAACAACAACCCACTTCTTGGGCCGGGTCAGGCCAAGCTTTGGGTCGGAATTATTGTGCCCAAGCCCGCCCAAAATAGCCGGGCAGTGCAGGCTTTTCAGACCATTTTCAGGCCGGGGCAAAAAACAACTAAAAATGCATAAAAACACATTCCCAAACCAGCCCAAACAAATAAAATTTCGGGCGGGGATAAGTTTGATCAGGTCTAACTTAAATGTAAAGCTATCAAAGAGTTTTATCAAACCAACCATGAAGCCATGCCTCCAGACTTCCATTAGGAACAAGCTCATAACAAAGCAGATTTTGAGAGGCTTCACGGCTGCTATAGTAGCCCACAAGTTTCACAAGATTGCGATGGTGCAACCTGCTAAGCATATCAACCTCAACAAGGAACTCCTTATCGCCTTGAGGCCCACCATTTGTAAGCTTCTTGATTGCAACAGCTGTGCCATCACTCAAAACACCTTTGAAAACTTTGCCAAATCCACCCTCTCCAAGTATGCTGGATTTTTCAAAATTATTAGTTGCCTTTTTCAGTTCTTCATAAGTCAAAAATCTTGTACTGCTAGGGTGAGCAAGAGATCCTCCAGCTGTGCCTCCATCTGAAGTCCTTGGCCTTGATCCCAGATTCTCTATAGAAAAAAGTTATCAAATATCAATAAATACCATACCTGATTGAAACAGATAAGAAAGGAAAATAATAGGTGGTGGAAGAAATAACATATACCAGGTGCATTAAACTATATAATTATGAACAATTAATTAATTATAATATAATATAAAACAAAATAGCAATGGAGATTCGTGTGAGCTTCAGCAGACAAGATAAACAGAACCATGGGCCAAGGTGCTTAACATTGCTTTAAATCTTATAAATAGCATATCAAAGTACTATGAATTGAAAAGATATTATAAAGGGAATTGCTGCTAAGGTAGATAGAGCTAGTGTTGAGCTTGATACTCATACCTGGATCTTTCATTAATGGTTTTGGCTTCTTATGGGATGAACAAGAGCACAAAACTAGCACAAATATGACGACAATTATCAAAATTCCAGCCCCAATACTAAGGACAAGAACCAAGCTTGAGTTCTTGTTATTAGAAGCCTCTGATGGTGTAGAAGCTGAAGCCTGATGATCTGGTGTTTTCACAGGTGATGCAGCAGATAATGGGGCTGTAATTAAGAGAAAGACTAGTGTTATAACTCGTAATATACTCCAGAAGTTACATATGCAGAACAAGGAAATCCTATATGCTAAGTCAGGCAAGAAATAAAATAGACTGCTCCTCAAATAGTTTCCAAGTTACAATCAATCATCTAGATTTTCCCAAATAAAAGTGCAAAATAACAAATAAACAATAAGAAACAACTAAATGTAATGCACCAGCAGAAAAATACAACTCAACATATACAGAGCCTAAAAAAAGAAGTATTCGCTGTATAATTACCTGGTGATGGAGCAGGAGGCTGATACCAGGTCACATTTAGAAGTTTGTAATCACCCACACCTACTATTTCAGGTATCGACACCTTATGCAACACAAGTGAGGAGTTTATAGCAGATGCGGCACCAGCTGAGAAACTGATCCCAGTATGTGGAGTAATGTCCAGTGAAATATTCAAGCTAGTCAGGGTAACCCAATAAAAATTATTCATTTGCATCTGAGGAGCACGGAGGCCAAGTGCAGAAGAGAATCCATCAAGGAAAAGACTCCAATTTGGATTTTGTGACACATTGAAAAGCAGAAGATCAACCTTAATTGGATAAACACAGTGGCAACTGGGGGTCTCTCGTTTCTGCACCATATCAGGTTTACAGCAGCCTGAAATGTAAGATTACACACCAAAGTCACAACAGATGAAATAATTAATAAATCAACGGAGGTAACTGAATTTTAATATATTTTGCTAGTTATACATACAACACAAGAGTTAAGTTAAATGCACATATGCATAATAAACCATTACTATCACAGTCCTAGCCAAGCTATAATGCACAAGGTAGATTGGTGTCAGCATGTGAAGCGCGCAGGCAAGAAATCAACCCTGATGGACGCAAATTGCATAAGAAACATAGAGCACTGAGTGAAGTGGCAAGAAGCAATGAGAAAAGGGAAGGAACAAGAGATAATAATAATATAGAGTATGAGTCGAGAAACATGCAGACTACTACGGAACAGAAAAGGTAAATGAATAAGGAATCTTTCCACATATCTTTGTGCACCTCATGAAGACAATGCACTTTGTTTTGCAATTGGATGCACCTCATTGGTGCTAGGTGCAGAGGAAATCTTTTTCCGCTTTTCAAGAACAAGATGCTAACAGTGTACATAAGCTTCTAATGAAATACTCTTACTTGAAACTTCTGGAGCGAGAGATGGCATTAGGCCTTCAGCTGGTGGTACTGATCCATTATTATTCTTAGCCAAATTAGGAAATCTAGAACCGGCAGGAGGATCACTAATTGCTTGTAGTGGCTCATGTGGAGCCTGAACTGGTGCTGATGCGAGATTCCGCCTCATGTATTGTGACTTTTCCTTCTGTCCAACAAGTGGTGTATTGGCATTCGCAGCAAGAATGGGAGCTGTTAAAGGCCTTTTAGCTGCTAATACTAATGATGACTGTAATGGAGATTCATAGGATTCCGCATCAATATGGAATGCTGTACAATATGATACCAGAAGCCATATCAAAAGCTTACTTGGCATACCTGCAGTGGTCATAAACAAAATAAGACAACTTTTTAACAAAAAAAAAGTATAAACATTAAACAATTTTTGAATGACAGAATCCAATGGAGAATATGTCAACAAAGAGCATGAAACAAACTAGAACCATTAGAATAATAGAGGCATATACTGTGAGGGCATCCCTAAGATACAGAAACTAAAAGGCAAGGGGTTACCACTTGATATAATTTCTTTAAAACGTAAGGGATTAGCAACTAAAATTTTCAGATCAGGATAGTATTTTTAAGTGCAGTTAACAAGTTAAATTATTGCATTTTTTTTTTATAGAAACTCGTCAAGATTTGTGTATCAAAAACAAGGATGCATGAACATCTAATGGCTCCAGCTAGTGAGAGATGTGACCAAACAATACATTATTTTTTAATACTAGTAAAACGAATACTGCAAACCTCATGTTGCTATGGTTAGCTGTCTTTTTTAGTGTCAACTACATTCCTAAAATGTCAAACTAGCAAAATACGTAGCACAAGGTTTGTTAAGCAGAAAAGCTTATATCAGCATCAACTTTTTACTCTGTGAGAACTGGCAACTGAATATAATTACTTTTATGGCCTGGCAACCATATACGGAATAGTAGCTTGATTTACTCAATTCAACTAAATAAATAAAATAAAATAAAAAATCATCATACTTATGATGATACAAAATAAACCTTAAGCTATTGTCTTTTCTCTCCTGAATGTACTCACTGATCAAACTCTGCCCAATTTTAAAAATGTAGCACATCACATCATAAAAGACATCAGACTTCATACTTCGAAACCCAGGCTTATACAACATCAAAGGCTTCAAGCAACAAATCTTCATATAGGATCGAACCCCAAACATACCCAATTTTATTCAGTGTTCACACACCAAATTTGTATTTTAGCTCTATCTCACTCATTGCACACATACACAATATTCATCAACGGTTCTTGGCCGAACCAATCAATTGTGAATATATAAACAGGCCATCACTAATATATAGAGAGGAAAAGCAACAGAATACCAAAATTTTCAACTTTCCAATCTAAGCCACCACCATTTATATCCAACGCGTCAGAAACAAAACCAATAGTAGCCTTCCACTCAGAACACGATTCACTAAACAAACTTCCACCAACAATCTGATGAATGAACAACTAAATGTATCTAACTACAGTACCCGGAGGAAGGATCCTAGAAACATCATAAACTAAATCAACAAACCACCTCTAGCTCCCGATTCCTAATCACCCATTATTTCTTCATCAATTTGTACAACATTTCATACCTCACTAAACATAGAATAACCAAGAATAGAAACCTAATTCATCCTCTAATTCCGAAAATAAGATTCAAATCAAACCTCAACATCATCCACAATTGATCAAGAACTAGTAATTGAAGAATAATGAGGCACTAAATCTTAATTCCAGACAAAACCCTAAATTCCAAACCCCTAAAAACAGCTAAAATCATACAAAAAACAACAAATTCCTGCAAAATTCCCAACATTTCACAAATTCACCGACAGCAAATTTCAGCTAAACAACAAACAAAATCTAACATAAAATAATAATTAACAAATCAAAACTAAAAGACAAACGACAACAAAAAAATTCCCAATAATAAAGAAATCAAATTAAACCCAAAACAAACAAAACCAAATTGAATTACCGGGAATCAATGGAAATCGCTTCATCGCCGCCGACACAAAGAAGAAATGAAGAGAGAGAAAGTAAAAGGGGGAAGAACTAAAGCAGTGTTTGGATCTGAGAAGAAGAAGAAACCCGCATCAAAAAGAAGCTTGCAAGTAAAGCAAACAAGGAGTTAGTAGTAGTGGTAATGAAGGAGTGAATAGTAGTACTAGTACTAGGAAGAGGAGCAGCAACAACCGCCATTAGAGGTGGGAGGAGAGAGGAAAATGGAGGGAAAAAAAGGACTGGTGCAAAACCGTGAATCGAAAAAACGTTAGTAATGGAGGAGAAACGTTTCGAAATAGGGACGCCATAGTTAGAAAGGAAAATCGGGGGAAATGAAATCTGGGGAATCGAGGGAACTTTCAAGTTTTATTGGAGGAGAGAGAAACTAAAAAGAGGACTCTCCTCGTGGTGTGAGGATGTACACTGTCTTTAGTAATTTTTCTTTTTTTTTATACAAGTAGTCAAGTATATTGAATTATCTAATTCATGTTAAAAAATTCCAAAACTATTTTTTATGGTTGGGTAGTGGCTACACCATACGATCAGTCATGGGGAGTTTTTCATTAATATTAATGGAATTAATCGGTCTGTAACTCTGTGTTATAAGGTTACTTTGTTAGTGTTACAGAGGTTGATCGATCAATGTAATAAGATCAATACATATATTTTTTTATATAAATATAACAAAAAGTTGATATTGTTTTATAGTCAACTTAAAATTTCCTCGTAAATATGTGTTAGAGAAAAATAGAAAATGCATCTAACCATTCAACGGCAGTTGGCAAGCCAGTTGAGGAAACATGCTTATATGGAATAGTCTATATGGAATTATGGAGTACTCCTTAAACCATAAATTCCCTTCAAAGTATTCCCAAGTAATGGTAGAAAATGACTACTCGTAGTTTTTAATATGAACCTAACCCCTAAGAAGAAACAAGCAAATTGTCACTTTCTAGGATATACAAATACAATCAAAATGTTTATACCCACTTGAAATTGAAGGGATCTTTGACTAATTTGGTCACATATTCTATATTCCATGCATTTCTTCGATCTTCACTTGTATATCGTGGTTTTTAATTTCATTTATCTATCAACTAGCTGAATTGACCGTTGAAAGTAAAAATAGAACCTTAATAATAATAATATATATATATATATATATCAACCTTTAGAGTGAAGCTATTGTAAAGGTCTATTATTTTCAGTTCTTAATTTCCTTCTCCCATAAAATATTTAGTTCAGTCAATCGGAAGCCCTAAGTTAATATTGTCAATTTTTCCCGTCAAAAAAAAACAAAAAAAAAATCAATTTTATTATGAAAATAATGGTGGGAAAAATTACATTATTAGTCAATTACAAAGTGGTATGTAACTTTTGTACAACTATTTGGTTTTAGCTATAGAGTGCTTTACTCAATAGCCATTAGCCACTACAAGTCTATACATGACGTACGTTTATTGGGTATTTTATTAACTTAAATCAATATTCGCCTAAGCCCTAAGCAATAGGTAACTAAATCATACTTCGTACATATATACTCCAAATTACTACTCATCAAAAAAACTTGTATGAACCTGGTTCACAATAATATTATTGTGGACCCGAAGTTCTACATATGCGTAACTAGTTTTGTATTGAACATAGTGACCCTAATATTAAATATAATAATCTTAATTTTAACATAGTAACCTTTAATAATATTAGTGTGATTTCTAATGTTATTGCAAACCTGAAATATGATGTTACGATCCTAATTTTAACCTAGTGACCTATATTATTCATATTGACCAGTATTTTAAAATTTTCATTTAAAAAATTTCATCTCTTATGACCTTTATAAAACACAATCACTATTATTTTAACATAATGATCATTATTTCAACATAGTGACCTTTTTTTAAATAAATAAAACGACCTACTATCTCTATTATAAGTGGTCCACAATAAATTAGTGTGAACCAGGTCTATTTAAGAGTTTAATACTACCCATACCCCATCTTTCTACTAGATGGCAAGCGGTATTATATATCTTGCAAAATTTAACTAACTATTTCTCAAAAAAAAAAACCCGGTTTAAGTCACTTAACTAATTTCCTAGTGCGGCGATAGCTCTATGTGAGTGAGCTATAGCTCGACCCTATGAGGACCTGAAGCAGGCATTGGTAATTTGGTTTTTTTAGGATAATTTATGGAATATTTTCAAAAATTATATATTTTTTTTCTATGACGGCTATTTGAGTATAATTAGGGGACAATTTAGGGATTTTTATTAGGATTTCCTTGCATTATAAAAGAACCTTTTAGTTGATCAATTAGATCATACCTTTTGAGCTATTAGATTTAGGACTCCTTGTATTATTCTCTCGTTCTTTCTCCATTATTGTGAAGAAGCTCTCGAATCCCCCACCCATGGATGTAGGCCTATTTTGACCGAATCACGCATCATTGTGTTCTTTGTTTATCATCTTTATTGCTTTTCTCGTTCTTATTTTTCATTGATTTGTTCCACATTAAGCAAACACAATTACACCCTTATTTAATTTCCTATTAAATAGTATCTAAAGCCAGGTCTTAGGTTTTAGGTGTTTATAAGTTAGTTTGATTAAATTATGCCAATGAAATTTGACATTGAGAAATTCGATAGGCAAGTGAATTTTGGCCTATGACAGTTGAAGATAAAGCCATCTTGGTTCAAAGTGGTTGTCACAAAGGCCCTTGAAGATGTATCCAAAAAACCTTCGGGCATGCATGACGATGGATAAGAGGGAGGAGATCGATTTGAATGCTCTTTCGGCAATTCAATTATGTCTCTTTGATGATGTTTTGAGAGAGGTTGCCGAGGAGACGAATTTTGCGAGTTTGTGGTTGAAGTTGGAGTCATGAAAAAGAGCGTAACCAACCGTATACTACTCAAATCTAGACTTCATGATCTTCGTCTAGAGAAAGGTAAACCGCTTAATTAAGTCTTATTTAGATGAATTTTCTCTATTATTATGGATTTGCAAAACATCGATGTTGAGATCGATGATGAGGATATGGCTATTAGATTGTTGTGTTCTTTACCGCCAACGTATAAGCACTTTCGAGATACTTTATTGTATGGTAGAGATAATTTGAGTTTGGAGAATGTTAAGGATGCCATAACTCAGAGAGATTTAATTAATTGACAATAAGTCAGTAATCAGGGTCGTCTCCGACAATTTAGTGGCCCTATTCTAACTATTAAAATTGGGCCCTTCAATTTTTAGAGGACTATTTTAAAAGGTTAAAAATATTATTATTATAAAATGACACATTTTTTTAAAGTACAATACTACAAATTATTATAGAGCTAAAATATTCATATTACTAAATTTAATATTAATTAAATAAAACAACAAACAAAAACTTTTTATTTAAAAAGTATCATCCTTCTAATATTTTTTGAAGCAAAATGCTCAATTATATTTTCATATTCAATTTAATTTTGTTTTGGAAATTAAAAAGCAAAGTCAAAGATTTAAGATGAATTTTTAGGTTTTAGTTTGGAAATGGTGGTCTTTAGAAGAAGGTGAATATGTAAGGTTTTTTTTTTTTTTTTTAATTATGGGCCCCTGATTTTTGGGGGCCCTGTACCGTGTGTGAGAACAAACATGTCTAAAGACGGGCCTGAGTTGGTTAATAAATCGAATAATCCGGCTCAAAATAATGCTTTAGACCCTTTAGTTGCTCATGGTGGTAATAAGAATTTTGGTAAAGGAAAAGTTTGTAAATATTGTCATGTGAAGGGTTATATCAAAGCCGAGTGTTGGAAATTAAAGAAGAAGAATGAGGAGAAGTCCAATGAGGACAAATCCTTAAATATTGCCATCCAACACTGCCGGTGATGATTATGCACTTTAGGGTTTCGAGTTTCGGGGTTGCGGTTCTACGATCTTTTCCTGATAAGTAAGTTTAGCAAGAATAACTTAATTTTAGTAAAAATAATATCAATTCAATAATAATAAGGTGAAGAAAACAAGGTTACTTGAAGCCATTACACACCGAAATCAAATTGACATACATTGTAAACAAAAACACCTTCCATACTAAACTAATTGGCGATAAATAGTAAGCCGATTCTACCGTACTTGAAAATGATTCGGCTCGTATCGAACCGAACCACCTATACGGGCTATAACGAGAAGCCACCATCCATCAAATCCAACCCGTTTAAAACATAAACACAACCTGCACGCCATCGTGTCACTCAACACCGACTTTCCCCCCTCTTTCTTCCTCCCCCTCTACCTCTCTCATTCTTCCCCAATTTTTAGGGTTTTAGTGTTTTACTGATAACAATTTGGGGCTTTTTATCTTCTCCCCAAAATTCGCCATTGATTTGAGCTCGACCTCCAAATCCCTACCATGTCGAAGCGCAAATTCGGCTTCGAAGGCTTCGGAATCAATCGCCAACAAACCTACAACTTCGAACGATCTCAACAACAACCTCAACGCCTCTACACTCCTCCTTCTTCTTCGCGACCTCATGACCACCACGAAGATACCGACGTCGACAACATCGATTTCGACGACGATAGAAATAACGTTTCCGACGCCGGAAATCTCGCCGCCGACGAAGAAATTGATCCATTGGACGCTTTTATGGAGGGAATTCATAAGGAAGTGAGTGAAGCGCCCCCGCCGAAGCCGAAAGAGAAGCTTGATAAGTATAGAGATGATGATGATGATGAGGATGATCCAATGGAGAGTTTTTTGAGGGCAAAGAAAGATGTAGGGTTAACATTGGCGTCGGATGCGCTTCGAGCCGGGTACGATTCCGATGAGGAGGTTTACGCTGCGGCGAAAGCGGTTGATGCTGGAATGGTTGAGTATGATTCTGATGATAATCCGATTGTGCTTGATAAGAGGAAGATTGAGCCTATTACTGCATTGGATCATAGTGAGATTGATTATGAGGCGTTTAATAAGGATTTTTATGAGGAAAAGCCTTCAATTTCTGGTATATTCATTAGTTTTGCTAACATTTTGTCAGTGGAATTTTAAGCTTGGTGTTATATATGAATGTGCGAATTAGGCTGATGAAGTTTGTTGTGTTTGAGTGTGAATTAGAGTTAGAAGTTTTTACTGATAAGAAATTAGTTGTGTTTGAGTGTGAATTAGGTTGATGATAAGAATATATTATTTGGTATTAGTTGATTGGATTCTTACACTGTTTATACTGTTCTTTGCAAAGTGGCATTAAGCTGAATTGCTCCATTTTTCTGGTCAAGGATTGCTACTTTTAATTTTGATGAATTAGTATTAGAATTCTTTACCAATTGGGTTTAATAATATGCCAATTTTTTTGAGGGATGGATGAAAATGTTTTAATTGCCAACTATTTAATAAGGGACTTCGAAACAGTTTTGCCAAATTTGATTGCGAATAATGGTCAAAGAATGAGGCATTTGTAGAATTGTAGATGGGTTTGGAAATCAGTCATGACTTGAGCTCTTCATGACCGAGACTCGTTTTTGGAGGGGCTGTTTCGTTTTTTTTGTTTTATATTCCTGGCTTAGGCACTTTTCCTGTCCATTTGAACAGCATTTTGGATACTGACAATTTAGATTTCCCTGAGAACAATTTTTTGGCAAGGGTTTGGTAAGGTTTTTGGAGAAGCCTTGTTTGATTATTGAGGAATTAATGCCAGCATCTGTTGCTATTATGTGACAGTTTATTGTTCGGCATGCTGCATTGCTGCACTGTGATAATTTTCTATATTAGTATGAGCTAACATTTAATTGCTGTTTGTTGTTTGTAGGAGCTAACTTTTGTATTATGTACTTCGTATATAGCTTGCATAGATATACTTATTGCTTTCTTTTAACTAGGCATGAGCGAGCAGGATGTCACAGAGTACCGGAATGCCTTGAAAATTCGTGTTTCTGGTTTTGATGTTCCAAGGCCAGTTAAAACTTTTGACGATTGTGGCTTCCCTCCACCATTGATGAGTGCAATCACCAAACAAGGTTATGAAAAGCCTACCAACATACAATGCCAAGCTTTACCAATTGTGCTGTCAGGAAGTGATATTATTGGTATAGCAAAGACTGGTTCTGGAAAAACTGCTGCGTTTGTGCTTCCTATGATTGTGCATATAATGGATCAGCCTGAGCTGGGCAAAGGAGAAGGACCAATCGGAGTGATATGTGCACCCACCAGAGAATTAGCTCATCAGATATATCTGGAAACTAGAAAATTTGCAAAACCTTATGGGTTACGTGTTTCTGCAGTCTATGGTGGGATGTCCAAGCTTGATCAGTTTAAAGAACTCAAGGCAGGAGCGGAGATTGTTGTTACCACTCCTGGGAGACTGATTGATTTGCTGAAAATGAAGGCATTAACATTGAAGAGAGCAACATATTTGGTGCTTGATGAGGCAGATCGAATGTTTGACCTTGGTTTTGAGCCACAGATAAGATCTATTGTTGGTCAGATCAGGCCAGACCGTCAGACTTTACTCTTTTCAGCAACAATGCCCCGAAAAGTGGAAAAGTTAGCAAGAGAAATTCTTTCTGATCCTGTACGTGTGTCAGTGGGGGAAGTAGGCATGGCAAATGAAGATATTACTCAGTTTGTTCAAGTGCTTCCTTCAGATGCAGAAAAGTTACCTTGGCTCCTAGAAAAGCTGCAAGGAATGATTGATGAAGGTGATGTTTTGGTTTTTGCTTCCAAAAAGGCCTCTGTAGATGAACTTGAGTCCCAGCTTGCACAGAAAGGGTTCAAAGTTGCTTCTCTTCACGGTGATAAAGATCAGGCTTCTCGGATGGAGATTTTGCAGAAATTTAAGGCTGGGATATACCATGTTCTTATTGCTACAGATGTTGCTGCTCGAGGTCTTGACATTAAGTCGATCAAGTCAGTTGTCAACTTTGACATTGCAAAAGATATGGATATGCATGTGCATCGCATTGGTAGAACAGGTCGTGCTGGTGATAAAGACGGAGTCGCATACACTCTTATCACACAGAAAGAGGCCAGGTTCGCTGGGGAAATGGTCAACAGTTTGATTGCTGCTGGCCAGAATGTGTCTGTGGAACTGATGGATCTTGCCATGAAGGTAATTGCGTTCTGTTTTCTTGTTACTTATCTGGTTTTTGAATTCTTCCTTAGTGTTCTTTAATTGTGGAGCAGTTGTAGCTTGAGATATGTATTTTTTTGAAAGTGCTTGAGAAACAATATTGTATTACCATGTTATAAAAAATCTTAAGGGTTGAATTTTGTGGGTGACTTGGCTATTAATTGACTGGGGTTATCTTTAATACTGATGTTACTGATCAGTTTGTTGTAGGATTGTGCTGTATGTTGCATTTTTATTAGGCATAGATGCTTTGAATTACAGCATTCTAGGATTTAAATAAGCTGTACTCACTTTGGAGTTTATTTGAGTTGCTGCTCTCTTGCTACTGCAAAGTTGCAAACTACAATACCTGAATCATCTGTGTTGTTACTTATCAGGCTATGCGTTTTTCTTGTTTTTGCTGTTGCTTTTGGGCAATTCAAGATATTTATACCTAGAGAGTTTCTACTTTAAGCATTATATTACCGCCACAATTTTGCAGCTCTTGGTTATTGAGCTGATTTCTCACTAGGTGCATCAAGATGATGTAGTAGATGTAAGCTTCATAGGATCCATTTCCTTAGCCCTTGATTGTATATAACGCTACAGAATCATCTGTTATTATTGATATAGCTGAGGAAAAGAATGTTTGCTCTTAGCCAGTTATGCTTTCTGCATGGAAGAGTGAATTCTTTTGTTACTTATGTTGTCCCTCTTTTTTTTTTTGCCATGCAGTATTTGGAACTGTTGCTTGTAATTCTATCTGTATGTTTTTCGGCATTTATCTTATCAGTTACTCTGTATCCTTAGGATGGAAGATTCAGGTCTAAACGTGATGCAAGGAAAGGAGGTATGACAACTGCAAATTTGCGGTCTTTTAATTTACTTGCTGATTTCTAGCTTTATGCTTGCCTTGCTACTTTTCCCTGTTATTCTTGGAATAATTTCTACAAATTCTTTGTAATTTGCTAGTAATCCTTTCATAAACTCATGCTGAATATTGAACCATATATTTACTATCACTGAATATTTCATGTATTCATGCAGGTGGAAAGAAGGGAAAAGGACGAGGAGGTGGACGAGGAGGTGGAGGAGGAGGCGGTGGTGGTCGAGGTGTTCGTGGAGTGGATTTTGGTTTAGGCATTGGGTATAATACAGAATCCAACAATGCTCCCTCTCAAACTCCAAGTCGGGCTGCTGCAGTTAATTCACTTAGGACTGGTATGATGGCACAGTTCAAGAGCAGCTTTGTGGCTGCTTCACCCGACTCTCAGAATCAGGCAACTAACAATTCAAACGTGTATGCCAACAAGCGCCCAGCTATGATTGGTTTTGTTTCGGGTGGTACCATTGGTGGGGACACCAACAGACCTCAGGCAACCCCTACAACAAATTTCACGCCAGCATCAGGAGGCAGCATCGGTGGTCCGAATTCTGATCAGAAGAGCAATGAAAGGTGAGCTACTCTCTCCACTCCTATGTGCATTACTTTCATGGTTGGTTACCCTGACCCTAATTAAAGAAATAATCCAAAATTTAAAGTAGTGATGTGAGTGTTATGACACTAACAATTCATTACTCTGCCATTAATTGAATTTGTTAACTTCTTCTTGATAGATTAGTAAAAAGTGACATAATGATTTTGGATAGTAGTGGTTTGTATCTGCTTATAGAACCCTAATCTTTTTTTTTTCTTCATTTTATGTTATTTCAGCTCGAGAGAAAGGCAAAGGGAAAGGCGAAGGCCCTCAGGCTGGGATAGATAGCAAAATTGAAGTTGTCTATGACTATTGACTATCATTGTATTCCGTAGCTTTTCGTATAAAAAAATGCTACATGTAACACTATTTATACCTTACTAATCTACTATAGTTACTATGAGAAATTTTGACTTCTACTCCGGTTTTCTGTAAAAATTTTCTGCTCCCAAGTTTTATGTTTCAGGATGCTGCTGTCAAGGAATTGTAAACCAGTTGCATGCCTTCCCAAATTCAAAATTTTGACTTCTACTCTGTTTGTCTATAAAATGTTTCTGCCAGAGTTTCATGTTTCAGGATGTTGCTGTTAAGGAACTGTTTAGTTGTAGTAATCAAGGGTTTTTTTTTTTCGAAATAATATTGGGCTTCAACCTTTTTGTGTGCAGGTTACGGCATCTTATGCTATCTATTATTTGTCAGTAGCACAAAATATTTGTATACAAATTGTTTAATTTTGATCGAAATACTGCACATACATTGTTTTATGAGCAGGTTTTGGTGTAAATACATATTAAATGATGCATTAACCCCAAAACTAATTTCATCAGGTAATATAGTTATCGTCTCTTTGGTGTAATATCGAGTATTAATTGCAAGTTTGCATCAACTCCAAAGAATAAAAAATATCACCATTCTTTACAGTTTACACTTGAGAAAATTATGTACAATAGGATTTTTTTTTTTTTATTTACATTTTCACTATTTCTTTGTGACAAAAAGCAAATACTCAAGTTATGTTCAGTTCATCACTCGTATATCAAACTTGAAAGTATATAGAAATCAAAAATACTCCTTGACTTATTCTTAACCAAAAATCATGCCTAAAAACAATCATCCAAATTCCAAAAAAATAATCTTTTTTTTTTCTTTCTGAAAAATACTAACAAATCAAAGAATCAGTCAACAATCAACAAGGTAACTTAAATCGGCAGAACGGGCAAAAATGAGTCCTTTCAAGCCACCGTATGATACACTCCGTATGATAAACATGTAAACAGGGTAACACTATCAGCACCGTCCCGACACCTAATTTTTCCAAACATATCGAACATTCTCCCTCGTCTTCCACCTCCGCCACTCTCTTCCTCTCCAAACCCTCCACTACCGCCTCTAGTGGTGGCACCGCCTCCAACTCCGCCACCGCAGCTGCCGCCGCAACTCTCCGAACACCTCTCTCATTCTCTCTCCTCCCTGACTCGATCCTCCTCTGTATCGCCTCCGCTGTCTCCGGCGAAAACTCCTTCGCATCCAAATTCACCTTCACACAAATCGAACCTCTCCGATTACAACCTCTTCGCGATAATCTATCGACGAAGAAATCGAAGTGCGCCGCCATATCTGATCGAGTTGTTTCCGGAACCTCGAATTCCTGCAACGTATCAATCATCACCATCGATGAAGTTTGATTGCGAGGGATTCGAATTGATCTTGAAGATTGTGATCGTGATTGAAAGTTCCGGTATCGGAATTCAATCTGGAAAACATCATCTTCGCCGGCGCACGGTGTCGCCGTGTCGGTTTGTACGACCGTGAAATCATACAAAGTGTTTACTGATAAAATCTTCATTGCAGAATGCATTCCAACAATCAAGAATTGTTTTTCCGATTATTGGAGAGAGAAAATCGAATGCTAAATCATGGTGATTCAAAGAAAATTGAAAGCTCTGCTATTTCATTATGGAGGAGAAAATTAGGTTTCCATTTTTCGAGTTTAAGAAGAAAATTTAATTGCTGCAAATTGTATGTTATGTAAACAAGGAATAGCTTTCCTAGTTATATAGGAGTATTTACCGAAATTTGTGATTTGTTTTCGTTTTTTATTTTTTGTAAGTGGTACGGAATGTATATTAATTAAAATTAATTGGACAAGGAGGCGGCGAGCCTCAAACACATAAAAACCCTACTCATGTCGTTTTTTTTTTTTTTAATTTTTTTTTAAAAAATTATATACATATTTTAAGATGACTTTAATTTTATTTAAATAGTTGGTCAGCTTGACTAGCATTGTGCATAATTGAAATTTTTGTGGGTTTTAAAACTTGGGATGCAAGGAATTGAAGTATTTATGCTCAGTCTGATTTAGGGCTTGTTCATATTTACTTATTTTCAGTTCAGTTCAGTTCAGTTCAGCTCCAATTAGTTCAGTTCAATTCAGTTCAGTTCAGTTCAGCTCTAATAAGTTCAGTTCAGTTTTATGCATTTTAATTTTTCAGTTAAGTTCAGTTCAGCTCCAATCAGTTCAGTTCAGTTCAGTTCCAATCAGTTTAGTTCAGTTCAGTTCAGTAAATATGAACAAACCCTTAGTATTTAAAAAACAAATATTATTCTTATTACGAAGTATAAAGGATAAAAAGAAGAAAATACATATGTATAATCGTAAAAAAAAATTAAAGGTATTACATAATGGATATAAAAATTGTGAAATTGATACTTTTACAAGTCTTTGTTTGAACTTGGTGTGCAAGGAACATAAAAGCTCTAGAATATTCTAATGTAAAAGCAAATAATCTTAATCCATATATTATTCCTTAACAATTCAATATATGATTATACCAGTAATCTTATTAAAAGAACACAAATATGTGGCATTAGAGAAATTTTCAAACATCAACAACATACATAATCACACTACATTAACTATACTAAAGACTTATCTAAATAATTTAACTACCTATTCAACAACTATTAAGTAGGACTGAAATCTTATGATCTAGGGCATTGTGTGGTTTTTGACATCCTATTAATACCTTTCGAACCTCCTCGAGCAGGAGCAGCGTATGGGCAACCATCCAAACACGGCTCTTGCAAGGCACTATCATTTTCCGTGTGAGGAGGGGTAACCCCAAACTTAAACTGTCACATATGCATAGACTCGTTAAAAAATAAAGCAACATTAAAATTAGATGGTGACACACGCATATATAACTATATAAGTAAGATATGTACATGTTTACCTGACAACTATAATCTGTAAAATTAGGTTCCATAAGAAGGGGAATTCCCATATGGTCCTTGAAGAAGGTCTAAGGCATACAAGAGTTGTTTGTTAGATGAGCAAAATATGAAGTTCATCAATCAATGTATGTTTAGTTTTTTTTAAGTACTAACCTGAGTTGGGATTTTACAAGTATTAACACAAATTCCCACACATTTGCTTTCTTCCAAGTACTTGCATCTCTCTACCAAAACCTGCATTCATGGGAAATCATAAAACACCTTCAACAATCGATGACAATATAGACATATTACTATCCAATATTATATATTAACCAACCCCGCTTTGGCATGAAGATCCATCGCGAAGCTCAACAGTGTTAATCGAGCAAGGTCCCATGAGCCATTGACAAGTGAATATCGTTACCCTGGCTTCAAGAACAAAGGAATGCTTGAGAAAACAGAGGTATTGTAGCACTAGTTTTGTGTGTTAACTTAGTATTTTGAATGGTTACATGAATTAGCTAGGGAATATCACGTACCAACCATCATAGCCGCGATCCTCCCCCCTCCAATCGGGGTTATAAGCATTTGATAAAGTTCCAACAGGTATGGAGGGAATAGAGACTTGAGTATTCGAACCTGCCATCATCATCAAGGAAAGAAATAAAGAACGTGGAAAGGCATACATTACACAGAATACGTAGAATTTTATTACTTTAGTAGAGCTCGATATGAGTTGGCAGGGTTATCTTAGGCTATGATCAACTCTTAAGTTTAAAATTTATCTTACCGTACATCTTCAGTTCTTCCTTTATTAAAGGCTTAAACTTATGCTTGTACATAAATCCTTAATTAATCAAAATAAATTGTGCATGATGTAAACACGCGTAGCAAAATTCAAAACGCATAAAATATAATTTTGAACTTTTAATGGTACCATTTTGGTCACAGATTACAGCCCAAAGGACTCAGCCTCTTAGGGAGAATGAGAGTCTTTTACCCTTTATATATAAATAAAACATTGATAATTTAGAATCAACACCAAGCCTTCTTAGCTCAGTGGTAGAGCGCGTGGCTTTTAACCACGTGGTCGTGGGTTCGATCCCCACAGACGGCGTTTTTTTGAATCAACGACAATTTTTTGAATCAATGACAATAAATGGAGACGAATTCAATAAGATTAATTCGCTATTTCACTGTATATTTTTTCCTTTGTGTATAGAACCAAATAGAAGAGTTTATGATAATTTGTGTTTTTAGCCTAAAATGCAAAGTGTGACCATTGTTACAAAGCAAATGGAGTACTATTTTAAGTAAAACAGAAAAGAGAGAAATAAGAGTTAATAAGTCAAAATAATGTATGAATTATAAGGCATTAGAACATTGAGAAGTTCATGTAGCATTAATCCCAAATCTTACTCTTAAAAAGCATAAACCTACGGCCTAATACAATCAACATTAAGCTACCTATTTCAAGCAACAAAGCGCATCTAGTGTAGTGGTATCATAGTACCCTCCCACGGTACTGACCGGGGTTCGATTCCCCGGATGCGCAGTGCATGCCTTCTTAGCTCAGTGGTAGAGCGCGTGGCTTTTAACCACGTGGTCGTGGGTTCGATCCCCACAGACGGCGTTTGATTCAAATTGGAACAGTATATGGTAACAATTTTTTAAATCAAAAGATTAAGGACAACACATTTGCTATATACTCTAATATTGGAGTACACTGTCACACAATGTGTCTCATAACTATCATGTAATCATATCACAAATTAGCATATATGTTACGAGTACTTGACTTTGGTACACCCGAGTACATTATAGAGTTGATAAAATAACAGAGAAAGTAAAGGCAGTGAACACATACCGCTGCTTGATTAGTTTGCTGAGTAGTTCTGCCAAGCATGAGCCCATTTACAAGTTCCACCATCCCATCATAGCCTTCCTTCTCCGAATCCCATCCAACCTCCTATTATTTCATCACAAATTAATAATTTTCAGCAAAAAAAAGGTGAAAAAAAAAAAAAATTCGTTTCTAAAAGTTTTTCCTGTTTTGATTTGTTTTTGCGAACATTGACTGTCCAAACAAGCTGGACTTTTAGAGACGAAAAAAATCACTTTTACCTCAACTAATTTCTTCCTAAATGAATCTAAAAAGAAACCATCTAGCAAATTGGGCTTGTATTCTGATCTAGTCCTCAATTTATCATCTTCAACCTGCCAAAAAATAACAAAAAAAAGTCAATGAACTATACTGATATATTTTGAGAGTTGGGGAAGCTGAAATTCAAGATTTACCAATTTGGATGAGGATGATGAAGAGCAGAAAACACGAAAATTTCGGGTTTTCGAGTACGATTTGATGGGGAGGTATTGATTTACGGAGTGAGAAATTAAGTATGGAGGATGTTGATATTGAAGAAGATAGAAATTGTTCTGCATTTTTCCCAGAAATTCCACCTTAAAATTTTCAATTAAAAAAAAAATCAAAGAAAATAATAAAAGGACTGGCTTTGCTTTGCTGGCCTTATATATACTCTTCACTACAAGATAACGAATTTTTAACTGCTTTTAGCGGGTTACCATAATTTTTACTCCTTTTCTTTATACCCTTTTACAGACCTAAAGGTTATAAATACTTTGTATTTTCTATCAAGTCCTTATTTTTTTTTCTTCAAACGGCCAAATTAATTGAGAAATTCTAAATACTACACAGTCTACAAACAATACTGATAGGCCTTGCTATGCGTCTGGCAACTGCGTGCAACAGTTGCGTGAACTACCAGTGGTTCCTGCTGTCTAGAGACTGCAGCAAGCCAGCACGACTTATTGCATACTCGTACAAAATTACTGTAGTTTTGCTAGGTACAAGTACTCCGTACATGACATCAAAACTAGTGTGCCTAAGGTCGAAGATTCATGCAGCTCAAAGGCCTCAAGCTAATAAAAATAAAGTCATGATTAGTTTTAATTTTATAATAGTAATAACACTAGAGTGATATAACACAGAGATCAATATACAACTGAACCAACGATCAGTCTCAGGTCTCAGCATAGCTTTCACATTTCAGAGAAAGAGAGACAGAACACATAAGGGAAAAAAACACCAATACCCTGCTTCATACGGAGTAATATGTAGTCATGTACATAAACGGGAACTTCACCACAAAACCCGAGAGAAATTTTTAGCAAAGACACTACAAGAATTTTGGATACCATTTCACTTAATCGTAGCTTAATCTAAGAATTAATTTTCTAAAAAATTTATTGACCAGAAAAAGCCATCAGCAAAAGCTATTCAAAAAAACATTGAATAAAAGAATAATGTGGTCTATGTTATTCCGATTCTTCACTATTTCTTACATACTCTGTATCAATTTCAAATACCATTACAACTCTACAAGACACAAAACTGTACAGTTACTGACAATGCCAATTTTCACGGCAAGATTTGCTTTAGAACTGAGATAAAAACACAACTTAAGTTGCACGAGGGGCACCTCCAGGCTCCAGTCGGCTAGTGTGGAATTGTGGATCATGAAATTGACTTGAGAAGGAAGAAGTACCACAAGCACCTCTGGAATGTCTACCGAAACTCCAACAACATTGCGTGTGTGTGTGTGCATGTGTAGGCCTGTACCCATTCTACAGCTTTCCGCCACTACAGTGTGTGTGTGTGGGTCTGTGACTGTAGGCCTGCATTTGGCTATCCTCCAGAATCCTTCTGCCTTTTTTTTGAGTTAAATGAGCCGCTGGACAAATTGGTGCTAGATGGCTCGTAGAGTATATTGGCAGCCAGTACCTCCTGGTCATCAACTACCTCCAAATACACTTCGTCAGGGTCCATTCCAAATCCAGCCTTCTGATACAAATAAAGTTAATAGGGGTTAAATGGTCGTATTAGCACAATGATTAATTGATCATATCCAATATTCTATCACGATTTTCACAGTAGAACACATTCATACAGTGTGGCTTATGTAGATCCAGAGTGACATAATCAACTATGCTACTTTAGATGATTTTCTCCAGTATGCACAAGCAATACCACAACATTAGACTATATCCAAAGAGGATAAGAATGTAAGGAAAATCAAGTATAACATACTAATTGATATCGCCACATTAGAAGAAATAAGGTCCAGCATCCAACAAAAGCTGACAGTTACTAAAATTAATCTGCTTGTAGTGCTCAATGTTTTTTATAGCAAAAAGATACAACAATTAATAGTTGCTCAGCAAAGTGACAAATTACCTAGTAGTAACATACACTTGACTTCATCTAGCTGCCACAGATCAAATCCAAACCTTATATTGGAAAAGACAACCTAAAATAGATAAAGAGCTGACATTTACAATATACATTGCTCAACTGACTATCCAAATAGAATCTAATCATCCAAATACAACCTATTTTACTTTGGCAGATGGCCCGACCTACCTGCAGCAAAAACACAAGAAGACACTGGACACAAATACTCTAGCTAGCCGTAGTTACCTCACTAACCTTTAAGATATACTCCAGATTCAGTTCACTTCAAAGAAGACTCCTTCACTTTCCTCCTAACACACCACATGTCCCTTGGCTGCTTAGATAGTCAGCAAATTAGCAACCATTCATACACCGCCTGAATAAAAAAGGTTTAATAGGTTGTACTCAGCTATGTATACAGCGTCTCCAGTCAAGAAAAGGCTTCATCTCATTCTTGTAACAGGAGTGAATGCACCGCAAGACCAGACAAGTTTCTCCCTCAATTTGCAGCAGCGGAATCCATACATTATAACTTTATAAGTCATTTTTTTAACACAACCCTTTATCAATGCATGAAATGTTTCCCAAATTGAATTTCAGTTAATTTCAACTTCAGAGTCAAAAGTTGTACAGAAAACTCTATTAATTTCTTAGCAGAATTGAGGGTAAAAAAAGGGGAAAAAAAAAGGATCATCAAATTTCTAAAACTGTGCCTAAAAAAAAGAATGAAAAAGAAAGATAGATATTCAACAAAACCCTGCTAAAGAATATAATTGAATTTTGAATATAATTAATCTGATTCAATTTGAAAGCTAATTGTTATTTAAATCTAGCATTTGCTGCAACAGGGAGACCTCTTCCTACCTATTTGACAAAATCTATTATTCTGCAAAATTGACAGAAGAATTAACTTAGCCAAATCAGAGGAGAGTGGCAACTCATGTAAGATGATGACTGCAGAATAATACAGCTATGTGAAAGAAGAAAAGACAGATTAAGATCTTATGATTGTCCAGATGAAGGGCTGAGGGGGGAATGGGACACAGTGGAAGAACTCAGGCTATTTTGACAATCAAGACAAATGGACTTATTAAACTCATAAGAAGAAGCAATTGTGAAACCATTGCCCGAATTAGCCCCCACATTACCGTGTAATAGTCATAACTTGTTAATAAATGAGTCACATTTACATAACTAAATATCATTAACCTTATACATGTTAATGATCTATTGCAATCTACAGAAAATAACAAGCAACTTAAATTGTTGAACTACTTGTTGGCACTTTTATGGATCCAACAAAGGATGCAAAACTTATGATTGTCAGAGGGGAAGAGGACAAATATTAGCAGAATACTATTATACTAACAATTTGCCTCAATGAAATTGACAGTACACTTGCTGGAAAGTGACAATTGTGAACAATCTGGCTCAAAAAATGTGATATGATCATCAAACACCTTCAAATGGCAAAAGACAATTTAATCAAATCATAATTTGAAAAGATAATGGCATAACAACCTGATTTCCCCATATAAACTGATCTTCAAACCAGCAACACCATTGAATGTATAGGAAGTCAAAGTTTTCAATTGAGTAAGAGTATATGTATATATCCCAATTTACAAGCTTAAAAGCAAAGGGAAAAACAACACCCTACCATATCTATTGGCAGCAATGATGTAGGTTATCCCTCTCTTCAAGCACAGTTCCCTTTGCTACTAAACTTGACTTGAACCTCAGTGCAAAAACCAATGAAACCTAAAATGTCAATAGAAGCCATCTTGTCAATCAAAAGCACCCAAATAAACATCAATAAAGGCCATTTATTATGGTTTTGATTGCAATTTTTACACGAGATAAGAGTCTAACCATTGCTGTCTTAGTTTGATTGATGTACATTCTCTGAAAAATCAAAAGCCCGTACAAACATCTCATACTGAGGTTGCAAGTTGCTGATGCTGAATCAACAAGATACAAGTAACCGCAACATCTCCCTGTGCCAAAATTAATTATAAGCAGATTTTGAAGTGTACCTGGCCCGGAACTCGTGGAATCTATAGCTATTAATTGAGGACGCAACTAGTTAGCGCCTCACCAACAGGATCAAATAATGCCTTGCTTAACTATCAACTGTCTTTTGAATGGAGTGCAGTAATTAGTTTTTCAGAGATTGATCTATCCAGGGTGAATCCCTTCTCCATCATCTGATCCCACAAGCTACAAGCCACTGAAATCTTGTTTTTTCGTATCAGCCCTGTAATTAACAATTTAAAAGTGACCTCATCAGGACAGGGTCCTGCCTTTTGCATATTGTGATACAAACTCATAGCCTCGTTCATTCTAGAAACTTTACACAGCCCAGTTATAAGAGCATTGTATGAGACTACATCTGGAGTTGTCCCATTCTCAACCATGTCATTGAAAACACTTTGACCCGCATCAATTTTTCCCGTCTTACAAAGATGATTAATAATTATGGTATACAAAACACAATCAGGAAAAATGCCCATTCCTGTCATTTGATCAAGAAGACTCTTGGCAATGTTGGAACTTCCTTCCCTAAGAAAAGTTTTTATGAGGATGGTAAATGTCATAGTATCAGGGGCGATACCTTTCCGGACCATTTCCTCAAATAGCTTGTAAGCCCTTTTCGTGTGTTGGCCACTGCATAGTCCCTCGATAATAGTATTATAAGAGACAACATCACATAATCCTTTCACTTCCATGACATCAAGCAACAAATACGCCTTGTCCATGCGCTTAGCTTTGCAAAGACCCTTCAGAAATTGGTTGTAGCTGTATATATCAGGTTCAAGCCCATTCTTTTCCATCTTTTCCATCAGTTTCTCAGCCTCCGTCAGCATAAGCTGATCACAACAATAACCCAACAGTATATTATATGTGACCCGATCTGGCTCACATCCATTCTTCTTCATGTATGATTTGATAGTGAGTGCTTTATTGATCTGGCCAACCTTACAGAACCCACTGATAAGGGCATTATAAACCAGTATACTTGTAGGTGCTCCACATTTCATCATATCTACTATAAGCTCGTAAGCTAAATCAACTTTACCACCACCACATAAACCAAGAACCAAAGCTCTACATGCTTTGTCATCTGGATTCAATCCAATCTTTATCATAGTATGCCAAATCTCAACAGCATTGTCAAATTGCCCTACTTTACACAATCCACTAATAAGTATAGTAAAAGTTACAACATCAGGTTTTCTGCCCTTCTCCATCATATCCCGTAATAAGCTTAAAGCCGAGTCTATTTTATTTTCCTGGCACAACAAATGTAAATAAATATTGTATGCCCATATGTCCGGCACCGATCCAAGCTTTTCCATATCCTCCAACAGATACTCAATGAGCTGATAATTCTTCACCTCACACAAAGCACATATAAATCTCGAATATGTAAAAGAAATCAATGAAAACCCTTGTGGGATCATTGTGTGGTAATAATGCTCAGCTAAGTCAAGACGGGATTGTTTAATTAGAACCCCGATAAATCGATTGTAATCTATACTAAATACTCGACAATTTGAAGTAATCATCTCATCAAAAGTTTCAATCGCTTGATTTATAAGCCCCGCTTTTACAAATCTTGATATAAGAGCTCTATAGACAGATCGGTGTTTGCCAAAACTGCAAATCATATCATGCATTCAACTCTAGGTGGAACGCAATAACACTACCCACTGGGGTCAAAACCATGTCGATCGAAACCTCGACACAGTTAAGCCAAAGTTATTTCTCTCCCTTATACTTCAGCTTTTTTATTTCCTTTCAATTTCAACACTCAAGCTATCCACAATTCACCCCTGTTCAATGATTTCAACCATCAAAACTTCACAAAATAGAAAGCATCATAACAACAATATCTTAGCTAAAGTAGTACTTAAGCTCAACAATGTAATACATTACTTGTATAATAATCACCCAATTTACAAAAATAAATGCCCATATTACTATTAAATAGCTAATCTAGCTATAAAAGAGCTAAAAGCACACAATCCAAAATAAGAAAGCTAAACTCAAAAGATCAAAATCACAAAAAAAAAAAAAAAAAAAAAAAAAAAAACTTCAAAAAATAATACGAAGTATAAATTATGCAAAATCAACAGAACAAGCCCAAATTCATCCAGATTAAACACTAACAATCAAATATATTTTTTTTCCTCAAATCCTAATTAAAAAAAAATACAAATTCTTCAACTGGGTATACATCAATCTTAAATTTATGATATAATTACTAATTAGAAACCCCAAGAAACCCAATAATATGATATGCTCCAGTCAATCACAAACCATTAAAAACCCCAACTGTCTAACACTTACACAGACTAAAAGAAACAATCTTTAAGAAGTTTAAAGCGAAACATAGAAGAAATTTGCAATATTTAAGAGAAAATTACCTTAAACCAAGCTTTAATCTGGAAAGTAAACGAACCCCAGCAATGTAGGAGGAGAGAGAAAAGTGGGGAAGTTGGTAGAAGAAGATGAAGAAGGTTGCGCCGCGGCGGAGATTGGGAGGTCAGGTGGGTGGATTGATGGGCGGCAGAAATGTCAAATCAGTGAGTGAAGTTTTGAAACGAGGAACTCCATTATAGGCTATAATAACTGGTTCTTGTTCAACTTTCAGTTCAATTGGTAAGTGGGCTTTTCTGGTAGATTGAGCACAGATGACTAAACGGGCTTTACTAGTATTGGGGTGAGCTGATTCTATTGATAAAATTCTAAGTAAACCCTAGTAGCTCTAGGTTGTTCTTTTTTGTTCCCTCTTAAATCACACTAGCGGAGATTAGAGAGGTGTCAATTCAGGTCATCGGTTGGACTTAAGTTAACCTTACAAGTAGCTGAGAGTTAGAGTGCATTATATTCATCTGATTTAACTTATTTGAACCAATTTAAACTTATTGAAAAATATTGCTAGGAGTATTAATCTTTATCCTAACTATTTTTTCTTGAATCTATCTTATATTCTTATGTATAGATGTTAATGTTAATATGATTAAACAAAAAGATAGATTGACATGTCACCATTATGACATGAATAAGATTATTAAACTCAAGAATTACTTCACTTGTCTCTATTGATGTTTGTTCTACTAACGTCCCATGGTGCTCTTTAGCAAGATCTTAAGGTCTGTTCATATTTACTGAATTGTGCTAAACTAAACTAAGCTAAACTAAATTGATTAAACAAGTACTCGTATAATGTGAGGTAAATAATTACTTCTAATCTATAAAGACGGTAATACCATAGGGGTCCTAGAAAATGGGAATGAAGCTTCAAGTTATCATTTTTTAAAAAAAAAAAAAACCAAGTTATCATTTATCGATTTAACGAGTGACATTTTTGTAATTAAAATCCCGTTTTGCTTTACGAAAATGCCATTAATTAAAGTTTTTTTTTTTTTTTTTTTCAAAGACATGATACTCCTTCATAAACCCTGCACTGTTAAACGCTCACCAAAATACCAATCCATCACTATTGAGCAGCACCACCAAATGATGCTACAATCACTGAAACACAAATTAAAGGTCACAACCACAATCACCCGCCTCATCACCGGCAACTCTCAACTTTTCCGGCGACTCTCCACCACAACATCACCTATTCCGGTATCAAAACCGTCGGAAAACCGCCATTATATCTCCAAACCAGTTTTACAGAAGAAATTATGGGCGGCATTGAACACAAGCCAAACCGTTTCAGATGTTCTACATCATATTATTCGAAATGGCGAGCAGTTCACTAGCGCTGATCTTCTTGCTTGCATACATACTCTCCGCAAATATGGCCACTACAGCCAATGCCTTGAGGTTGATTTTTTTTTTTTTTGCTTTGCTTCATTTATTTTGATGTTTCTTGAAATGGGTATTTTAGAAATTAGGGTTCTTGTGATTCTATGATTCTGGGTCTTGAGTTATCATCCCGAGACTTTAATTAACTAAGCTAGTTGGTATCGACTCTATTTTTGGTGAATTACTATATGGGTGAACTATATACTACCTCTGGTCCGAATTACTCACAACTTTGGAATATTTTATATCTCACAAATAATACCCCAAACTTGCGAGTAATTTGGACCGGAGTTAGTATATGTACAATATTGTTTTTGCAATGCTTAGTGACAGATTCTAAGACTCAAGTTAGTGACTTTATTGTTTCATGGTTGTGCTTAAATGAAATATATGGTTTCTTTCTTGATTAAGAATTGAGATTTTATAAAGGAGGAGGTAAGGTAAGGGGTGTTTTAAAGGAATGTTGTTGTTGTTAGCTTAGGTTTTGTATTTTGAACATAGGAACGGGAGACGAAACAGATGGGATCATAATAATCTTAATTGCATTGGTTGATGAAGCAATTATTACATTCTGAATGACAAATCATGTAGGACGAGTAGTCGAGAAACCATATACATGAACTGACAGGAGTAACAAGACATCCCTGATATTTGTTATCCTAATTGAACAGGAAACTGATCAATGCTGCTCTATATATGTTTAGTTGGTTGCTTGATTATACAATGGAAATTGGGGAACAAAGTAGTGTGTAACTCTGGCAAATGTACTCTATGCTCTACATGTTACAAAATTTGACCTTTATGTAATGTATTCTATATTCCACTTTGCAAATTTGCATTCATGCTAGCTCTTAAAACACTTGTACTGGAATGAGCTTGATTGTCATGCTAACTTTGACGTTGCTGGTTGAGTGTTTAGGCTAACAGTGTTGCATCTACTTGAGATAAGCTTCATTTTGTTGTACATGATCAAAGAAGGCGACCAATTTATATTTAGGGAGAATATGATTTGGTTTAATTTCCCATGGATGTGAAACAAATGTGGAGCTATTTCGTCTTTGACGATGGGCTTTTAAACTTATTATTCAGACTGCTATCTACAAGTCTAATGTTTAACGGAGTACAAATCATCATTCTAGAGACAACTGGTAAAAGTGTATTCTTTATTACATAGTATTGCATTAGAAGTGCCCTTTGTCAAAGTTGTTGCTCTTTATCTTTTCTATAGCATGCCTTTTTCTCTTCTTTATCTCTCCATATCCTCCTGACAGCATGTATGGATTATGATTTTGACATATGGATAAAAATTGAGGCCAATATGTTTCAGCTGCTGTTAATGTGTCTTTGCCTACTGAGATTTTCATTATGCTGGATATGAAACTTCAATTCCCGCATGATATTTGCATCCAATTCTCTCTCTTTTCTATCGAATTGCTACTTTTGATTTTGTTATCCTTCTGGTCTTGAGTATGCTTTTAAGTTACTGCACTACTAATTGTAGGCACTTCTATCTTTGATTTTTGCAGATACTTGAATGGATGGATAAAGGTAGATCTGAAAATTCAGCTATAGACTATGGATTGCGTTTGCGTTTAATGTGTCACGTTAAGAGCATTGATGATGTTGAGAAATACTTCGACAGCATTCCTCCTGATGCCAAGAACCATTATACATATGGAGCATTTCTAAATTGCTATTGTACTAAAATGATGACGGATAAAGCATTGGCTGTTTTCAAAAAGATGGATGAACTGAAATATGTTTTTAATAATATGCCCTTCAATAGTCTCATGGATCTATACATTAAAGTAGGCACACCGGAGAAGGTGCCATTGCTTGTAGAAGAGATGAAGCAAAGAAAAATCCCACTAACCAACCTCACTTACTACATCTGGATTCAGAGCTATCGACATGCAGTTGATCTTGAGGGTCTTGAACAAGTTATGCATGAAGTTCAAGAGCAGGACTCTGTAAGGGATGATTGGAAAATATACAGCAACCTTGCTGCAGTGTACATCGAGGCTCATCAGTCTGAAGAAGCTAATACTGCCTTGAAACGAATGGAGGAACTTTTTGATAATCCAAGGAGTGCTGACCGCAAAGCATACCATTACCTGATTTCCATGTATGCCAAAACTGGTAATTTAAGTTCTGTTTATAAGGCATGGGAGAAACTGGTGTCAAATTTTGAAGTTTGTCAGAATGCAAGCTACCTTACAATGCTTCGAGCCTTGTCAGCGCTAGATGATATTGAAGGTCTCAAAAAATTATTAGAGGAGTGGGAGATGGGTTGCTTAGCTTATGACGAGAGGCTACCAGCTGTTGTTATAGGTGCTTACCTGAGGCATGACATGCTTGAAGAGGCTGAACAGCTGCTGAGAGATATAAAAGTCAAGGCTGATCGGCAAATAAAGTTTGCCCATGTCCTTTTCATGAACTACTTTTTGGAAAAACATCAATTTGATTCCGCATTGAAACATATGGAAGCTGCAATGGCTGCCAAATGGAAGCCAGTAGTAGAAAAGCTTGATCCTTTCTTCAATCATTTCAAAGAAGAGAAAAATGTTGATAGTGCTGAAGATTTTTGCCAAAAGTTAGAGAAAGTCCAGCCTCTCGACTCAAGGACCTACTTGTGGTTGCTTCAAACTTATGCAGCTGCAGGTCAAATAGCCCCAAATATGCGTCAAAGGATGGAGGGAAGTGGTATAGATATTACCCCTGAGCATGAAGAGTTGCTCCAGAAGATATGCTAGCTATACCCCTTACACCTCCAACTCCCCTGGCAAGTTGGCTCTCTGTTCTGAGTAATGTTTTGAATAGTATTGCTCAATTAGATATGACCGAATCAACTTAGGAGTTACAGTTAAGCTTTTGTTAGGAGTAATGTTGATAATTGTTGTCACATTATTCCAACCTGTAATCCCATATACAATTACTACCAGCCATATTTATCTATCAACAAGTGATATTACTAATATGAATACGAAAATATTCATGTAATTTTGTTTTTGCATTATTTATTTTCCTTTTCTATTAAATTGATCAAACATTTTAATCTTATGTTGAACTAATGCAATAGGAGTCATGTCCATTGAAGACTATCTAATTGGACTACCTTATTCAATAACCAGGTGTAGTTGCCTGTTATAATTTTTTATTTCCCATGTACAAAAATTGAACAAACTTATTTCGCTCCTTTGCTAAAAAAAAAAAAAAGCAAGTTTATTTTGCTTATATTCTCTTAAGTGCACATAATTAGTAAATTTACAAAATTATCATGAGGTATAAGAGCAAAATCGACTTGTTAGTTTGTGCAATTTTGTCAAAATGTATCTACGCATTTGGAGCCAAAAATTAGAGTTGGTTTACTCATTTGTACAACCGAAACTTAACAAATAATTGAACCGATTGTATGGTGAAGATGTTATTCGGATCTCGTAATCCCTAATCACCCCTTCTTGGTCCATAACATAAGAACATAAACCCTTGATAAACCCCAACTCCACCCGCATTACCAAACAAACAACACAATGTTTTTACAATCACTAAAACACAAATTCAAGCTCACAACCACCACCTTCCGTCTCATCTCCGGCGAGTCTCAGATTCTCCGGCGACTCTCCACCGTCGCCCCGCCAGTTCCGTCTAAAACTCCGCCGGAAAATCGCCGTCACATCCACAGACAAGATTTGTATCAGAAGATATGGTCGGTGGTAACTTCAGGCGAAAGGATTCACGATGTTTTATTCAGGGTATTGCGAAATGGGGAGCAGTTTCTTAAGACTGATCTTATATTTTGCCTTAAAGATCTTCGTAAGTTTGGCCACTACAATCAATGCCTTGAGGTTAGGTTTACTTTTATTTCTGTTTTGGGTGAATTTATGCACGAAATTTGATTTTTTGTTTCTGCCCAGATTTTGTTTTGCAATTTCCTGAAATGGGTATTTGATTAATTGTGGATTTAGCTAGGTCTTGATTCTTGAATACAATCCAATGTTTAAAGTTTGCATTTTGTTTGACTTAATTAGGAATTTTCTCTCTCATGTATGAACTATGAAATTATGAATGAATTTGTAATGTTGATCAATTGATGGTTGTTACTAAAAACTGATGCATATGCAAATCGCAATGCTTAATGTAGAAAATTCTAGACTCTAGCAGGTAAAGTTGCTGCTGATTTTTACTATGAACTATGAATTAACTGTGTGAAACTTTTATCTTTATGCAATGGTTGATACCTTAGTATATGAACTGTCCATTTCTTATATTATGGTTGGGAATGCATTAATGGAGAAAAATAGGGGTGTGAAACGATATTTTGTTGCTGTTTGTGTAAAAATAATAAAGGAATTGGTGGAGATACAATGGAGAGGATCCTTATGTCTATTTGTAGTGCTAAATGAAGCAAATACTACATTCTAAGAGACAAACTAGTGGCCAACTAAGTCAAGTTGGAGTTCTTGAAGATTTTCAATACCTAATAGGTTCTGTGTGTTTGGTGAAAGTTAATGGAATTTTGGCATTAACTTATGATTTAGGCAATAATTAGGCATATGAGAGTTCTAAAAGGCTCAATTTTGACTAAGTCCAGACAGCTTTAATAAAATAAGGACAGTTTAGATGAGTTCAAACATATTCACAAATTCACAAGTAGAAGTAAGTTCAAGTAATTGTAGATAAGTTCTGATATATTTATAAATATATAGGTCAAAATAATTTGAAGAGAATACACCCTTTATTTTATTGGCAATATGGTAGTTTAAAGTGCTTATATCTTAGCATAATCATAGGGTTTTACTGGTACACAACTCTTGCAGTCTTGCCAATTTACTTGCAAAATTCTACATGTTACTCCGAAGTCCGAACAAATCTTCACCTAAATATGTTGGCACTTGGCAAATATGCATACATGCTTGCCTGTCGATTGTGAATCTTACTATGCTTGTTTATCTGACCCTATATGACAAATATAAGTAAATAGATTTGCTTCTACTTTGTTCCTATATTTTTTCAGAGATGATGACCAAATTGATTGCAGGGGGTATATAGCTTGGTTTTATTTCCCATGATTATAAAACAAGTGCAGATCATTCTGTCTTGGAAGGCGAGTCTTAAAACTAGAATTCAGTCCAATATCTACAATATCCAATCAAACCTACTATCCATCATATTCTAGATAATAGTAGTCCATAAAACAGGTTAAAATGTGTGTTCTTCAATCTTTTATTATTACACTGGACGATATATTGATTCTCTCTGCTGCATTCTGGCATGCATTAGTTTGTTTCTTTCTCCCTCCTTTCTATAAATCACGCCCCTATTAATAGCTTCAATGTGTGTTCTGTCTATAAACATGTGTGCATAACCTTCTCCTTAATCCTTTCTCCTATGTACTCTAATGGACTGCTCCTATTAATAGCTGTCTCAAATAGCCATCTAATTTTGACTTTTGGCTGCAAAAAACTGAGGACCTAGAACATCTTAATTATAATCAGGGGATTGATGATCGTAATCCCTCCAGAGGAAGCCGAAGCCATAACCCCATGGCCGTTGAGAAAGTAATATCCTAGGGTAGATTTGTAATATATTAACCCAATTCCCGTATTATTCTATTGTAACAACACAATAGCTTATAAAGAATAAGTGAGTTGTTAAAATGAAGCATAATCAATCAATAACAGCCTTAATCCCATAAGTGAGGTCAGCTACATGAATCAAAAGTGATTATTCCGTATATTCTCACAAAAATCTTCTTACTCCATCCCTTACGATCAGCCCTCATTCTCATGCAAATTCATTTCTTCATATCCTTCCTAACTCCTTCCAACCACGTCATTATCGATCCCCCTCTACCTCATTTAACATCTCCATGATCCCACTCTTCATACCGGTACACCCTTGGTCTTTGTCTTACATGTTTGAACCAACGATGACGATTTTCCCTCAGCTGCAACACCCACTTTCTTGCGAATAATTTCAATTCTTATTTTATCTCTTAGAGTGTTCTTGCACATTCATCTTAACATGTGCTTTTCCGAAACCTCCATCTTTTTAATTTGCTCATTAGAAGCTCAACATTCTATACCATAAAGTTTTAGTCTCATGGCAGTCCTATAGAATTTCCCCTTCAAGTGTAAAAGAGAATGCTTTCGTCAGATAACACTCTCTTCTCTATTTAAGCCACCCTTACTTAATCATGTGGGTCACGTCTTGATTAATGTCGCCATTCTTATGAAAGATCGACCAAGATATTTAAAACACTCACCCATGGCCAAATCCTTTATGTCCAAACTAACTACATCATCGCTTATTCCCCTCTTTTACCAAAGCGGCGTACCAAATATTCAATCTTGCTCCGACTTAGCTTAAACCCTTTAAATTCAAACCTTTGCCCCCATTGCTCCTATTTGGCATTAACCCCATCTTGAGTTTCATCCACCAAAACAATATCATCCGCAAACAACATACACCATGGAACCTCATCTTGAATTGGCTTAATTACTCCATCTAGAACCGTTGCAAAAAGAAAAGGGCTTAACGCAGACCCTTGATGCAATCCAACTATAATAGGAAAATCTTTTGTCAACCCACCACATGTCCTCACATTTGTTGGCACATCCTTCACTAGGTCCAAATACCTTCGTAAGATACATATCTTCAACATTACCCACCACAGTACCTCAACTTAAATTACCAAAAATTTCTTTTTTCTTCTTTTTTTCTCTAATTTAGGAGCATTGCTACAACTTTCTTTCTATTCTTGTCAAAAAGATTCGGATTAATCTTCCCATTTAATTAGGAACAGAACACCTGTTTGAGATAATTTGATTGTTTGTATTTATGAGCTACTTGTAGATAAGAATTTTAACTCCATCATAGTGTTAATTTTGCATTCAGTTCCCTCTAATATGCTTTCTGCATTGCAGATACTTGATTGGATGGATAAAGGTAGATATGGAAATGCTGCTACAGACCATGCATTGCGTATAAATATAATGTGTAAAGTAAAGGACATTGATGAGGTTGAGGAGTACTTTGACGGCATTTCTCCTGATCTCAAGAACCAATATGTATATGGAGCACTTTTAAGTTGCTACTGTACTAAAATGATGACAGATAAAGCATTGGCTCTTTTTAAAAAGATGGATGAACTGAACTATGCATCCAATGATCTGACCTTCAGTAACCTCATGAGTCTTTATATGAAAATAGGCCAACCAGACAAGGTGCCTTCTCTTGTAGAAGAAATGAAGCAAAGAAACATCCGACTAACCAACCACATATACTACATCTGGATTCAGAGCTATCGATATCATGTCAATCTTGAGGGTCTTGAGCAAGTTATGCTAGAAGTTCAAGAACAAAGCTCTGTAAATGAGGATTGGCAAATCCATAGCAACCTTGCTGCAGTGTATATAGCGGCTGGTCAGTCTGAGAACGCTAACGCTGCCTTGAAAAAGATGGAGGAGCTTTTTGACAAGCCTAAGAAAGCTGACCGCAAAGCATATCATTTTCTGATTTCCATGTATGCAAGTACCGGTGATTCAGAGTCTGTTTATCAGGCATGGCATAAACTGAAGTCAAGATTTAGTGTTTGTCCAAACATGAGCTACCTTGTTATGCTTCGAGCCCTGTCAACGCTAGATGATATTGAGGGACTTAAAAAGTTTTTGAAGGAGTGGGATATGAGTTGCATAAATTATGATGACAGACTCCCAACTGTCCTCATAGATGCTTACCTTAGCCATAACATGCATGAAGAGGCGAAGCATCTGCTAAAGGACGCTGAAGATAAGGCTGAACAAAAAATAAGGATCGCTCATGTTGTTTTCATGAACTACTACCTGGAGAAACATAATTTTGATTCTGCTCTGAAGCATATGGAAGCAGCAATGGCTGCCAATTGGAAGCCATTAGTAGATAAACTTGATCCTTTCTTTGAACATTTCAAAGAAGAAAAGGATGTTAATGGTGCTGAAGACT